GCGTTGGCAGATACTATGTCGGACCGGTCAGTCGGCCCCCAGAAGTCGGCACCTGCCTGGAAAGGCTGGAAATTGTGGCGAGACGAGCGCTTTTCGTAACCCAATCCGGCAACCTCCTACTTGGTAAGTATGTAAGGGAGCTCGCCGGCTTCTGGGGACCGGTCCGAAATAAGTATACTATTGCCATGTTAGCAAGGTGCGTGCGACTCCGCTCAGGCCTCAGGCTCAGGCCTCAGGGTTCAGACGTTCCTGTCAAACGTTCACCACCCGCGGCCCTCCGGCTACGCCGACCTGGTAACCGCACCACCCCGCGGTGTTCACACAAACAGGCAAGGCCCTCGATCGAGCACCCATCAGGCAGTGGTAGGCATATCTTTTCAGGGACCCAATCTCGGGCGAGCTCGGGCGACGCAGGCGATCTCCGGCCCCATGTCCCACGCAAACCACTTACGCGTAAGCCGTGTCGCGTCCGCTGGTGTGCCTCCGCACCATCTCAGGCTCGCCGCAATTTCTTCTCGCGTCCTCGTGGCTATCTCTACTGTTACGATACAAGGACAGCATGATTATAGACCATGGGAGGGGAGATTGGGCGGGTGTTTATCGGATCAGGTAGGCGAGTGAAGAGTATCGAGGCTGCCTTTGGCCCTATAACCGCTTAGCCAGTGGCCAGAGTGCTTCGAGAAAGATGTTAATGAAACCTCGAAGATTTCTAGCTCATATATGTCGTCGCTCCGACACGCAGTGTCCTGGTGTTCACTCCGCGACTATAGAAGGTGGGCTTCTAGCGAAGAAAAGAGCTAGATTCTTCAAAGTACTCGATGTGAACCGCGAATTTAGCCAAATATTCTGAAACTTGTACATATGACTATGTGAATACAATGAAGCATGCTCCACGTCAGGCGCCTGCCCATCCGTCTTCGGGAGGTAAGGGCCCGTGTCGCTGGGCCGTACAATGTTAACTCTCGCTGAACCTGGCACCTAGATCGATCTCAGAATCTACATTACCTAGTCACATTACGTAAACCCACGCGAATATCCAAACTCCCCAACTTGAACCTTAAGGTAGAGGGTAATAAAGTTGTGGAGTTTCAAATAGGGGGAGATGGCCGGGTCGGGGAAGGCGCGGGAGCTGGATATTGTGGCGGAAATGTGGCGTGAATGTGGCCGGACTGAACATTGTACTTACTTATAAATTATCGACAAGTCGTCCCCCGATGAAGAAGCGAGGATGCTCTTCCCGATTGCATACTAACCGTTCATGCTGACGGTGACCATAGGCGTCACGGTCACAGGCTTACGGTTGGCCGCTAGTCCGAGGATGAGGCTTTCGCGCCACACGCCTGCGCCACATCGCGTGGCACGCCTTGTCTATCTTCGTGCTGTGTCCAGCTCGCGTAGCATTATTGGTACCCAACGCTACCCGGCAGTAAATCGGACACACAGACTCACGCCTCGAAGTGTCAGAAGTGGCCTCAAGATACCGCTCGAGGACGCGCTCGACACAAGGGCGTCAAGTGTTACAAGTCAAGAGTCCGCGCGGTCGCAGCGCTACTTACCGCCCGACATTGCTCTCGATGCGGCGATAACGCGACAATGGCTTCGAGCCTTCGACTGTCCAGCTGCTCACACTCGGTTTCCTGCCTGTCCCTTCGTCGTGTGCTACTTCTCGAAGACTGGCGGCCAGGAGAGTGAACTCCCCAGCAAGATAGTCAGGTCGTCCAACTGACACGCAAGCTCCAGTCCGTCGTACCTCTTCAACCTCTCATGGCTTGGGCGACACCGCAATCTGGACCGACTGGCGCAATGTGTGTGCAATTCTAGCACTCAGTCTTCACTCCTGAGCGACAAGGCCGCCCAAAGCATAGCGGTCATGAAAGGCAAGCAATGCGACCGAGAAGGAGAGGGACAAAAGCGACTACGAAGGTTCGGAAGTCGAAGGTCACGGCGTGTTCTTGCGGGATGTCCATGTTACCCAACTTACTAGTGCTCGCCTAGCCAATCAACCACTCGTTCATCTAAATGTCCGCCCGTTCGCCCATTCACTGGCTTTCTCGCCGACTCATCGTGCACTCCCCGTCTTCCCACCTGCTGTTCACCTACCCCTTGCTTGCTGGCCCACACATCCGCTTGCTCAACGCTTACTCGCACGCTTGTCCATACAATCGTCCGCTGCCTGACCGTGCGTTATTCCTCCGATCCCTTCGATGCGCTATACTTCCGGACACTCAGACACCGCTGTAAGCCCGCGAACTCCGTGCCCAGCACGAGTTGCGTACGGTCGCGGTCTCACCTCTCGACGCCATCCAACACCGGTTGTCACCGGGCACTACGCGTAACGTGGTAGCTCCATGCTCATGCCCACGTTAAGGAGCAGCCATCCGTCACGGGCACTACCACCGCGCGACCGGCAACGCTCGTCTGAAGAGCCACAGCCCACGATGAGCTCCTTCGCCGCCGAGCCAAGCTCAGCAGCGTTCGTCGCTACTCCACCACCCCGATCGCCCCAGCGCAAGAGCCCACCCCGCCCCCGCTCAACGTCAACCTCGACGACTGCAAGCCCAAGCCCCTCCCCGTGTCCCTCGTCTACCGCCCGGCGTCCTCAACCACCATCCCGGCGGCGGATCCACGTCCCTCGTCTTGACCTCCTCCCGCACAAAGCACACGCCCCTTTCCCCGCCCTTCGCGCTCTCGTCCGCCAGCTCCAGCACCCACGCCATCAGCACGCCCCGCCCCCGCCCGCCAGGCACCGCTCCAGGTCGCCCACCGCATCCGCCTCGACAGGGCACCGTCCGCAGCCACCGCGCCCCGGCAGCCCTCTCCGCGAGCCAGCTCGCCCGCCACCGCGAGGGCGCCATAGGATCCTCGGCCCCAACGTGCGCGCCGCCGGCTTCATCCACCTCGTCAGCTCCGTCAGCTCCCTTAACGGCAGCAGCGCGACGCCCAGCCCCGCGAGCCTTCCGGACTGGCAGGAGATCCTCGGCCCGAGTAACTACATGAGCATCCGTGCAGGTGCGTGTATGCTGCCGCTCTGTTGCGCGGCACTCTCTAACTGGGCTGCCCAGCCCACGCCCACGGACCCGCCGTCCTTCCCGCCGATCGTTTCGTGCCCCCGAGTGCCGTCCAGAAACCCAGCATGTGGGAGTGCCAGAAGTCGCCGCACGGCCATAAACCTTCGCCGAACTCTCCTGCCCCACTGTCGCTAGCGGCTGCCGAGGAGCTGTTCATACAATGCCGATGCCTTAGGGCGCCTCAGATAAATCGAGGCTTTGCTGATCGGCGCCTTTGGTACTTGTCGAAGGTCAGAGTCAAGTTGATCCCGTCTATTGCGGGTAAGCACGAGGGCTGGCCGGAGGTGCAAATTTACTCTACTCCTCGCTGTAGAACGCACTCTAATCATTCGTGCACAGGTCATCCTCCCAAATCATCTATCACCGATGAACTTGAAAGCCCTTCGAGACCTCGGTTTGAACGCAGCCAAAAGAAAGGAAATAACACTCCAATTCCAGGTACTTCTATGCATTCCTCTGTAGAAATGCCGTAACCCAATCTCATTCATGTCACGTTCTACTAGGTATCGTCTATCGGGTCGTACAGCACGCAGTGGATGAACCGGTTTCACTGTTTGGCCCGAGGTGAGTCAGCGCAGCAGACGTGATTGGCTGTCTCGAAGGCGCGCCGGGCCGAACAGTGTTCAGTGTGCAGCCGGAAGGTGCACGGCTCGAGGAAGACGACCTGCAGGAGCGTGAGCGCGTTCAGTAGCAAAAATAGTAGAAAATCATGTATTATATTCATCTGGACCATCGCGCTGGCGGAGCAGAAGTTCTGCGAAGAGGCACATTCGTCTTAGGCAGTGTGCCACTTTCGTAATAGCTTATGGACCGGCCAGATCCGGACCCTGGTCTGACTCCGGTCGGACCCAGGAATGCTGCTCGCGACAGGGTGCAGTTGACGCGTGGCCCGACTTCTGGCGCCCCCAATCTCCAAAAGGAGGAGGATTCACCTAAACCTCCCGAGCATTGGGAGGTCAGTGGGGCGCCCGTGTGCCAGAACCCAGCGAAGCCGTCTAGGTGCAGCGCAATCTCAGGCACCGACCACAATATCGGGGCGGGAGTTACTCACTCGGGGCTTCTGTTTAGGTTTTCTCAGTCTTCGGTGACGAATCTCCGACTCTCAAGGGAGCGATGCTCTCGGACCAGCTGCCAGACGCGACGAAGCCGCCGCCGGGATGCGAGAAGCAGTAGACCCCAGCACTAGACACAGCTACCAGAAACGGCAGTACTAGGCACACCAAAACGTGGCTCGGAGAGGGTATTCAGGCCTATTTGAGGGAAATCGTATACCGCAAAGATGGGACCACTGTCACATACATAGGCAGTGTCCCTCGCCGTGAGGCATGTCGAAGTTCGGCTGGTATCATTTCGTGATCCATTTGTAGTGATTGGGGCTGCCGATCTGTTTCTACGGTGATCGTGACGCGGGTCTTTCGCCTGACTTGGGACTGCTATGTACATATCCTACCAATGATTATGCCCCGGATGTTCAGGCTATAGAAAATCCAGTGGCCTGCATGTGTCTATCGAATGTGCGGTGGGTCAATTAGTGATTTACCCTTGCTGCGGACACAGCAACGAATCATTGGCGCCACGGCGGCGGCCGACGAGTACAATTGCTACCGTGCCCCGAGACTCTTCGTCCGACTTCGAGCCGGGGCGGCGTTCGGGGTCGATTCCACTCCGCGAAGTAATTGTGTGTATAAGATCATTTAGCTACCACATTGGAACGCCACCATGGCAACGAGGCTGCCAGTGACACTGAGATGCGCGCGGCCGAGGGCCTTGTTTAACAATTATAGGTAAGTGTGTGATCAGTGAGAAGCGGTACCGGAAAAGTGGTGGTCTCACGGCCACGTTCGATATGCAGTGCATATATTCAATTAGCAGTATGCCTTCGCGCCCCCCTGCTCTGGACAACCCTCCTTCTCGACACCCCAAAGCGGCCGAATTATGGACGGTCTGCACACCCAGTCCCCTGGGTAAGACGTTCGTGTTGATTCCGCGACCACAGTTCTGACCGCGAGTAGCACAGAGTACTACGAGTTCATGCATCCTATCATCTTCAACGAGAGCATCCAGGGCCCGCACCAGCAGAGTGAAGTTACATCGGAAGGTATTACGCCTAAGGCATATGGATAGGTTTCGGCACTCCCTGACATGATATTGAACACAGGAGAGCCGGCATATGATTACCCGCATTCACCGACTCTTCACTCTGAGGAGATCTCGCAATTCCTTCCACTTCTGCCCTACCCCTATGATGACGCAAGCGTTGACGAGGCGCATCCACCGTCGCTCTCTCGTCCTGTCCGAGCTCTAATCATCAGCTATGTCTGGGCTATTACATCTACGCCGCCGGCCTTTGTCATCACCCAGGAGGACATCCACATTGCTACCTGCATCCAAGCTCGTATGGAGCAGTTTGGTCCGACTGTGGATGGTTTGCCTTTCGTTGATATGAGTGCGGAAGCTTGGGTTATGGGCGGTCCCTCTGTGAGCCCTGAAATCCCATGCTGGATGTTACCCTGTACTCATGGCTTTCCAAGCATAGCTGTCCCCTTCTCCTCAGTCCACCGTGATAGTAGACACTCCAATGATTCCAGACAGCACGGTCCCCTACCTGTACGATGAATGTGGCGGATACTTCCAGTCCCCAAAGGACTCCGACGTCACATCGCACCTCTGTCCGCGCCATTCCTATTTACAGACTGGTTTTTGTAGTAATACCGCAGCGGCGATGCGCACAGCGTGCTGATGTCTGAGCATTTCGCGGGGTCGTGAACATTTACAGGGAATTGTTCATACATACTACATCAGATGTGATAATGCCAAAGTGTTGCATGTATATCCTCAAGTGGCTCAGCCTAGTCTCCCCAGGCAGACGTAGACAATTCCTTCAGCCTTTGTGCCTCAGGATATCCTTGTCGTCGCCGCGGTGTACTAGGCGCCACACAGGCTGTGCGAAGTGACCCTGTCCAATCACTCGTCTTCGTCGACGTCCGTATCCGATGCGTCGTCCTTCGTGCCCGCCTGACCTTGACGTTTCTTACGACTCTTGAGCTGCTTGATTGCCTCCAGGATCTGCAAATGGCGGTTCTCTAGTTGCTCGAAGACCTAGTACGCCCCGGGCTCAAGCATCAACTGACGCGAATCACTCGAGAGTACAAGACGCGGTGGGAAGCCGGAGGAGGATGTTGTGGGATGCTGAGATGTGCGCGAACTTGTACGTTTGGACACTAGCCATGCTCCCCAGAAGAGCACGGAATTGAAAGCGCGATTGACGTTCGAAGACTTGTACCGATGGATACGAGACATGGCCAATGGTTGTGCACTGGGGCTGCCACTGGCATGCGTGCGCGACGCCTTTACCTCCGGCAGTACGGGACAATACTGCGAGTACTGTGAGCAGCAGTTCCATGATTAGTTCGGCTGTCATCTCACATACACAGCATTCAGAGTCTACGTACCTCGGCCCACCATAATACGGCCGCTGTCGTCAACTACTACACTATAATCTCCAGGCATGAGCGGCGAGTTGTTCTGGTTCGCGGACGTGGTTTTACCAACGCGAGCGTCGGCGAGATCCTTCGCATAGGGAATCTTCAACCCTAGGAAGACCTTGGCGCGACGCTGGACAAGCTGTACAAAGTACGCCATTGTTTCAGGACACTCTATAGCGTCTCGTGCACGTACCGCTGCCGCGCGTTGTCCAGCAGCGAGGGCGGCATTCGCAGAGTTGCCAGTGGGTGCCGGCCCTTGCTGTATACGTGTGGTACGGTTCAACCCACTTGTCGTGCCCACATTGTCCTGCTGTTCCCGAATGATCGCTGACATCTCTCGGATGATAGCGCGTCGAGTGCTGGCTTGCTCCGTATTTGCATCACGATCATTGTCCCTTGCGGCTGAGCCCTGTCTTGCGTACGTGCTGGTCCGCACACCTTTCGCAGCACGCTCCGACTCATGTGCACGACGGAGGTCTACGAGCGGCGATGCATCGAGGTTTCCATGAGGTGCGAGGAATAGCTCGTTTGGTTGGACTGGCTCTGGCGCGATGTTGGGTGGAGGTAGCTCGACCATTATGGCCGCGTCGGACAGCGAGCGGTGAATTTGTAAGCTATCCTCTCCTGCGAAGGCTTCGAGTTCGCTGGGATTGGGCTGATCGAAGTTTTGCCTGTGCAGATACATTCAGTACATCTTCGTACCCGAGGAAATGACAAATACCCTTACACTGTGTTTAGCTCGCCGAGTGTGACTGAAACGGCCGCGCATTGCAGCATAGTACTAGTAAGCATCCGATCGTCTAGGTGTGTCGTCCGCAGCGGGGCATGTTCCTCTGCTTCCAATAAACGTTCCAGCTCCGTAGCGTCTGTTGGTGGTTCGGGATCATCGTCACTGTACTCGCTGATATCTGACATGCCATCGTCAAAATCGACATCAGCTCCGTGTGCGATCGTAACTGTGGCTCGATTGGCCGAATCGAGCAACTTGTACTGGGTCGGTTCCACATGCAAACCAAGAACTACACTTGGAAGGCGGGTTGGTCGTGAATTCGTGGGCGAGAACATGTCCGACAGCGTCACTCCGAGACATCGGGAAAACCCCCATTTGAGAATTCGTGAGAAGTGACCAGCAATCGAACGAATGCACAGAACATTGCTAATGTCTGAGTATCTAGCGATGCCGTGAACATTACAAGGAATTCTTTGGAATGCCGCCGCGGCGAGACTCGAGTCTCTGACTCGGATGCTACACTAAACCTGATAATGTCGAAGTAATGTATGTATGTTTTTGTGTGGCTCGACTGGCATACTGATCAAATGGGGAACAGTTTGCATTGACGTGATTGAGACTAAACTACACAGTAAAGGTAATCCCATGACAAGCTTCCACCCTACGTCCTCATCACGCATGCCATCGCTGAACTTGTCCCAGCGCCCTCGGTGCGCGGGTGGAACTCGCCCGAATAGCGCACGGCGTCGTCGCAGTTTGAGCGCAGCGCGTGCTTCAAGGTGCCCTCCTACATGCTGCACATCCTCCATGGTAACGCCGCGCCCGCCCCCTGCCCGGTAGTCCCCTCGATCGTCCGCCCTGCCACCCGTTCGCCGGCCGTGTCTGCACGCAGGGCATTGGCCCCACGTGCTCGCCGTCGCCGTACGCGTCGTGCAGCGGTTTGGTGCTGCAGGGAGTGTGTTCGAGGTCGAGGGCTGTCCATGCGCGGATCGTCGGGTGTGCGATCACAATGAGAAGACGTGTGCATGTTGCCAAATGGTCCACGGCGCCCGTCGTGTTATGCAGCACGGGTTCTGCGGGCAATGTTCGTGGCCCCGTGCTAGCCTCGCGAATGGTAACTTATCAGCAAAACGTCGACTTCGTCTGAACGTGCCTGACACGTCTGATATCAGTCACATCAGACTCTTCAGACTCTCAGACTCGCGAGTCTGAAAAGAGTAGATTCATCTGAGTTCAGACTGAGAGTCTGAACTCAGTGTACCTTTCAGACCGACTCAGACCAGTGATCAGACTCGTCAGAGGGCTTACCAGACCTGACACACTCGCACACATTGTCATTACAGATCATTGCAGCTACCTTTGTATACATACAAAAATCGTATTGAATCCGCAGAAACCAAGCCTACCTTTAACCTTACGGCTCGGTACTTGATGCCGTTCAAGTTCATAACGGACAGCTCGCGTTTGTTTGGCTGCAGCACACAGCTGGAACACAGGAGGGATGCCCGTGTCGCAACGTGCGATGTATGCTGCTAGTAAGAACACTGCATCGGAGATGGGGATCGTCCTTGCTGTTTTTTTTCTCGCAGGGCGGCGACTGTTGCACGTTCGCAGGCGAGCTGATGTATACACCAGACGATGGGCATGGGAGGAGGAGACGACACCGAGAGCAGTCCATAGCATGATGGGCACGAGGGCAGGGGCCAGCTGTCAAGGATGACAAGAAGGCGCGGCCAGTGGAGGATACTGGTGTCGGTGCAGGCGAGAGGAATGCATACATGCAGCAGCCGACGATGCATCCACGAGAGCGTTTCGTCCTCCAAGAGAGCGCGTTGATCAAGGCGCAACGCGTCGGCGCAGAAACTTGAAGGGACCGAAGCGCATCGACAGAGGGCAAACGACGGGAAGACGGTCGAGGCATGGTGAACGGGCGGACACGAGTGGAGCAGCGGCGCGCAATCGGACGCCTCCGCAGCGCCCTGTGTTAGTCTTGCTGCGTGTACGTACCAGCAGCAAGCGCGCAGACATGATCGGCGAGAGCTCGGCGCCACCAGGCTGCACGTCTGAGAGGCCCTCGCCGTCTGCACCCGCGAGCCAGAGGTAACTTGGTACCTCCGCACCCCAGTCTGACAGGCCTCGGGATAACGAGGCGTTGGTTGGTGACGGAAAAGGATAGGCGAGAGACGTGAGGGCACTGGAGAGGGACGTCCACCAGAGCCGGACTGAGGCGAGACGCACCTGACATTTCCATGTCCAGGCGTACTGCTGATGCTCCCAACACGGCTGTGCTTCATGTCGGTGCTCCGATCGTCGGGACCGGTGCTGAGCGGGCATTTCGTACCCGGTGTCGGAGGTGACGCGCGAGACGACGTTGACGGCTGGCGATTGTGGGGCACTGAGGATGTGAACTGCCTAGTCCAATCCGTCAGGAGGAGGACCGAAGCTGCACGGTCAACTGGTCCACAGTACAGCGTGCTCAAACCCGACGGAAGACCCATGAGAGCCTCCGCAACGCCCTCGTCATAATTTTGGTCGACAGGCAGTGGCCGCACGCTACCCGTCGGCGGTAGCTGCACCAAGCGACTTGCGCGCCCCGAGCCTGTCGAGCGGGGGTGCGGGCTGTCTTTCAGCTGCCTGTTGTAGTCAGTGTCATAGTACCTCGATGTCTCCTGCTTACTTGGCTCCTCCTTCACGCACTTCGCAGGTGCGTATCGCTTGCGCTCTGTCTTCGGTGCCTCGCTCGCCCAGCGACGCTCCCGTTCGGGCTCTCCAAGTCCTTGCCCTTCGTGTCCGGTGACTGCAGTCGATTTGGCTGGGGTGTCCGGGGCATCGACTGCTGCGTTATGCGCGGGCTCTCCGACTTGCCAACTGACATGTACAGAAGAGAGGTAGCTGCGAACGATGGGGTCCACCGATGAGTCGGTGACGTGGCGACGGTGGCGCGCCTGTTTAGGGCAGGCGCCGAATCACTTCGTTCTCTGCCTCATCCTTCCCTCCCGTTTAGTACACAAACCTACACACAGTATCCCGAGTCAGTGGTCACCGGGCAAATCTTGGTGCACTAACGTGCACCGAGATTCGTCGGAAACTAATGTAGTAGACTCCTTGGCCAATTCGTCAGACTCGGAGGCGGGTGATAATACTTAATATACAATGTTACTAGCTTACCGTATCGTAGCCCCAAACTGTTACGACGACACTCTGTCTGACGTGACTGACGCGACTGACACGACTGACAGTAACTGACGAGCTCTGATTGAGTGAGCCAAGACCGAGCCAAGGTCGCGCGGAACATAAGCGCCCAATTGCGTCAGCCGCAACAGTGATCTCAGGCTCCAGATCAGGCTCTTCAGTGGCCTCAGGCGCCGTCAGACAGTGCGCCGTTTTGCTGATGGCACGTCCCCAGTGCAGACAAGGTAGCAACGCGCATACGTGCAACGGTGGACATACCTTCGGCTCGAAAGCCCTGTGGTCGCTTTTTGGCTTCACCGCACCATTCTCCTCTCCTTCATCAGGAAACCTGAATCCTCGTTCTCGCTCACGGATGGTGGTGCAGGAGACTGCTGGATCAGCTATGAGACACCATCTCACGATTGATCAAACATGAGCCACTTGCTCATGGCGTGAGCCAGTGTCTCACAAATGAGATAAATTCTGAACTCCGCTCGTGGCTAGTGAATTGCAGGGGTACACCCCCGGGTGTCCAGGGGCCAACCCGTATCCGAACCCGCAAGGGTCATGTACCCTCTCGGCGGGTACAGGTTTTTGGCGGATCTCGAGGGTCGACACGGGTACGGGTATATGGGCGGGTAGCTGCGCGAGACGAGTGATTCATACAAAGACAGTACAGACATTGTAAATAATCGAGACTACATATGATCCAAGGGCCCATTGACACCCCATACCTCCTCAGCATCCTCCTCAGCATCCTTCGACGGATCTTCTGTTGTCACGGCGAGAATGTCAGTGTCCTTGACCATGCCGAGAGGACTCCAGTTATTGAGGCACATCAATGCGCGGATCGAGGCGGCCGACAAGCCATTTCGCAGGTGTGTTACAATAATCCGGCCCTGGCTGAACAGGCGCTCAACGCCGACCGATGTAGCTGTATCAATCAGCATTCGAAGAAGACGAGGGATGAGGAATACTTACGAGGAATGGTTAGATAGCAACACACCATGCGAGACAACGTTGGATACGTCTTGTGCGCGTCGTTCGATGTCCACCACTCCAGCACATTGTCGATGCTCCGATCAGGCTCAGCAGCGAGGTAGTGTTCGAACTCATCTGTCACCGGTGCAGCCGCCTGCTTACGCTTCGCACGAGCAGCATCGAACATGTTGACCTTGCGGCCCTTGCCCTTTGGAGCACCCACGCCATCGTCCGAGTCTTGGGCCTGAGCACCAGACGTAGATGTCTGACACTCGAGATGATCAGCTGGGTAAAAAATGAGAGGACACAATCAATAGGCGTACCGATGGCTCAGCGTCGGCACCCTTCTTCGTCGCGCGGGCTTTGCGGGGAGGCCGGCCTTTCCAATCCCCTTCGTATGCTTCCTTTGCAGCGAGACGTGCGTCGCTGACCCAGCTGCATCAGGAAACCCACCCTGTGCAAATTGAGGTAATTTTGCGCAATTTTGTGTAAATGTCCTGGACACCCCATTTTCTTAACCCCCTCATAAATGTTGCACCAATTTCTGCCAAATCGAAGCAAATCGACAATCAAGTATATTTACTCATTTGTGACCAGCTTTTATACGACTATACCCCTGTATTTATCAGACTACACCACATCAGGTATACATAGGATCGTGCACAACGAGCTAGCAGACACCTCGGAAGTACCTACTGCTCGTCGAGATTAGCAATGCACTATTCAATTAAGATGTGTGCAGGAGACCCAAAAGGAGAGGAATGCATAGACTTGCTCGGGTATACGGAGAGGAGAGGTGAGGCATGGCGCATCGCGCAACACTAGAGGTCCATCCCCGCAGTCAGGGGGTCAATGAGGGAATTGGCTGTGGCCTTACGAGTGCGAGTGGCACTCTTCTTCATATGAATAGTCCTGCAAATGATGATATCAGTCACCTCATTTCGGACGCACATAGCCTCGTAGTCCAACGAACTTCGCTTCATTGAATATAAGGTTAAGGATCTTATGACGGCCAATCAGATTGATTGGCGAGAGGGCGGCGAGATGGTCCCGGTAAGGCGCCTCCTGTTTAGTCGAATTGAAACCTTCGTTTTCTTTGAGGGGCTCGCGGGTGCCATGCAGGCCCTCTCCAATTGCTGCGCCAGCCTACAGGATCGAGGTGGAGTCAGTGGGTATTGTCTAGGGCAGAAATCGGGGCATAGTGCGCACGAAGGTTGCGAGGAGCGCAGCCATTGTCTGCGGGATTTCTCGCTCCATCGCGCCAGGGCCAGTATTGATGGACGAGATGAACGCCGAGTCTTCGATGGGGCAGAGTGCTTTGGGTCCGAGGAACAGGATGTTGGCGAGATTGATGATTGGCTCTGCGCAGAATGGTATGTTGCGCTTGAGCTCGGTATAGCTGCCGTTCTGTGTCGTCCAAGTGAGCATCCGAGTCCAAATGGTCAATGAGGTCATGATCCATACCACGAGTTTACCGGGGAATATGAACTGGTCATTGAGGAGCAGCTCCTGGACAGCCGTCTGGAGGGCCTCCGGGTCATTCTCGATGGCCTTGAGGCCATAGCCCTCCCATACAGGATCACGACAGGCGCTATACCAGGGTCCACGGATCGAACACATTCTCTTGGCGGGCTGGCGATGTTACATGGGTGCAGTTAGTACTCCGCGCGTGCAGCAAGATCAATCAGCGAGTCAATGGACTTACCAATGTCAGTAAGCTGAGGACATACGCTGAGTCTTGCAACAGGCGCTGGGCGATTGTACTGTAGTTGGGGCCGAGGCGCCGCGCACCAGTGATGAATATGTCGAGGAACATTTTGGGCCGCTCGCCGATGTTCGGAAAGGCATTGACAAGTGCCAGAGCTTGCGGCAACTCTTGGGCGATGGTCGACTTCAACAGAGTGCGGACCTTGTTTGATTTCTGCGAGTTGAGACCAGCTACCTTATTCCCGTCCTTAAATGTGACTTCCGTATCCTCGGGCCAGACGTTCACATGGCTGGCACGCAACAGGCCTCGGGCATCTGTTGCTGATTCATCGTCGTCGTCGTCGTCGTTGCCTGAGATAGTACCATTGCGAGTTGCCTGGTGTCGCAAAAAATGCATCATCCTCGTGACTACTCGAATCCGAATCCATAGAAGTACAAGCTTACCTGATGTCCCTTCACATTGGTGGCAGGCCCGGGAATCGATTGCTGACAATGTCGAGGTGATTAGCTCAGCTCTAATATGCACGACTTGGACAGCAGTACGTACGTCGGAAGGAGCCGGTGCGGTCAGCTACAGCAGTTTGGTAGTGAGTCCGATGGCTTGGGACTACATAGTCAGCTAACAGACATACCTTACGTCGTGGCTTAGGGCGTCCAGTGCGGGACTTTTCAGGGAATAGGTCAAGTCCCGAGTCTTCGCCACTGCTGATGGACTCGGGGGGTGGCTGTCATTCACATGATAGTCTCAGTCAGCAGCCCGACACCACAGTTCGTTGAAGGCATGATAGCTAGAACGCACCCAAGGAAACATTTTGTCCATAGACGTTGAACGCCGCAACTGTCAGATGATTTAGAGCGGTGTTCACGCCATAACAGTGAAGTTACTTGCCCTTTTCAGGCGCTGGTACAATCGAGGCAATCAGAGGTCGACACGAGCAGAGCTAGAGTCAGCGTTGTGGGACATGGTGAGTACTGTGTGCGTACCTGGCTGTCGGTCTCGCGGAAGCCTCCCTGCCGCTTGGTCTTCGTCACAGTGACACCTTTCTCGGCAACCACCATGCCAGCCTGGTTAGATCGCTGCTGCAACAGCCGCTTGGTTACTTCGGCGCAGCGGCCACAAGATAGATCTAGGATGGGAGCACTTACCTGCGTGGTGGAACTGCGTTGGTTGGAAGACGCGGCCGGCTGAGGGTGCGATGATGACTCATTACGGTGCTCCTCCACACTCGGTGTGTTTTTCTTATCATCTTGTTGACCGTAGTGACGACTGGCTGGCAGCTTAGGGCGCTGTGCCCGACGGATGATCATCTCCTGCGCGACGGACTTAGTAGACTATAAGCAGTGCCAAGGACCTGGCGGTATGCGGTATGAACGCACGTTCCATTCGCGATGAACCCGTGCCTCCCTAAGGTTCATGGGGTCATCTTCGTCTTCAGCTACCGGACATTCAGCTTCATCTGCGGAGTCATTGGCATCGGGATTGCGGGTGGGAGGAGACTCGTATCCAGGGTCTAGGAAGTCAGGCGCATAATCGGACCCTCCGGCCTCTGAGTCTGAGAGTACGCGGCGGTTGTGCCGGCCTTTCGAGACGACCTTGACTGACTAGAAAATGGGGATCGTAGGCGTGAGAGAAATGTAATTCAACATGCTCAGCGGTCAAAACACGATCACGGTACTCACACCTTGCGCCAATTGCTCCGCAACTTTAACGGACTTACGGCTGGATGGTGCGTGCACATCTTGCACACCAAAGTCCTCTTCGCTTTCAGGCTCGGCACCCGATTTGTATTCTTCATCGTCCGACCTGGACTCGGCCTCAGAGCCTCCACCGCCATCATCACTGGGATCGGCTGCTGCTAGTCTCTCACGGTGCTGATCATGATCGAAATCGGTGCGTGCACTTAGCTCGGTGTCGTCCATGCGAGGATCTATGTCAATGTTGAGCCGTTCTCAATGAGCATATCAGTCTGCCAGTGAAGATCATTGTACGTACCACGACCTATCTCAGGCTCTTGATTGACTGTTCTAGATGCAGATGCCTTCGAATGAGAGGCCTGCGTCAGCGAGGACTTCGATGGCACATTGGCGGGCACTAGTGGTGGAGGTGCGTTCGCAGTCATCTAAATTATACTACATGATTTGTTGATTGAAGGCATGTACGTACGTTGGCCTTGGCCCATTCTCATTCGTGCAGCCTTGACTTGCATTGTCATAGTGTCGGCGGCTGATTCTTCGGGTTGGTGTTTCTGGCGAGGCTTCGGCTGCCAAACTGGAGAGGAATTAGCCTCGATATGGGCTGAACACGGGGCTGGGAATCAAGCACACCTCGGTCCTTGTATGCCTGTGTTTTCGCAGCACGAGGTCCGGTGACGCGACCGAAAAGAACACAAAAGCCACACAAAAACCCAACCGTGAGGTCGAGCAGTGGTATGCGAGGCCTCTGCGTCTATGAGATGTACGGGGGACTGTACAGTGGTCTAGGTAAGAAGGAGGAGGACGGACAAGACTCCGAACGACGTGGGAGAGCTTCGAAGATGTCGAAGACTGTTCGAAGACGAGGGCTAAGCCTCGAAGGTAGAGGGGGAGTTTCGACAGACGTGTCGAACGAACGGTGACAAGGAAGGCGAGCGACGGCAGGAAAAGAAGTGTAGAGCCTCTCGGGGCAACTACGAGTTGGCGAACGTACTGGCGAACTGACTGACTGGCTTCGAACGTACTGACTGACTGGCGAACTTGCTGACTTCGAACGTACTGGCTGACTGACGAACCTCGCCGGTGCGAGGTGAGATTGAGAGGGTAAGGGGGTCTCTGAGATTCGAAGGGAACAAGTCCCAGAGTATATACAGGAAAATACGGTCCGAAGACCAAGAGAGCCAAGAGAAATACAAGAAATGATGAATGAAAGTGATAAGGAAAGTAGCCAATCGGAGAATGTACAACGCTCGACCCGGACCTACTAACACATGAGAGCATCCAACTCGGCCTTCCGCAGGTTCCGCATAACGGGCGACCGCCCCGAACGGCGAAGGTCATAACCGGAGCCGGTGACAGTCCTCGAAGATATGAGACAGCGGCAGGAGTTCGCCTGACTTACACGAACATGCCGCACCTCGACCCAACTTCCGAAGCGTATGCTGCCCGCTACTACCGCCTCCTAGAGGTCCTCAAGACCGAGGGACTTGTCGAGCCGCGATACGATGCCAACAGTCCCGGAGAGTGGCTGGCTTGGGCTCACGGAGTCCGTTGGATGATCGTACGTGCCTCCGAACTTAGACTATCGTTCGAACCATCGAACCGACCTTCGAACAGCGATTCTTGTTCGAGTCCCGCAGCCGGGCCATACTGCTGGCGAACGATACGCTTCCTGCTCCTAGGTCGTTCCCCGAGATCGACGAGTTGATGCGTTACCTCGACGAGGTCTTTCACCGCGATGGCAACCAGGGAGACATCCTAGGTTCGCCCTACCCTACGATCGCGTGGTCCGAGACCTTGGTACTGCTCGAACAAGTCAACCAGGCCGAGCGTCGTCCCCTCGCGAACCCGCAGTATCAGCGCGAGTCGTTGATCCTGTCCGACTTTCGCCAGCTGCCCGACAACCTCGAGTCCATGGGTCGAGCGATCCACAACATCGCAGTCGACCAGCGCCGCACGCACGGTACCCTCGTGGGTTGCTCGAAAGCCTGCTCGAGCGCGTCAACACTGACCGTGGTTCCGACACCGGCCCGTCTGTTCGTAGGGGTAGGGGTGGTGGTCATGGGTGTGGAGGTCGAGGCCATAGATACGAGAGTTGCCGAGGTCGTCACTAGTTAGTTTGACGTAGCCATGTACTTGCCCGGAGTCCTACCAATGTAGCGACGCTTCTAAACCGCTTGCCTCTGCCACTAAGGGTTCCGAACATTGACGCTTGAGCTTCGAACATTGGACGGTTCCCTCGAACGGACGGACAGTGCGTCGACCATTACGACTTAGTATACTGTCGTACCGACCGTAAATCGCGTTTTCGGTGGGTAGGTGAGCTAAGGGCTCATCATCTCCCCCTTACTGAGATCCAGACCGTCCTCGGTCGGCTCGAACACGCCGGCGCTTGATTTGCGTCCGCGATCATCGAGATACTTCCGCGCCAGGTCGTCCGAAGGTCTTGTCCAATGGCGAGCACTGAGAAGCGATTAGCGAACGGCAGGACGCGCTTCGATCACGTTGATCCGAAGAATTAATCCCATTGGACGGGAGGTGAGCGCTTCTTTCCCGTTTCGGACTGATTCTGATGGGATGATCCCCGTTGTTTCAGCGCCTCGAATGCGGTAGGTGGACCCACAAAGCTCGAGCGCACATATAGCGGGGGGGATCCCCGCCGAACTTCGCTTAATCCCCCGCTTCGCTCTCCCGTCTCCGTCTCTGTTCGCTCGCCCCATGTCCGCTTCGTCCGCTCCCGTGCCCGCTCCCGCCTTCTCCAAGTCCCCCGAACCTGCCGGCGCCTCTGCGTCGGACGACGAATACACGGTGGACGCGAAGACCGGTTTCCCCGTCCCCACGACCCGAAGAGCCCCATGGCTCCGCTCGCCAACTGGGTCGTGGGGCATCTCGTGCCCGAAAATCCGGATGCCATCGAGGAATGGTTCGAGGGCGCGTATGCGGCGGTGGTAAGTTCTCGACTCGGTTCATCTCGTTCGGGTTGACTTAGCATTCTCGAAGAATCGCTTTACCCGCGTGACGAAAGGCGCGTTCCTTTCGCAGCGGTACGCGACGGCTCTGGGCCGTCTCCTCGTCCTCGCAACGGACGTAAATCCGGACGCCGCGCGCCAATGCGCCGACAACATGGAGTGGCCGTTACTCGAGGCCGCCATCAAGCACGCCGCGCTCGAACGCGAGAAGCGCGCGCTCTGGGAGGCCGAGCAAACCCGCCTTCGTCTCGAGACCGAGGAGCGCGAACGTCGGGAGGCCGAGGCCCAGAAAGCCCGCGAGGCCCAGGAGGCCGAAGAACACGCTCGTCGCGAGGCCGCCGAGGCCGAAGAGCTCGAACGCCGCGAGGCCGCCGAGCTTGAGGAGGCCGCCGAGGCCCACAAACGCGAGGCTGCTCGTCAGCTTCGCGAGGAGAAGACTCTGCCGCGACGTGGTCGGTCCGGTGCTCGGGGCAAGGGTAAGTCCGCGCACAGTCCCCCACCGCCTCGGATGCCTCGACCGTTCGCGCCGAGTCGCCCGAGGTCGAAATCGTCGCCGAGCCCAAGGGCTCGAAGAAAACAAGAAGCGCAAGGCCCCGGCTGACGGCTCGGCGCCTGACGTCACGGACCCGCCGTCCGCAAGCTCGTCGCTCGCGCGACCACTGTCCGCGACAGGACATGGCGGTGAGTCTCCCCACTTTCTTCGTCGTACCCTACTAACTTTTCGTGCTTAGTGCGATCGCTGCGCCGCGGGCTACGCGACTCCGAAGGATTGCATCTTCGAGGCCGATGCGGTCGCGTGCAATCAATGCCTCCACGACCAGCAGGGGTGCTACTGGGGTGCCGCTACGTTGGCCGGCACGCGCAAGTCTCGCCGCGCTGGTAAGTTTGCTTGGCATCTTCGAAGATCGAAGGACGTTCGTAGCTGACTCCTTTATTCGTAGGCAAGGGCGGCGACGCCGAGGAGCCTGCAGCTCCCGTGCCTCCGGCTCCTGTCACGGTCCCGGCCTTGGGCTCTGCGGCCTTCATGACGTCGCGCATGCCCCTCCATCCTCGTGCCGCCGCGGCCTTGCACGCCGCGCAGACGCAGGCTCCGCCGATCGACATCTCGGCGATCCTGCAGGCGCAGTGCGCTCCGGTCCGTTCGCTCGCCGAGGCCCGTGCAGCCTTGACGGCGACCACCGAGCGCGTCGGCAACGTCGAGGCTTCGCTAAACCTGATGGGCCTCGAACTTGCGGTGCTCGAGGGCCTTCAGGAGTACTACAGCCGTCGCGTCGACGAGCTGTACGTCGAGTCCACTGAGGCCGCGCGTGGCGCATTCGATCCGCCCGCAGCTGGTCCGTCGGCGGGGCCTTCGAAGGGAAAAGGGTCGAAGTAGGTAGTCGTTCGTAGTGTCCTCCGGTCGTGTTCGTAGGTCCGTAGATGCGTTCGGGGTTCGTAGTTATGTGTATCCATCTCGCGCTGTGTAACGTCTCTCCTCCTTGTCTTGTATAATAAATTGCTCGCGTCTATCCGTTGTTTGGAGGATCGAAGAATGTAGATGAATAAGAATGAGGGTGTCTTAAAGCCTGAACTTGTATGGGGTATACTGTGCGAGTCTCTTGACAGACTCATTCTTCGTCTTCTGAACTCGACGATTCATCGTCTAGTTCGTCGGGTAAATCAGGCGCGTCTGGTTCGTCATCGCCTAGTGTGTCTGACTGTTCCATTTCATGCAAGCGTTCGAAGGGTACGTCCAGATGTTCGAGCGAAATTGTGATCGATCTTCGAGCAAGGTAGGGAATGACTCGAAACGCGGCGATAGGTCTGTCGAGAACCGTGCCATCTAGTTCAGCAATGATGTAGGCACCTCCTCGGTTTCGAGATACGACAACCATAGGCCCTTGGTATCGTGGACGCATCTTACGGTTCAAGGCCTTCTCTATCGCTGTGTTTCGTACGAGGACTAAGTCCCCTCGTTGGAAGTCGAAGTCTTCGATCGTGTACTGATGCTCTCGTTCGAAGCGTCGCGCAGCCTCACGTCTCGCTTCGTAGACCTTCGAGTAGATCTTCGAAAGGTCCTCCGACCGTTTCTGAAGTGCTATGGCTCGTCGCGCAATCAAGTCGGTAGTGTCGAGTGCTGTCTCGGGCGGTGGGACAAGGTACGTTGCTTCGATAACGTCGAGAGGCAGTATCGGGTGCGTGCCTGTAGCTGCAAAGTGCGGCGAACAGCCCATTCTTCGACGAGTCGTTACGCGTTCGGACCACAGTACTGAGTGGAAGACCTGTGACCAGCGCGACTGATCTCCGTCTGCTGCCTTAAACAACGCTTGTCTCATGTCGAAGTGCGAACGTTCGACGATACCGTTCGCTCGCGAGTTGTAACCACTGATCCTGATATGGTTGATGTGATACTTCTTCGAGAGGTACTCGAGCGCCTTGACCCAGGGTCCGCCGTTGTCGGAGACTAGTTCGACAAGCGTACCCCAGCGACAGACAATGTCTTGATATAGCCACTCGCCAAGGGTCTGAGCTGTCTCTCTTCGAAGCATTCGGGCTTCGGGATACGTGATCGAAGAACAGCGCGCTTGCGCTATGAGCTTATAGCCTCCCGAAACAGGCATGAACATCGTGTCGCAGAACGCCTTCATGAATAGTCCGGCTGGCATCGCGACCGTCGGTGGGATGAGGATCTGTCGTAACTGACGCTTCTGACATAGGTCGCAGTTCGAACATACCAGCCTACGTCGGACTTGTGATCGGGCCACCAGAAGCGTTCGGAGACTGCTACGATTGTTGCGTGGATTCCGCGGTGTCCGATCCTATCGTGGCTCTCGCGTAATGTTCGAAGCCTTCGCTCGTGTGGTAGGACAACCTTATGCGCGCCTTGACCATTTCGTCTCCAGAGTCGATCCCCGGTGACGAAGAACTGCGTCGCGTACTTGTAGAATGCTTCGAACGCTCGTTGCGAAAGTCCGTCTGGCTTCGAAAGCGTCATCAGGAAATGCTTAACTTGCTCGACACGTGCGTCTAGCTTTCGAGCTTTGTCCGACGTGGTACTATCGCGTAGTCGTCGTCATCCTCCCCCTTACTGAAATCTTGGCCGTCCTCGGTCAACACGAGCACCGCAACGTTCGAAGGGTGGGAGAGGGTGGGATAAGGCTGTATCATGTGCACGAACGAGTACATGTTGTCGATCCAGTCTTCGAACGCGTCGTCTTCGTCGATTGGGTCGTCGCCTGGTTGCGTCGTTCTTCGGGACAGTCCATCCGGTCCGTGCGAGGTCCCGGGCACATGCACGAGAGTGAAGTGAAACGTGAGAATTGAGACAATCCAGCGATTAATGCTCGCGCTCGGTGCGATGTCAGGATTAGCGAGCATGCCCTTGATGTAGCGAGCGTCGACTTCCACGATTAGGTTTCGAATCCCGATGACATACATTCGAAGCGCTCGAAGAGCGCGGAACAGTCCATAGATTTCAAGCTTTGGTTGCGAGAATCGACGTTCACGGTCGTTGAGCGTGATTGACCCGAATCGGCTGTAGTACCTGCGCTTGGCGTCCTCCTCGTCGCACTGGCATAGGAGGAATCCGACTGCAATGAAGGACGTGTCGACGGCCAGAATAACGGGTGCCGTCGAGTCGTAGTTGATCGAACGAAGTGCTGGGCTTTCGAGCAAGGCCTGCTTCAAGTCGTCCTGAGCCTGCTGTTGTGCGGGCCCCATTCGAAGGGCATATCCTTCCTTGTTAGCGGACCGAGCGTCGGCCCGGTGCGCGAAGTTCTTGATAAATATCCTGCACACTCCGATCGTGCCGAGAAACGCTCGAACATCGGACAAGGTCTGACAGGCGCCCCAGTTTCGGATGGTCGCAACTCGAGATTCGTCAGGTAGGCGTCCCTGAGGCGTGCAGCGGTGGCCAATGACCATGATTTCTCGAGCTATCAGCACACTCTTAACTCCCGAAAACGTTCCACCAGCGTAGCACATTCGAGTGACGATCCGATTAAGGTTCTGGAAATGTTCCCAGACGAACCTTCGAATACCAGGATTCTGCGGGATGACTTCGCCACCATAGTCGCTAGCCGGACCTTTGAGCGGAACGTCGTCGATGTAGGGTACAGTGTGTTCGGGAGTTTCGGGCTGAAGTATATAGGTTACGTCGTCGTGGAAGATGGGTACTGCATTTGTCCACCCCATAGGAAGCGTAGTAAGTCGCATGGCTCCATACGGTGTCTGGAACGTAGTGAGATCTCTCGAACTTTCGGCGATATAGCGTTCGTCGTAGCCGACATAGAGGTCTAGCATCCCTCCGCACGTTCGTCCTCCGAACTGTTCGGCGAGATGTTCGGGAGTCGGCGGGACACCACATCAGGAAAATCCAGATTCCGCAATTTGGAATAAATTGTGTCAAATCGTTGCTAACATGTCTAATGAGTACTCACCGAACTCTGCGAGCTAAGTCTGTGATAATGACATCTACTAGATACAGTATTAGTACATGTATGATCCTATTAGATGCAGCAACAAGGTTGTTCCCTAATTGTTGCTAAAGTGGTGCATCATACAACACACACAATGTCTTGTTACAAATAGTTCAACAATAATTCAATTGCTGTGTGGTATGACCGAATACAAATGCTATATGCTACACTTAGCAACGCAACAGTCGATGGTCGTCGACAAGGCCATCTTCAATATAAGACGACAACTCCTATGTGTTAGCTATTCTACGACTGAATATCCCCATAGCATCTCACACACAAGCCATTACTCGCGACAGTAACCATACAGATCATGCACGAGCGCGGGTCATGCAAACCATGGTCCATGAGTAAAGTTAATGAGCGCCGGGTTATGTACTATGAGGGACGCAAAGATGAGTATGCGGGCGCGCGGGCGGTAGCGGATATGTGGGCGCGTGGTCAGGTCAATACGCGGGCAGGTAGGGTAGGCAAGCATGTAGGCGGGCATGCCAATACGTGGGTAGGTGGACAGGCCAGTGCATGAGTAGGCCGGAGATTGGACGGGCAAGCCAGGGAGTAAGTGGAGTGATACTGCGATGAGTGAGTGGGCAATGAGCAAGTTGTGGATGAGTAGATGCGTAGACAGACGCACGACTGGACAGGCAGCAGGCGGGCGGGCGAGTGACTGGCGCATCGTGGCTGCTGGCGGGCAGGGCGCGGGGACGTGAGACTGCGACGGGACGACGAACAGAGTGAGAAGAGACGCCAGGTAGAAGCCAGGACTCGGGAGCGAGTTGACGGTCGGAGACGGCGTGAGGGCGGTAGGAAAAGTGTCGAGGACGGAGGGCGGCGAGCGGTCGCCATCCATTTTCGGGATGGCGAGACGGACCAGATTAGGCAGTGTTGTATCGGGGATGACAGGAGGCGCGCGCGGACGAGCAGATTTAGACGCGACGGGTGTGGCGGGGACGTGACGGGGAGGGAGACGATGGTTGTGCAGACAGTAGAACTATGATCGGGAAGTCAATAAGTGCCGGGTGGTCGAACGAAGAGGCAGGCGGGAGGGAAAACAATGCTGCAGGCAAGAAGACGTCCATATGAGTGAGGAAGGGGCAGGCGAGTAGGTAGATAGGCAGAGCGAGCAAGTGGGTAAATGCCGGCGAACGAGTGAGCAGACGCCTGGTGAGTGAGCAGACCATCAAAGGGCTGCGGATAACCAGACGAGCGGGCACACTGGCCAGCGGCGAGTAGGCGCGTCGAATTGACTGTTCGTCGATATGCCGGGTCGCACGGGCAGTACTGTGACAAGTAGGGCGGGGAGTATTAGAGTCAGGGGTCAGCAAGGGCGTACCTCTGACTTACAAGCTGTTGTGCGCACCCTTGCCACGGTCATCCCTCTCCTCGTCCTCGTCATTCGATCTGCCACCCCTCCTCGTCCTTCGTCTTGCCGTCCCTTCCATCCCTCGCTTGTCAGGTTAGATGCGCATCGCGCAGGCCCGAGTTTGCCTGGCCGAGTGCAGAGACAGGCAACTTGAAAAGACGCAGTCGAGCTCGCAGTAGGCCTGGCCGGCGTCTGCGGTCCCCTGAGACAAACTGAGCCTTGACGTGCGGTCGGGCAGGCGTCGTTGTGGGTGGTAGTGGTTAGCGAAAGACGAGTCTCGGAGTCACACATCCGGCGCTAGTGCGAGCCACGTATGCGCGGGAAACTCCGGAACGGGCGCTTGGGACTTGGAGCTCACGCGCGACGAGGTTTGCGCCCATCCTCTCATCCTATAACGCCCTTCTTATCGTTCAAATCCTGAAAATTCAACAAGCCCGAGACGACACGCGCGAGCGCAATGATTGCAGACAAAGGAATCGAAGGACGAGGGGTGAAGGTGAGTCTTCAGCGCACTCACTGATATGATTCTCGTTCCCAGCTCTTCACTGCGCCGTGAATAGGTGCATCAATGAGCAACGAGCTCATGGTGCCTGCGCATCCCACATATTCGTGCTTCCCGCCCTCTCGCACATCCGCTTGCCCTCTCGCACATCCGCTTGCCCACTCCCGCCCGCCCGTTCATGACCTGCCCTAACTAGCGTGTTTGCTGGCCTGCCCTCGCTGGCTGTCCTTCATGCTCATCCTCCCTTCCGCTTTCGCCCGTTTGCTCGTTTCTGCCTGCTTGCCGTTGCCCTCACGCGCCTGCTCACTCGTCCACTCGGTTGCCCGCTCTCATCCGCTCAGGCTCGCCTTCTCGCTAACTCGCTCGTCCACTCTCTCTTGCCCGTCCACCGCCGTCCTTGTCGTCTACCCACCGGCATACGCCCCTGCTTGCTCGCTCATCTGCCAGCTTGCCAGTTCGCCCGCACTCGTTGCCCTCCTCGCCTCACCTACTACCCGCCCTTCTTCGTCATCTTGCTATCTCACACATCCACCTGTTCTTAACTGCTTGTCATCGCCCTTATACTAGGTAGACTGTAGCACACCGTCCATCTCGTGCCCGCGTCCTCGACTTCTCGCGCCCAACCTCGCTCGGTTCAGAGCCTGCCTCTTGCCTGCACACTCGCTCACGGCTTCTCGACTGCCCGCCTGTTCTTGTCCACCCACCCGTCCTCATGCACTGTTTCTTAGCCGAATGGAAGCTGCTCCGGGAAGTGCTCCGGAAGGATGTGGCCTGCACCGTGTTCGACGATACCGCACACCGCGGGCCTGGGCGCAGCGACGACCGGACGACCGGACGACCGGCGTGGATGAGCGGAGTGCGGGGACGGGTGGCTGGCTGGCGGGGACGGGCGAGAGCGAGGCGAGGGCGAGGGCGCGACGAGGGCGAGGGCGTGACGAGGGCGAGGGTGAGGGTCTGCAGGTGGGTACAGGCATACGCGCGCGGGCTCACTAACGGCAGGCGCAGGACGCGTCGACGTGCCGCGCGACGCGTACGACGACCGCGAGCACGCAGGGCCAATGCCCTGCGTGTAGGCGCGGCCGACGAACAATCGGCGGGCGGACCAGCGTGAGCGCACAGGCAGGCGAGCGGGTCAGCGGGCGGGCAAGTGGGATGGCGTGCGCGCGGACGAGCGACCGAACGGACGGGCGGGAAAGCGAACGAGTAGACGGCCAGGAAGGCGGACTGGAGAGCTCGCGGGCGGATGGGACGTTGGGCAGGGAAGTGGGCAAGCGGGAACAGAGGAGGGCGGGTGCCCTGCGCAGTCACTGCCGATGAACGCGTACACAGGCGGGCGGTCACACAACCAGGCAACGACGCTCACGGCAACCGCGCGCAGGACACCACTAACGAACGTACCCGCAGGCGAGTCAGCACCACACGCACATCGACCACGAGCGCGCTGGGCATTCGTCCAGCGCGCAGGCATGGCCGATGAACGGCGAGCGAAGGGTGGGTGCAGACACACCAACGAGCATACGGAAGGGCTCGCGGGCTGCGCGTACAGATGGTACGCAGGGCGGGAAGACGGGAAGATGTATGGGCGAAAGGCTCGCTGGGACGCGCGAGGCGATGGTGGGTACGCACGAGCGAGGAAGATGGTGGGGAACACGGCGAGGACTCATGACAATGGGTGCCGCCCGCTTGCCCGTGCAATCACTCGCTCGCCCACCCGCCCGCCTGCGCGAGCCTCTCCGCCATTCTGCCCACTCCCCCACTCCCTCACCTATCTGTTCGCCCATCCGCGCATGGACCTGCAGACCAGCGAACCCGCACATGACCCGTATCCGCTGCACGGGTATGGTACCCGGGCGGGTACGGGTACGGGTACAGGTAAGCCCCCCAGCAATTCACAGCTTGCGATGGGTCTGTACCCGGGGCGGGTACGGGTAGACTACTACCACTGGCAGCGCTGGCGGCGGGAGCTACACATACGTACACTTTTAATACCGAACTTTCAGTACTTTAGCACCCAATTGACTAGTATGATCCTAAACCTTATGGTGCGACGTCACTACAGCCACTGCTCCACGGTTTGAGTATGAAATAGCATGCAATTTTGTGAGATAACATGGCCTCACCGAGACCATATCTTCCATGAAGTAGTGATAATTCGTTCTCCCTGAGTGTCATTTAGATCTAATTAGAAAGGGGGTAAAGCAAAATGATCTAATCTCTAATGTGGCTAATTAGGTGACATTTTGCACGATTATGCCTCATTTTGCATCATGTGTCCTCATTTGTGAATCTGGATTTTCCTGATGAACAGCGCGATCTGTGATGCGTGTTTTGACCTGCTTGGTGATTTGCCCGGCCGACTGGACTATGTCATGGCACTGCTGCAGCCTGAGCTCGCCATGCACGTGTTCTATGACTCATGGTGCATGGTAATCGCCTACGCTGTTTGTTATAGGAATACGGTAGCTGACCTGAGACGTGTACTTGTCCGAGTCTTTGCCACGAGCGACTGGTTATTCACTTCCTGTCTGGAGATCCGAATTCCAGTCGTGCACACTTGTAGAAGTTCGTCTCCAGACTCCCACTTATGTTCACTTCCGTCTCATATTCCATGTAATCGGCTCATCCTCCGCATCAGGACATCATGGTGCTCTGAGACGAATTGAGCCACGAATCTGCGACAAATGTTTGCGCTGTGGCTAATTCTCTCGTGATCAATTATATGCACATAAAGCATTGATTCTCGCATATCCTTCCGTTTCTTGTGGGCGCACATCATGATTACCAATCACGGAATGCGGAATTCATCTGAAATTCCAGTATTTGCTGCTCATGATGGGTTGTCCACCCTTGCGGATTGTGCCGAGTGACTGACCACCACTGTGTTGTACTTGTTGAGGTCAGATTGATGGATTTAGCAGCTTTCGGAGCGGCATGCTGAGAATGGGTATGCAGGAAAATATGGTACTCAGGCTTAGTAGTGATGTCGAGTTCGTTTGTTGGGATAGCTGCTGCGAGTCGATCAAGCTATAATAGATTCTTTCTACCTATTGTGCTACGCGCGCACTCACGCGGTCACATGAACACGATATGTCGATTGGCATTCTTGGGAAGCATTCTTGGTTGTGTACATGCCACGTTACATGGCATGCCAGTGCGATGGAACCACACAACAAGAACAAGCCGCGTGGTCCGATTACCCCTGAGCAGAGCGCAGGAAGTCGCACCTAGAATCAACCATGTGGTAATACTATAGTGTCCTTGAAGTCGAACCGCGCCGCGCCACTGGCAACTGACGACAGCAACGACTTCTCTGACACCTACCTTCGCAAGTTAGCAGTGCCGCAGCCTGAGTCGCGAATGAGGCACAATCTCGTGGCTATGTAGAAACCAAAGCTTCATGAGTGAGAAGAGTAGGAAACGAAGATAAACTTCACCTCCATGGTGTAACGGCATGCCTGCCACTGCTTACGTCAGCACGTATAAGTACATGCACCAGCCTGTACTTGGCCTGTACCGTAGCTTTTTGCCTTTCCAACACCAGTATTTGGGTCTGAACCATCCCGTTTACTGTACATATACCTGCTACTGCTGCTACTCCAGCTCGACACCCTGATCCTCCTCTTACTGTACATACCCAAGCTCTCGCCCCGTTAAGTCACGATCCCATACGACTTGCCAGTAAGTATTTTGCCGCGAAAACGTCACTCATAGAATCCCTTTATTATCCGCGAGGCCGAGCCCTTTGTGGACAAAACCCTAGCACTACTTATGATTAGGTATGACAGTGATCTGTCGGAGTCAGGCTGAGCATAGGCTCGTCGCCTTACTCTGAAATCTTACTTTCGCGCGACTTAGAACTTAGTGTGATTGGCGCCCGTTCGACGCGCCGATGCGGTGCTTGCCAAATCGGGGTGAACATCGCACCTGCCAGGGCTACTGCTCCAGACGTTTTCCCCTCAATGTTTCTTCGTTGATTTCATACGCCTCTATTACCTCTATTATATGTGTCACATCATCTGTTCTCTTCGATATCATGAGAACCACGGGCTCATGACTATGGCTCTCATCGGAGATTCTACTCAAGCATCCCGGGCTACACATCTCGTCGATGATGGGAGCCATGATATGCTGCAAGGATTTCACAGATTCGCTTCTATAGAATTATCAGTGGGCTTCTGGATTCGTGCTATCCATGCCGTGCAATGAACAGCAGCGCGCGTAGAAGCGTGCAGACGGAGTTGCCACAATTGGCTAATGATTCCGCATTAGGCAATTGACCGGCAGCCCCCGAAGCGAAATCAGGTGCTTCAGGATGAGCAGACAACGGATCTGTGCCTTACTGCAATCTACATACAGTGTCAACAAGGCTCACAATATACATGATTGTAGAGACCAATTGTACGAAACGGAGCGAATCTATGTCCGAGGTGTACAGGTCACGTGTCAACTAAGTAGCAAGTCTTACGCGATAACTAAGTCGTAAGTGTAAGTATTTTTCCGCGATAACGACCGTCAGGATTCATAAGAAAACTCGTCCCTTTCCTGCTCGTTCCGCGCGACCGCAGCCAGGGCCGGGCGGCCCTGCCAGTGCCCGAGCTGACCCTGACCATCATTTGCACTCCGAGTCATCAGATGCCACACTCGTTTCACAAGTATGCAACAACTCCGGGGTACGGAAAGCATAATAAGTAGAGCGCCGATCAAAATCTGTGATTCTGCTCCAAGCATCCGTCAACACGAGAAATCGCTCAGAGCGGCGATGTGGAGCCCATTGGATCTTACTTAGGCTACAGGTAACGAACGTTCAAACACGTATACGATACGTACTAAATTGCCACTGGGCAGCGCATCCGAATGAGTCGTTCAGCTCTTACACTGCCAATTGCTCATGAATTGAGATGTATCGAAACGCACTAGTCTCTCTTACTAGTATAGGCAGACCCTAGAGAAATCGACGGACGTCCTGACATCGATTGAGGACTCGAAGGTGCCAGTGAGGACATGGATATATAGTACGTATGATCATACTAACGATGATGATGAACTCCGAGTCAGCATTTGATCCTAATTAGTATACTCACGTCCGGGCTTATTGTTCAAAATTTCACCTCGCGATGCTTCTTTGTGAAGCACACACGGCACGTGCAGTGGCATCCTATTGTCAGAAAATCTATATAAACGGTACAGCGGTCCATGGTCATGCAATATCCATCCACCAGGACAAACCCACCTTCATCCCCTGCGGCTTGCAGAAGCGCACTAGCAGACTTCCCGAGACACAGAATCGATATGCAGTCTACCGACAGCGCTACGAGCGATAGTATTGCTGCTACTAGTAGCGTACGTCGCACGCCGTCCACTGTCTCGGCCTGTAACTGAATGAATTTCTGTCTAGGATACACGTATCATTCCACGGACATCCGCCCCCATCGCTGTCCCAGCCTGTATTCCACACTTCTTGTACCACGGCCAGTATGTCAGCACACAGTACTACGGCTTCGGCATCGGGAGCGCCGATGAATGGGCCCGACTAAGCCGCGTGCTCGGGTTGCCGGAGGAGTTCGGACCGGAGATCGCGGCCCGAATAACTGAAAGGATCAAGCAGCTTGTGGGCTTCGAACCCAGATTCGCATGCGGTCTCTTCATGAAAGACGCACCTGAACCACTGCGCAAGGCTGCAGAGGTATACGCTGCCGAAGAATTTGATTGGGAGCGGTCGCGACTGGAACCTGACAGCCCCGAGTATCTCAAGGTGAAGCTCAAACCCACGCTTGTGGTGCAGGTTCTGGTGCTGTGCAGAGCCAAGAATGAGAAAGTGGACGAGAAACGGAAGTTGCCTACGGAGGGGCAGCTCGATCGAATGAAGCGTTGGTTGGCGGAGGCTGACATCTATGATGAGCCGTGTTGGTGGGGCAGTTCCAGGCCTTCCAAGCCTCCCACCGAAGTAGACTCCGACTCGGAGTCGGACTAGGTCGATCTAGTATACTTAGGACATATGTTGGGGTCGTTAAGTACGGCTTGTAACGTGGTATCATTACTCACGACGTGGATAGTCGCAGCGTTCCCGGTCAATGGTTCAAGTTGATAGTGCCGAGCGCGAGATTGGCGCACATGTTCCTGAATAAGCGCCAAAGGGACGCAAGTTAGGAAACTCACGCAGCCCAACTCTTTCGAACACTCGAGCTTGTATTCTGGGCCTCTTCATCGCTTCCTTGGCCTCTGCGAGTCGACGACGACATATTCACTCTTTTACAGTTGCAGCATTCGCTACTGGTCGTGATTAGGCATATGCCCTTCGTGCAAGTGCTGCGGCCGTTCAGTCGCTGCACTTGTCGGCAAAGCGCTTTCTCTTTCCAGCGGACAAGTCGGTCGCTGTCAACCACGACAAAAGACACCGAGGCAGCGGAAGCGGAGAATGACTTGGATGCACTGCGGCGGAAGCGAAGGACAGAGTGGAAGAGACGGCAGAATGTAAGTGTGCCAGAAAGGCTCGTGGAACCCATACTTCTTGCATTCACTGCTGGTATATATATCTGAAGGCTTGACCGCAGGGGCAAACATTTCTCGACCACATAGTCGTCCGTGTCCGTGGAGGTGCGTGCCGCCGACGGGTCATGCAGTACCTGCTCACTTCTACGGTGCTCAGGAAAGGGTGGCGACGGGTGCGTCGCGTTCAATCGCGAGAAGTTCAAGCCCTACGGACCGCCGTCTGGCGGGAATGGCGGGCGCGGCGGAGATGTCTACATCATGGCGACACCGCATCTCACTACCCTATCGTCCGTGTCGTCTCGAATACGAGGGCAGGCAGGAGGCACTGGGCAAGGTACTTGGCAGAACGGGAGAACGCACCGCCAACCATCATCAGGGTTCCAGTCGGTACCATTGTGCGTGAACTCTCGCGCGACGACCCACGACGAGCCAGAGACGAGTACGAGGCCGAGGAGGAAGCGCTGCAAGGGCTCGATCCAGAGGAACGCAAGAAGCAACTGCGCGCACGGAGATGGGCGCACTACCCGACGTACGAGGACGAGAACATGGAGCGCAGCTTCTTCAAGGAAGCTGAGCGTGCGCTGTATCGCGAAGAGCGCGAGCGGAGGCACTTGCGGCGACAGAAGGCCATGAGCCCTATCTACCTCGACCTCGAGAAGTCGGGTGAGCCGGAAGACAATGACGTGGATCTGAACGCCCCGCTGGGCCACCGAAGACCGGACACCATGGGCCATCTCATCGCGGCGGGCGGGCACGGCGGAGTGGGCAACCCGCACTACCTGTCGACGGAGAACCGCTCGCCGAAGTTTGCCACCCGCGGGTTGGATGGCGAGCGTATCTCCCTGTCGCTTGAGCTCAAGCTCCTGGCGGACATCGGCCTCGTTGGCATGCCGAACGCCGGGAAGAGCACCCTTTTGCGGGCGCTGACCGGCGGACGCGCCAAGACGGAGGTGGCGGGGTATGCGTTCACGACTCTCAACCCTGTCGTAGCTGTCATACGCGTTGCAGACGACGGTAGCTTCCAGGGCTCGGACGGCACTGTCTACGACGAGACTTGGGTAGAGGCTCAGCACGAAAAAGAACTTATGGAAAGCGGCGCGCTTGCTGACGCACTCACGCGGAACCAGGCGCGGGCAGCCGAGGAAGATGACCCGCTCGAGTCGTTCCGCTTCACAGTCGCGGACAACCCGGGGCTCATCGCGGAGGCGTCGTCGAACGTCGGCCTCGGCCACTCCTTCCTCCGGGCAATCGAGCGCTCGCACGCGCTGGTATATATCGTGGATCTCTCGTCGCCTGCGCCGTGGGACGAGCTGCGGGTGCTCCGGGACGAAATCGAGAAATACAAGCCCGGATTGAGCCCGAAGGCACGCATGGTGCTCGCGAACAAGGCCGACCTACTTGGAGGCCCGGGCGAGGATGGTCAGGAGGACCCGCACGCTGTGCTGGAGGCCCGCGAGAAGTTGAAGAAGCTAGAAGAGTTTGCGGAGAGGGAGATGAAAGTGCAGGCTCAGGACCCGGCGGGAAACGTGGTTGGCGAGAGGGCTCCGGACGTCATTCCAATCTCGGCGAAGCATAGTCTGAACTTACGCAAAGTCGTGGGGCTGATGCGCAGGTACGTGGAGGAGGCAAGGCGAGAAGAGGACCCGTCGCAGAAGTCGGTGGTCCTGAAGGATGTGTCGAGGTAACGATAGGGGGCGGCAGACTTTGTTACCTATCTACCTATCCTCGCTTTCGAGCCAGTGACTAAAAAGCGCCATGAGGGTTAGACTGCGAGGATCGTTTCTGACATTCAGGTCAGTACCAGAGGGTTCAGTTAGTACCTTGCGATTTGTACGGTGCCATTGCTTGCTCACTACTCACACGAACGAACGAAGCACCCTTACGAATATATGGAAAGACTGGTGAGTACATATGCTTGCACCGACTACTCGAATAGCCTGTATTGATGAAGCCTACTGGCCAGAAAGCATCAGGTGCAGCTACCTCACGTCTGTTAACGCTGCAGAGAACTTGCATCGAAACTGAGAGCCAGTCTCTTTAGTGCGCGGGGCAACATATCTTGTCACTGTGCATCACTTCAAGTTGCGAAGTGGGATGTCGCCCCCAGGTCGCCCCGACCTGACATGACGCCTGTACCAGTGTGGTGTGCCACACGAACAAGTCAGCTGGTCGGCTCTCCATCAATTTCAGTAACACAGTTGACCCTTCCAGCCGTCGGACAGGGCAGCCAAAAGGTTGTTGAGCGCCCCGTGACTGATGTGGCAAGGGCGGGCCGTCTGATCGCGGCGGCGAAATGCCTTCTCGACCTCCGCATCAGCGAGCCATGCGGGGAGTGTGCACAGCGCCCTCCCTTGTGATCGTGGTCGCCCATGCGATGACGACAGGGCTTATGACTTCTCCCCATTATTAAAGGCGATGTGTTCACCGTGGCATGCGACGACAGCCCCAGTGTCCCCGTTGTCCCAACATGCGTGTCGCCAGTTTTCTTGCCGGCCTCGTTGCTCTTGCTTGTCATTCAACAATGAGCCATGCCTGGTTGTACCATCGTTAAACCCCTCGACACTATTTGGATCAGTGCCCCTGACAAGGTACGTTCATTTGCGGTCGCGGTCAACGGACTGTGCTTAGGTTTTCAGTCGATCAATGCATCCTACTTGCCCCTCGGTGCTACTCAAACGAGTGTATGGGTGGAAGACAAGTACGGAGTACCACGGGACTTGGTGCTAGGCGAGTGCTTTAGCCCAGATTCTGCAGTCACGCCGCTCATCAGTCCATAGGTTACGACAATACGTCGACCTATTTGGACCCACCTTCGCGGTATATAGTCATTGACCTGCGCTCCAAAAGGATATGAAGTTCAGTTTACCTCCCAGGTACTTTGGTCCTATTGTGGGCCGTTACGCAAACCGAATCAAGAATGGGACGGTGAGCCTCTCTCGACATATGCGGCATCTCACTGCTTAGTACCTTGGTGCTATTTAGTTTGAACTTGACAACGTGACGTATTCCATTGACAAGAACGAACACGATGGTCTTAATACATTGCATGGTGCGTTGGTGCGGAGTCTATCGTTGAACATCCCTGAGAAGGTAATATAGGTGGATCGGTTGGATGGGACTTCCGGCCGTGGTCTGTCGTCGACTGGAGTGAATCCAGCGTTACCTTCTACCTACAAGGTGGGCGCGGCATCTTTGGCGTCACTCCGTTGCTCATCATGATGTGAAGATGTTGGGGGAAGCATGGAATTTCCTGCTACGGTAGAAGCATACGTGTGTGGCTTTCTGGCTGTTCCGAAGTCGTGTATACTTATCCTCTATCCATAGGTCACCTACACGCTGTATAACGACGCAGTCTTGACAATTGAGATCAATGCTACTGCTGATAAGTGAGACACGATTACGCTTCCTCTTGGTCACATATTTATTGACCTCACTCCAGCGAGACACCCATCATGCTCTCGTCTCATGATTGGTGGAATCTGGATGGTTATTATGCATATGATGGCCAGTAAGTTCGCCTATTGCTCCCTGAAGGCCTGCTTCTCATACGTCATATCACCGAAGAAACTCGTCCATCCTGAATCACACAGTCTACACCCCGGATGTAACAAGCTACGTGGCTACAGACGGCATTCTGATTCCCACCGGAGAGCTGCCAGGCGTCGAGGGCACGCCGCTCGACTTCCGGACCGCTCGCACCATCGGGAGCGAACTCGACGAGACTGTCGATATCTGCGGCACAGGCTGCACAGGTGCGTCTACTTTGGATACAGTCGGCGTGACGCTGAGCCCAGTAACAATGTATCAGGTTATGACACCTGCTTCGTGCGCGACCACAATGGTACCGAGAGCACGCTGGCACTCGAGCTGTACAGTCCTGCATCTGGGATCAAGCTCAGTGTGAGCTCAGCACAGCACGCCATCCAGTTGTTCACCTGCGACGCCTTTGACGGCTCGATTCCCGCCAAAGCATCGCAGGGCGGGCTTGACGGTGTCGTTTACAGCCAGTATAGGTACGATGCAGTATCGCATAACGTGTGTACTGAGCGCTAATGTATATCACCAGCTGCACCGTGATTGAGATGGAGGACGTGGTCGACGCGCTCAACAATCCAGAGTGGGGCATTGACGCTATTTACGGACCTGACCGACCTTATGCATGGTCAGCAACATACAACTTCACCATTGTCTGAGAATGTACCGTATTGTGGTCGACACGACGCGTGCTACGCTGCAGTATACCCATTCGGAAGGCCTCGTGTCACAGCGATCTCTTGTGGCGACCCTATCCAAGTTGCTGATGCATTTCCGCCTCAGGCGGTAGAGAGCGAACATAAGTATATTATGTCAGGAAAACAATCACAACAATGGCAACAACGATAACGCTACAGCAAAAAGGTGCCATACTATAAGTACAATCGTACAACCGCAGATACACTGCCACTGGAGACAACACTCATGCGCCATCTACGCGGCGGATCGTTCTCCTTTCCCGATCGCCCACCACCTTGACCATACCCTCCTGCTCGAGTTCCTTGATGACCTCCTGGAACTCCGACGTGCTGATCCGGACAGAGCTCTGGCTCTCCAGCTGCTGGAGGGCCTCGGCCCACTTGACGCCGCGCGAGCTGCCAGCATTGCCATCGAGCATGGCCAAGACGGCTTTGCGCATGTCACCGCGCATCTTCCTCTGCTGCCGGCCAATACCAGTGTCGAGCAGGCCCATGTCGATTTCGCCCGTCGTCGGGTCCCTCGCGCTGGTATTGATGGCCTCGCGCATGAGGCGATACGCCTCCTTGACGTCGTCGAGCTCGACGAACGGCGAGAACCGCATCCGCGCGTGGGCCTCCGAGAGGCGGATCATGCTCTCTAGCTGCCTCGTCGTCGCAGTTATGCGTTTCTCGTTGGACCGTGGGTCGTCGCCTGCCTTGCGGAGCGTAACGTAGCAGCGGACGAGTTCTTCCCCAGCATCCTCAGTGATAGCTGGGTTGATACGGGAACGTGCATAGGTAACGTATGCCGCCAGTTGATCGAGAGGCTGTAGCAGACGATCAGAGTTTGTCGGATGAAATCAGAACACTATGCATACCAATATGTCTTGCCCTGCTGTCTGTGGAACATCTTCGAGGTACAAGCTGACCAGATGCTGCGCTAGCTTCCTATCGAGAGCCTCATCGACTTGGTCTAAGACGAGATAGAGGAGGTCGAAACGCGAGATGAGCGTCGGTGGCAGGTCGATGTTTTGAGTGATCGTAGCGTTTCTGTTATACTTCGAGCCCACAGGGTTGGCCGCAGCCAAGATGGAGGTACGCGCATTGAGAGTGGTGATGATGCCCGCCTTCGCTATTGAGACCGTTTGTTGTTCCTGCACGTAGTTGAGTTCGGCAACGAGCTATGATGACTGCGTGCGAGACTTACCATCACTTCGTGAAGCACACTACGAGTAGCGTCCGACATCTTGTCGAACTCGTCGATGCAGCAAACGCCGCCGTCACTCAAGACGAGAGCTCCACTGAATTCGCGGTCTCAGTATGTTTGCCATTTGACGATCAACTGATCTTACCTCTCGAGCACCAGCTGCTTTGAATCCGGATCACGGGTTACGTAGGCGGTGAGACCCACAGCAGAGGATCCTTTTCCAGAGGTGAACACCCCTCGAGGTGCGATCTTGTGCACATACTGTGGTACAACGTACGCGTTAGACCAAGAACGCGCTACGACGGCTGTCCTTTACTCACCTGCAGGATTTGCGACTTACTGACACCAGGGTCACCAACCAGCAAAACGTTGATATCACCCCGGTACCGCGGCCCTCCTCCACCGCCGCCTCTGGCGATGCTCTTGTTCGTGCCTCCGAACAGCTGCAGCAGGATGCCTTTTTTGACGTCATCCAAAGCCCAGATTGACGGGGCGAGCGAGCGTGCGAGGTACTCATAGATATCAGGCCGCTGGCTGAGCTCCCGCAGCTTCGCCTCCATCTCCTCGCGCCTCGTCGCACGCCGGTCCCTCTCGCCAGTCACAACATCTTCGTCGTCTTCGTTCGCGCCACCGCCAACGCCGCTCATACCGCCGACGCCCGGGATCCTATCGCCGCCCCCAGGCCGCGTGCTTCGGTCGAAGCCCAGTCTGTCGCCACTGCTGAGGCGCACATGGACGACGTCCAAGAACGTCTTGAACAGACTCTTCAGCGTGCGCTGGCGCGGGTTGACGCGGACGGGGATGCTACGGAAGATGCCCGTGACAGCGAGCCGGTCGCCGGGCTTCGAGACGTCCACGAGCTCGTCGTACACGCTCAGCGACACCGTGTGCGGCGTCTGGCCGTCGGGCACGGCGTCGGGAGTCTCCTGCAGGCGGATGACCTGCCTGTCCGCGAACTCGCATCGGTTGTGCACGAGCGACATGCTCCCCAGGGACGCGCACACCTCGCGCGGGCACACCGCCGGCTCGTCGATCTTCCCCCGGTCGATCTCGACCTGCACCGTGTGGTTGCACTTGAGGCACCGGAAGAACGCGACCTTCATGTCCGGGATCACGGGCGTCGCGCGGATGACCAGGCCCTTGATGCACACGAGCTTGTCCGTGTCTGCGAGCGTGGTCAGTGAGCTGGGCACGAAAGCGGCGCGCGTGCAACTCACCTGTCGGATTCAGGTCGCGCATGTTGATGGCCAGCATGCCAAAGGGCCGGATTTTGTACACCTTGCTCATGATGTCCGCGACCTCTTCTTCGCCTTCCGGACCCACCATGCCGGCCATGCCAGCCTGCTGGTCTTGGTCCGCGACCTCCAGCATGAGGTCCTTGAGCACCTGGTCCATCGCCGGTATCACTTCCTGCGGGTATTTCACGAGCTGGCTGAACAGCTTCCGGCTCGGCGGGTAGGACGACAGGTTGAGCATGTCCAGGTTCAGGTTCGTCTCGCCTGTCTGGCGCATCCGCCGCAGGTACGTCACGTACAGCGTGTGCTCGCCCTCTTCGGGCGTGGCCAGTACGCGGGTGGGCAGCCCGCGCTCGCGGTCATAGGCGACGCGGTACTTGACCTTGAAGCTGAGCAGGAAGTCACGGAATGTTTGCATCGTCACATTGATGTTCACCGTCGTGCCCCAGATCGCGCGAATCTCGTCTGGCTCATCGGAGGGGACCGAGGCTGCCGTCAGATTCGCCGCGGACGAGGCGGGGAGGGACATGTGGGTGCCATCGGAGTTGAGGTCACTGTCGAGGTTGCGTGGGGCGCGCGCGCGACGGGAGGCAGCTGGCACTGGTGTCACGCTCAGAGAAGAGTGGATGTCGCCTCGACGGTTCTTTGGCGTGCCTGCCGGAGTAGGACTCCTGTTCAAAACAGGTCAGCAAGGTTTCAAATCAGAGTATATCCTTGCTATCTCCACGTTCCAGCTGTTGTAGAAACGTAGACCGCTCGCGGGCGGGAATTTGTGTAGCGGGGTTTTGGCTGGCGAGTTGGCCGATGGCTGGTGAAGTCACACACTCGCCACAGCCCACCGTTGCCGCTCAGAGATGTGTTCTCTGGCTCGACTTTGACACCAGTCTCGCCCACGGCGACCGTCGGCCCAAGCCCCAGCTCCACACCCCCAGTGCAGGCCAGCTTATCCTTTCTACAACAGCTGTCATTCATAAGGGTCGGTTCACTCACATAGGGAAATCCAGTGGCTCCGAATCTGCCGCCGACCCCGGTGGGTCAGAACTCATAGCAAAGAGAGGACGACGCGATGGCGTCTTTTGCTTGCTTGGGGAACTCGGGAATGCCATAGGAGACGAGCTCGAGGCTTGAGACGCGTCAGGACGCGTGCGCGTTGTGTGTCATAGTTCGAGCTTACCAGCAAATAGCGGGGTCTTCCGCCGCGGGGTGTTCATGCCTAGTGCTCTGCGTGCCACCATGGACGCTCTGCTTCCTGGGGTCGCAATGTTCTGCTGGCGCGCAGGCGTGCCAGAAGCTGAAGGAGTAGATGCGAGGAACAGCGGTTCGGCAGCAGGCGCGTCCGAGGCGGGCTGTTCAACCTGGGCACCGTCCTGCATGTCGACATCGTCCTCAGTCCAAAAGTCCTGAGGAGGAGACATCGGTGCTTGGGGAGGGGATGACATGTTAGCAAATGGGAGTATTCACAATGATGCGGATGAGGAGGGAAGGGAGAAGGAAAAGGAGGAGGTCCTGGAGGAAAGGTCGTGACAAGCGAGTCGCGACGCGACGTGACGCTCATTTACACGACTTGTCACACATCACGTGCCTCTCAGAGGTGGGGAGCTGCCAGTGCGGTCAAGCTTGGGTCAAGCTGTCGTGCACAATATATGTCCGCGGCGTGCGATACGTGTCTTCCAATTCGACGTAAGTGAATTTCTCGGTAGTGCGCTACTCATTGAAGCTGATGTCTTTTGCATCGGTTATGAACACAGATTGTCGCATCGCGCCTCCCAAGCCTGCTAGAGTGTGGACCTTCCGGACCACTAGCAAATGACTGCGATTTTCCCTACTGAGGTCTTCGAACGCATCATCGACTATGTATGGCCCGACCAGACTCGGAGGACACTCATGGCTTGCATGTTCGTCTGCCGTGCATGGTTCCCTCGAGCTCGAGTGAACCTCATATACGAGATCATCTTGCGGCATCCCCGACAACTGCGCCTCTTCGCTCAACTAGTGGGCAAGCGACCAGCTCTCCGTCCCCTCATTCACATCCTTCACATATGGCCATCACGCGCAGACGACTGCAAGGTTATGGGGACCTTCCCGCTGATGCTCGCTCATCACCTTCCGAACTTACGGAGCTTGAGCATGCGCGGCCTCACGACGGTCCGCCCTATTGCTCGTTACCCGCAGAGTCACCATCTTACCTTTCCGATACTCCGCGAGTTTTCCTTCCTGACGATCTTGATGATCGGGCCCGTACATTTTACGTCCATGACGACGTTTGCTCGACTAGTCGGGTCCTTCACCTCTTTGACAATTCTAGTCTGTCAGGGCATTACCTGGGGGAACGCAGAGAGGAGCCCGTCTGCGTACAAGCCTATTGCTCGCCTCAAGCTGCGCAGCATCTCCATAGGATACATGAAGTGGACGGAGCAGCTCGCAGACATGCTACTCGCTATCATCGATCCCACTTCATTACACACCTTGAATCTTCGCCCCAACTATCAATGGTATGTCGAGCACGCGGAGGGACTGCTCGAAGCTATTGGCCCGTCGCTGCAACATCTCGTCATTGGCGAGGGTGCAACGGTGGAAGCAAAATATTCTGGTCAGTGTAATTTCACCACTACATAGCGTCGTACTTAACCCAGCCCAGGTTCCTATCTCGCCTACAATACCAGCATCACCAAGCTCTGGATGACGAGCCATCCGAATTATGAGTCGGAGGTCGCCACTTGCAATCTGCTCTCCCGGGTTCACGCACCCTCTCTGCAAGAGCTCATCTTATCCCTGTCAAGCGTTCCATACAGCCTCAGCGACCAATTCCTCTCTCGTCCGGGATTAAACCCACGAGAGATAGTATTCGAAAATATGGCTCGGTTCCCCCGAGCGTATCGGGAAGCCTCGCGTTTGAGCAGCGAGGTGCGAGACCGATTACCACAGACATACTCGCGAGGTGTCGTACGGTTCGAAAATGGTGAGTGTGAGTTGCACTGTATCGTTGCTCATCCAGTGAAGAACACTTTACAGCGCCAAATAGGAGCTGGTGGGAGGTTGCGTGACTTGCTGGCGAGGTCGATACGCTCATGTTGCTTACCGGCCAACCCGTCCACAGTCGTGTTCTTAGTCGTGTTCCCAGTTTATTGGCAATGTTCCCCGCTCCTGCTTGCTCCCCGGCTTGTATTCACACGGCATAACTTGCGCCAACTTCGCGCTCGCATCTGCTGGTCTTACTTATGTAGAGGCAGGATCTATCACACAACCATTGACCATTGACCGGGAACGCCGTGACTATCCACATCGTGAGTAATGATACCACGGTACAAGCAGTACTTAACGACCCCAACGTAAGCTATGTTCTATAGATCGACTTAGTCTACTTCGGTGAAAGGCTTGGAATTGCCCCACCAACGCGGCTCATTATAGATTTCAGCCTTTGCTAACAACTCCTTGATCCAACCGAGCTGCCCCTCCGTAGGCAACTTCTCTTCCTCGTCCAGTTTAAGTTTGTAATTCTTGGCCCTGCACAGCACTAGAACCTCCACCCCAACTCTGGGTTTGAGCTTCAACTCGAGATACTCGGGGCTGTCAGGATCTGTGTTCAACTGCTCCCATTCATAGAACTCTACGGCGCCTTCCTCTGCAGCCTGGAGTAGAGGTTCAGGCGTGTCTTTCACGAGGAGGCCGCATGCGATATCGAGTTTGAAGCCTATACGCTTCCTGATCGTTCGAATTATTGGGCCTGCGATCGTCGGTCCCAAGTCGCTCTCCGGCAACCCGAGCACGCTGCTTATTCGACACCATTCAGCCATGCTCCCGATGCCGAAGCCGTAGTATTGGGTCTTGAGCTTGACACGCCGACCGTTGTAGACGAAATATGGGATGCACGGTGGGACAGCGATAAGGGTGTTGCTGACGTTTCCTTGTGAAGAGGTGCGCGAACCCTACAGTGATTTCGCGACTTGGTAGGAGTGCCTAGATAGTGCACGATGTACGACGTACCCTTGCGACCTCCTCCGGGCCCGAGGCTCTACTGAGGCTGTCGCGAGCCTGCACCGAAAGGTATGCCAGTGCACCTCCGCAGGCGGAGGATGAAGGTGCGTTCATGCTGGTTGACTGGTACTGTACGGTGACGCTGTGCCGGGTTTCTTTCCAGGGATCCAGGCAGCCTACAGGTGCAAAATCCACGTGTCGTTATGCTCGCACAGAACAGCCTCGAGGCATGCATGAGGCATTGCCTTCGTGAGATTGCCGCAAGTACTCTGATTCACCAGCAGCATACGTTGACAGGCAATCAGAATCAGCCATGTACGGTCGTGACAATGCTCTGCAAATCATGAGTCTTATAACTACACAGCACAGATTTATTATGGGAAAGGTTCGGCGTCGGGCCGTCGCTGCAGTGCCGCCGCGCTCATGATGGCCAACTCGGACTTTCTTCAACCTACACCTGCCATCTCGGCGAAGGTGACGATCATGAGCTACGGCTCAGGTTAGGTAATGCCGACAGCCTCTAGCACCGAATCAGGTGTACGACCAGCAGCGTTACGTAGGGAGAAGCGCGGTTTGCAAAACACGCAGTCTTCGTGCACTTGCTGCTCACGTGGCCGCGTTTTGACGCGTCCGACTCGGACGCGTCGGAATTCACCGACGCATTTCTCCCGTAGGTACACAAAGAGAGAGAAATGGTAACGGCGCGAGAGGGCGCGAGCAGAAGGTCGATTGACAGCGCCGGTTAGGAGAAAATAGCGAGAAGTTGTATAGCACCAGTTGACTTGCTGGCGAAGCTCTTAGCTGATGCGGTACTGAACGGGTCACGTGGTCGCGTTCCTCGTTTCTGTTCTCCGCTGTTTCCCGGTTGTTTCCCGCTTATGCCATTCCACATATATATCTTTCCATCTACTGCTTGCATCGTCTCTTTTCCTCAACGATACAGCGGTCAAACTGAAATCGAAGAGTATTTTAACTGATCAGTTGCAGCGGTAACAGCCTGTGGCAGTGCCACCAGAACTCATCCGGCATTATCCGGATCTCCTCTCCGAGTTGGCCACTGACCAGCACTGACCAGTCTCCGAGCCCGGCGACGTCAATTCCATTTCCCGAGGAAATCATGAAACGCATGATGCTAGGCTTGGCAACTTGTTGACCAGCGATGGGCCGACCGAATTTGAGTCAAGACAACTGCTCGCTGATTGAAAGCTCCGAGTCCGTTGTCCTCGGATTGAACTCCAAGATGAGTTTTCCATATGCGCCAAGCCCATTATTAATGCTTACCTGTTGGAATTTCACAGCGGAAGTGGCCACTTGAATACGAGGTGGAATCGCCCTGAGGGTACTGTTCTGCTAATCCGAAAAATTCACTTTCGAGTCCATCACTGCAAGCTCGTTGCTGTGACCGTATCTTTGCCTCAGGGGTAAGTAAAAGATGTTGTCTGCTAAATACTTCGTTTCGGTATCTATTTTCACGCTCGGCGGATGCGGTTCAGCTCAAAGTACGTGCTGTGTGCCAAGTACATGCTACGTACCCCACTTGTAATGCTGGACTTGTCAGTGATTCTCGGACGGGTGGAGTCTGACCGTCGCCTGCATGTTGACTTACCATCGCGAGTCTGCGAAAGGGACCTTAAGGCTTTACTCCGCATACATTGCTAAACGGCTGATGTGCACTTCGTTCAGGACTCCAAGTACCGGTGAGTCCATTCATTTCTGAGTACAACGTCCATGCCGACCTTGATTTTCCAGCTTGTACTTGACCCCTTTCTCGGCGTAGACATCGTCGACGTCCGTCTAGATATAAAAAGGAGTGAAGGTAAGTATCTCATCACACATCCTCGCACCAGGCATCTATACTCGCGCAATGGCTATCCCCCGTTCATTTGTTCTCCCAGACCTCTTGGCCGCATGTCCCTTCACGCTCTCCAAGAACCCTCACTTCACCCACGCATCCGCCGCGTCCTCGGCATGGGTCCACAGCCACCGGCTGTTCTCCGACCGCAAACGCGCAGCTTTCGTCCAAGGGTGCTACGAGCTACTCGCCTCGTACACCTACCCGTACGCCGGGCCCGAGCAGCTCCGGACGTGCTGCGACTTCGTGAACCTCCTGTTCGTTCTTGACGACATCAGCGATGAAGAGGACGGCGCCGGCGCGCGCCGCATCGGCGACACGTTCCTGAGCGCCCTGCGCTACCCAGCCTGGGACGACGGCTCCGCGTTGGCGAAGATGACCAGGGAGTGAGCCTTTTGTTTATCCTATGATGACTATCAACCCCACTGTCACGGTCACTGAGGCGGCGAGCAGATTCAGGTCCCGGCTGCTGCACTCCGCGGGTCCGGGCTGCCTTCGACGTTTTCTGAGAGATTGCGAGGGCTACATCGACGCAGTGGCTCAGGAGGCCGGATACCGCGAGCGCGGGGTGGTCCTGGACGCGGCATCTTACCAGGCACTACGCCGCGAGAACAGTGCGGTTCGCCCGTGCTTTGCCCTGATCGAATATTGCCTGGGCGTCGACCTCCCGGACGAGGTCTTCGACGACCCGGCGTTTATGGTGCTGTATTGGGGTACCGCGGATATGGTAAACTGGTCGAATGTGGGTCCAGTGTCGTCCTCATTCGGCAAAACAAGAGTGTAACTAACCGGATTCCCCCTTAGGACATCTACTCATACAGCGTAGAGCAGGCGCAAGGCTTCGGCGGAAACAACATCGTCACGGTGCTCATGCATGAGCAGGACGCGGACGTACAGGCGTCCGTCAATCTTGCGGGCGACCTTTTCGACGCCCTCATGGATCGTTTCTTGGAAGCTCGAAACCAGCTGCCGAGCTGGGGCTCTGACGTGGACGAGGCGGTCCGGATGTACGTGAAGGGGCTGGAGCACTGGACCATCGGCAACCTCGAGTGGAGCTTCGATACGCAGCGCTACTTCGGACCGCTGCACGCAGAAATCAAGAGGACCCGTGTCGTGCCCATCCGCGCCCATGAAGAGTTCGAGACGGATTAAAGTGGGGAAGTTCTTGCGCGGACGATCTCTTGTGGCGGGTGGTTGACCTGTGAATGACCCGGTTTGCTACCATTGTTCTTATAAGTATCCCGAGCAGAGTACTCTTTAGACAACACTTGTTGTGTTCTTGTACGACATCTGTCGACCTAATGCTTTATGTAACTCCTCGAATGAGCGGACGGCATAGATCAGTACCGTGATTGAATGGAAATACATACCTCAGGCTGTCCGGCCTGCGCGCCTTCGTCCACTTCAGACGCATCGAGGGGTAATCGAGAGTTAAAGCCATACTTTAGTCATAGCACATGCGATTCGCGTTCTATCGTAGAGACTAAGAGCTGGCCCTGTGAGGCGCAGTTGATGCCTCCGTTCCCCTTCCTAGCAAGGGGAAGAATACCCCTAAACGCACATTCAGTTCGGCCCCAGCCCCTCATGGAGCTGCTCCTTCGCACTCCGGGTCGACTGCGGGCAATAGACTGAATGCTACGACCCGGTCTCCGTTCTTGGACCATGCCATCGTCCGGCCGCGACGCAGGGCGTGATCTTGCGCGGGTGGAGTCTAGGAATCTGTATGAAGTGAAATCTCAGCGCGTTATGCATGCAAGCAAGTGTAGTATCGTCTGATGAGCAAGACCCAAACCCTTCATAGTCTACTGGGACGCTGGTCTGTACTTCGTCCTTCGAACAGACGCTGAAGAACAAATGAAGAAGGCTCCGAGTGCGTCGCGCGAGAGGCACATGAGCGCGCGGTCGCATTCGCGGGTGCGCGCGTGTCGTCGAGAGATGAGTTCACCACGATGCGTCGAAGCCTACCATTGCCAATTTACCAGATGCGGACGAGCACGTCATATCGAGGCCACGGCAGCGTCCTGAAGCAGGGAACCACGTTCTGTGACCAACAGATATGAGGAATCCCTTCGGTTGGACTTTGGTCTTAGTGACTCGTGAGGTGCGTCTCCCATACCGCTGTGTGAGCGCGAGGAACTGGATGTGCGGCAGAACCACGCGATGCACAAGAACGGAGAAACTCATTGCGACATGGCGAGCTTCGTCGGGGTAGCGCCAGCACGGTGGGCGTTATTCGTCGACGAGACAATGTTGTGGTATCCGAAGACATGCTCACCATTGTACCGACCAACTTCTAGACCGATGACGAGCTGGCCTGGATCGCACAGAGAAGAGAAGAACACGTTTTGCGGCAGGCGTCCTACCAGAAACAGCTGCGTTATCAGTCAGCGTCTCGTCCAAAGACTATGCCCTTGCGAGAATGGCGGTCGGCCGTAGGAGCAAACTTGGTGGCGCGGGACCATGAGCAGCATGTGAAGATGAACGTTTGTAGGCGTATGACTCTACCGCGAACACCCTGCGTATCTTGTACGTATGCGCCTTCGCCTGCATTGCACATGGGTGGGGATCGTGTGCGAGCTAATAATGCGCGTGGCATGGCCCAGGTAAAATTCCGAGTGGCGCGCTCGAGCTGGGCCACAGACCCACGGCAAGGCGAGCAAGGAGACAAGGCCCGACTCGGAGCGTCGCACAGGGGCCACCGCGCCGCCACCGCCGCGCTAGCAGCATGGCCGGGAGGAGTGGCTGGACACTGCGTTCCGGAAAAGGCAGGCGAGTAGAACGGAGACGCGACACGTGCATCGCGCGGGAGCCAATGGGGGCCGGCGCTGGCGGTCGTGCGACGAGGGACGGGCGGCGAGCGAAGGGCGGCTGGGCAGCCCGGCGCACGTTCCTCCGCACACGACCAATCGTCGGAGGCACGATCATGCCCGTCGCGCAGCTGCCCCCACGCATCCCGCTTCTCGCACCGGCGCACCATCAGCCGCCTATAAACCCTCCACACGACATCTCCGCTCGCTCAGCCCTGTCGTGTGCGCACTCACCCGCCCCCGCTCCCCCATCCACGCCCCGACCCGCCATGACCGCAGCCAAGGACGCACCCCCGCCGTACACGGGCAGCTGCAACCCGCCGCGCCGCGCAAAGCGTCCGCGCACAGACACCGCTGACTCGACCCTCAGCGCAGCACACGACACGGCGTCGTCGCGGGCGCCCGTGAGACGTGCCCGGCCGGCCATCCTCCCCAAGAGCCCCATCTCCGGGGCGGGCTCGCCGCCGCGAGACGCACTCGACTCTGACTCTGCCGACGAGGACGACTACGAGCCCGACACGCGCTCCACCGCCCAGCGCCGTCGCGGCCGCAAGCCGGGGGCCATGTCGCGCTCCGCCCGCGAGTCCCTCCGCAAGCTCAACCACTCCCGCATCGAGAAGGCCCGCCGCACCAAGATCAACGAGACGCTCGCCACCCTGAGCACCCTCGTCAACGAAGCCGAGCAGGAGCGGGCCAAGGCCGCGGGGGAAGCACCTGGAGAACCAAAGGCGAAGGGCAGGGCGGCGGAGGAGAAGGAGTTCAAGCTGGACGTGCTCGTCAAGACCGTCACGTACGTGCAGGAGCTCCTCGAGAAGGTGCGCACGCTCGAGGCTGCCGCGGGGGCCTGCCCGCATTGCTCCCGTGATCGCGTTGCGGGATCCGCGACGGGCCTGAAGAGGAAGCGGCCCGTGGAGGTGCAGGCCGAGCGGGACATCGATATGGACGTCAGCGTCGACGACGAGCACGACGAGGACGTCGAGTATGCGGGCGACGACGAGAAGGGCGACGGGGAGCCCGAACAGCGCCCGACCACGCTCCCGGAGCGCTCGCCCGCCCCCGCTGCCGCCCGCCCGACGCCCTCCCCGCGCCTGCCGTCCATCGCCGCGTGGCTGCCGCACCCCTACGTCGACCCGAGTTGCATCGCTGCCATTTCGGACTCTCGCACCACGACGGCCTCGCAGCTCCCCTCGCCCCCGCCCTCCGGGCCCTTCCGTGCCGCCCACATCATCGCAGCACGCGACGTCCCTGCGCTCACGCTCCCCGCGCCCGCGCACCCCATCGAGCCAACCAAACGCGCCAACGCGGAGAAGCAGGCGGAGAAGGACGACAGCCACGCGCGCTCGCCGACGTGGACGCCGGAGGACGAGAACGCGGCGTCGCTCCTGCTGCAGATGAGCGGTTCGCCGGCGTCGATGCGGTCGAGCTCCGCGCCGACCAGCTCCGCGTCGAGCGCGGGCGTCCCTGCGTTCGCGCTCCCGAAGGCGATGGACGCTGCGCCGGTGCGCAGGATGTCGATGACCCGTATCAGTGAACGTGGGCACGCGACGGAGAAGGGGGAGGACGCGAGGAGGAGCGGAGGCGTCCAGGCGGAGACGCCGAGTTCGCTGTTGGGCTTGGGGCGTTGAGTCCGAGTCGCGCGATGCTTCTGAGGACTCGAGGAACGACAGACGGGCGGATTAGAGGGGACGACGACGGTGTACGATAGGTAACTTATCATTCTCTATGATTTCCTCCTCTCTTTAGAACTCGCGAGCTTCAGCGCGGGTCCCGGTTGTGTTTGGTCGATACGATACCAAGGTGGAATGCTTCCGATTTGCGACCGCTGTGTTTGTTGTACAATAGATGGGCAATTGGAGGCTTGAGCGACTTTCTATGATCAGGAAGAATGGAGACATCGTGGTCCAGAGGAGGAACTCGAGAACGTCTGCGAGTCGTTGACTATAGTGCGCCTCCAATCCGTTCGTCAGAAAAGAACATAATCGCACATAGCAATGAGGCTGCGAGGCACGAAGTCGGCACGAAGGGTGAAGGTATTGTTTACGTCGGTGTCTGCCCAACTGCCGGAGACTATTTAATTCGCTCGGGCCGCGGTCCCCGATCTCAGATCAGATCAGATCAATTGCACGACGGGTCACGGTAAGTACTGCAGGAGGCGCCGACTGTAGTACCTATGATAGTATTTATAACCCCTCCTAACTACTGTGGATTTATACAGTCAATCGCAAGGTCCGGACGACATGCGCAGAATACTTGGCGCCTCCGACAGCCAGGCCTGACAATGGCCCATGTGTCCTGCGGACACTTCGGCCCCGGGGTACAATCAAAATTCACCCAGATCCGTTTTTATATTCTGGCATTCCAACTAACTAGGTCCGAGGACTTTATTCTAGACGGAACGAGCCCGACGGGCCGCTTTCTGAGGATGCGCGGCTTGACACCCAATGAAAAGCGCATCTGCTGGGAGATGCCCGGAGCTGCTCTGAGCTGCGCGCGTCGTCGGAATCTGCTCGAATCTGCTCCGAGCTGCTGACGGCTTACAGTAAAGTCACTAAATGACAGCTCACGAGTTAACTCATAATATCATTAGAGCTTAGTGTCTTTTGCTTCTGACTTGGGGCTGTAGCCTAACGATACCGCTGTCGAGTCTGCCCCCTTGCGTTAAGCACTTACGGTCGCACCGCGCGATGCGCATTACTTATAGCAGTGATATTCCCGCCCACTCTGGTATGACGTAATCTCATTGCAGCGACGGCCGTCGTCGTCGTCTTCCTGCCCTCGCCCCTCTCTCTCAGGCTCTTACCACCACCATCACCTAGCTTGTTCAATTGCCCGCTGCTTGTCTACTGCCCGCCTGCCGTGGCGGCCTTGCGCTTACCTGCTCACTTCTCCACCTGACTACACACTTGTCCGCCCGTTCGCCCTCCTGCCAGTGTATTGCACGTCTCATTCGCTTACGAGTCTTTCGCTCGCCCACGCATCTTTGTGACTTGCCACGCGCCTTCTTCAAGTGCCTGACCGCACACCTTTTTGCTCGCCTGGCATCCTGCCCGCATGTCTCATTCACACCTTAGCTGACTGCCCACTTGCCCGTTCGTTCCCTAACTGGTTGACTCACCCGGCGCCCGCTCACCGACCCGCTCATCCATCCGTTGGCATGATTCGCGCGAGACCCGTGAACGTCGTTGTAAGGATCGCTGGCGCGCCGAGCAACGCGATCTGCGTCCCGTAAGTGTTTGTGCACCCCTGCCCATTTCTTCGCTTGCCCATTTCTTTGTTCGCCCATCTCTCTATGCTCGCCCGCCCGTCTCTACACTCGCCCACCCATCTCTCTATGCTCACCCGCCTGTCTCTACACTCACTTACCCGTCACTACATTTGCTCACCCGTCTCTGCACTTGCTCGCCCATCTCTGCACTTGCTCGCCCGTCTCCATGCTCGCTCGCCCGTCTGTGTTCGCCCGCCCGTTGACCCCACTGCAGAGACGATGCTGAAGATCGGCGAGCGGGCTTATCCTGTGGATCCCTCACGCGACCCGCGAAGACAGAGGGGCTGCAGCAAAATAGCCGCGCCGCTCGACGTCGGGCAAGACGACGATCCGCTCGCCCAGCAGATGGTCGCGCTCAAACAGGAAGACGCAGCACACGGCGGCAGAGTCAGTACCAGCCACAGGGCGCGTATCCGAATTCCAGCCCGTCGCCAACGAAGCGGGACGCCACGGCGAACAAGCTGTCGCCGCCGCCAGACGGATCGAGCCGGAGTGGTCGCAGGAACTCGGTCGACTATCGTCGCTCCGCGGAGATCGTCGCCGGCGCGGCGCTGCCAGCGTCCGACTGGCGTTCGACGTCGCCAAACCCGTACCCGAAGCACATGCTCCCGCCGTCAAATGTAGGTCCATCGAAATTTGCCCGTGGAGGAGATTTCGCACGACTACGAGCAGTCGTTCCCTGGTGAGCGCAAGTCCATAAGCCGGCTGGGTAGTCGTCCTGGGAGTGTTATTGGGCTGCCAGGGCAGGTCCGAGCCCCAGCCAGAGAACATCAGCGCCCGACGAGCCACAACAGTGTTGGCATCGTGCTCGACCCCACAGGTCGTGTAGCACTCGACGAGATGGCGAACAGGTAGTACCAGCTGCCGCCGCCACACATCGCGATTCGTAAGGCGAACAAGGTGTGTGCGAGCTCGATTGAACTGAATCAGCAGGAGCCGGTCGCGTTGGTGAATCAAGGCAAGAAATCCGAGGTGAAGTGAAGCGCAACTGCCAAGACTCGGAAATGTCGGCAAGTGGCCGGCGTATGCGAGTGAGACGAAGGCGTGAAACGGGCGCGAGTGCGGTACGTAGGAAGCGGGCGGGCGTAGTATGCAGGTGGTGTGTGGGGTGGTTGGGCGGGAGCGTGTGGGCGTGGTATGCAGGCGGCGGGTGTGGTATGCGGGCGGTATGCAGGGTGTGGGCGCGCGGGCGCGGTATGCAGGGCGCAGGCGGCGCAGGATGCGGGCACGATAAATGTATTATTCTTATGGCAGCTAGTGCAATACAGGAGCATCTAGCAATATGCCCGGATCTGCTCCCAGCTGCATACGCGTAATTTTCACGCTCAGAGCAGCTCCGAGCATCTAGAAAAATGCGAAAAGTCTAAATTTCTTGCTCCAGGCTGCTCAGAGCTGCTCGCAGATGCTCTTTTGACAGCGGCCCCACCGCGCAGCTCAGAGCAGCTTGGAGCATCTCCCAGCAGGTCTGATTTCCACTGGGCTTGACAGGCGGTCCGGCGCTCATACGCTCGGAAGTTCTCACGCTGGTCTGGTGCAAGCTCGTACGCGATGTTAATTATCCTCGTTCCTCTGCCGGTTCTACCACCGTGCATTCACTTTTACTTGATTGCCATGGTATGTTTCTACATGCAGAAACCTTCAACGGAGTTTATCGGAGCATGGGTCCAACTGGTAAGCAAATATCTGGTGTTCGGCTCTCAGCGGCTAACCCATCTGCGATTATCTGTACAAGTCGGTCTTAGGGATGTACGACAAACAACCGTCAGCACGATATCGAAAGATAACTGTTCGTCGCTATGAAGCGTGATCATCTGCAGTTATCTTGCGAAATCGTACAGCGGTGAGTCGATCTTTCTCTGTCTGCACATATCAGCAGAATGCAGTTTTGCTGATGACCGTCGTCTAATCCGGAACACCTGAACGTCGCTCAAGCGCAAGTACTAGGGGAGCTCAGACTAGGGGAGCTCAGACTGAACGGGTACGGGTACGGACCGTCCCCGTGACGTACCCTTGCCCGTCCCCGTACCCTAGTAACCCTTGCCCGTTCAACGTTCAGTACTCAGTCTCAACTCCTCGGCTACTAGGTGTGTCAGAGTCTCAGCCTGAAAGCGACATGACCAAACCCTTGCTGTTGATCATGATGCCGTTTCTCTACAGTCTTCTCTACTTACTAGTACCACTCTGTTAGTAAGGTCGGGCCCCGTAAATCCCTGGACGTTCATATAAGTGACTCACTGGTATTTGCAGGCGCAGCGTTTGTGTGCGCCGCCGTACAAATCACGGCTCGGGGCCTACATTAGACCCTGATCAATCATGTTTTCGCTTTGTTCGCAATGCTGCAGCGCTCTGGGCTATATACGGTGAGAATCACGTCGTCTGGTTCCATAAGAATTCAGTCACTTGCGCTGACTTCGACTCTCTCAGACTCCCGGCGCGATGGGAAGGTCAACCGTGAAGTAGTGTTCGTTCCACAAATTGCTGCCCTATCCAATCGCGTGTGATGTGTCGCCCGACTATGATTTGCAAGCTCATAATACATCACCCTTGTGACGTCCATTTGGAATCTGCGCTGACCCTCCTGTCGGATTGCAGGCTTACTGTTCGCGTCGACACAATCCGAATTCATATAGGTCATCTCAACTACAGAGGCCAAATAGTGATACTGCCTGAGGCAGCGATGTGATCGACGTCCTCAGTGTTCTCGCCGCGGTCACGGTGTCCTTCAACATACACATGTAGACGGTTCATATGTCAGTCCCGGTTTTCCTGGTGAGCTCTCGGTCTATTGCATTAATGAGATATGCACTACCTTCCTGTTGCTAAGCAGGCATATTGACACTCGCGGCCGGTGAGCGGCGCTGAACGGCCACGCAGCAGTGCCGCAGCGGTGATGGGGTTCAATAAAATGAGGCAAACATCAATTCAGTGTGACAACAATTGCTTCACAGCGTAAGCGGCTCATCGGCTTGTAGCTTACTCCCACACCCTCCAGTTCATGTTACTTCCGTCACAGAGATAACCGCCGAGACCAGGCCTGGTCATTTCATCGATGCTAGCAAAGGCAAGACCGGTCATGGTTTGCAGCAGGTCCGGATCTTCCCAGTTCATAAGCTTCCCTATCACTAATTCGGTTTTGCCAGTCCTAACGAAGATCATCACCTTGGAGCCATTCGTGGAGAAGCCCCAATTGCATTGGAAATAGTACATCTCTCCCCATATCTATGGTGTAAGGGAGAGCTCGAACGTGAGTACCAACAAGGCTGTGAAGTTAAATCTCTGGCGGCATACCTGTTTCATCAATTTGACAGGCAATAGACTGTTATCCCAAAGGAAGGTGCCATCATTATTGACGACATCTCCCGATGTTACCAGTCTATATGTTTTGTTCGTGTAACTCCATGATGTCTTCACCTCACCACACAAATTGGCACGATAGATGAGTTTTGCATTGACCTCGGTTTGCATGTCAGGGGTGTTCTCAGTGGGAGGATCCTGTACCTTGACTTGTTTTGTTTTACGCGAGCTCTTCCTTTCTCCAGAGGACATAGCACTTTGAGGACTCTTATTCTGCAAGAGCCTTCTGGCCGGTAAGTCCTGTTTATCAGAGCCTTTCACCTCCTCCACATTCTTAGTATCTTGGGCATCGGGGACAGGTGGGTTTGATATGCCAATTTGGACCCCAGTAGTGCCCCCGATGTCTGGTTCGGACCTTGAGTCCGGGTACGACCACTTATCTTGCTTGGTGGCTCGTCCGGGCCTGCCATGAAACAGGATGTAGTCGGGGTAGCCAGACGAGTTTCGAGTTTTCGTCATGTGAAGAGCATATGTGGCTCGTCCAAAGCGGGGGAAATGGATACGATGCGGGTCGACAGCTTCCCTGTCCAAGTCATCCATTTCAAGTGCGTCCATGCTGACTGTATTCTCATAACGAGTCTGTGTTTGTTTAGATAAGTCAGGGTTGCCCCAACAGTATATCACGGAGGAACGGCGTACCCTCAGCATGAGATCCAAGGCATTTGTCAGCTGGACCTTCACTTGATCCTGAATAGATGGCTCTGACTCCGCGACCTGAGGCCCATAACGACTGTGTAAGCCAAGCCAGTTGGCTAGGGAAGTTACTGCTTCATATTGTGGGCGCGCAGTTGGGAGCGGTGAAGAACCAGGGCCAATTGTCGTCATGCCTTCGATTTGATTACCATTCACTGCTGGCGGCCTCCTGTAGATAGCGGTAAAGAATGCTCGCTGTGCATCGGATTCAGGTATAATGCCTCCGCTATCGGGATCCGCGTATGCACAGAGTCTCGCATTTAGTTTTTCGCATTTCTTCAGGCTTATTAGTCGGTCTCCAAGACCAAGCTCATTGACTGTCTTGGCAGGCTTTGTATGGCTTGATTTTAAGGTAGAGCACTCTTTAAAGCGCACAATGGGCCAGCACACTGTCTGCACGGGAGCCGGACAATCTCCTAAGAAAAAAAATGGTATCTGTGACCCCCGGCATGAAAGTCCACAGGGATTGGAGTAGGGAGGCCGGCGACATAGATACGGGGTGGCAGATAAAGATGAGGCAGCCCTGCATTATCGACCTGAGGCCCTGGCGGAATGTGTTGAGCCATGATCTTCGATGTAAGATGATGCACTGGCAGGTTTCGGGAGTTATGGGTCGAGTGGTTGCTGAATGTGGGTCTCGAGACGCAGTCATGCATGCAATATATACCTGTAGCCCAGGCCTTCAAGTTGCGGAAGTTTTGGACAATACTACGGTGACGTCAGCACAACTGACACTTGAAAGATGTGGTTTCGTCAGCACAACGGCAGCTGTTACTGATGCATTTTTTGATAGACAATTGAAGCCCGGCAGCCATCATGATGCCAGTGGGAAGCCGGTTACAAGTGGCGTCAGGTCTAGGATCATACAACACGTACTACGTCAACATCACTGCATTCACAATCAGGTAAAACATCTATCATTCTGAAATTACAATAACACGGCGGTGGACATCATCAGAGTTGATACAGGTTGGGGACTCGGAGCCTGAGAGGCCCCTGAGACGATACTCGTACTGGCATTACGCGCCACTGCTGTGCCGGTCTAATTCTTACGGCGGGTAACCAAGCGGGCAGACTCGAACTTGGACAGACAACTCAAGTACTCAAGGAGGCGGCTGCGGTTGCGTCGCCGCGGAACGGCCGGGACTGTAGCAAAACGCGAGTGTGCCAGTGGACGAATAGTAAGTACTACGTTAGTAGGTTATGTAAGCATCCTTGTAAGACCCATGTTGGCTCATAACTTAGTAACTTACGACCGAGAAGGTTTGAGGCTGCTGAGACTAGTAAATATCTAAGTGGCACTCATCGCAATTGCCGTCTTTCTAAAGTGTACAGCCTGCGATATGCGTTAGGTTCAAGTTGAAGCCTGAGGTTGAAGGCATTGCCACGTCTGTAGATATGACTGACAATTGTTGCAAGTATCAGCTATTGATGTCGATGACTGGGATAATAGACTGCCAAATCAACCTCCCAGGCTCGGAGAGTCACCAATCACGTACATACACCAACTGGAAGTCGAACAATACTTACAAGCTCCGGCGCTCGCACACGCATGTGGCGCGAGACGCCGCTCAAATAGCGCCCAGCCTGGCTCTCCTAGGGTTATAAATGGTGGCCTTAGATTCGTCCATCATCCGCCGATTCAAATTGCCCCACCGTGACCACCAAAGTTGAGCAGTATGCAGAGTTGCACTGACGCCGAGAAGCCAACGATGGTGAGCCTCAAATCCTAGTAGTAGACAAGTGGCGTGGTCAGTCTCATTCCAGTCATCCATCATAGCATTTAAATACCGCGAAATCACTCGTCATTTATGGTCTCATTAAGAGCAGTGATGGTGTAGAAAACTCCCTTGTCCTTGACAGACAGACCTCCGAACTCCTCGAGTCTACCATCGTCAATATTTCGGACGAGTCTGACTGGCGTTTTTTCATTGCGCCCCCTGCCATGCACCCTCCGCCTATCCTCCCGCCGGACGGGAATCTCGAACTCCATCTCGAACTGAGCGAGGTGATAAATCAAGAGGGCCGCCACCACGTCTACAGAGTCGTTCCGCGGACGTCGCACGAGTCGTCTCAGGCGTTCACCTACCCACCCATGGTCATCAAGGTCTCTGCGGAATCCGAATCCGATGGTCAGGGCCTCGCTAAAGAGGCCGCAATGTATGACCATCTGATTTCTTTGCAAGGAAGCGTCATCCCGCGCTGCTACGGGTACTTTACACGGCCCTCCAGTCTTTTCGGAAACGTTTGCTTGATGCCTAATGCGAATGCGAGCCTCAGCATCTTGCTACTCGAGTTCGTAGGCCGCCCCGTGTCCGATTATTACGGTCTCGGCCAAGACCTGCGGTGAGTTGATGGTATCTGGCATCGCTTCTAACCTTGGTGTGACTCACTGCAATTGTCCGAACCAGAGAGGACCTCTATGACATGTACAAGGATCTCTGTGAACTCGGGATCTATCACCATGATCTGCGGCACGAGAACGTTTTGTGCGTGGATGAAGACTCGGAGCTTGAGGGTCGAGTCCCAAGTCTGGCATCACCCAGGACTGGCCGTGTCTACGGATTCCGCATCATTGATCTCGAAACAGCGGAGCAAACGAACGTGAGGCCCGATAGGCTATACATCGAATGTGACCATGTCATCGAGGAGATCATCAGGGATTCCGAGTAGTATAACTTGAACGCATTGTCATGTTTATATCATCGTCTGGCTTAGAGTGCCCATTGATAATGCGATAGGTGATTAGTAACAATGACACCCTCAAGCGAGTCCTAGGCTGTTCATATGATGTCTGTGGCCGGAGGGGCAGGGAATAGTATTGTGAATACCCGGCGGGTTTGTTTACGGTTCATCCCGTTCTCAGGCGAGGAGGATTGAGCGCACACAACAAGTTACACTGAGGTGGAGCTTGCCACTAGTCTCATTACTAGATACGTTGCGAGTACAATATCATCGTGGCTGATAGTTCATAAAAGCCAACGTAGTAAGAAGACTCCCGCCGAACCCTGACACATCCTACCTACTAGATACGTCGCTCAAAACTCATACCGCCCCAGAGTGACGGTACATGTGTACCGTAACCAGAAAATTGTTCTCCGGGAAATTACACTTGAGCCTACGCCCCGACTCATTGCGGACCAGGCTGCACATCGGAGCCGACCCCGACAACTGGATCCCTGCGAGTACTCGCTGCTGGTCGCAGATAGACAATTTTATGATTCTGATTGCATATTATGCTGCGAGCGATGGCTGCCTTCCCACTGGCAACACCCGCCAGTCACTCAACACCTGATACCTATCGGACGTAGTGCAGCCGCCCTCCCCCCCAGCTCGACACCGGCGAGGCACAGGATGTGAAAACAGATGAGTTCTGGAATTCGTAGGCAAAGTTATCTCAATGGTCCTCTCCCACTAGTAACACACGCTCTTGCCATGCGGAATCACGGGAAACGCAAGTCGAATACATGCATCAAGTTGATCCACCAACGTAACGCATCACCTATGAGGCTATGACTCAGACGCCCCCACTTCCTTCATCCTAGTAGTATTCCCCGCGAGGACGGATGGGAACGACGCGCGTCCTCTTGATTTCCGCGTGCAGTGGTCCGAAGTAACGCTGGGTATCGAAGCTCCACTCGATATTCCCGACAATCCAGTACTCCAGCGCCTTCACATACTTCTGGACCATCTGGTCGACGGCGGAGCCCCAGCTCGGCAGCTGGCTCTGAGTCTGCAGGAAGCGATCCATGAGGGTCTCAAAGAGACTCCCCACGCGATCGGCGGCGGTCTGCACATCGGCGTCCTCGTCGTGCATGAGCACCGTGACGACATTGTTCCCGCTCATCCCCGCCGCCTGTTCCATATTGTATGAATAGATGTCCTGCTCGAGGTGTCAGAGTGCAACGGAAAATTCAGCAGGAGCGACTCACGTTCGACCAATTGATCATGTCCACCGCAGCCCAATACAACGACATAAATGTCGGATCGTCGAGGACTTCGTCCGGGAGCTCTATGCCCAAGCAGGACTCGGTGAGGACCAAGCACGGGCGTGTCGCGCTGTTCTCGCGCCGCAACGCTTCGTAGGAGGCCATGTCAAGGACAACCCCACGTCCTCGGAGCTCGGCCTCCTGAGCTACTGCGTCGATATAGTCCTCGCAGTGTTTGAAGAAGCGTCGGACGCAGCCCGGACCTGCGCATTGGAGCAGCCGGGCTCTAAATCTGTTCGGTGCATCAGCCGACGGCTCAACGGCCTGAGCGGGCAGAGGACTCACTCGATGGTCATCTTCGCCAACGCGGAACCGTCGTCCGAACCTGGGGTGCGCAGAGCGTTCAGGAATACGTCGCCGGTGCGGCGAGCACCGGCGCTATCCTGTTCGTCGCTGACCTCGTCGATGACGAACAGGAGGTTCACGAAGTCGCAGCACATCCTGAGGTGCTCGTGGTCGGCATTCGGGATGACGTACGAGACGAGTAGCTCATAGCACTCATGGGTGAAGGCGGCGCGCTTTCTGTCGGGGAAAATCCTGTAGCTGTCGACCCAGGCCGACGAAGCTGCGGCTGCACTGGCGTGGTGAGGATTTATGGAAGCCTTGAACGGGCATAGAGCCAAGAGGTCAGGCAAGACGAAAGAGCGAGGAGTAGAAGACATGGCTTAAGTGTGCTGCTATACTGGTACCAGCGACCCTGCTTTTATGCGATTTTGAGTATGACGGAAGACCAGAGCTGAAGCGGACTAGTGAGCCTTCTACCAATTGTGCAAGCAAGACGCGCACTTTCCAGAGAGAAAATCGTGCCATTAGGACAGACGAGCCGGTGTTTGGGCCGGCCCAAATGGGTTGCGTAGCGGCCGTGCAGTTCTGTCGAATGTTGTGTCTTCGCGCAGTCTCGCGAGAGAGTGCTGGCCAGTGATATTTGTCTTTCCGCGAGCTTCCTTCTCCAAGCATGGAAGCGGGCTACATGGTGCTCAAGGCTTGCAGCCAATGACCTATGGCCATTCTTGAGACGTCAATTGCTATATTATTACATCTGAACTACGTACCTAGACATGCGCGCGGACGACAAGTCTCATTTGGACAGTGATAATCTGTGTGCCGCTGGCCTTTGGTAGGATACCCTCCAATTCCTGACAGCAATCGCGAGAAATGCATGCCGGCATGAATCTACCTAGAAGAGCGGCACATTGATATTCGGCCATAACTCTCCGCAGTGAACTGTGTTGTTCGCAGCTCATCAGACGTACCGCTAAGTGAGCAGTGCTGCAGCCTGCGAACAAGAGGGCATGCCGTCCAGTAGGATTAATGTCAATTTCATACATGTACACCCGCGAACATTGCAGCGAACAGACTGACGGAACACTTACAACTTCTGTTGATGATCCGACCCAGACACCACATGTGGCGTAGCACCACGCTGGGGAGGGAAGTCGCACAGTATAGCCAGAGATGCTCCGCGGCTTCTCAGTCTAATCTGGGCTCGTTGACGCGAGCCACTCATCCACCTGCGTACTGGCTCTCAGTTTCGATGTACTCTGCAGCGTTAACAGACATGAGGTAGCTGCACCTAATGCTTACTGGCCAGTAGTCATTATCAATATAGGCTATTCGAGCAGTCGGTGCAAGCATACGTACTCACCAATCTTTCCACTGGCACAATGCTTCGTTTGTGTGAGTAGTTAGCAGGCAATGGCAGCATACGGATCGCAAGATATCAACTGAACCCTCTAGTGCTGACCTGAATGTCAGAAACGATCCTCGCAGTCAATCCCTCATGGCGCTTTTAGGTCACTGGCTCGAAAGCAAGGATACCGTAGATAAGGTACCAAAGCATGCTGCCCCATCGTTACCTCGACACATCGTTCAGGACCGCCGACTTCGGCGACGGATCCTCGCCTCGCCTCGCCTCCTCCACGTACCTGCGCATCAGCCCCACAACCTTGCGCAGGTTCAGACTATGCTTCGCCGAGATTGGAATGACGTCCGGAGCCCTCTCGCCAACCACACTGCCCACCGGGTCCTGAACCTGCACCTTCATCTCCCTCTCCACAAACTCTTCCAGCTTCTTCAGCTTCTCGCGCGCCTCCAGCACAGCTTGCGGGTCCTCCTGGCCATCCTCGCTTGGGCCTCCAAGTAGGTCGGCCTTGTTCGCGAGCACCATGCGTGCCTTCGGGCTCAATCCGGGCTTGTATTTCTCGATTTCGTCCCGGAGCACGCGCAGCTCATCCCACGGCGCGGGCGACGAGAGGTCCACGATATATACGAGCGCGTGCGACCGCTCGATTGCCCGGAGGAAGGAGTGGCCGAGGCCGACGTTCGACGACGCCTCCGCGATGAGCCCCGGGTTGTCCGCGACTGTGAAGCGGAACGACTCGAGCGGGTCGTCTTCCTCGACAGCTCTCGCCTGGTTTCGCGTGAGTGCGTCAGCGAGCGCGCCGCTTTCCATAAGTTCTTTTTCGTGCTGGGCTTCTACCCAAGTCTCGTCGTAGACAGTGCCGTCCGAGCCCTGGAAGCTACCGTCGTCTGCGACGCGTATGACAGCGACGACCGGGTTGAGCGTCGTGAACGCATACCCCGCCACCTCCGTCTTGGCGCGTCCGCCGGTCAGCGCCCGCAAAAGGGTGCTCTTCCCGGCGTTCGGCATGCCTACGAGGCCGATGTCCGCGAGGAGCTTGAGCTCGAGCGACAGCGAGATGCGCTCGCCATCCAACCCGCGGGTGGCAAACTTCGGCGAGCGGTTCTCCGTCGACAGGTAGTGCGGGTTGCCCACTCCGCCGTGCCCGCCAGCCGCGATGAGATGGCCCATGGTGTCCGGTCTTCGGTGGCCCAGCGGGGCGTTCAGATCCACTTCATTGTCTTCCGGCTCATCCGACTTGTCGAGGTCAAGGTAGATCGGGCTCATGGCCTTCTGTCGGCGCAGGTGCCTCCGCTCGCGCTCTTCGCGATACAGCGCGCGCTCAGCTTCCTGGAAGAAGCTACGCTTCATGTTCTCATCCTCGTACGTCGGGTAGTGCGCCCATCTCCGCGCGCGCAGTTGCTTCTTGCGCTCCTCTGGATCGAGCCCTTGCAGCGCTTCCTCCTCGGCCTCGTACTCGTCCCTGGCCCGCCGTGGGTCGTCGCGCGAGAGTTCACGCACGATAGTACCGACCGGCACCCTAATGATGGTCGGCGGTGCATTCTTGCCGTTCTGCCATGTACCTTGCCCAGTGCCTCCTGCCTGCGCTCGTATTCGAGACGACACGGACGATAGGGTAGTGAGATGCGGTGTCGCCATGATATAGACGTCTCCGCCACGCCCGCCATTCCCGCCAGACGGCGGTCCGTAGGGCTTGAATTTCTCGCGATTGAACGCGACGCACCCGTCGCCGCCTTTTCCTGAGCACCGTTAGAAGTGAGTAGGGACTACATGACGTGTCGGCGGCACGTACCTCCACGGACATGGACGACTATGTGGTCGAGAAACGTTTGTCCCTGTGGTCAAGCCTTCAGATATATCAGACTCAACGGAGTAACGATGACGGAGATCACAGGACCATAAGACAAGGCATACTAGGGAGCTCGCTGCAGAACTAGAACACTACACGGGATGGTGCCCTGTGTTCCACGACCTGCGTGCAAGTAATGAGACATGCGAATATGCCTCGCAAACGTCAGGGATAGGCGCACTCTACAGCCCTCTAAGACGAGCCGACTGAACTCACCATAGAGGCTTCACAACCAGCAGGAAATGTAAGAAAGGATGGGTATGGAATCTACGAGCTTTTCTGGTACACTCACATTCTGCCGTCTCTTCCACTCTGTCCTTCGCTTCCGCCGCAGCGCATCCAGGTCATTCTCCTTCTCTGCTCCCTCGGTGTCTTCTGTTGTGGTTGAGAACGACCGACTTGTCCGCTGGAAAGAGAAAGCGCTTCGCCGACAGGTGCAGCGACTGAACGGACGCAGAATGTGCAAGAGGCTCATACGCCTGTCCACAACCAGAGTGACGGGGGCTGAGCAACTACCAAACAACTACACAAGACTGTCTGTTACGTCGTCCGCGATTCGTCGAGACCAAACAATCAAGAATGCGGGAATGAAAATGGAGAGGGGTTCAAGTTGAGATCTTGAAAGCAAGGTTTCGCCACTGGCGATCTTTCCCGTGAATGTACACTCGACCATGGCGCTTAAACAGTTATAACTCATACCGAGTCTATATGTACAAGGTGCAATTGACGAGACGCAAGTTTATGTTTTGTGTCAGTCCGTAAGGCAATCTATAATGAAACGTATGGATACAAACATTCCGTAAGGACAACCTGGAACCAAAGGACTAGACGAAGCATACGGCATATACGACAGATAAACTACGGTGAGACAAGCAAGGTGGGATACGGATGTGCAAGCAGATTGCGGGGGCACATGCCGCGCGTACAGATGCCGTGTCTCCTCGAGAAACTGGGCACGAAACCCAACGTCAAGAACCGAGACAGGAACATCGCACAGCAGAAGGAGATAGAGGGATCATAGGAGTGGGGTACAGGTAGATAGGAACACGATTCAGTTATCAAACGAGCAAACGAACAAACGAACAAAGCATCGAGAGTTAGGAAAAAAGGAATAAGGATAGGGGCGAGTAGGTAGACCCATGAGAGGGAGCAAGGGTATCGAGTCTATCCCACGTACTTGTATTCGTTCCACATCTCCGCGCCCGCACCGTGCTCCGGCGGGAGCCACGCATGCGAGCCCGGCATCGGCATGCCCTGCGGCGGCGGCGGATGTGGGTGATAGTCGTGCGCCGACATAGGCGGCGCGTGTTCGGGCCTGTACGACATCCCGTACCGCGTCTCAACCATCGTAGACATCGACAGGCCGGGTTGCCCGCCAGACGTGTCCATCGGCAGGCTGCCCATCGGCGGCGCGACGCTCTGCGGGTGGTTCATCGGCGGGTTCTCGTACCCGGTAGGCGGGCCCTGTGATGACTGCGGCGGGCCAGGCGGGGGCGCATACTGGTAGTAGTTCGGCGGAGTGGGGCCCGTGGTGTACGAGACGGGGCTGGGTTGCGAGAGGGATGAGGTGTCGAAGAGGGACGCCCCTTGCGGCGAGTCAGAGAACGTCGATTCGTACCGCCTTCTGTCCACGTCGTCATTGGAAAACTGCATCGGGTAGTCCTCGCGAGGCATGTGGTCTTGCATTGGTGTCTGCTGTACGGGCGTTTGGGGAGGACGAATCGCGTACCCGTCGTGCGGATGAGGTGCGGCAGGCGCGAGGTGGGATGGGAGCGACTGAATATGTGAAGCGGAAGAGGACGAGGCAGAGGACGGCCCGCTGGCGGGAGTCGCCGTGTGCCTTGGGGGCGGCAGCGAGTGCACGGCGGGCCCAGCAGCGTTGCTCGACACCGACGCACCCCTTGGTCTCCCGCCCCCGCTAGCTGGCTGGGTGGGCCGAGCACGGATACCCACCGGCTGCTGCTTCCCCTTGTCCTTCTCTTTCTCCTTCATGTGCTTCTTCTCCTTCCTCCCTGACCCTTCCGGCTGTGCCAGACTGGCGTCCTTCACCATCCCGCCATTCACCTTACCCGGTGAACGTCCCGGGTCAGCCTTGACCGAGCTCACAGACGGACCCACGTAAGGGAACTGGAAGCCCGCCTCCATCCGCTCGTCGTCGAGCACGTCCCGCTTGCGCTTCACGCCTGCGGTAGCACCATTGTAAGCGCCGTTCGTCCTCGACGCCTCCGCTTTCCTCTTCATCATCTCGACAACCCTGACGGCCTCCGCCCTGCTCGACTCCTCAGAGTCGAGAGTCCGCAGCACGTCGAGCGCACACGCGATGCCCTTCAGGGCTTCGCCGGCGAAGATCCCGCTCGGCTGCTGGATGACGGCATGTGCGCAGACGACCGCGGCGTCGAACAGCGCCCTGCCGAAGTCGTAGAAGTCGAACGCAGCCGGCCTCGTGTTCGCCCACACTCCGTGCAGCATCCGGCTGGCGTAGATGATCGCATGAGCGGCGTTCAGCGTAGCGAGGATGGCTTGATGTTTGCCCGCGCCCGTGTGGCTGTCCTTCAGGAACGGGAGGTAGAGCTTCATGATGACGCGATTCGCCAGGATAGCAAGCTCGCCCTTCTGGGCCGTCAGCACGGACGAGGGAGGGGAGGAAGGTACCGGATTGATCGGCTCTGACCAGTCATGATCGAGCTCGAGACGGAACGCGGGCGGAAGGTCGGCGAGGAAGGTCGTCACATCGCTCTCGAACATAGCAGCCTGATCGATCGACAGTTCGTTCGAATCCTCGGCGAGTGGATCCCTGAACGTCTGCTTCTTGACGTTTTTGACGATCTGCGCTAGCCTGTACCAACATTAACCGACGTGCCTAGAACTTCGTGCGCCCGAAACACTCACCTGCACTTGAGCACAAAGTATGCAGAGCCCTTGTCTGCCCCATCACCGGTCTCAGACACGCCCGGCAGTATCGTCGAACTCGGGCCGAACGCATCTTCGTCCACGTCCGCGGGCAGACGCGTCGTGAAAGAGTTGTCGGGGATCAACGGCGGGTGTCCCATACAATCCGAAACGAAGCTAGCGCGTCGGTCATGATAAATCCAGTGTGTGACTCAAAGAAAGCAGAGGACTTACAGGTCGTAGTAGAACACATCCCACCACACCCTCCTCCGCGCCTCTGCATCAAACAAGGAGTACGTCCCCGGGAACTCGTCAGGATCGTTCGCAAGGCCCATCATCCTCGCGACGTTGATCATCTTCCCCACCTACGCAAACAAGAATCCCGTCAATCACTGCACGTCACCACGCTCTCGCCAGCAGGCCAACGCAGCACGCGGGACACTCACCAACGGGAACACGCCCTGCTGCACGCTCGTCCCGCCCGGACAACAGTGCAGCAGATACAGCAACTGGAGGATCATCGCGCCCACCGAGTCGACGTCGTACGCCGCCGTGCGCTCCGCAAGCCCGAGCGTCTGCTCCGAGAGCGCGAACAGCGCCGCGGGATTGCACCGCTCCGCCTCGCTCGGCTCGTCCCTGCCCGACGACGTCCCCGGTCTTGAGCCCGAGTGCGACGACGGCGACATGCCAGGCGCCTCCGGGTTCCCCTTCGCTGCGACGAGCGCACCGAGCGCGAGCCCGGCGCACGCGCTCGCGAAGAAGTTCAGCGTCGGCTTCGGTTGTGCTGTCTTCGCCTTCTTGCCTGGGGGCGGCCCGAAGAACACGTCGTGCGCGAGCTTGCGCATGCTCTCGCTGGTGCTGACGTTGGCCTGCACGGGACTGGCGCTGGCGGGGCCACCCTCACTCCAAGTGAACATCGCCTCGACGCGCTTCGCCCAGTGTCCGACGTGGAAGCTCGGGTGCAGGACCATGGTCTCTTCGAAACATCGGACGATCTCCGCCCTACGTTCCTTCGGCGGCAGATATTTGAGTAAGTCCGGCGTCACTTGAGGCAGGGGCTCCGGCGAGGAGGGTGCAAACGCAGGGAATAGGTTGGCGCCGTTCGTGACGTGCGTGTCACCCACGGGCTCAGGTGAGGGGAGGAACACGGCGTATGGGACAGGAGGGACGAAACGCGGAAGGGAGGATGTGGAGGTGGTCGCGGAGTTGGCGAATGGTAACGGAGAGGAGAGGATGATCGGCGTCGGCTCGACTTTGACACGGGGCGCAGATGGGCTCCCAAGGAGACGTCGCCCTGCCCGAGCGAGATATCCTCGTATACGTCCAGCCATATGCTGGCAACGTCGTCCAGGCTGATCACGACAGAACTCCCTTTGCGCCGGTCGCGAGCAGCGCGCGGTCATTGCTGATGCTCGGCATTACCGAAGAGTTCATACTCGAGCCGCGATTGCTCCTGGCATGGTAGCTGGAGGCGTGCTCGCACTTCCAAACGGGCCTTGAACCACTGCTTCCGAGTACAGCCTGCAGCGATATGCCTGCCGGTGCCTCGCTCAATTTGCAGCAGACCCTCGACCACAAGGATGCGGTTATGCACGACTGTACGTCGATCTTTTCTGCGGCGGCTTGCGAATAGACGCACCGCTGAACAGTGTCGCGCTTCAGACACGACGAGCACGGTGTTCGTCTGTCGCACTTCAGCTTGAGACGTTTGCACTGGAGGAGGAAGCATAGATCAGAGACAAACGAGTGAAGCAGTCAGAATTGCAGAAGGGCCACACAGTTTGATCGAGAGGATTCATCGAGCATCGCATTTCCTCTACTCTGGGACACACGTTGACTGCCACCTGCTCGTCAACCATAGCCTAAGGTGTCTCGTTAAGATCACAATCGTAACCATCGTACTGTTTTCCAGCGCGTCGCCCCGCATCTTGGCGATGTCGCAACATGCCTACGTTTGAGCATGGCCCCTCCCTCCCCCGACATCTATCTGCATGATGCGCTCGCGCGTCGGCGAAGTGACATCATCAGTGCGAGGACGCACCAATGACCAGCACAATTCTCGGGCAAGAAGATCACGTACACATCGGAGAACAAGACGAGACACCGGCTGTTCCCAGATGAGTACGTATGAAAGAAGTAGAAGCGGCCGAGACGACGCAAGATTCCCCGCCCTTCTACCCCGCAGGCGCAGTGCCTTCTTCACTGTGGCTGAGATGCAGAGTGATGGATGCTTACCTCGGCGCACACCACAGTGATCCTGGAGCGAATATGTCTGCCGGACACGTCGCGTCAAGACAGGAGTCTACACGCAATAAGCAACTCAAGTACGCACGGTCCGTTAGAGAACTTCTGCTGCCCGTTTGACGACCCGCCGCCATTGGTGTGGTTCGAAGACGGGCTCGACTGCGTCAAGTCCATGTGCTGTGAAGATGGGCCCGCGGTGGGGGCCTGTGCGTGTCCGTTCATATGAGGGTGGGGGTAGGGGTGAGGGTGAGGGTAGGGTATCTGGGTCGCGTGCAAGGATGCGTGAGAGGATGCGTGGGCGTCGTTCATCGCCATTCCTGGCGCAACCGCCAGGCGGGGAGGTAAGGCGAAGCGAGCAGGACGTCGGCGACGGCGAGGACGAAGTGCGCGGCAGAGGCGAAGACGGTCGACGTCGCGGATTGAGTCTGAGACCAGCGCTCCTGTGCCTACATGGACCCCAGTCAGCCTTCGGAGCATCCCGAACGGGCGCTAACCAAGATCGCCCCTGACAGCTGCGCAGCCCCCGGAGAGCGGGACGCTACAACGGTGACTGTCGCGCGATGTCGCGACGTCGGTTTGTTCGGCCACCTGCATGTTCACTGTCTCGACTCTCTTGCGCTGCAGTACCTCTGCGACATCTCGACGCAACCGCTGGATTCTGGCCTCAGAGGCTCACTCGTAGCACTGTCGGTGTCGGGCCTTGAACGCAAAAAGCTTAGGGGCTTCGAAGTAGCGTGGGCACAAACCTTGGATTCCTTCTCTCATGTGGTCGTCTCGCGTAAGATGCACCTCTGTGGCCTCTCACGCGCAGCCTGACGTTAATTATACCCTCTGACGAGGCCTGTCAGCAGCTTCGTTCCCCTGGTGTCTCCCACACTAAGCGAATTAGAGACCGGACAAGGGGGTAAGTGATACGTCTGTACTGGCATCCCGCTAACCTTGTCTGTGTCTTCTGAACAGCGGTGTTCTTCATTCTTCACAGGCTGCATGAGAGGGAAGCTGAGTGCTATTCCACACGTATATTGTCTTCTCCTCGCGTCCAGGCCCATGTCATGGATTAGCAGTTTGAAAAGGCATAGCATCGCGGGAGACGCGCTGAGCGCCTGTGACCTCGAGGCTATCACGGCCGCCGCTCCTGCTCGACCCAAAACAGACAAAATGAGCGCACGCGCTCAATTTATCGCTCGTTCACGAGTGCGCGGCATGACGCTGCCCCTAGTCTCTGTTGCAGACCATACAAGCCGCGAGCTGCCCCTTTTGTGCTCACCGACCCCTATGCGCAGGTGAGTACATGCTCCACCTCTTGCTATAGTACTAGTTCCGAGGGTGCTGTATCGTGCCAGGGGCACTGACCTAGTGCCCGAAGTCGTACTTGAATGTCTGAGTGCAATCCGACCGCTCCCCAGGCGACGTGTTCGCTACACTGCATGTTCCAGCAATGACAGGAATCCACCGCGCGGGGTCCTCTCGCGTACCTGCCCAGACTGACATGTCATCATATCCTGAAGTCCGTGCGCTCTTCCGCAGATACGCTCAGCGTTGAATGGCGGCGTCGGTTGTGGCGTAGCTTCATTTCTCTGTATCGCGCTTGCACTCAGAGCAGCCCACTTCCGCACGAAGCCAGTGACGCCTTGCGCAGAATGATACGATCTGAGAGGTATGCACGTTTGGTTGTTGTCATCTTCTGTTATCACTCCGGTGACATCGAAGCAATCGCATACCCAGAGGCGCAGTGCACTTTCCGCATGGCCTCAGGGGAACGGCGGGCGCTGAGGCAGCATGTTGCATCGCCTCGTCGAAGTCTCGTTCAATTAAAAGGTTCGCCCTGAGACACCTCTTCCATTCGTCGAACTAAAGATGCCGCGAATCGTCTACATTCCACACCGCGCGTCTTGCCAGGGTCTTGAATTGCGAACTTCTGTCAGCCTCGAATTGGCCTCGAATGTCCACTGGCTGTCACGTTAACCATCCAACCCGGGATCTACGCCGGCACGGTCATCATACGACGGCAGAAGTTGCGAAGCTTGCCCAGGCTGTCAGTGTCAGCGCTCGACGTACAGCCTGGGCGAAGTTCCTGTGATTTTGATGGTCGGGGGTGTGTGCGAAGACCCTTGTACAGCTTCGTTACCTCCTACCCAGGCCGTCGTATTTCGCTAGAGGGTCGAGTCAATGAAGACTGGTACACGTCGCATGCACACAGACGATGTGAACCTAGATCACACTATCGAACCCTATCGTGACAAGACCAACCTCCTCATCACCGCAGGACATCGCCCCCGCGCTACGATGTATTGTTGTGTACTAAGTATGACAGCTCCCCTACTTTGCTCGCCGGCCTAACACCTCCCCGCATCATACCACACTCGCGCTAATGTCAAGGCGCAAGACGATCAACAACAAAACAGCCTCTCCGCGCTCGACCAACAAAACCTTCCGCCACTCTGGTTTCGTATCACCCCTATGCTGTCCGCGTCAGCGCACCAGTCGGCGGTCCCGCCAGGCTGACAACTGTCGCCCGTCAGCCGCCCCGGAGCCTCCACGCGCACCCGCTATCAGGATGAACTGTCGCTCGGAGGATCCCTCCCAGTCTAAACCTGTACGGAATCGAGGGTATGACGCACTAAAGTAGCTCGCTGCTTTTGTTCTTCTATCTTACGCTGGCCGCCAATGAGATCGCCTGCGTTTGGCACCAAGGTCTGACGCGGGTGAGCGTCGGGATCCAAACGCGGTCATGCTTCGCGCTGCGGACCCGGGACCCGGTGCGTTCTGACTTCTACCGGAGAGAAGATCCTTGGTTACCGGGTTCGTGCGCCAGTCACCGCCGTTCCCAGAGTTGCCGTAATGCAGACCGCAATGACTCCAGAGGTTCCTGCGTCGCGTACAACTGTCAATCGATGTATGTACTCGTGCTTGGGATTCAAGGCGTATGTTGAAACACTTTTCGTGTCGCTGTTCGCGATTTACACACGAATCCTGAGTGTCATGGAACTGTGGCTGAGCCTGACCTAGAAATGACACGGGCCACAATGCGCCTCGAAAAGGCAATTCATGTGTTGGTGGCTAAGAACCACGGTCACGTGGTCTTTCGCGCGTACTTACTCCCAGGACCGAGGCCGGTGAGGCCACTGCTGTGCTAAGTGCTTGACATGCATACCAGTGCTTAGTTACGAGAATTTAGGCTGAGCATATTTACTGAGCGTGCTAATCGAATGCGTACTGGAAGCCGTCACGTAAATACTCGTTACAATACCTCATTTATTGAAAGCAAATTGAAAGAGGCGTGAGACCGGGCCGTTGTGCGCGAGCGCCTCTCTCTCTCGCTCTCACCACCCTGGGCGCGAGATGGTAAACACACCTTTCAATCATGTACTCCACATAACGCCTATCCTTGAACAAATCATTGAGCACTTTGCACCCGACTGGCCAGACGAATCTTTCCTAGATGTATCACCACAGGCAGCGGCCGAGAGGACCAAACGAACGAGAGCACAGCGCCGGATTTTAACCGGGCTAGCATGTGTATGCAAGACGTTTATGGAGCCTGCCCTCAAACTTCGTTGGCAAAATCTGGACGAGGGTATAATCACTTTGTTGCGTGTTCTGCCTGCCTTCAAAAAGATTGGAAGCTACGTGAGTACCCTCATACTTAGTTATGTTACACCTTTAATGGAGCTCACCGTCATCGCGACCTCAGTGTCATGTGTGCAATAGGGACGTTCAGAGTTCGCTGTCCGGGCAGCTATCCCGGCAGCTATCCCGTCCAGATTTCCGAGGCTCGACGCCGGCAAACGCCGACAGCGAGCCCAGCTGTGATCGCGCTCGCGACAGCAGAGGGCTCACTGTCGGCACGCGCGCTCGGCAACCCGTCGGAATCTGAAAACAAGTGGCTCACCGAGGAAGCCCTAACCCTTGTAACTCGGGCTCTACATACCTTACTAGAAATTTAACAAGCCATGCAAGAATATAGCTGTCCTGAAATTTGCTGGTAGACACTTGCTCGAAAGGGCACCATCCTACTTAACCATAAGATTTCGGACATTCGGCTCATATAAGCTATCTGTAGACTGTCTTCGTCAACCAGTAAATCACCGTGTGACAACTACTAAATTCGGTGAGTGTGTGGCTAACGTAACCAGTGTGACAGTCGCCCCGCTAGCTGAGTACTACTCCGTTTTTATTACAGAGACTACCATAGCTCATATTCTATATAGCAGCTGTTGACTCAGCACATATCGATACCAAGTGCGCAGAATAAAGCATGGTCACTCACCTGTGACGTTATGTGATCAGTAATTCCGTATTTGGTATTCGTAACATGCGTGGTACATCGCTTAGCCGCCCGCGTTCACTCCCCGAACAAAGAATACGATTTGACTCGACATATCGCACACAATGTTCCATAGCTTATTCGACCATCACAAACATATCTACAAGAAACAGGTTTGTTCGCTCAATTGGCTTATTATGTGGGCCACCGCTCGCCGAGATCGCCTCACCTGGATCTCCGACCAGGCGTTCTAGTAAGGTAGGGTTAGGGCTTCCTCGGTGAGCCACTTGTTTTTAGGTTCCGACGGGTTGCCGAGCGCCCGCGCCGATATCGAGCCCTCTGCTGTCCCGAGCGCGATCACAGCTGGGCTCGCTGTCGGCGTTTGCCGGCGTCGAGCCTCGGAAATCTGGACGGGATAGCTGCCGGGATAGCTGCCCGGACAGCGAACTCTGAACGTCCCTAATGGCTACTCGAGCGTGCTACCGAGAAGATTACTTGGTGGCAAGTTTCGAAACTCTCGCCCATCTCTCGCATCTGGCACGACGGCATCTGTCTTCCAGTCAGCGTTCAGCGCTCCGCGAACAGGCTTGAACGTACCTACTTCTGCGGCTGGCAGAGCTAGCATACGCCGGTGGCTTGGTGAGGGGGTGAAAAGCTCCTCAGCCTACCCGTCCTGCTGTGATATAGTTGTGCTTACGACGGAAGAGCGGGTACGATATTCACGTTACCTGTCAGCCTGAGGTTGGCCTGAGGTGAACATATTTGCCGTTCTACAAGATGTTACGTAAACATCAAGCGCCTGTTACCATTGCCCTATCAGCGCTTAATGGACCCATCCTCTACGTCGGGCTTTGTGCTGGGCCAACATCTGCTTCCTCGTCCTTGAGCTTGAGTACTTGAGTGCTCGAGTCATCGTTGTCTCCTACTACCGACACTACTTTGTAATGCAGGCATATGCTGTTCATCGGCTGCTCCGAATTCCACACCTCTTGGAAGAAGTCTTCGAGTATTTCGCTCCGGAATGGTCTGAAGAGCTAGTCATGTTTGACACGCCGGAGAATAGGCAGCGTGAAAGAGCGAAGTACCATATGCTGGCGGGGATCGCGCGCGTGTGCAAGGCATTCGAAGACCCGGCACTCGATGTTCTGTGGCGGTATCTGGAGGATTTAGACCCATTGTTGTGTATATTGCCACAACGATGTAGCGACTATGTGAGTTGTCGAGTGGTAGCTTCATGTGTTCTAGAGGTGCTCTCGAGTCTAGACTCACTCGTTGCCGGCGATTTCTTTGCAGAATGTCGTTGGAGATATCGCGTCTCAGCAATGGTCGCGTTTCCAGCAGTACGCGAGGCGTGTCTGTCGCCTGAGGTTCATGTTCTCCATGGAGGTCAAAAAGAATCGAAAAGCGTGGTATATGCTGGAAGATCATTCAAGTGGTCGACCCCTGCTACCCCGCCTTCGTACTCTGGTGGTTATCGAGATTGATGCCACCAAGCTAGGTGCTTTGATGCTCTTGATCTCGCCTTCTCTCCGAAGACTCAGGATGTCGTTCATGGAGGGATCGTTTGCCGTGGAATCTGCAAGTCATTCGCAGCCGTCAGCTACTGATTCCCTTCTCCCTCACGTCATCGCCGCTGTTCCTGACCTGACCGATTTCTGGATAGAATGTGGCCTGCCAGAAGACCTGCCTCCGCGCTACCTGTCCGAGCTCGCACGACTGGAGCGACTCGAGAAGCTCAACATCATTTACTCCGGAGCCGTCGTTGACCACGAAGCTCTCCGATGCATCTCTTATATGACTGCGCTGCGCGCCGTCGAGCTCTCCATCTGCCTCGACAGTATTGGTCTCTCGGAACCCCTGCAGCTTGGCGAGGCGTTCCTCGGCCTTGAAGACGTACATCTCTCTGGCAGTATTCACGACATCCGCCGCGTATTCGAAGCCGTCCAATTCCCGAAATTAGCCAGTCTCGGGCTGTCCATATCGACAGCACCGACGATGGAGGTCTTGACGGACTCGCTCGCCATGGTGTGCGACAGGGTCTCCAGATCCACGACTGAGGTCCATCTATTCATCTCTGCCGAGATGGACTCACCAGACATCTCCCTGAGTGACATCCTCCAACCGTACCTCCCCTTCCGCGAGATGACCAGCATGAACATCGAGTTCGACTACCACCTCCCCGGCTGGCAGGACGAAGACATGCTCGCCTTCGCAGATGCCTGGCCCGTTCTCGACCACTTCTACTTGGCCTGCGCTGCGGATGCTATTCGAGGCGCGCCACTCCCACTCCCAAGCCAGCCGACGGTCGCTGGGCTAATCGAGCTCGCACGCCGCTGCCCTCGGTTGAGATACGTCACGATGCCTTCGCTGGACGTCAGGACGCTTCCGTCGCCGCGCGAGGTGCCGCCGGTCGAGCACCAGTCGATGCAGTACCTGGAGGTCAGCAGGTACGTCGGGGGAGGGACGGCGAACCTGCTTGACCTCGCGGTCATACTTGACGTCCTGTTTCCACGCCTGAAACGGAAGCGTTGCTGCGTCAGGGCGAAGGACGGCGTTGCACCGGATAACACGGATGCAGAACACCTCTCTGTGCGTATGACAGAGTTGCTGTTGGCAGCGCTGTCGGCACGCAGAGAATTGCTCGACGGGACCCCAACTGCGGAGGCATCTGGCGGCCCGGCGGGGTGGGGTGAGAGTGCTCAGGTGCGCATATTGTGTTCGCGCAATACTACTTGCATGTGCCGACTATTCTTTAGGCAGATCAGCCAGCGTAACTCGAGCGAAGAGCAGGGATAGTAACCGGGGATAGCACAGACAGACAGCGTCAGTCGTCGTCGCTCGTGTCGCGCCGTTTTCTGGTCAAGCGATCGTGTTTAGAGGACGACATGCATGTTTGACGGTAGAGATCGCGCTGAACGAGAGTAGTACATGTTCAATAGACCCGACATTCGTCCGAATGTGGAAAAGATGAGTGGCCGATTCCCCATAGGCCACAAAGCTCCTCGAAAAGGCAGTTCAAGTACGGTGGCTTAGAAACACGGCCACGTGATCGTTCACGCGTATCCACTTCCCGGCCCCTATTGTGTTTGACATAGAAGATAAAATGGGACTCATACATGATCGCGTCTGGGCGTGAAGCAGACTCGTCGCCCATTAGTAGTAGTGCTCATAACAAGCCAGGATGAGCGTACCTGCGTGCTGAATGTGTACTCGAGGCCATCACATAAATAATTGCTTATCTTAAATACCTTGGTGAATTTCAGACGCGTTCAACGTTCAAATTTCAAACGTTGAAGCTCAGGTTGTGCACGAGCGCCTCTCTCTCCGCTCTCTCCACGCCCTACTTACTAGTAGGCGCGAGATGGTAAACACACCTCTCAATCATGTGCTCCACATCCCGACTATCCTCGAACAAATCCTTGCGCATTTCACAACGGACTGGTCCGACGAACCTTTCCTATGTGTGACACCACAGGTAGCGGCCGAGAGGACCAATCGAGCGAGAGCACAGCGCAGGATTTTGACTGGGCTAGTATGTGTATGCAAGTCATTCATGCGCCCAGCCCTCGATCTCCTGTGGCAAAATCTGGATGAGGGTTTAGTCCGTTTGTTGCGTGTCTTGCCCTCCTTCAAGAAGATTGGGAGCCACGTGAGTATCCTCGTACTTGTACTTACAACGTTCAGCGGCGCTCACTGTCGTCATGACACTTCTACAGTACATTGCTGAAGACATCTCGCCAGAGCAGTGGAGCAGGTTTCAGGAGTACGCAAAGCGCGTACGCCGCCTCAAGTATCCGGTTTCCGCGAAGTCCTCGATACACCGGATGACGTGGGCTATGCTTGAACGCCAGACTGGCGGACAACCCTTACTGCCCCGTCTACATACCCTCGTGGTTGCCGGCGTCGACGTCGACGAGCCGGCGGCGCTGATGCTCCTCCTCTCGCCCTCTGTCCGAAGCCTCCGAACGACATTCTCAAGTCTCACCACAATGGCACACTTGAGGCGTTCGAAACCGTGGTCTGAGGCTACAGGTGTCCTCATACAGCTGATCGTCGCTGCGGCTCCTGCTCTGTCCTCCGTCTGGATAGAAAACGGTCTTCCGAAAGATCTCCCTTCTCGTTACCTAACCCCGTTTGCACGACTCGGGCAGCTTCAGACGCTTGACCTAGTGTACTCTGGGGCTGTTGTCGATTACAAAACCCTACAGCACATATCGCACATGACGGCTCTCCGAGTCCTTTGCCTACAGATTTCCTTGGACGGAATCGCGCCCTCCGACCCTCTCCAGCTGGGTGGGGCGTTCAATGGTCTCGAGGAGGTCCAGTTCAATGGTTCTGCCGACGACATTCATCGCGTCTTCGAAACCACCCTATTCCCAAACGTGACAGGGCTCACACTGTGCATACTAACAGTACCGACAGCGGAGGCCCTCAAGGACTTGCTCGTCGCAGTGTGCGGCAGGATCTCTAGGTCCATGTCCGAGACCTATCTTACCATCGGTGCTCCGATGAACTCTCCGCCCGTCTCCTTGGCAGACATCCTCCAATCGTACCTCGCATTCCGCGAAATGCGCATACTGCAAATCGAATTCAATGACTATGCTCCCTCCATGGACGACCACGACTCCCTCGTGTTCGCAAGCGCATGGCCTAACCTCGAGTCCTTCCATTTTGATTGCCCGACATCGCAGGCCCGTCGACGTATAGAGCACCCGAGCTACCCGACCATCGCCGGGGTGACCGAGTTCGCGCGGCGGTGTCCTCGGCTGGCGATCCTCACACTGCCCCATCTGGACGTCAGGACTCTCCCATCACCACGCTCAGTGCCGCAGATCGGGCAAGAGTCGTTGCGCCACCTGCAGATCGAACAGTACCACGGCGGGGAGACAGCGAACCTGCTCGACCTCGCAACCATCCTCGACACCCTGTTCCCGCGTCTCGGACGGCAGCGCTCTGTCACCATACGCGAGAGCGTGACAGGTGGTCTCTTCAGAACTGAGAAGGACAGACTCCCTTTCTACATGACCAACCTGCTGCTTGCAGCGATTTCGGCGCGCAGAGACCTTGCCGACGGGACGGAGCCTGTGGATGATGGGTCTGTCACACTGGCGGAGCACGAGAACGAGGGTGAAGGAAGTGCGCAGGTGCGGTGATGATGTTTGCGCAATGTCTGATGCAATATGCTGACACCTCTTTGAACAGGTCATCGACGACGACACGTCGGAAAGCGATTATTGACCGAATTTCCGGAGGGTGCTCTTTGTCAACGTGGAACTCAATGTGCCACAAAAGCTATGCATGGGAAAGGACTTGCCGCAGGAAGAAAGCGTCTTGCCCTTGCTCCTCGTTACGAGGTGTCTGTTCACGGGACGTCGGACTAGTATGCGTTCGACTATGTTTTGAAGGGTCCCTACAGAACACGGTGATCAAACTCGTCAGTACAGTGTGCGTCGTATCATGATGAATACCTTCGCCTCGTGTGTGCAATGGCTGCTCGAGCGTGCTAACGAGAAGATTACTTGGTGGCAAGCTCTGAACTCTCGCTTCTGCCACGACGGCGCCTGTCATCAGGGTTCCGCAAACCTTGAACGTACCTACCATTACCGTGGCTCTGCAGCCTGGAGCAGACGATGGCTTGGTGAGGGGGTGCGGAAAGGTCGGTCCGCGATGTCCGAGCATCGCGAGTCGATGCTTTGGATGCGATCCTGCTTTCCTTCTCTCTATCTCGCTGCTCACCATTCCAAGACCATGCTAGTACTCGCTCAAGACCGCGCGCTCCAAATCCTGCACATTTTGGAGGATATCCTTGAGCACTTTGCTCCCAGGTGGTCAGACTCGGATACGTATGAGCAGCTCAGGTCGTCGGATGCACGCGACGAGGACATAGCGCGACGCAGGACCTTGGCAGCGCTGGCTTGTGTTTGCAAGACCTTTTCAGATACGGCTCTCAATATTTTATGGCGGGATTCAAATGATCTACGCAACCTACTGCGTGTTCTACCTTCCTTTCGACAATGCTTTGTGACCCAGCAGGTGAGTGCCATCGTGTTTGCATCATACTTGAGCGTGCTAAGGATTGATGCCACAACCACCCTTCTAGACGATGAGAATTGCAAAAATCACGCCCCAGCAATGGTCGCGTTTGCAAGTGTATGCGCGGCGTATTCTTCGCCTCAAGTGGAAGTGTTCCGCGCGGATCCCATTACGCCACATGATGTGGATTATGCTTGAACACCAAACTGATGGTCAACCCCTATTGCCCCGCCTTCATACACTTGCAGTTTACGAAGTAGATGTCGAGGAACCGGAGGCTCTGATGCTCTTATCGTCCCCTTCTCTCCAGCGTCTCACAATATCGCTCCTACGACCACTCGTTGACTCACTGGCGACCTCGAGGCACTGGAAGGCATCCAATGCAGACATGCTTATCCGCTTCATCACTCCCGCACTTCCTCGCCTCTCCAGTCTCCATGTACTATCCGGTCTACCACAAGACTTCCTTTCATGCTACCTGACCCCGCTCGGGCGGTGGTTCGGGCGGCTCGAAAAGCTCGATCTTGTGCACTCTGGGGGTGTCGTCGACTACCAAGCCCTCCAACATATCTCTCTCATGACTACTCTCCGGAGCATCCGAGCACATATCTCTCTCTCGGGAGTCGGCCCCTCGGCCTCTCTGCAGTTTGGCGAGGTGTTTTGTGGACTCGCTGACCTTCATCTCTTCGGCACCATTGATGACATTCGCCGGTTTTTTGAAACCATTCAATGCCCACAGTTGGAACACCTTAGGCTGACCACCTCATCAGTGTCAACAGCGACCGTTCTGAGAGACTCGCTCGCTGTGGTGCGCGATGGGGTCTCCACATCTGTTTCGACAATCCAAATATTCATCGGGGCTCGAATGTCCCCCTCACCTGCTGCATCACTGGCGGACCTCCTCCATCCATTCCTGTCCTTCCATAACATACGCACTTTCAATTTCGATTCCGTACAATATGATCCTTGCATGAGCGACCAGGATATTCTTGCCTTCTCTAGTGCCTGGCCAGTCCTCCGAAACTTCCAGGTGAACTATTTTGCGGATCCTCGTCCACATCCAAACTCGAGTCAGCCAACTGTCGCCGGCCTAACGCAGTTCGCGCGACGATGTCCTCGTTTGCTGCTCCTCCAGTTACCGGTTCTGGATGTCAGGACACTGCCGCCCACAAACTCAGTCCCGTCAGCCGGGCAGGAATCAATGCGTTACCTGCTTATTCGTGACTTTCTCGGGGGAGATACGGCGAATTTGCTTGATCTCGCTATCATACTCGATATCCTATTCCCCCGTCTCGACAGACAGCGCTCTTTCACTACGCATGGGGACGTGGATGCTCTCCTCAAATCTGACACGCGCCGCCGTCCTGTGTTAATGACTCGACTGCTGTTAGCGGCGATCTCGGGACGCAGAGAAGTCCAGGACAGAACCTCCACTGCGAGTGGACAGGGGTTTCTACGAGGGGACCCGGGCGCACACGAAGGAGAAGGGAGTGCTCAGGTACGTGTATATATCTGTAGTGCCGTTAGGTTTCAAGTTCGTTGATCGACAATTGACCCACCAGATCGGCGAGCCTGCGTCAGACGAAGAAACGTCACTGTAGTAGTTCCACACGGAGGAAGGAAGAGAAACGATTCTCGCATTACAGACACCAGTTCCACGAATCCGTATGGTCTTTGTTCACGTTATGTTATGAGTTGTACGTTCTGGTACGCGACGAACCCAGATGATTCAGAATGTGTACGCAATCGTTGAATAGCTTACATAGATGTGCTCCATTGCCAGATGACATTCCTCAGTCTCACCAATCAGACAAAGCCCCAATGTCGGACAGCTGGACCTTGGGCCCCTTGCAGCTGCACAGACAACGTATGCATACCGCAAACATCAAACTGATCTGTAGAGTATGTGGAGGTTGCAGTTATCGCACAGTCATGACCAACGCTATGTCAGAGCGACCAGAGCGCGTAGACGTCTTCCGCTCCGCCATCGCACTGTCGCAAACACCCCTACACCAAGGATGAAACCGAGCAGCATCCCGACATCTCCAGTTCCCGCCCGTGCGATCGGCCCGACCCACCATGCCTTGTCCATGCAAAGCACAATGAAGCCCACGGATATGACGAACGTGACGATACTGCAGTAGCTCGGCGCGAGGTTCGGGTGCCTCGGGTCGTCCCACGCCTCGGAGACACGGTAAGATGACCAGTGCATGCGGCGATAGAGGAGGTGCTCTACGAGGATAACAGCGACGTAGGGCGCGAGCCAGTAGCCAATGAAGCCGAGGATGTCAGAGAAGATGGAGTAGAACGTGTTGGAGCCTACGATCGCGACGGGGATGATACTGCATGCGCACTATCAGCAGCGATCCTTCACGTTTACATCGAGCTTGAACTGTACGCACATAGCGGTGGACGCGATGGCGAGGAAGAATCTCGGTATCCGGGCGAAAGCAGGCGCCAGCGTCATGAAGCTGTTGCACGCCGTATACATCGACGGCGCACATTGGCTGGGCGTCGTCAATGCGAGGAGGACGACGAGAAACTTGCCGAACCCGCCCGCAGGCTCTAAGACGGCAGCGATGAGCCCGCCGATGTCGTTGCCATTCCCGAGGCCTGCCTTCCATGTGGGATTGAAAGCGGCCCCTGCGGTGAAGGCCGCACCAAGCATATGGGCTGGCATCTAACATTGGAACTATGTTGAGATCACCACTCGAGGTAATTAGAAGTGCTCACGCTTGACAACAGAAGGCCTGAGTAAGTATATATCCATACCCTTAGCCTGCCCTCACGATTAGGCCTTGTTCGTGGCAAGGAGTGCCGCTACTCACGCACTGGCCGTGTGGTCGTGATACACGCCCTGATCAGGCATGAGCGGAGACCAGTTGACAACGCTGGCGGCGAGCGTAGCACCGAATGTCATGATGTTCGGCGTGCCACAGGAGTAGGATTCGATAGCGGCGAGTCCACCAGGCGTCTGCCGTTCACCGCGAGCATCGTGATGAAGGCACGAGATTCGGGATCCAGACGAACGTGTTGTACCTATTCATACCCGCCATGAGTGTCAGGCAACAGGGACATAGCTCCGTGCGTACCAGTGCAATACACGAGATCCGCTGAACACTACCTGTGCGAGGTGATTGTCGTCCCTAGACGTTCAGATTCTAAGAAGCACCTACCACAAGCGTGACGAGCGCGATGATCACAATACCGAGAGACGCATTGAGGTGTGCGGATACGCTTCCGAGTGTTTGGCCGCCAACGATGGTATTCAAGATGAGGTAGCCTTGGAGAGTGAGGGTGACGAGTGTACTGGGAATCAAAGCCCCGTAGTATCTACAGACAAACCACGCGGATCAGAAATGAACGCAGATAAGAGAAAGTCTGCGTACCCCCAAGAGAAACGCGCCTGAACCATTCCACGCATCCCCAGTTTCGGTCCCAGGACAGCGCTGTCACCGCGACTTGTCAATGGACTGATCTCATGAGGAGGTATAAACCCACAAGAATGCAGGTATTGCGCATGTCCTGTGACATACGTGTCTATCAGTGCGTGAACGTACAAGTGCTGGGCTGGTCCATACACTATGTCCACCACCAGAATGACCAGGAGCGACGCCCTGATGCCCAAGCCATAGTACGCAGGCCCCACCGTGCCAGCAGTCAATCTACACATGCGCACACATGAGAATAGTCTGCACGGCACATCGAGCACGGACGCACGTCAGGACATTCAGGTTTGCAGAGAACCATACAAAGAACATCTGGTACAGCCGTCGGTCGTTCCTCTGCTCCGGCGGCACGGGTGTGATGCTGCTAAGGCCCTGAAGCTCTCCCTCTTGCACGCTACGCAACGAACACGCACCCGTTCGTCTCCACGCCCCATCGCGCCAGCTGCGCGGTGATTCTTTGGATCCTGGTTAGTGGCTGGGACGCCTCCTCGTCCCCCGCCGCGCATAGTCTCGGGCGGCTGGTCTCGATCGTGACCACCGCGGACAGCTGCTTCTCCGAGTCTTCCTCGAGCTCGATCTCCGCTTTGGTGGTCGACCGTCTCAGTTCCTGCACATCAGTGTGCGACATGGCTCGGGAGGGTGCAGACAGAGCAGACAGAGCAGCTGGCGCGAAAGTATGTTATCGAGAAGCCGCGAGCACGGCGACAGATGTGACGCCTGGGTCATGCGGGGAGTCGCCCTAGCCAAGCTGGCGTATAGCGGGCACAGAAGTGGTCATTGTATCCTCACGTGTGTGCAGCGAACGCCACGACGGAACACCGAAGACGCATTCGTGAAGTGGGGACATCGAGGCCCCGTTGCACATTCTTCATTGGGTACGTAGACGCGACACAAGGCACGAAATCGGGGAATATCGGCTCGAAGGAACGTGTAACATAGCGAGGATTGTGCGCAACGGTCACGGATTACACCTGCATAGTGTAAGCACAAGACGTCGGTACTAACGGCGCTAGAGTACTCACTGAACGTACTGTAGCTACATACGATTGTATGGTTGGACCAGGAGTCGCCCCGTGTATACCTTCTGCGCAGCGCTGTTGGGCTGACACATGTCGCGGTGTATGCGTACCACTGGTAACTGCTGCAGGAGCATGCTTCGAATGCGGTATTGTTCGATGCCTGGTCTTGAGCCTAGGCGTAATCTACTTCAGGCGAGGGCTGATGTGTGTCGTTTCGTGTGCGTGAAGGCTTCCTGTTCAAGGAATGTGTGCGAATCTCGTCGACTCGGCCATGCACACACCGTCTTTTCGGGCACATTCTGCTCACGAAGAGTCAGGCGAACGAATACAGCAGGTCGACGAGACTTACGGAGGGAGGCCGCCGGATGTGTTTGTCGGTGATCGCTCGCCCATTCTCCTGGCCACTCCTCGTCTGCGACTTGCTAGGTTTTCGGGCCCACGACTGCTCCAGCTCTGCCGTACACGTCCGCGCCCACTTCATCATCTTGCGCACGCGCTCGACCAGCTTCTGCTGGGGCATCCTGTACACCTCCGGCATCGGGTTAAAGATATACGTCCAGTCTACGACGTGTCAGGGCGCGAGCCGCGGTCACGACAGGCAGCGCACGCACCGTCGCGTATCCAATCCCGCCCCGCGTCCGCCTCCCTGAAGACGATCCTGTCCTGTCCCTTCGCGTCCTTGTTGGTGCGCGCGCCCCTGGTCACGACCAACGCCACCGCCGCCTTGACCCTGTTCATGACCCGGTTTCGAATGACGGCGGAAGGGAACTTCGCGACGGGCACCATGACGTGGACCGAGGCGCCCAGCTGCCCGGCGTCGCTCTTCGTCGGCGGCGGAGCGTCGCCGTATTCACGCAGCCTTGGGTACATCAGTGCTTTGGGGAGGACGGAGATACCCATGCCAGGGATACCGGATCGCATGCGCGCGCGTGGTATGCGGGCAGCGGGGTGGCTCGGGTCGAGGACTTCAGAGTGAGCTACTTGAAGTGGGGGAAGAATGGTCCCGACATCCTGTTTCTTGAACTGCGCAGGATTGAGAGATGCTCAGGACTGAGATTGCCGGAACTCACGTTCAAGGACCTTAGCTGCCTCGACGCTTTGGGTAGCCGGCTCAGTTCGGGGCACTTCTGCATGGCAATGAGCCTTCAGGATAGCTCGTGGAATGAGGTAACAGAAGAAAAGAAAGCACAAAGACAGAGGAGGAGAAGGAGGAGGCCATCCGACCGTACTGCTACACTCGGGATCGTAAGCGCCTGTTAGATTTGATCGGTACGATACTTCGGCGCCTACTAGTAGTACTCTATCATGAGGAATGTAAGTACTAGTACTAGACCCCATTCAACGGCAAGGCAAGTACTGCTCATACGACACGCAGACGTTCGCACCTGTGTTTCTCCACCTCCATCTTTGCATAACAGATATACCCTACATACTTGATTTCTCCTTGCCGCTTCCTCCTCCGTAACGACCCTGCCTTCCACTTCTCCGCCACCTCCGTCGCGAGCACCTTCACGGCCGCCTCGTCGCGTCCGATGAGCGCGACATACACGCCGCGCATGAGCAGGGGGTACGAGCCGACGCGCACGCCCGCAGCCTTCGTCCGCGCCTGCAGCTCGGTGAGGTATGGGGCGATGGATGACTCCGGCATGCTATGAATGTGTTCAGCACGTGAGCAAGGGAAACATGTAGAAGACGAGAAAAGACCACGTCGTGAATATTGAGGCGGAAGGGTCGCTCGCTCAGCGGCGGGAGCGGGAGATAGGGCTTCAGCCCGTCGATCATCCTCTGGAAGAGCCTCGGGATGCCAGGAACACGCAGAGCTTACCCTCCAGGCGCACGGTCGGCTGCACGCAAAGAGTACGTCCATGTCAGTATCCGCCGATGTCCGACGAATGGATACTCACCACCCACACGTCCGGCGCGATGAAGAGCGCCTCGGCTCCCGCAGGGAAGAGCGCCATCCGCTCGCGAGCCTCGCGTTGTTCCGCGGTCTGGTTCATGATGTCGGCGCGGTGCCGGCTCATGGATGTCATCCGCGAAGGGTCTCCTCGTGCTTCTCGAGAGACTGGTTGAATGCTTTCGCGAGAGACGCGTATGTGATGTCTACGATACACCGTCAGCGCTGTTGATAGAATCAAGGGGTATGGATCGCACTAGTCAGCTACGTACCATCGTGTGTGGGGCCGATACCTCCGGACGTGATAACGAAGTCGTACGTTTTCACCAGTCGTCGACTCGCTTCAACGCTATGTTCCGCGGATGAACCTTGATCGTGAGGCTCTGGAAAGCCGGCAGCATGATGTAGTACGCACATGTCGTCCTCGTCATCCGGTATACCTCGATTCGCTTCCTATAATCCCGAAGTCAGTCATTAACTCTGAATAGTCCTGCCGAGCAGGACCCCTATCGAATCCTTCCAAATGGTGTGTCGAGGGGTATAGCTGAATGTATCCGGACACTGTGCGAGCCACAGTCGCCGAACAAGACTGATGAAATGTCCGGACATGCACTTCGTGATTGCCCGAGGAAGAGGTATTCGAACATGGACAGCCCAGGTGCTCTCGTGCAGCAACCACCCCTCGAGGGACGAAGTGTCGTACAAATGACGAGTACGTCGGTGGAACCCTGAGACAAAGTCCGGACAACGAAGTTGCGGGGAAAGCATCCCCGTATATAACCAGGTATCTCCGCAGATGCAAACTCACAGGTCTATCCCGTTCTCGAAGCAGAAACGCGCAAAGTAGTTGGAATTGCGATCCAGCGTCTTGCCATTTAGGATCTCGTCCCTATCATAGGTGGATGAGATCAAAGGCGCATCGTATACTGCATTCCGTACCCAATGATCAGAGCTGCTGCCGTCTGGATGTGCTCCCCCACCCAGAGGTTGGGAGGTACAGGCGAACTGGAAGTTCCACTCGGTCACTGGCGGGGCATCTGGCGCTGAACCAGCACTCGTGCCTGGACAGGCTTCGCGGACGGATCGGCGGGAACGCTTGCTGTGACATGTTGCGGAGAGGGTTCCAGAGCGATCTCAGGAGGCGTCGGGCGGTGGCCTGGATACGAAGCGGCGCTCGAGGCGTAGAGAAACTTGGAAGATTCGGGTGCAGGCGCGACAATGAGCGGGAATACATATAATGCAGTCAGCCTGCTCGATAAGGCATTCAGCTTGGTCAGACGGGACAGACGCAGGTGCGGACTCCGATGAGGAATCAGTACGGGTATGCGAACTTCGCGCTGGACAGGCATGTGACCGTCCGGAGCTTTTGCTGGCATTTACAGGTTAGTGAATCGGTCTGTATGTTGACACTTCAACTCACCAACTGAAGCTTCCCGGGCCTATGCAATGCAAAGACGTGCAGGAGACTGAGTGGTGGTATGTACCTCTCTAGATCGGGAAGTCCGGATTGTACCGTACCACAGCTTACGTAATGGTCTATTTATAACCTGTGCGTACCAGTGCCGCAACGTACCGTGAACTGACACACTCCTTTGGACCGCCGCGGTCTTATCGTCATCCTTGGGCCTATAGACCCTCGCACCAACTGGAGACCATATTTTAAACAGTTTACAAGTACTGGAGAATTGGCTAACTGCACAGCGGTTGTCCGCAGGCGTCACGGTCGCGGCAGCTGAGTGCCAGTGGATCTCGCCGGTCTTCAGCCAACTGTCGATGGCTAACAGCCCGCGTGTTAAATCAAACCTTCTGTGGTGAGCTTGCTTCTTTCGATGACATGGAGAGCTGTGCAAGAAGAGATGGGAACGGAAGGTCCGTCAGCCAGGAGATGGCGTCTCGATCTGTGCCTCGGTTCTCGCAGCCTTACGCAGACATCTTGCTCACGTGCGACTGACTCGTACAAACGCCAAACAGCTCAATAATAGGTACGCCCGTAGGCGTGCTCAAGTGAAGCTCGCTGATGTTTGTACGGACTTCCACCAGCGTGATTCGTTCTTCTGCGTCTCTAGTATCTACGATTGCATCGCGCTCGTGTCACCGAGCCCTTCTTGATTTATGCCAATGTTAGAAGCATGTTCAAGGCTGTGCTGGGTACCAACACTGAATCAGATCGTTGACATGGTGGTAGGGCCCTCGTCCCAGCGAGGAGCCGTCATGCGGCGCCCCACACACCGTTACTCCCCTCTACTTTCCGTCGCTCAGTTACCTTGCATCCACTTGATCCACTGACAGTTAATCCATTCGATCTCCTGGTTCCGTTGATATTTGTGAGTGTCGTCCTCTCGCGAAGAAACACGGATTAACAGCATCCGGGCTGCATGCGTATGTACAATAGACTCGACCTTCCGCTCCTTACGGCGGTATATCGCCATGGCGCTGAACGCACCCATCTCCCTATATTCACCGTCATTGTCATTTCCGACCAGTACACTGAGCCAACTCACGGCCTCGACCAGCAGTTATGCCTCCGAATCCACGATGCCCCAGCGCGTTCAAGACAGTACATCGACTGATTCATCCACTGTCGTGCCTTCATCGGAGACTCCGACCACGCCTCCGACTGTCACGACCAAGACCGACGCTCCAGTGTTTATCACGATGACCTCGGTGTCTACCTCTACCTGGACCACGACGATGTCTCCCAGCGTGTCCGGCACCGAGCCTACAATGCCCCCCACCCTCAGCACCGTCCAGGTGATGGGAATAGCGACGGCGGTCGTAATGGGAGCACTGTGCATCCTAGTGCTGGGTGCTGTCTGCGTGTATTGCTGCATGCGCTCGAGAAAACCGTCGCACAAGTTCCTTCCCCTGGAAGACGCGGGCGAAGGTTCGTGAACACATGCGCCTCGCTGTGCGCTCCCTTGCTCACCTCTCGCGCAGAGCCTCCGGACGACTCGCCCGTATTCCTAGACATCACACACAACAAGTCGTCGTGGATGCACAAAGAGGCAGTCCCGCTGTCCTGGAGGGCGCCTTCAGAACCTCGCACGCCGACCACCCCCGCGTCCCCAGGCGCCTCTGACTTGCTGACGATCGCTACGGTCGGCTCGCCCGTCGAGCCTAGTGCCAGCATTCGCCTGCCCAGGAGCTGCCTGGGAGGCGGAGCAGAGCGATGATTCGTCCGCAGTCCCGCGAGATGTCCCGCGCATCTCGCGTCCTGTCCTGGATGGGTAACAGCCGTTCCTCGCGCACGGATGCCGACGAAGAGGTCGACTCGGGCTTGCGTTTCAAGTACGAGCTGCGCCGGGTTAGCACAGCGTCTGCGCTGTTGTATTCTCCTCCGCCCTATAGCGAATCTTAGGCGTATTGACGCGCGAGACAAGTGCACTGAGTCATTACCGGCCGGACTGAGGGAAGGGCGACGTTCGAAAGAACGACACTCATCTTCTCCACATTCGGACCAATGTCGGACCTGTTGAATATGTACATATACTCCCGCCGAGCACGTTCTCCGCCGCTAAACATGCCTGCCATTCCAATCGGTCCTCCGCGATACGAGCGACGACCACAGGGCTGTCTGCGCTATCTCTGCTCTTCATTCGAGTCACGCTCGCCGATCTGCCCGAAGAACAGTCGGCACATGTAAGTAAGATCACACGATACAATATGCGTACCTGAGCACTCTCATCACGCCCCGTCAGTGCGCCAGATGCGTCCGCCGTTGAGGTTCCGTCGAGCAATTCTCTGCGTGCCGAAAACGCCGCAACAGCAAGTCCGTCATGCGCACAGGGAGGCAATCCGCGTCTGTGTTCTCCAAGGAAACGCCATCCTTCGCCCTGATACAGCAGCGCTGCCGTTTCAGGCGTGGAAACAGGACGTCAAGTATGACCGCGAGGTCGAGCAGGTTCGCCGTCTCTCCCCCGATGTACCTGCCGACATCCAGGGACTGCATCGACTTGTGCCCAACCGGCGGCACATCGCGCGGCCGCGGAAGCGTCCTGACGTCCAGCAAAGGCAGTGTGAGGTATTCCAGCCGAGGACAACGGCGTGCGAGCTCGACCACCCCAGCGACCGTCGGCTGGCTTGGGAGTGGGAGTGGGAGTGGATCGGGTACACCGCAGGACCAGAAAAAGGACTTGAGAAGTGGCCAGGCGTTTGCGAAGGCGAGCATGTCTTCGTCGTTCCAGCAGGGGATGTGGTGGTCGAACTCCATCTCCATGCTGGCCATCTCGCGGAAGGGGAGGTACGGTTGGAGGACGTCACCCAGGGAGATGTCTGGTGAGTCTATATGGGCGGAGACATATATGTGGGCCTCGGAGATGGATTTAGATACCTGTCGCACGCCTCTGCGAGCGAGTCCTTCAGGACCTTCATCGTTGGCGCTGCTGATATCGTTAGCCCGAAGCTGATCAAATTCGGACATCGAATGGCTTTGAACAGCCGGCGGATGTCGTGGATGCTACCAGAGATATGAATGTTTGTCAGGCCGTCAAACGCCTCGCCAAGCTGCAGAGAGTCCGAGGGGCCAATGCCGTCGAGGCAAATCCTCAGTTCGACGTTCCGGAGAGCAGTCATGTGAGAGATGCATTGGAGAGCTTCGTGGTCGACGACGGCTCCGGAGTAGATTGTGTTGAGCTTCTCGAGCCGCTTCAGTCGTGCAAGCGAGAACAGGTAGCGAGGAGGCAGGTCTTCTGGCAGGCCACCTTCTATCCAGAATTCGGTCAGGTCAGGAATAGCGGCGGCAACGAGGGGGAAAAGGGATTCGGTAGCTGACAGCCGCGAACGACTTGCGGACGCCGCAGAAAGCGACCCTTCGATGAACGACATCCTGAGGGTTCGGAAGAAGGCGAGAGCAAGAGCATCCAAGCACCTTGCTCGGCGGCATCAATATCGTGAACCACCAGAGTACGAAGGCGGGGTAGGAGGGGTTGACTGCTTGAATGATCTTCCAGCATAGACCACACCTTTCGATTCCCTCTGACCTCCCTGGACATATGAACTCAGGCGACAGACACGCCTCGCGTACTCTCGGAAGCGCGACCATTGCTGAGGCGTGATGTCTCCAGCGACGTCCTGCAAAGAATTCGCCGGCGATGAGTGAGTCTAGGCTCGAGAGCACCTCTAAAATGGTGAAGCTACCGCTCGAAACTCACATAGTCGCTGTGTTGTCGCAATATACACGACAACGGATCTATATCCTCCAGATTTCGCCACAGAAATTGACTGCCGGATCTACGAATGCCTTGCACACACGCGCGAGCCCCGCCAGCATTTGGTACTGTACTCTGTCGATAGTTCTATCAGAGTCCCACAAGTAAGGATATTGGGCACTGTGACCGCCTGTGACCATTCCGGAGCGAAGTACTCGAAGACTTCTTGCAAGAGGTGTGGAATTCGGAGCACCCGATCAAAAGCAGATGTTTGCATTACACAATAGTATTGGTAGCAGGGGACAACGATGACTCGAGGACGAGGAAGCAGACGGTGGCCCAGCACAAAGACCGACAGATGAGGAGGAGGAGGAGGAGGAGGAGGAGGATGGGTCCGGGTCCATTTAGCGCAAATTTAGCGCTGAAGCGCTGACCGGCGGGCGATGGTACACCTACATAACAGGCGCTCGCGTTCACACAAAAGCGGGCTCACCGTCCTGAGCCAACACCTGGAACACCACGCTGAAAGAACTATTCTTGTCATGTCTGCCTAGGAGAGATTACTTATAGTACATCTACACTAGGGCACTGGGCGGGCAGTTGTCCTCCTCAAGTTGGCTTCTCGAGGAAACGATTCTCGTGCCATTGAAACTCCAGTTTCTACCAGCACTTGTTACGGTGTACAGCCAAAGCTTTGCGTGTGCATCCGACAAATTCTCGCATTACATCAACTAACCATAGATCATTGCGGTCAGTCGGAGTAGAGCTGGCGGCGCAATGTTGTACATGGCGTAGTATGAGTGGATCTCAGATGAGTTCGGACCGTTTGACGAGCTCCCAGAACCCCATACAGGCATACTTACTCCCCCCCCCCCGTCGTCTGGACAGGACGGCGCAAGCCATTGTGCGTGTTGTACGGGTAGTATCGCAACTTTTTTCACGCTCGCCTCGAAACTGAGCCAACTACAGCGATCTCCTTCCAGCAAGCAGTTTACATTGGTATCAATGTGCCGCATCTCGCAGAGCCTGAATTGCTGACTGTTTGTTGATCAGCTCGTGTTCGACGTGTAATCAGGGGATCATAGTCGACCACCCAGCACTTGAAGTTAAAAAGACGCACAGACGTACGAGCCAGTGGTCTCGACCTACCACGGTCCGTCGTGTGGGTACGTTCGTCTTTTTGGAACACAATGACTGACTCTAATAAGCGCAATTTTAGATAACGCCTTGTGAACCGTATGAACATCCTTCGATGAGCATAGACACCATCTACCAGCCTACATGGAGTCAGACCTCGCCTCCAACCCCACCTATTTCTCCTCCATCTAAACCTCGACAACTCCCTCGTCTTCTTCAACTCCCTCGTTTTCTTCAACTCCCTCGTCTTCTTCAACACCCTCGTCTTCTTCAACTCCTTCGTCTTCTTCAACTCCTTCGTCTTCTTCAACTCCCTCGTCTTCTTCATCTTTACCGACGTCCTTCCAAACGTCTAAGTCCCCGCTGCTTCCATACAATTTCTCGTCGCCTCCGCAATCAACATCCTCCCCCTCGTCTTCCCTCAGTAGTGGCCTATCAAGCACGGGGCAGTCGTCATATGTTTCCCATTCATCCCCCGCAGTTTCGACGAAGACGACATCGACGCCGATGTCAAGCACGGCGTCAACATCCTCCGCTACACTCACATATCCGTCGGGGACATCTACAGGGAACCATCGGGCCATGCCCAATTCAGAGATTGCTGGCCTCGCCGTGGGGATCGCTGTTTCGGCATTGCTGGCTGTTGCGATGGCTTGGTATCTCATACAGCACTGGAGACGTATGCAGGCTGTGCCAACGCAAGACTCGGAAGTATTGCCTCCCGAGGATCCCGAGGGTGAGACCCCTATGCTCAGAAAAATTATTGACTGACGTTCGTTGCACAGAAATGAACGAGGACATGGAATTGCGGGCCAAGGCGGTCACTTTCGCACCCTCGGCGCCACCCTTCGTGTCGCAGGATGTTCTGGTTATTGGATCTCCTCGAACCTCGACGGAATGGTCGAATTCGAGTCACCTCATCTGGACCACGGCGTGCATGTTGTGGATGTGGATGGACGACCAGACACTGCACACCCGCGGTCGTCCGACCCTTTCTTGGACCCTCCCTCACGACCTCGCACCCGCGGTTCTGCGGCGTCAGAGAGCCGCGTCGCATTCGTTGATTCGGACACACCGGTCTCGCCGAGGGACACCTTCGTCAGACGATCACGTACTGCTCATGGACGCTCACTTCCGCCCATCCCATCCGTCGCACCTCAGCCCGGCCGAGACGAAGGTTCACGGACTATAGCACCCGGGACAACTGCCCTAGACCGCTGGTCCACTGCCGTGACGGCGTCTTCGGTCTTGCCGGGCGGGGCGAATACGGATGCCGAGACACGTCGACTGACACAGCACGTCGACTCCGGTATGCGCTTCCAGAGCGACCTGAAGTGCGATGGTGCTATGTATGCAGGCGCATCCACAGGTTCTCTGGAATTCCACCAGCATATACGGAAGACTGAGCAGTGCGTGAGAGCGAGCATGCCACTCGTGGTTACCGAATTTCATGGGACGCAGCCGTAATAATACATGTGTCGGTGAAGATCATCTGGTCTGGACAGTTCATCGTGAGCAACGTCCTCGAAGGCAGAGCTGCAGAGCCTGTGGCAGTGACGCGGTATGATCATCAGGATGGCCCCAGGCCCTCTGCTCAGCGAAGCTGTCGCAGTTACAGTGAAGTCCACAGTAGAGGCGCGTGGCTTGCATCGCGTTGTGCAATTTGATGACACTGCCGCTCTTCTTCCAGCTGTCAAACGTACAACTACATCTCTCGGGCGCCGAGTTGAAAGAGAGCCTTACCGGCGGCACGTCGCAGTCACGACCAACGGAATCTACAGCTTCCCGCCGCTCCAATCCGCATCCCATCGGGTCTGAGCTCATGTTCGTGGGGCCCGCTTAAGCATGGAATGTAAGGGAGAATGAGAACATTGGCAGTGGCAAGTGCATTGCCTGGGACGCGAGACCTGAATTGATGGCAAGTTGATACCAGCATCCGAGATGGCCCATCACCATACTTATCAAGTGGAAGGGGTCGTCGACAGATCATAGATGTTCGACGAAGGGCGTGTGGATTGCCCACGATACATGATACGGGCGCTGACGATGCCATATGATAAGTTATGGTACTTACTTACTATTATTAGGGATGGATCCGACACATCTGTTGGAACATGCGTTTAGGCACGAGCTCGCAAGCTCGGCCGAGATAGTTCCTGAATGAAGATAAGGGAGGTCAGGGTATATAAACCGTAGTTTTCGATGTACCTACCTCACGCGATTGCCCTTCGGGCATCGTCCGCGCCCGGGACACTCGCGCCCGTCGACCGTCGTTCCGCTTGTTCTCACACAATCGCGTCAGCCCACCTGGGGGTTTACTACCAGAAGGCTCTGGGGGCAGCCGAAAGCCCGCCGCTCGCTGTGTTGCCGTACCTCGCGCGCATGCTGTCGCTCGCCGATACTCTGCTGGCCGTCGCCATGCCGCAGACTCCCGCCGTCGCCGTCGACCCACCTGCCTAGACGAGGCTGAAGTCGTCTACCCGCCGTTGAACGTTTGAACGCCACACGCGCGCCACCGCCGCCGCACGTCGTACGATCGACCTGTCGAACCGAACCGCCCGGGACAGGGCCGAAGCTGTCCACCGCTGCACCGTCGAACCGTTGTCTTGCCCGCCGCCGAGGGTACCATCGTCGAACCGCCGAACTGTTGAACTGTCGAACCGCCCGCCGAGGGTACCGAACCGCCTGCCGAGGGCACCGCCGAACCGTCTGTCGAGGACACCGTTGATCGAACCGCCGCCGTTGCTGGAGATGTTGAAGAGTTGTCGGATTTGGACGAGGATCGCGCCGCCGTACGTGTACGCCTTACCTTCGCACCTAAGGGTCGCCCGTCGGAGCTCGCATGAGCATGGATGCTCGGCTGGATGTCGGAGTGTTGGAAATGGTGTCGGAGCTGGATGACCGCGAGATGGACGAGGATTTGAGCTTGGGGGAGTGCCGGATGTCGAACTGCGGGGAGTGCGCGTGAGCACTCGCTTGCTTCGCTCGGGGGAGTGTGTTGGAACATGCGTTTAGGCACGAGCTCGCAAGCTCGGCCGAGATAGTTCCTGAATGAAGATAAGGGAGGTCAGGGTATATAAACCGTAGTTTTCGATGTACCTACCTCACGCGATTGCCCTTCGGGCATCGTCCGCGCCCGGGACACTCGCGCCCGTCGACCGTCGTTCCGCTTGTTCTCACAACATCGCCGCGACGCACTTCCCTCCCATAACTGGTGACAGATGCCGGACGAAGCCACGGTGCAGTGTTACAGTATAGGCTGAGAGAAAAACAGCAATAATGAACGGCGAACACAGTAGGCTACTCAATGGCAAAATACGACCCGGGCGGTGGTGGCGGTGGCAATACTAGTATCTGAGATCTGGATCGATGCATGACGCTGAGCCTCGAGCGCTTTCGCGTTCTGGCCACGTTTGAATGTGCACGGCGCGCGAGCACTGCGCTGGTAAGAACGTTCACGACAACGTTTTAGTCATGCAGTCGTTGCCATCTGTTGCTATCGTCGTCCTGCCCTTCTTCGTCGCGACATAGCCCCATCACACACACTGCCTTAAGTTGGCAACTGTCGGTACTGGCAGGCTGCCTGGCAAACTTTAACCAAATAGCGATCCATTACGTAAGGTCAGGAACGAGCTCTTCTACACTCGTTCTAGTCACTTACTTCTTGCCTTCGTAGTCCCTCGGGCCATCCGCATCGTCCATGACTTTACGCCTCCACTGAGTCCTGGACCCGGGCACTGCCGGTGTGTATTACCGCGCCTCATGATTATGACTACTAAGAGTATCACGAATGCTGGATACCCACCAGACCCACATCTTACGATTCCAATGTGATGTGTCTTGCTTTAATTCAATCTTAGATGTCATAAAAGAACGATGGACGAAGAATGCCATGATGGACGAAGCCGATGACCACGCATCGAGCAACCCATCCCTACGCATACAGTTCAAGTGTATGATGTATGTTCATGGCATCTCTTTCTGATTTATTACATAGGATTCATCATCTCTGGACGGATAATCGCAGCGGACTTAAAGACAGCGGCTCTTATGCCAGCATGGCCCAGCGACATGTCTTTGGTCCTTGCTGCCAGTGGGGAGTCTGCCTAATCAGCGACTTTGATTTACTGTGCACAAGTGTGAGTGTCATTTGTACTACCTTGGCTGTGCCGAAGCCAATGTCTTACCGCATATATTTATAGCTAGGACTAGTATATACCCATGTCAAATCCTTTCAGCGGTCTATTTCCACCGGATTCTAGTACTTCCGCGACCCAAGCCCCTCCGAGTACTAGCTCATTGTATTCTAGTACGTCTGTCCCTCGGGGTATATCCCAGTATCGACGCTAAGTTATGGGACAACAAATGCAGGTTACAGTCTATCAACTTCCGACGACACTGCAACCTCCGAGTCCACAATCACTGATACAGATGTTTTGAACAACCCTATAACGTCACAAAAGGTATCGCCGCAAGGTACTATCGGTCCCAATGGTCAATATACTGTCATAAGTCTATCGCCGCCAGGTACTATCGGTCCCAATGGTCTATATACTGTCATAAGTCGAAGGTACGATACATACGTGAACGATGCATCTATGTCCAACACTCTGATGACTACCACATGTATAGCATGGGAACGTCCTCATTGCTGAGCACAAGTGCATCCTCATTGCTGGGTACAAGTGCCTCCTTGCCGACCACAAGTGCATCCTCATTGCTAGGCACATCGGCACGCTCGCTGAGCCCAAGCTCGTTATCACCGGATATCCCCATGGCACCTCTGCCGACAAACACACTCAGTAATACCACTGTCTCGGGGACAGTGAATTATACGAAAATCATCATAGTTGTCGGAATTGTGATAGGAGGCTTGTGTGTCGTGGGAGGTCTATTGTGGTATTGGCGCCGACGAAGACGCGTACGGCACAGGGCGCTGGCTGGAATCCCCATTGATAATTCAATATCGGTCCCTAGGATTGGTACGCAATGTGCCCGCATCCAGAAATCTTACCTGACGACGTTGTCCACAGAACCTTACACAAAAGCGGCAACGCCAGAGGCTTCTGCACCAGCAACAGGAATGACGACCACCAAAAAGCGACTCGAGGGTATGAACACCGAGCCGCAGGATCGCCGCGTCAACGAGAACGCGGTAGACATCGCAGGCTCAGCCGTTCAAGCTGTCTCAGCCCTCCAGGAAGTCGAGGAGCGCACGCAACGTCCACCGGGCACCGGGCAGGCTGATGCTCGGGTCTCCCCTCCCCCACCCACAACGCCCTCATTCGTCTCTCCGCCCCCTAGCTTCGTGACACAGCCGTCAACGGCGGATGTCCGGACGTCGTTCAACCAGCACTTCGACTCCGGCATGCGGTTCGATGCTGACCCCGAATTTCAAGTTCCTGTGCCTCGACGGCGTATCGTCGACCTACCTCCAGCATACACGGAGGACTAGAGCACGATATAGCATGATGTATTTCAACCTTACGACAGACCCATGATACCCAATGCCCAGCGTCGGGCGCCATGCCACGGATTGAATCACAATCTCGTGTTGGGTGGTTCGTCGCCGTCGCAACTTGAACGCGATGTTCTCCGCTGCGACTGTGTTAGACAGGTATGATGGAGTCACGTCGATGTCGCAGAAGCCTGCAGAACTCGAGTGTTAGATCATTGGATTGAATCTGACGTACTGAACAGCAACATCAGATTTGAGGTACCACGGGCACCTGTCACACCACGCCAAAACATCGCAGAAAGCGTGAGCTGGCTACGCACCTGCTCATTGACCTCTATCTAACTCATCGCGCAGCGCGCGCTCGCATTCAACGCGTGTACGATGAGCCTTCTGTGTACACCTCAAGGCTGCCACAGTTCTTTTGGAGTGCTTCACGCGCCTCGTCCGACCCGTCGCCGTGTATTCGACCATGATGCAGTGATGTTACCACCCTCTTCCGAAAGTAAGGACATAGCAGCAGACCTGGGAGACGTACATGGGCGCCATCATGACTCGGAAGCCCAGAAAGGACTGCGCGCGAGTACTCCCTGTTCTGTCTCCATCTGGACCTCGATCGCAGAGAGCTCCTACGCGCGCGAAAGGAGCACGATAACGTTCACGTACCGCAGATGCCCGCAGACTGTTGATTCCAGTGGCATAAGTAAAAGCTTTTGTCCCAATGGAGATTTGTTGCAGCGCCGGTCCACTCAGGCATAGTCGTGCTGTTTAATCAGGATCAGGTATCACTGCCGACTTTTGGTACCCACAGTACTATGTAACCCGCGCAAGAACTTAGGCCGGGGTCCTCCACACGAGAACTTCGAACGACTCTGGCAGTACCTGAGACCCGGATCGATGCATCACACTCGAGCGCTAAGTTTTACGGTCTGTCCGAGTCCACATTCGAATATGTATGGCGCGCTCACGGCGCTGGTAAGAACATTTACGACAACATTCTACTAGTCATGCAGTGCCGTCTACTATCGCCGCCAAACCAAACAACGATACGCGACTTATGGCTAGTGAGCTCTTCCGTGTCTACACTCGTTCACGTCGCTCATATCTTGCATTCGTAGTCCCTCCGGTCATCCGCATCGTCCATGATCTTCACGCTACCCCTCAGGGGCAGCGTCTCAAGCATGGAAGCCGTGGCACGATCATTGAGTCATGAGGGCCCGTACTGATCCCCATGATGAATGTTATGCATGTTCAATCATGGTAGTTCTCTGTCCGTGTTCTCAGCACATGTACGACCCTGCTTCAAGAGTCCTAGTGCTTGCGACCAGCCCTAGGCCTGGGCACTGCCGGTGTGTAAGTAGCCTATGTACTGTGCCTCATGATTACGACTATAGTATTGCGATTGCTGAAACCAACCAGACGCGTCATAGCTTACGGCCCTCATGTGATGTGCGTTATTTTATCAAACACTAGGTGACCTGGAAGAACGATGGACGAAGAATGCCATGAGGGACGAAGCCAATGGCATCGCATCGAGCCAACCCATCCAGTGAAATTCAAAGATGCGTGTTCATGGCATATCTTTCTGCTTCATCACGTAGGATTCATCATCTCGTGACAGATATCCGCAGTGGACTTAAAGACGGCGGCTCTTATGCCAGCGCGACCCAGTGACACGCCTTTTGCCCTCGCTGGGGAGTCTACCTTAAATCAGTGACTCGGACTTACGGTGCACAAGTGTGAGTGTGATCTGTACTACCTCGGCTGTGCCGAAGCCAATGTCTGATCGCATAGATTCATAGCTAGGACTAGCATATACCCATGTCGTATTCTTTCAGCCCGGGCCACGGCCTAAAGATTCCATATCCTAATACTTCCACGACCCTTACCACAGGACGGTTGCCGACATCACATTATTCATCTTCCGAGGATACTGCAACCTTTACAACCTCAAGCGGATCCTCAACGGGGCAAATGGTATCTGTGCAGGACACTACCTATGTCGAGACAGAAAACAGCACACTGGCATTCACTGTCACAGGTGTACAAAGGTACGATACACACGTGAATGATGCATCTAGAGTCCAATACTCTGATCACTACCACATGTATAGCTCAAGGACATTCTCATTGCTGAGCACAAGTGCATCCTCATCGCTGAGCACAAGTGCATCCTCATCGCTGAGCACAAGTACATCCTCATCACTGAGCACCAGTTCGTCATCATCGAAAATCCCCACTCCATCTATGTCGTCAAGCACACTCGGCAGTACCTCTGTCTCGAGGACAGTCGATCGTACGACAATCGGCATGGCTGTCGGGACTGTAATAGGAGGGCTCTGTATCGTGGGAGGGTTATTGTGGTACTGGTGCCGACGAAAACGTGTACGGATCAGGGTGCTGTTTGAGAACAACATGGATGAACCAGCTCCGGGCCCTAGGACTGGTGCGCACTGTACACTTGCATCCAGGAGCCTCAGCTGACGACAGAACCTTACTCTCAAGCGGCCACTGTACCTCCCACAGCGACGGACACGATGACCACCGCGAAGGAGCCTGAATACATGGACAGCGAGCCGCAGAATCCCTTCGTCGACGAGAATGCGGTAGACCTCGTAGAGTCAGTCCCGCACTCCGCAGATGCGGTTCCGGGATTCCAGGAGCGCATACGACGCCCGCCGAGCTCATCGCGAGCTCTCCCTGGAGACGCTCCTCCCCCGTCTGCAACAAGCCCATCCATCTCCCCGCCTCCTAGCTTCGTGACGCAGCCGCCCTCGGAAAGCAATCGGACGTCCTTTAACCAGCACGCCGACTCCGGTCTTCGGTTCTGCCCCGATTTCGAATCACAGGTCTCAGTGCCTCGGTGCCGCGTTGTCGACCTGCCTCCAGCGTACACGCCAAATTAGTGGGTCTATAGGCGGTGCGAGACGTGCCTTTTTGTGCGACAGATGTATGATACCCAGCGCCACGATGTGTTCATCCTCGCTGTCTTTACCCTGTTTGGGGTCGATTGGTTGTGCCGTATCATCGAAGAACGTTGTTTCCGTCCGAGTTTGTCGAACGTCGGAGAGGATTCGATGAGGCCGATATGCGCGTAGTGGGTATTGGGAATATCATAGAGCATACTCTGGTGCCTGGCGTCGCAGGGTGGCGCGTCCACGCCGTTGCGTCACGTCGGCCAAGTGATTGCTGGGCGAAGATAGGCGCGAGCCATACCGTACCTCGAGAAACGGTACAGTAATTGGTCACCTTCAAAACGACAGACGAGTTCCTTTCAAAGTCACCAGTATATGGTAATAGAATGCGACACTGGCAAGTGATATCAGTGTGGGATACATTGTGATAGTGATAGTAAACTCACCATGACGACGCGATGGGATTTCACAACGATACAAAAACGACAGAGGATCTGCCCCTGGAAGACTCACGTCAGTAAGGCCGAACCTTGTTGAATCGGGTGGGGGGCTACCGGCAGACACCTGTTAGACATATATTGGCGATGATCGTGATCGAGAATGGCGGATACATCGACAGCGTTCAAGCTGACTTGGGCCCGACAAGTCCATTGCTTTCCACGGCTGGTCGGACCTTCATTGGCTATGCAGTATCTATAATGCAATAGATGGCGTCAGAGTCCATCTTATAGTCCACGCTAAGTCTCCCTCTAGTCAGAATGTCATGTACGCCGTCGGCGGACCCGGCGAACTGGGGTATAATCGCGTGGTCGTGGCGGTTGTAAACGGACGACGCTTGCCGGCTTTTTAGGTCTGCTACGGAGACTATAAGCGGACCGCCTCACCCGGACTGCCTTGCAACTTGAAATCGGAGGAGGGACCTCCATTTGGTTCCGTTGAGGAATTTTGTACCCTGCCCTTTTTTTCTCGACTCACAGTACATAAGTAGGTGGTTTTGACTAGTGTCACATGAATTCTATGCATCCCGCACGTTGAATCAGCCTGCTATCGTCTGTTCAGCGGTTCCGACGGCCATCTCGGCCCTGACACTATAGCCATGTATCAACACTCATGGCGCGGACTAGTATACACGTACGTTGCTTTTCTCTTTCTACGATGTCAATCAACGTCCTCACTGCTTCACGACATCCCTCGTCGCTGGGCGTAACGGGAGCCCCGCAGCCTCGTAGACCATGTCGATCGACTTCATCTGATCGCGAGCGTCAGCACCAAACCCACCATGCGACAACCTGCTACGCACCTGATCAACAGAGCTCTGGTTCGTGACCCAGTGCGCCGGCTCGCGCCCGCGGAGCTTGTCGACGAACACCTCGAGCTGCCAGCGGTACGTGCTCCAGTACTCCTCGCCGTGCTCGCGCGTCTTGCCGGAGCGCTTGTAGTGCTTCACGTACCGCGTCTCGCCCGTCGCCTTGTCCTTGATCGCGATGTAGTGGTAGAGCTGCCGGAAACCGTTAGCACGCGCACAGCAACAGAAGGCAAGACGACGTACGTGAGGCATCATGAAGTTGTAGAGCGTGACGACCGCACGCTCCGTCTCGACCTCGATCGTGGGGAGCTCCCACACGCGCGGGATGACCCCTGCGACGTTCGCGCGGCGCATGTCCGCGTAGACCTCTGCCTCGACGTCATACTCGCCCTCGCTCCCCTCTGCGGAGCCCTTTCGATACACGAGCGTCGCCTCCATCGCCTCGTCGACGCGCGCGTCCCACGGCGAGGGCCGTGCGTGCGCGGACACCACGCGCACGGGTGCACCGGCGTCGAGCGCGAAGCGCGTGCTGGAGATGACGTAGGTCATGTCCATGAACGCGCCGCCTGCTAGGTCGAACTGCCAGCGGATGTCCGACGAGGGGATGGAACCGATGGGCGAGGTCATGATCGCGTGTGTCTTTAGGATCTTGCCATGCTGCAAAGCGGTGGGCACCAGGATCAGATAGAGAAGCGGACGAACGTACCTTGGAAATGATGTCCTTGAACGCATGCGCTGCGGGGTGACACTGCCAGTGGAACGCCTCCATGACAACCTTCCCGGTGCGCTGCGCGGTCTCGACCACGCGCCGGGCCTCCGCCTCGTTCGCGGTGAATGGCTTCTCGAGGAGGACGTGCTTGCCCTTCTCGAGTGCCTTGATTGCCCACTCGCCGTGCTGCCCGTTCGGGAGCGAGATGTAGACGAAGTCGACGAGCGGGCTGTCGAGGAGCTCGTCGTATGAGCCGAACGCGTGGGCGATGTTGTACTTCTTTGCCTGCGATTGTGCGGTCTCGAAGTCGCGGGAGGCGATTGCGGAGAGCACGACCTCGCCGTGAGTCTGTGCGGGCCGGATGATACCTGCAGCGTTGATCATGGCTGATGACAGGATCCCGATTCGGAGAGGGTCTGAGGTCTTTGTAGGCACTGAGTTTTGTGCGTACCACCTGCGAAAGTTAGAACACCATGTATGCAGGATATTGGCTCATGGCGTACCACTGGTGCAAGAACGTCGCGCTTTTCGTCATGAGTTCAGTTACATATCCCACTATGGCTGGAAAGGCGATGCAAATGACTTACATCTGGATAGCCTGTAACACCGGCGGAATCAGCCAGCTAGTATCGATGCGCTGCCAGTGTCGCAGTCGCTGCGACTTACCATAGCCATGGTGGGCGAATTATATATCCTTGTGTTGGACGGATAGCAAGAGGAACGGGGTGAAGTTTGCGAGACATTTCGCAGAGCTCGAGCATTTTAAGTGGACCTTGCAGCCGCACGGTCAAGCTGACGTCACGACCGCCTTCATCGCGAGCTCAGCTCCGATGCGTCGACTGAGCCACCACGCCTTCCAGCGCCTTGGACAGGGCTCTTTCCATCCAGAGGAGCCGGGACAGGCGATGAAACAGTGCAGAAGTAAGCCGTCTCGAGTTCAAGTTGCGCCAGTCGCTACATCATCGTGTGTTCGCTCGGACGGTGGTTTGGCGCCCGCCACTATTGCGTCGATCTGGATCTCGGATGTTTCCGGGAGGCGCTCGCGGTAACATCCGTAACTTGAAGTTGTGACGGTCGCGGCGCTCCTCATCCTCCTCTGCGACGCTGGGGACCAGCGGGTCCTTAAGTTCTTGAAGTACAGTACTTGCTTGCTTTCGGATTGCTCTGAGTTCCTAACAACGCTTTGTCAGGCCCGGTTGTACAGATTTTCAATGTGGGAGTCAGCGCTCAGTCTTGACTTTCCCATCCTCAGACTGGCATTCCCGCATGCCAGTCTGCTCGAGGGGGAGGCTGTCACGGTCGTGAGAGGTATGCCCAAAGTCGCCTCGCGGATGATACGCAAGGAGACCTGGCCTATGTTATGCCTCAAGAGGTGGGTCAATACTGCGGAACTCTGTCCTGGGGCATCCAGACCCTGCGCGCAAGGGCAGCCGCTTCTCATTGGCTTCCCATGTCTCTCGCGCTGCTTCGCTTCTTGCATGCTCGACGAAGAAGCTCGCTTCCTTTCCATTTCTCGATTGACGCTTTGGCCAGCTTTAGGCACGCTATGCTCATTATCAAGGTAAGGGTCGTTGTTGCGCGAATCCTAACTTACTCTGCTCAGCACTTCTAACTAGCAGATACTGCGTTGCCGTGGGGAAGGCTCGTGATTGGGCATCTCCTTATGTCGTCTCTACACGGTGTCAGAGCCTCTCCGTGCAGCCGGAACGTTTGACATATCGTGGAAACGAGCTGCCGTGGACTAGACGAGGCTGAGGCTTCTGCACCATAACGCACCATAACGCCCGCTCCACGAACCACCTTCCTGCTCTGACGCAGATACTCTGACCTATCGCGTTCGCGGGAAGATAGGCACGCTTGCTTCGCGGAAGCATGAGGGCCTTCGACGCTCTTCCGTCTCCGCGCCCCCGTCGTTCTGCCTGTTCGGCAACAATGCAAATTCCCAACTGACGCCGTTGACGTTGTGGAACTCTCGTAAAGCCTTGCCACGCACGAGCCCTGAGCCGCCAGTAAGTGGACAGTGACTCTTTCAGTATCTCGCCATTGACTTTGCGTCTGGTGTTGTGTAGTCTCTCTGTTGGCGGCGTTACATCTACCACCGTCGGTGACGCTATGTCGTCCGCGACGATACGTCACGAATTATTCTCTAACCACTGTTCACGGCACGCCGGCGGGAGCACCGCGATGATGATTATGAACGAGCGAAGCCTCCTCGACAGGACCCCTTCACAGAGCGTCAGCTTACAGGGTTGGAGCGCTCACTTATCTTGACTCACGCGATTTGTCGGCTCCAACAGCGCACTTCTATCTGGTTCAGCCGGGGAGGAGCATTGCGGAATGGAAGGACGCAATGGGAACTCTATTCGACCGCCTTAAAGACAAGGAGCCAGATCGCCTGTCGACAAGTCGTCTCGGGGCGAGATGACGAACGCAAGAGCGTACCTTAGGCAGCTCCTCAGCAAGCTCGAAGTCAACCAGGTCGCGTCAGATGAAGACTTGTCGTATGCAGAGGGTTTCCTCAGGGTAATTCTGATACTTGGCGTATACGATGCTTCTGACATGTCTTATTGACAGAACGAGGATCTCTATCCCGTCCCACCCGAGAGGCGGACCTGGGCGATGTGGAATTACGTGTCATTGTAGCTAGCTCGCCTTACTCGCGCGCCCGCGCTGTGCGTCATTACTCACGCACGCGTAGCTGGATTACGGACGGATTCAACATGAACACGTACGTACCAATCTATTTCGGTGTCATGGATGCGACTGACTCTTGGAGTAGATGGGAGATTGCTTCCTCTATGATTGACGCGGGCCTTTCGTGGTGGCAGGCGTGGCTTTGCGTCTGGCTCGGATACGGTATAGCGGCGCCGTTCATCGTGCTGAACGCGCGGCCAGGCGCCATGTTTCATATCACCTTCCCTGTGGTTGCTCGTGCGAGCTTCGGCATCTGGGGAAGTCTTTGGTGTGTGTTCAACCGAGCCGCAATGGCTTGGTAAGCGTGTTCACGATTTATGCTCTGTGACGTTTATTGACGGCTTTCGCATTCGCAGCATATGGTATGGCGTGCAGGCGAGCCTCGGAGGATCGTGCGTGCTCGTCATGCTACGAGCGATATGGCCAAGCATCGAGAACATCCGTACGCATCCCACCTCTGCCACCGATGTATAGTAGCGTCTAACGATCTTGCAGCGAACACGATGCCGGCCTCGTCCGGGACCACGACCCGGGACTTCGTGTGTTTCTTCCTCTTCTGGCTCATCTCTCTTCCGGCGATCTGGCTGCCCCTCCACAAAGTGCGGCATTTGTTCACGGTCAAGGCCATCGTCGTCCCGATCGCAGGTGTCACCTTCTTTGTCTGGTGCATCGTCAAGGCGCACGGCGTCGGGCCCATTGTGCGCCAGCAAGGAACGGTGCATGGCTCGAATCTGGCCTGGACGATGATATCGAGCATGATGTCGTGCATCAGCAACATGTCGACGCTCGTAACGTATGCGTCATGTTCCTTGCATATCCTGCGTGTTCTAATGCCAGATTATGTCCACTCTAGGAATGCTCCGGACTTTGCGTCGAGAGCACGGAGGCCGCGGGATGCTTTGTGGCCGCAGCTCATAGCCGTTCCGCTTGGCTTTGGGATTGTCTGCTTTCTCGGGATCATCGTCAGCTCTTCCTCCCAGGCCATCTATGGAGAAGCCCTTTGGTCACCTGTGGACCTACTGGGCACGTTTCTGGACAACAACCCGTCCCATGCTACTCGATTCGCGGTAGGCTTGATGCCCGAAATTTTACGATTGCCACTGACAGATATAACAGGTATGGTTCATATCCGCGGCATTCATCATCGCACAGGTGAGTCTTCAAAATCAAATCGCACTCGTAGTACATTGTCCCTGAGCTGCATGATCACCTTCGTAGTTGGGGTAAGCTCTTGCGTACCCCTTCCGGTTCGTAACAAATACTAATCCAGCATCTAGGACAAACATCTCCGCCAACTCGATCAGCGCTGGATGCGACCTGACAGCCCTCTTTCCGCGCTTCATCGTACGTTGACCATGTGATCACCTACGGTTTTACTACATATAACTAATGTTCGCAGAACATCCGCCGCGGAGGCTATATAGCCGCCATAGTAGGGTTGTGCATGCTTCCGTGGAACCTGCTCAAGAGTAGCAGCAACTTCACAACCTATCTTTCCGCATATTCTGTTTTCCTAAGCTCGATTGCGGGCGTGATGGTGAGTACCGATAGCCTTCGGTCAATGATTCAACTATTCTGATACCAAGCAATGCTATAGGTCACCGACTACTATCTCATCCACAAGGGACACTACCGCGTCAGCGAGCTCTACTATCCCGGAAAAGACGGCTGGTACTCATACACGTATGGGATCAATTTCCGGTAAGCCGTCCACCTATTCCTGATCCGCTTCTTGCACCGCTGACATAGCGTAGAGCATATGCAGCGTACGTGTCGGGTATCGTGATCAATGTCGTAGGCTTCGCCGGCGCCAGTACGTCGTCTATCGTCTGTCTCTTAGGGTTGTGTTCTATCTCAACGCCTGCGTAGCTGGGCGTCCAGTGCCGGAGGCCGCCATCCACATCTACGACCTGTCGTTCTTCACCGGTTTTGCCGTATCGGCGACCGTCTATTACACACTCAACCGTATTTTCCCTGCCGCAGGGGCTGCGAAGACGTTCCAGGAAGTCGATCATTCGGGCATGATAGAGCGTATCGACAGCCTCGATGAGACTGACGACTCGGAGCTGGAGAAGACCGACGATGCGGGCACAGAGGCTGACAAGAAGGAGTTGGAAATCGCAGCGAGCATCCATTCCGCTTGAAGAGATCACGTATTGCACAGCATAATTCAGAGGTTTGCATCCACAGAACTTTCGTGCATTGACCGTAATAATATGCTGAAGTCACGCAGCGTATGACAGTGTGCACTGTTTCCGTTCAGGTACCTGACACGCCGAACGGAGTGTGCACCTTCCACCGTCCAGTCTTACCTGGGCGTTTGCACTGCCAGTGGGCGATCTAAGTCCAAGGTGTACATACATAGACTGGGCAAGCGCCCAGGCCAAGCGATCGCTCGCAGCTAGCATGCCTAGCCAACCTCTCCCTCTCGAGCTGATGGAACATGCCATGTGTTATCTGCAGGGCCATTACCGACTGCTGCTGAATTGCGCCTTGACCCACAGTGCATGATACCCTCACCTAGATGGTCTTAGACAAATTACACTCCAATCTACGCACGGTACCTTGCGTTGATTTTGATGTGACCTAACTGCGGAGGACTCTGTGCAAAACAGTATGTAAGTAACGGTAACTTCATGGCATGTCTTGCAGCTTGCTGTTGAGGACGTTCTCGGTCACGTGCTGATATGCGCTGGGACCTGGGTGAGCCTGGGTGGCAGTCGCGTCGCTCGCTGAATCCCGACACGACCATCCCCTCACAATGAGTGCATCGCCTGGCTCAGACTCGTCTCAACCAAACCGAAAACGTCCCCGCACGGACTCATCTGTGTCTGCGAATCAAAGCCAGCAAGAGGAGACATTCCGCCGAGACGAGCAGTTAAGTTGGTACGAAGACGGGAACATCATCATCGTTGCGCAAGGCATCGGTTTTCGCCTGTCCAAAGGCTTGCTCGCACAAAACTCCCAAGTGTTCCGCGATATGCTCAGCCTTCCTCAGCCTTCCGATGCTTCACACGTCGAGACTTACGACGGTTGTCCCGTTGTCCACGTCACGGACACAGTGGATGAATTACGTGTGCTTGCAATGACCGTTTTCAACGGTTTCAGGTGTGTCCTGATTGATTTTTTTGGACTGTGTGCCAAGTCATAATTACTTGCGTCTTGTTCGGCAGCTTCGTAAGGAACAGCGGCCTCAGCTTCGATGACGTTGCGATGGGCATCCGTGTCGCACACAAGTACAATATTCAAGGTCTTCTTGACCGCTCCCTGAGAATACTCGATCAATACTACCCGTCAAGCTACACCTCATGGGATGAGGCTGTTACATGCCTAGAGGACGACTGGGACCCAACGCGAGCGATCACGGGCGTCAAACTGGCTCGCCTCACTGGCAGCATGAATATGCTCCCGGCCGCGTTGTACATGTGTTGCCAACTGGATGGCAGAGTGCTTCTCGAGGGTCGGAATCGCCCAGATGGTTCCGTGGACACGCTGAGCCCGGAGGATCTCGCACTATGCATCAACGGGAAAACAAAGCTCTGCACGTATTTCTCGGAGGTTCTTTTCCAGATCTTTGCACCAATCACCGGCCCCAGAAGCAAGCCCTGCTTGGCGTCTAAGGGCCGCTGCGCTCGCTCCATTGGTCACATACAAGCGGCTTTTTTCAGCTTCAGCGACGAACCATCTGGACAGGGGCAGTGCGACATTCTCCGATCGTGGTGTGACGCCATAAAGGACCTCACCGGCACTCGCAATGAGGTACTCGATGAACCTCTATGCCGAGCGTGCATCGATTCTCTTTGTGCGAGAGCGGAGACCCTCCGTGAGGAGTCCTGGTTGGTGCTGCCCGCGCTGTTTGGAGTGGGCAGGAACTGGCGGACCTGAGGTGACAGTTGACTCAGAATCACTGGAGTAAGATCCATCTACTCTGTTATACTCAGGGCCTGATCAGATGATTTGCTGCAGTCAACAGAACACAATTGCTGAGATGACCTCTCGGAATGTGGAAGTGGTATGGAGGAGATCATCCCGGGTAGCCCGAGGTTTTGTAGAACGTCGAGCTAACTGGGAAGCGTCAGACGGCGAATCGCACCACAGGTCCAAGACGTTATTGTTGCGTGGCACCTTGTACGGACGCTACTTGCTCACAGCGGCCTCGGTGTCCGCGATATCAATTCTTTTGACTTGTGCCCATGCTCACAGCGCCGTGTCACATCGACCATCCCGTTGAAAAAAATGCAAGGCAGTGGGTTGCTAGTCTCCGCCTTCATTCATTAGTCTCAGCACACGTACAGTACCATACGCGTTCGCTGGTTGAACGTTGCTTCGATCAGGATCTGGCAATGCTACTTATTAGATGCCGACTCCTCGTGGCGCTCCTCTCGCCACTGGTGCGGTGCGTCCAAACGAGCACTGCGACTACGTTATGAGGAACACTCATTTCGTATTGTACCCTTCAATAACTGACATAAACTCTGAAACCCGAAGCCATCATCCTGCTGGTCTCGTTGGCAGGTAACCCAGAGGTTCAGCTTCACTTGATTGACACCATTCACTGCCTGATACTCTAATCCACCGTGTATGTTGGGGGCAGATAAACCACACGTCGCCGAGGCACCGGAACTGGCGATTCGGGGTCACTGTCGAAGCGGATGCCGGAGTCTATGTGCAGGTTAAACGACGTCCGGACATCTGCCGTTGACGGCTGCGCCACGAAGCTCGGGGGTGGGGAAATAGATGACTCGGAGGAGGTTGCCTGTCCTATGCGTCCGAGTCCATCGACCCCTGGAAGCGCTGAGGCGGCATTTGCGGACTGCGAGCCTTGCGCGGCGATGTCGACGTCGCCTTCGTCGGTCGGGTGGTTCTTGAACTCGTTGTCAACGCCTGACACTACCGCTGTTGGTAGCGGCGGGGATGCGGGCATCTCCACTTTGGTGTACGGCTCTACGGGAGTTGTCGTCAGGCTATGTGACTGAACGCGATCTGGATTTGGATTGGCTGCGTACCAATTCCAGGGTTCCTATTGTCGCCAATGGTGTCGTTGGGTGGTCTCCTGTGAGTTCGTGCCCGTCGGCGCCAATACCACAATAATCCTCCCGCTATGCACAGGCCTCCCACTCCTAACGCGGTCCCAACAGCTATAGCAGTAGAGTTATGGTGGGTCGTTGTGGTTGGTCCGATTGCTCCACTCGTGTGGGTCTCGCTGGAATAGGGCTCTCAGCATTCACAGTACTGTCACAACTTGTAGGTCCTACCTCTGTGACGATGCTGTGGAGTTTACTAGGCTAGAGCTGGCGAACGGTGCTATGCTGGATGTGGAGACAGAAGAGAAGGAAAATGAGGAGTAGAAGAAGGTGGTCGTGGGGGAGGTGAAGGTGGAGGTGGGGGTCAAGTAAGTTTCCGTTGGTTCGGGTTGGGTCATAGTGAAGGTTAAGAATATCGTCGTGCCAATGAAGCTCGCCGTCTCCGACATTGCTATGCAAGGGCAACCAAGGGATACAAGCACTGGCTCCGACCACAGCAACCATTTATGAGGAAATGTATACGGTCTCACAGTATAAGCATTAGGAAATAACCAAAATCTCCATTAGGTGGATCCATATGGCCCTCAGGTAACGACCGAGGGAGAACCCGGAGATTTGTTGTCTATATGGAGAGCCGAACCCTCTCCGTCGCGCGACACGATCTCCATAGGTATTCGTTCGACAGCGTCGGCTTGCGTCGCATATGGGCATATCATAGCTTCAGTCCGGGTATGCGCAGGGAAAGGTATCGCTGCCCGCAGCGCGGGCAATCTACATACTGTTCTACGGATTACAAGATGCGAATGGAGGTGTCCGAGGTAACGCGAAAGTCTGTGCCGAGCGGCGATAGCGATGGCGACGGGTCTCTGGGGACAGGGTGCGAGTGGCGGGTGGCGCGGGGGCGGTATAGGGCAAGGACGATGCGGTGCGGTGTGGAGAGCAATGTGAACGAGCAGCGTAGCAGGGTGTGTGTCGCGTGCGGCGGTCGGTCGGCGGAACGAGAGTCCAGCACGCGCCCGTGCTAGAGATAAATAGCGGAGATGAGCAAGCTCGCCGCGAGCACGAACGCGGCCGAGGCGCCGACACGGGCACGTGTCTCAGCGACGATGCGGACGACGAGGATGACGAGGATGTCGCGCTTGACGCGGACGACGCGGACGTAGAGCTCGGCGTGCGTGAGGTTGAGAGACGCGACGATGCCCCGGTGCTTGTCGATATAGGGGGCTGAGCAAGACTGCTGTACGAGCCCGTAAAAGAATACGTGATCGTCGACGTTGCCTCCACAGGGTTTGACGACAGGACTGAGGATGCTCGAGGGTATCGCGATGGCGGAGGTGTCGCTGGCAACGGGTGATGCAGGTCGCCGCTCATGTTCGCGAGGCTATACAGGGATGAGATAGTTGCAAAACGGTGGAACGAGCAGACGCACGCGAAGTCAGAGGAGTACTGCGTGTAATGCGTCGTGAGTTGACCATGAGAGCCACCGACGTGAAGTTGATATAGCTGGGTGATTCCATGTGAGCTCGGTGTGCGCGGGTTTGGCAGACACAGATGGGACGTACTAACTACTGGAGTCGGGTCCCGCGATTGAGTCGGGCTGCAGAAACATAACTTGGTCCATCATCGAGAACATGGGTGTAAGGCAGGACGCACAGTGAACGTTAGTGAGTGCTGGCTAGCGACATTCGCGGGTTCCAGCTCCTGGACAAGGTCCTGTAAAGAATGAGTACGAAGCCAAGTGCATCGGCAACCGTCAAATCAAATTTTGGATTCCAAGCTCTACTCATCTGTCATAAACGGCTTGAGACGTGCTGCTACTTATTGTGAGGCTATTCTGATCCAGCCGGTCCTTCAGAGGACTGAAGTATGGCTGAATAGTGGGGCATTATATGCGTCCGGTTCAACCAGAACGATATCCAAGAGCGCGACTAAGTTGCGACCATCGTGAATCAATTGAAAATGTATGCGTAGGATGTACCGGTGCTATCAGCCTCGCTCAAGCCGACAAAACATGCTACCCTGCGTGCAATGACGACACGACGTCGCCCGGACAGTTTCGACACTGTGACAGCCGGAGCCCGGGAGCCTGAGCCTTCCCCTACACAATCCAGTCTGAGACGCGGGAGCATAGACCGAGCGGGAATAAAATGACTGGGTCACTGCTCATGCCATCGCAGCTGCGCACGACCATCAGAGATGCTATCATGGCCTGTGCATCCGCAGCCCATGGCATCGTGCCTCGCCGCCGCATGCAACGAGCCAACAGACCTCCACAATCCAGCAGTACGTCCCATAGCCGCCCCTCGAGGGCGTTCCGTAGAAAGTACAGACAGCACAATTGAGCACGTACCCCATTGCCGTTATACAGCCCTATATACACGCCCCAATGTCGCTCAAAATCGGTGTCTGACCGTTGTCCAACCATGTCACAGTGCACGGCTGCCCACCGTAGCAGGTCGAGGTTGAGACCGGGTTGTTGACCTAGCACGAAATCGGGTCATCGGCAAGATGTTCCTGGAGTAGAGCATACCGACTCACATAGATGCTCGCCGAGACAGTCGAGAGACGAGAGACGAGAGCGAACAAAACCGCGACGGCAAGCGAGCACATGGTGGTCGAGGGTTGAAGTACGTCAGAGATATGTACGAAAGGAAAAGATAAAGATAAGTCCAATGCCAGTGGAGCCGGTACCGCGGAAGCGGAATGTCGAATCGACCTGAATGAGAGTGGGGAAGGAAGGGCCGAAATTACGAGCGAGATAGATTCAGTTCTGACCAGGCGAGTGCTGCAGCGAAGGCCGGAAACAAGCAGGACCTCGCGCTCTCCGCGCGAGGTGACGGAGGTCGCCATGAACACGCGATCACGTGTCACAACAGTTGGTTGGCAACTTTTCGATGTTGGACGCCTACTGTGTACGTAGACGGAGTACTCAACGTCCTCAGATTTACGTGCATGGTTGTCTGAGTCTATGCGAGTACATGATGGGGGAGAGGATGATTTACATTATATCCGAGTCGACTACTACCGTGATCACGTGCAGGTGTAGCTTCACGACGCGGCCCAATTGAGCTTACCTTTCTTCTTTGTACCACCGTCTTCTTACCATGAGCGGATTGCAACTTAACCGCAAACGACCCCGTGCGGAGTCGTCCGATTTTGCCAGCCAGCCGAAAGGAGAATTGCGTCGAGACGACGAATATTGGTTCGAAGATGGGAACATCATCATCGTCGCGCAGGAAGTCGGGTTTCGCGTGTACAAGGGCCTCCTTGCGATGAAGTCCGAGGTATTCAGAGACATGTTCAGCCTCCCCCAGCCGGCCCCGAATCCAGGATCCTCGCGTGGAGAGACCTCTGAATGTCCTATCGTCCACGTCACCGACACAGCGGCGGAAATTCGCTTGCTTCTTGCCAGCCACCTCACTTCTGCCGAGTGCGTCTGCTGAATCCAGTTGTTATGCTGGGTGTTGACTGCGTCACCACTTGTGGCTCTGCCAACAGGTTTGTGAGCGCCAGCCACACCTTCGACGATATCGCAAATGGTGTTCGAATGGGACACAAATATGGAAACCCGACGCTCCTCAAGTATTCCCTGGAAAGACTGGAGAGATATTATCCAGCCGATCCTTCGAAATGGGACAGGTTGGGACAGGATCCATACGGGGATCCGCACGCGATCGTGGCCGTTATTCTGGCACGGCTCGCGAACACGCAATCAGTGCTTACGCCCGCGCTGTACGCTTGCTGCCAACTGGACGGGAAGACGTTGGTCGAAGGGCGAGTTCGCCTAGATGGCATTGTAGATATGTTGAGCCCGGAGGACCTCGTGCGGTGCATCGACGGGAAGGCGAGGTTATGGTCGTACCTCATGGAGACTGTAGACGAAGCTTTTAGGCCAATCAGGACGGTGCCCTGCCCAGATACCGACGGTCGCTGTGACCACTCTTTCGCGCTTATGCGGAGGGAATGGATGAGCAGCACGCGCCGTGTCGGTGGCGCATGCAATGTTCTTCGTCCATGGAAAACCGACATCCAAGCTCTCGTCGATACGCATCAATATCCCCTCTGCAGGTTTTGTACCGAGATGCTCTACTTGAGGGCGGAGAGCATACGCAAGAGATCCCTGTCGAAGCTAGCGCAGCAGCTCGGGGTAGACGCAGAGCCGTGAGGATGACGGTATGCCGCGCTCCTTGGGGATCTTGGTGTGAGAGCCGTTCGGGATCTTGCTTCGCGGCCCTGAATGACTGACTGCTCTAGTCAATATAGTACTCAGTTACACCCCTCGAGATGGCTCTGCAGCCAGTGACCGCAACGCAGAGCGCGTCCAGCGTCTTCAAGCTGTTTAACTGAAACATGCGAGCGACCAGGATTAATCATGTAGCTTCATAAATGCTACATGTTATACCGTGTTAATTCGTACAGCAGCGCCCATGGCTGATGAGGCGGACGTTCTCAAGAGGCGTGTTGACGGCCGTAGCACTCTATCCACCGCCAACAGTTCTTGCTCTCTAAAACGAACATGTAGTATGGCATGCGAAACGCCCTGTGATGCAGATGCCCCGTCAAAGTGACCCGCAGCCCATTGATTGACCCACTCTCGCCCCGTCTCATGCCTTTCGCCCCGGCTGCCTGCGAAATTCTGTCCTCCCATTATCATGTCGTCTTCCGCCGCCTCTTTTCTTCGAGGGCCCACATCGGCGTACCCGCCCAATGACAAGCCGATAGTCACCACCATCGGACGTACGATCACGACATTGGGTGACATAGCTGATTCATCCCCGGCATCTCCATGATAGGCGTCCCCGGGTGCGACATAGGATATCAGGTGAGCCATGCAAAGGCTCAGGCCTCACGGAGAGCAGCGTGGCCAGTGCCCATACAACAGGGTCTCATGCGGGCACTCAGGTCCATACGCGTTCGGCGCAATCTCGAGTCGAGGCCGAGGCTCAAGGCCACGGGCATCTCTGGACGAATGCCGCGAGACAACCGTAAATTCTGCTGTTCGAGGACGCATAAATATATGTTTCATGAGACAAGACAATGGCCGCTTCACGTACTGGACAGAATTCGACCCTCCGAATGACGGACTCCGGACGCTCCCGCGTAGAACTGGCCTCGATGTAGTGTGACGGTTCGAGCGTGCAAGCTTCGTTGTTGGCGTTCGCTATTTTGTTTTCTTTTTTTCCCTGTTTCTGCGTCTATGCTGACTGTCGAACAATCCTGACTCGGTACGGACGTCGAGACGAGTGGGCAACGCATGTGTGGGCTTAGTTGAGTACCCTCGCGTACGTGGCGGACGTCGGAAGGCACTCCGAAGGCTTGGAGATCCGAGGCATGCACGCGAGTGAGGCGGTTGGGGGGGGGGGGGGGCGTGCATCTACAACCAACCATCTGAGCATTTCTCTTCCAATCCGAGTTGGAATGATCTTACCGAAATGCTGAATCCCGGTCGAACGGTGCTGAGGTATATTGCTGAGCTTCATTGCAGCGGGGGTTAGCGTTGTCGCTAATCATCATGGAAGTTCCAGTTAGAGACGAGATCGTCACTTAACCCATGGTTCCGCTTGAGGTACGCCCTGTCATGAGACCACTCGTATCGAATTCCCGATGCCATGTCGCCAGGTACGATTTTGTAAAAGCTTGAGGGCCAGCGGCAATTACGTGCGAGCTTGGGGTATGTCTGGAATGTGTTGTGGAAGCAGATCATACGCCCCCAATTCGGGGCGAAACGGGGTCTACGCGCGCGGCGTGTGTGATATGACACCAGATGATCGAGTTCAATAATTGCCTCCACTCTGAATCTGTCTGCAGCTTCCGGCGGCAGAGTCCACATGAATGTGACGGATAGACTCGCTGGGTGAGTCAGGTGGCGATCACCAACGATTTTCTGCGGCGATATTAGCCACGGAGCCACGGTATCGCCAACGATGTAATAACAGGAGTTGCTTTCTATGTTGATCTCGACCGCGATCGACAGTCGAGGGATGCCGCGAGATGCAACAGTATCAAGGATTGAAGATAGGTACTCATCCTCGGGATCCCATATAATGCTGACAGACAGGAATTGAAGTCTCATATGTTTTGACAGGTCTAGGCTGTAGCCTAAAACAGAAGACGCGATCAGCATACGGAAATATGACACACTTCCAGCAACTATCTGAGTGAAGGCATACGTACCCGGCGCATGACGACGACGTGGACCCGGTAGCTCCAGCTCTATGAGGGAAGGCCCCAATTGACAAAGTAGCGTCTGCAAGGCTTTCGCAACGCGTTCATCGCCCAAGAGGTCGGGAACCCAGGTGAGAGCGGCCGTATGACGAGCGCTGTGATAGTGCCCTCCAGTACACACGGTGTGTATGCGATCCAATCCAGCAGCAGGAGCAGCAGAGCGACGTCTCTGCGCGTACCGGTGAAATCGACGAGATGGAGCCGATTCAACCTCAGCAATTTATTTCTCCGGAGAGCCTGCTCTGCGTTGGGGAGCTCCTTGTGCCGAAGAGAGCACAGAGGGAAATGCAGACGAAGATCGCGAAGCCGAGGAAATGCTGTGATCGTGTGTTGAAGGTCGGTGAACGTCCGGAAATCGCAGCACCGTAAAACGAGCTTCTCAACGGAGGCAAAGACGATCGGTACTATCATCCAACCGGGCGTGAGCCACCGGAGGCTGTGGATGAAGGTGATGGGCGAAGCGCGGGGAATAGGCCACCGATTGTGAGGGGAGTTTCGTGCGTGTACTGAGACTCGGGATCGTTCACGAGTACGAGCTCCGTGGTGTGCTCAAAGAGCGATCGGAAGGACGCCTCCCGGGATCCACGAATCCTAATGGTGTCGTACGATTTGCGGTTCCGAATCTCGACGCGAGAGTAGAGGAGGGAGTGTGCGTGAGGGTACCACACGGATGGGTCAAGGCGCAGCGGTATAGCGTCGTCGTGTCGTCGTGGAGGAAGTCGAGACATGCTCGATGACCTCAATCGGTATGATGGTCGCCATGCGTGAAGAGTAGCGACGGTCTGCAATGTGCGAGTGCGACTTGGGACTGGTAGTGTTCCGTGTCCGCGAAGTCTTACGTGAAAGACAGGAAGTGGTCCGTATGGCCTGGAAGAGTGCTCAGTCATAGGATGTGCGAGAGAAGAGCTCGAAAGATCGCCTTGAGGATGCAATGAGCCAGGCGCGTGCTCCGTTGTTGACGACTTCGACATCTATGTGCAGATAACAAGAGCATTCAGTTATTGCGCATCACAGCCACAGATACGCACAAAAGCTGCCTATCTGGTAGATCAGTCCCTTCGATGAACAGCTAGAGTTGACGAGGCCCTACAGCAGACGTGACGAAGACGCGACACATGATTCGGTACTACACTGTCCTTGTCCACATGTCCTAGCTTCCGCACGAACAACACAGCTCACTGCTGAACACGCCCCGGCTCGGGCTCCGAGGGCGGGGACCAGGTGTGGTTGTGATGCGTGATCGTGAGGAGGCCTCGTCTGTGCCAGTCTAGTTGCTTTAACCCCTCCTCAATCATATCCCGGAAGCGTTCGACATCTCCAGGGTATGGTGTCCATGACATGCCAGTCCAGCGTCACCGAGGCTTTTCCAGCGCACCGAAGTGCTTGTGCTATAAGTCGTCGGCCCATTGACATTGGAGTCCGCGAGGTCCATGGTCCTCCACCGGCAGGCCGTTGCCCGGAAGATGGTGAACACCAGCTCTATACTCCGGAGGCGAGGGAGGCTATAGAGCGCAGCATTGCTTATGCTTGCCCAAGTATCTGCCACTCCCCGGAAGGTGTACCGTAGACGAGTGTCCGTAGTTGTCTGTTGGAAGATAAACCGGGATGTGGCCCGAGACGTATGTCTGTGTCAGTGTACAGCAATGAGAACGAGTACTGCCATCTGTAATACCACACATACCATGTAGAAGTACAGGTATGTCTAGATCCGTCACACATGCGCCCAGAGGCTCAAGCAATTATGATGGGTGCATGGAAAGACGTCTGCAACATCATTGCCTGCGGGATGATCTGCAGGACCTGCACCGTCTGCGCGCTCGGAGTGAGCGCGAGCCACGTCAACAACGCGGCGAGAGCACTGTCCTCCGAGAGCAAGTGCTCGGCGCGAAGATAACGCAACATCACCTTGCTGCCATGTGGCGGCAGGACAGGATTCAGCGGCTGCTGTCCCAGGTGCGTCCTGACAAGGTCAGGTCACGGAGGCTTCGAAGTGCGGAGAGAAACACGTGAAGTCACGGAAGGTGTGGAATTGGCACGCATGCAGCTCCAGGGTCGCAACGCGCGAGAATATCGATAGCGATGGGAAGAAAGCTGGGTGTAGGCGCGTCTTCTCGTGCCACTGAGCGTTGTGGTACGCGATGGATTGGAGTGCAGGGAAAGCGAGGCAAAGAGTGAGGGGAATCTGATGCCCGTATGGACGACTCTGGTCGTCAATGATTTCTAGGTGCGTCGTATACTCGCAGTGCTGTTTGGTGCTCGCCTGGCTGTCGGCGGACTGCACGAGGTGTCGCAGCGTGTCGTATGCTTTCTGTCGCGGAGGAACACCCTGGTGAACAGAGCCACTGGGCACGATGTCTCCAGCTGGAGCAACTAGCGCGCTAGCAGCGAGGGCGGCAGGATGGTCGTGGAGGAACCAATATCTTGTCTGTAGTCTCGGGCGGTAGAGTCTTCCTGCGTTATCCATTCGACGGAGGGCTGAGGTGGCTGCGTTTGAGCAGATACACGATCGTTATATCAGTCTGCCAACGAGTCTGGACCTCATGAGATATCACGATATCGCACCTTCGGCTTCGCATTAGCATGCTTCTTGGGCGTCATGAGAAGTCATCGAGCAGTCACTGGCACAGGACCCAGACCTGCTGGTCAGCTACTACATGTGACCACACCTTAAGTTTGACCATGCACGCATGGAGGAGTGAGGAAAGTTCAGGCTACATACGATTCCGAGTCGCCCCTTCATGCTGTACCGACTCAGCCTGGGCCCCGCGTCCGTCAGAATTTTCAAAGAATTGCGTTCCAGGGCAGTGATTGTGCATCAACACTTGTAACGTAGCACATACTTGTGACTGAGATACCCAGTCCGAGTTGTACATAGCTCTCGAGCGGTGAAGCAGCGGTCGCCAAGGCATGTTTGAAAGAGGCTCACTGGCAAAATCTGAAGGGCGTTGTGACGCTCATCACGTGTGTCGTGACTCACCGCGAAACACAAAGTGTCGCGCATTTAGCCTCAGCACCCGCTGCTGGTAACAACAGCTTGGTCTCCTTCAGCTCGCCACTTCCAGGGTCCTGCTCTACGCTGCTGCGCGACTGGCGAGATCTACTACTACTGGGCGGGTGAAGAGTGAACGCACAGACTAGCGACCACTCAGCTCAGGCCTGCTTCGAGTGACTGCATGCCAAGGGCCTCCGAGACACGCGATGGTGCTCAGCAGACCTCGCGCGATAGCAAGGTCAGGGCACTAGAGGAGCAGGTACGTTAGCTAGTCATCTCTCAGACAGGCAGGTCTGCGGGACCAACAAAGCACCGACCTACATGGACGGTGTTCGTCGTCTACTTGCAGGGTCTTGTGGGACCGTAGCCGGTTTCTTTTCCCGTCAATTCCCATGAACTTCGCCTACACTCATAGCATCTCTAACACCCGCCACTCCTCTAGGTCAGGAAGCTCAGATACGCCAATGATGATCTCCGTAGCCGTCTCTTTGTCTCATCCCAGCGAGACAATCGTCTCGCCGAGGATCTGGGCTTCGGCACTGCAGAGGAAGTCCAGACAGCCATATCTCAACGACCACAAGTCTTTCGGAAAGAGTTCATTGAAGGGGCGGCACGCACTATCGAGGCCCTCGAAGACCGCATAGCAAACCACATCCAGCTCGAGAAGACTGCCCAAGAAGGGCTCGCGGATGCTGCGAAGGAGATCGATCGGTTGAATGCGGACAATTCCCGCTTACGCGTTCAATTGGAGGAGGTTACAAGGGAGAGGAGTGACCTCACGAAGCGCGTCAAGGAGCTGGAGGGGCGACCGCCGAGTGCGTTTACCACCGGTCTCCCGACCCCGGCGACTGCTGCTAAGAAACGGTACGTCTGCGTCACTATCACGAACGTCGCGCAGCTGAATCTCTCTTCGAGCCCCCTGCCTTTCGCAGACGCCACTCCACGTAACGCAGCGAGTTCCTCGCCACCCAGACCGGAGTCTACACCCGGCATGCTCACTGTTACCCCCGCTATGTCCAGCCTGCCACCGCTCACGCTTTCCGTAGGCACCGAGAAAGACCACAATATACTCCGGGCGGAGTTGCGCGCCCTGCACGCGCAGTACGAAGCGCTGCGCTTGGTGAAGGAGCGCGCGGAGAGCAAGTACCGTGAGGACTACTCGAAGTGGCGCAACTTCAAGCGCTGGATGTTCGACGAGGAGGGGGGGTCGCTCTCCGACGTGGTGCCCGAGGGGCGCGCACCGAACTTTGGGTACATCATGAAGCTGCGGAAGCGCTATATGCGCACGGGCCCGCCGTCGGACTCGCCTGGGCCTTCCGCAGAGGGCGCGCGAGCGATGGACGTGCGCGAGGCGGCGAAGAGAAGCGCTGAAGTGAGACAGGCGATCGCGGTGCTGCCGGATGAATTTGAGCATGGGGATCCGATGGCGCCGCAGAGCTCGCTGACGGCGCAGTTGATGGAGGCCAGACAAGCGTATCCTCCGAGCACACCACCCGTGCAGGACACGGCGGAGCTTGGCTCAGACAGGCCCGCTGCGCCGTCCTCCGTTTCGCAAGGGAAGAAGCGAGCCAACGAAGAGACGCTGGAGGTCGTCACAGCAGCTGCGGCAGGCTCTCCTTCTACTCCTCGGAGAAAACGGCAGAGGTACGACGACTCGTCAGAGACTGAGGAGGAGTCGCAGGGTGAGTCCGCCATGCAGCACACACTCATCTCTACTGACTGACGCGCTCTGCTCAGCGCTCTCGCCTATGCTGGAGTCTCAGCCCGGAATACGCCGTCTTGTGCCCATGCCGGATGGGACGTACGTTCGCAGAGGCTATGGACCATACCCTGGCGATGCGGGGCAGAGTACGAGGGGCGCCGCGCCTCCGTCGCCGTCCACCCCGCGCAAGCCGAGCACGCCGGGCTCGCGTCGGTCCAAGCACAGTCCGAAGTCCTCCCCCTCGTCGCGCCATTCGACGCCTCGCAGGCGGAAGGAGCGCCTGCTTGGAACGCCGACGAGGCGGACGCCGGGGACGCGGGGGCGCGTGGAGAAAGAGAATCCCAGCGCGCTGAAGGGGCGCCCGCAGGACTATTCTGCGTACAAGGGTCGCGGACGGTATGCAGCCGCTGCAAAGTGCGTACTCGTTGACGCTGTCTGGTGCTGTGCTTATCGATTGATTCACTCGCAGACCTGGTGAAGATACAATCAACGCCGCGTACGAGATCGATACGGCCCAGAACAACGGGTTAATGCATCAGTTCGAAGAAGTGGTGCGGGACAAGGAGCGCAGGAAGCAGCTACACGGGCTGACTGTGAATGTTGCCGCGAGGTGTGTGATACCCTCCGACCTATTGTTGGCTCAGACTCACGTTGCCCGGCCTCAGTACTACAAGGCAGTAGGCAAGTTGCCGGCTCGCCCCCAAGCCCCGCTCTGGCGCTCGCCCCATGCTACCCCTACGAAGTCGACGTCTTCCAGGCGCAGACGCCTCGCGGATGCCTCGGGCGTTCCGAACTCGCCGCACAAGAAACGACACACTTCAGACCTTAATGAAGGCGACCCAGAGGAAGAGGCGGCCATCCAAGAACATATGCAGCGGATCTCGCGGCATCGCCAGCAGTGGGAACGTCCGAAGACGCCTTATTGGGAGATCGCGTTCCCAGACACGCAGGAGGCTGCGGCGATCAACAAGCGCGCGAAGGAGATGCATGAGGAGAAGAAAGCGAGGATTGAGCAGGAGGCGAAGTGAGTGCGGTTGATCGTCGCGCTCCGTAGACCTTTACTGATATCTCGGCCAGCCGCGGGGGTAGGTACAAGAAACGGAAGACTTGATCTTGCACGATGGACTCAGTACAATAATGGACGGTATTTCGGGCCCTTTTAGGTACATTTGGCTCGGCACGCATGTTCGACGCAGAATATGTATTACAATCATGTTTGTATGCTGTATGTTTCATGTTTCACGTCTTCACGTCGACATTAGTCGAAGATCATCTTCGGCAGTTCGAGAGGGGACCATGCTGAATCGTATCGCAGATCGCGAATTAAGGTGAGGAGTCGCCGGACATGAGCAAGCCAAGCAGCCTGAGAGGGTGATAGTGTGATGATAGTCTCGACCAAAGTTGTCCTATCGCGGAAGCGTGTCTGAGCATAGCGGACTGATATACGTACGTCGTACTCACCGTAGTGGCAAAAACAGAGGACAACGAGGCAGGTTGGTCTGTGACGAGGCTGGAGGTAAGCAGAGTCCTTCTGACGAGAGTAGCAGACGCACCTCAAGGATCAGGAGCCGGATGATAGTCTCTGAATACGATGTGACCTGCGGGGTATCGTCAGTATCAGTCTCCTGCCAGTAAGGTAGCATACCTGGTAAGCGCATCGGGTCCTTAATGCGAAGCATCAGGCGAAGAGAGGGAAGTGATTGAGCAGCGCCGATATCGTATCCAGCAACCGTGTAACATGATGATCGCCAAGTGGGTCTGCAGTTAGGTTCGTTGCGAGCGTGAGCAGGGTCATGAGATGTGAGCAAGAGAGACGTACTGTGGCGAACAGAGCGTAGTACGTCAGGACCGTAGGATACAGGAAGGCAACCAGCGTGAAGAGGATGGTACCGAGCAAGAGCTGATCGATGTCGTAGTCCCACGAGTCGAGGCGATTGCGGAGCACGTTAACCGTTTCCCTGTGAGGCGAACCAGGTTACTCATACGCCGTTGGCTAACCAGCCGGACACATACCACGAAACAGGTTCCATAATGAGCCTGCGAGGCCGAGTTGATGCCGGAACGCCGTGGCTGAGAGGACGTAGCACACGTAGAGGTGCGATGTAAGCACACCGATGATGTCTGACAGAAGGGACACAATCATGGTCATCCCACAGCAACCCATAGCACCGACTACCCAGAGCAGGGCAGGGTAGTACGGGCCCATGCTGCGCAGAACGCCTAGAAGTAGTCCACGCTTCATGAGTTGTGTTTAAGGGTCGAATGAGGCCAGACGTACGCCCCCAGATTGTGATCGCAATCAGTAGAGAATGGCAGTAGAATTGGCTGAGCTCAGTGTTGAGCTTCAGACCGGCCGGCCAGCTGTTGAGCCAGATGAGCGCTCGCTGCATCCAGCCGACGAGGTACAACTGGGACACATGTCAGAACCTCCCGTTCCAGTGCATTCTGTTCATGCGACCACACACCTGCGTGAATGCGTCCAGCATGCTGCCCAATACGTGGCAGTTCTCGCACAAGAAAGACCCGAAAGCGACCCCGATGATTATGTCGTTGAGCGTGAGCCAGATGCAGTTGTAGAACCTGAGAAACATCAATGAAGTTTCGCAGTCGACGTGAATCTCCACGTACTTCACATATCGGGAGATGCTGTCTGTCGAGCGGGCCTTGACCCGTCCGAAGATGAAGGGCGCTTGGGTAACGATGAAAGACACTTGCTCAGAGCGGACGTCGAGTTGTTCAACTGATTTTCGTCAATTCTCGCCTGATAAAGATGGGTAAGAATGGATACGCACCCGTGGTCGAAAAGTCTCTTAAGAAATACATGAAGTATTTCATAGCCCTACCGGTGAATTTGGTCTGTCTTGCGCCTTGCATAGAACTCAGTTCCTCCGATTCTGCAGGAGTAGACTTCGAAGTGTGTGTGCTCCTTGGCTTGGACAAGGCCTGCTCAACGAAGGTGGCCACTGTGTGAGAGGCATTTACCTGAAGAAAGACATCAGAGCTTGAAGGCGGTGCTTATACGCATTGAGATATCGTACGTGGCAGATGGCGGCAGAATCCAGTTTGCTGAAGACGCCATCGAGGGACGAGTGAAGTCGAGGGTTAGGCCCAGTGATGCTGGCAGCGGTCGACGGATAGCAGAGCTCGCAGCGGTCTGGGAAGGAAGAATATCGAGTTCTCGTGAATCGGATGAGTAGAACTGCATCAACGATCGATTCGGTCTCTTGTAGTAGACAAGTCCTGCTCGAACTGCTGGGATCAGCCTCGCTGACGAAGTAACGGATGCACTCTTCGCTGACATTGCGTAAAACCAGTCGCTTCATCCCAAGCTTCAAAATAGGGCTCAAGGCCACCATGGAACCCTTCGGCGGCTTGACTTGATGCGTTTGGCGTGCTGCATCGTCCCAGTACAGAGGGAAAATCGACGGCGATGTCTCTCTGTACATTGATCCATTCATGGCTCCGTGAAGTCTCTGCGAGCAATTGAGATGCCTCCGCGAACTGGTTTACGCTAATGAGGCTACAACTATGCCGTGGTCATTTAAAGGAGACGTACTGTACCCGCTTGAATCACACCCGCGACGCAAATGAGCGGTTTTGCCCAACCGTAAAATAGCCATCTGGCTTTAAGTCCGTCGGCAAAAGAACAGACAAGATGTCACATTCTGGCGAGTCTGCCGCTTCATACGTGTCCGACGTCGAGTAAGAGTTCATGATGTACCGAGGTCGTATGATGTGGAAAGCCAACAGCACTGGCCTTCATAGCGATTCGGAATCGCACAACAGTGGTAGTAGCAAGCATCAACTTGGTCAAGCAAGCATGGTCGCTGTCTGTGTATGTGGCCAGTCACGGTAACGAGCGCTCGTGACGTTATGGCTGTAAATATTATTACGTAAGGGCTTGTTATGCGACCGTAATTTGAACCTGACTTGAACGTTTGAACGTTCGATATTCTGGCGGCTTCTGCTTCATCGCTCGAGACTATGACCCACAAGTATGGACAGAATTAACAGTGTCGACTCGCTATGATTGCCTCAGGCTGGAACGCTATTCGACATTCTGACGGACTCTAAATTGAGTCGGTACAGGGCATTCTAGAAGCGATCGGAACTCAACATGTAGCCTGAGCGTTTGCTCACTCCTGGCGTACAGTATTGAACTTTGAGACCTATTCACAGGCTTACAGCTGTAGTAGCAGACCGGAGGTCTGGTGGCACTGCTACGATGACCTTCTCATGATCGCGCCTAAGAAGCATGCTGATGCGAAGCCGAAGGTGCATATTCCGCGAACTGAATTCTATGAAGGTCCAGACTCGCTGGCAGACTGATATACGATCGTGTATCTGCTCGAAGGCAGCCACCTCAGCCCTCCGTCGAAATGGATAACGCTCGAAGACTCTACCACCCGAGACTACAGACAAGATTATTGGGTTCCTCCACGCCCATCCTGCCGCCCTCGCCGCTAGCGCACTAGTGGCTCGAGCTGGAGAAATCGTGCCCAGTGGCTCTTGTTCACCAGGGTGTTCCTCCGAGACAGCAAAGCATACCACACGCTGCGACACCTCGTGCAGTCCGCCGACAGCCAGGCGAGGACCAAACAGTATTGCGAGCATACGACGCACCTGGAAATCATTGACGACCAGAGTCGTCCATACGGGCATCAGATTCCCCTCACTCTTTGCCCGCTTTCCTGCACTCCAATCCATCGCGTACCACAACGCTCAGTGGCACGAGAAGACGCGCCTACACCCAGCTTTCTTCCCATCGCTATCGATATTCTCGCGCGTTGCGACCCTGGAGCTGCATGCGTGCCAATTCCACCCTTCCGTGACTTCACGTGTTTCATCTCCGCACTTCGAAGCCTCCGTACCTGACCTTGATCAGGACGCACCTGGGACAGCAGCCGTGAATCCTGTCCTGCCGCCACATGGCAGCAAGGTGATGTTGCGTTATCTTCGCGCCGAGCACTTGCTCTCGGAGGACAGTGCTTTCGCCGCGTTGTTGACGTGGCTCGCGCTCACTCCGAGCGCGCAGACGGTGCAGGTCCTGCAGATCATCCCGCAGGCAATGATGTTGCAGACGTCTTTCCATGCACCCATCAATAATTTGCTTGAGCCTCTGGGCGCATGTGTGACGGATCTAGACATACCTGTACTTCTGCATGGTATGTGTGGTGTTACAGATGGCTGCGCTCGTTCTCATCCATTACACTGCAACAGACATAGATCCCGCGTCACCTCCCGGCTTATCTTTCAACAATCAGTTAAAGACACTCGTCCTACGGCATACGTTCCGAGAGGAGTGGGAGATAGCGTGGGCGAGGATAGCGATGACGCTGAGTTGTATCGCGTCCCTCTCCCTCCGGAGTATAGAGCTGGTGTTCGCCATCTTCCGGGCGACCGGCCCTGCCGGTGGAGGCACCATGGACCTCGCGGACTCCAACGTCAATTGGGAGCCGATTAACGACGTTATTAGCACCAAGCATTTCGGTGCGCTGGAGAAAGCCTCGGTGACGCTGGACTGGCATGTCATGGACACCATACCACCCGGAGATGTCGAACGCTTCCGGGATATGATTGAGGAGGGGTTAAAGCAACTAGACTGGCACAGACGAGGCCTCCTCACGATCACGCATCACAACCACACCTGGTCCCCGCCCTCGGAGCCCGAGCCGGGGCGTGTTCAGCAGTGAGCTGTGTTGTTCGTGCGGAAGCTAGGACATGTGGACAAGGACAGTGTAGTACCGAATCATGTGTCGCGTCTTCGTCACGTCTGCTGTAGGGCCTCGTCAACTCTAGCTGTTCATCGAAGGGACTGATCTACCAGATAGGCAGCTTTTGTGCGTATCTGTGGCTGTGATGCGCAATAACTGAATGCTCTTGTTATCTGCACATAGAATGTCGAAGTCGTCAACAACGGAGCACGCGCCTGGCTCATTGCATCCTCAAGGCGATCTTTTCGAGCTCTTCTCTCGCACATCCTATGACTGAGCACTCTTCCAGGCCATACGGACCACTTCCTGTCTTTCACGTAAGACTTCGCGGACACGGAACACTACCAGTCCCAAGTCGCACTCGCACATTGCAGACCGTCGCTACTCTTCACACATGGCGACCATCATACCGATTGAGGTCATCGAGCATGTCCTCGACTTCCTCCACGACGACACGACGACGCTATACCGCTGCGCCTTGACCCATCCGTCGTGGTACCCTCACGCACACTCCCTCCTCTACTCTCGCGTCGAGATTCGGAACCGCAAATCGTACGACACCATTAGGATTCGTGGATCCCGGGAGGCGTCCTTCCGATCGCTCTTTGAGCACACCACGGAGCTCGTACTCGTGAACGATCCCGAGTCTCAGTACACGCACGAAACTCCCCTCACAATCGGTGGCCTATTCCCCGCGCTTCGCACCATCACCTTCATCCACAGCCTCCGGTGGCTCACGCCCGGTTGGATGATAGTACCGATCGTCTTTGCCTCCGTTGAGAAGCTCGTTTTACGGTGCTGCGATTTCCGGACGTTCACCGACCTTCAACACACGATCACAGCATTTCCTCGGCTTCGCGATCTTCGTCTGCATTTCCCTCTGTGCTCTCTTCGGCACAAGGAGCTCCCCAACGCAGAGCAGGCTCTCCGGAGAAATAAATTGCTGAGGTTGAATCGGCTCCATCTCGTCGATTTCACCGGTACGCGCAGAGACGTCGCTCTGCTGCTCCTGCTGCTGGATTGGATCGCATACACACCGTGTGTACTGGAGGGCACTATCACAGCGCTCGTCATACGGCCTGCTCTCACCTGGGTTCCCGACCTCTTGGGCGATGAACGCGTTGCGAAAGCCTTGCAGACGCTACTTTGTCAATTGGGGCCTTCCCTCATAGAGCTAGAGCTACCGGGTCCACGTCGTCATGATGCGCCGAGTACGTATGATTTCACTCGGATAGTTCCTGCAAGTATGTCATACCTCCATATGCTCATCGCGTCTTCTGTTTTAGGCTACAGCCCAGACTTGTCAAACATCTAAGACTTCAGTCTCTGTCTGTCAGCGTTACTTGGGATGCCCATGAAGAGTACCTATCTTCAGTTCTTGATACTGTTGCATCTCGCCGCATCTGTCGACTGTCAATCGCGGTCGAGATCAACGTAGAAGACAGCTCAGCTGGCTACATGGTTAGCGAAACCGTGGCTCCGTGGCCCTCCTCACCGCAGAGGATGTTGATTGCCACCTGACTCACCCAGCGAGTCTATCCGTCACATTCATGTGGACACTGCCGCACAAACTGTTGACAGATTTATACTCAGAGTGAAATCTTTTGATATCGATCACGGGTATCACGGTGCACGAAGCGCGCGCGCAGACTCGGACTCGCTCCGAGTCGGGAGTTGGGTATGACCTGCTTCCACCACACATTTCAGACATACCGCGAGCTCGCACGTGGTGGCCGCTGGCCCTTGGCATTTGTCGACGTCGTACCTGGCAGAATGGCTTCGGGAATTCGATACGAGTGGTCTCATGACAAGGCGTACCTCAAGCCGATCCGGCAGCATGGGTTAAGTAGCGATCTCGTCTCTAACTGGAATTTCCATGATGATGATTAACGACAACGCTACCTGCGCTTCAATGAAGCTCAGTAATATACCCAAGCACCGTTCGCCTGGGACTCGGCAATTCGGTAAGACAATTTTATTTCGTGTCGAAAGAGAAGTGCTCAAGAGGCAACTTGTACTAGACTCACGAACCCCACCCCCCAATTCCCCCGCGGTACAACCGTCCGTAGTGTGACGCTTTGTGGCACCCCGTTACCCCCACTCCGGGCTGAGTCCCCGGGACCTACAAGAACATGCGGGTTCGTAGCTTTGCAAGCTCGGAGGAGCTAAGGACGATGCCTCCTCCAGGACAACTGTCACCAATATCTGGGGTGCTATGTGCCGGTGTAATTGTATATGTACTACTGTATGTGCTAGACAAGTTTGTCAACCACTTGTAGCCGAATGTTGTGACGGTCGAGCGATGAGATTTTGAGCTGTGTCGGTGGCATCTCGGAAAAGCCACGATCGTTGGGACCCACGGCATGCTATCCATGTCAATCAGCTCACTGATCATGAAAGTAAAATATATCCCAAGTTCGCCGTGACACCAAGAAACACCTCATTTGTTACGTGAGTGTACATTGTTTATTGAGCTTCGACGGCCAACCGTCTAGTGTATCATCTTGGGAAAGGCTAGTAGTATGTCTAGTAAGGTAGACTAACGTTTCATATCAGAGAACGAAGATGAATAGTGAAACATAGTACGCGAGGTTAGTATATGGAATGTCTATCTATATCATTGTCAGCCTTAGTGATCCGTGAGTGTAGTGGTATCCGAACCTTAGTCGTCGTGTTCTTGACGCTTCGGGTACAATTTGACGACACGAGTGCGTTTCACTTCTTCCCTCTGAACACCAAAGTAGCGCTGCGTCTCGAAGCTCCATTCGCAGTTGCCGACTACCCAGGTCTCCATGGCCATCACGTATTTCGCCACAACTGCATCCATTGGAGGGCCCCATGATGGAAGACGAGCTTTGTCAGCGAGAAAGCTGTCCATGAGCTGTTTGCAATGCACGCCGACAAGGTCTGCGGCGGTCTGCAGGTCGCAGTGCTTGGACTTCATCAAGACCGTCATGACGTTGTTTCCCGTGTGGCCCATCGCCTGCTCCATGTTGTAGGAGTAGAGATCCTGTTCATCTCTTAGCGGGTAGATCGGCTTTGGGTCAAAGTGGACTCACGTTCGACCAGCACACTATGTCGACGGCAGCAAGGTGGAGACGCATCATGACCGGGTGCTCGAAGATCTCGTCGGGCAGGTCAAGACCCAAGACGAAACCGAACAGTCCGAAGCAAAAGCGGACGGCGCTGTTCTCTCTGCGGAGCACGATGTACGCGTCCGGGTCAAGGACTTCGTCGCGCTCCCGCAGCTCCGCCTCAACGGCGAACGCGTTCACGTAGTCCTCGCAGTGCTTGAGCAGTCGGCGGTAGCACGCGGGCACGTTGAACTGCAGCAGCCTCTTGCGGAACCTAAGAGGGGTTTGTTGGTGACAGCGCAACCACATGATGTCACATAGACTTACTCCTTGGTCATTTGAGCGAGTGCCGACCCGTCGTCCCAGTCGGGGGCGCGGAGAGCATTGAGGAAGACGCGCCCAGTATTGTATGCATCCTTCCCATTCTGCTCATCGCTGACTTCGTCGACGGTAAATAGGATGTTGACCAAATCCATGGTAGTGCGCAGCTCTTCGTAGCCGGCGTAGGAGTAGGCGTGAGCGCAGAGGAGCTCGCTGCCTCCCTGCTGGAAGAAGGCGCGCTTGCGTTCGGACACGATCCTGTAGCTGTTGACCCAGGCAGAGGATGCCTTGGCCGCCCGCTCGAAGTGAGGGTTGAAGGAGCCCTTGAAGGGCAGAAGAGGGAAGAGGTCGGGGAGGATGAAGGACTCGGTCGCGGACGTCATGTTGTATGAGAACTGTGAAATTAACCTGCGGATGCTTGTGAGCTAGGGCTGTGGAAGAGGGAAGTGAGGAAAGCGGGAAGACGACGCACTCTTAAATATGATCCCGGTACGTCCGTCTCTTTCCATTGAGGGTGCGACGCACGTCCTAGCATTGACCGGCCGGCCGAGATAATTCGGAGTGATCATTTTCCGGTCAACCACAATACCGCTGACTTCCCGGGCTCACGTCCGATCATGGGTGAACGTCATGGTATGTGTGCCCACTAATGAAACTGGCGCCCGAGGCGTTAGTAGTCGGACCGCTGGTGGCGCGCGCCACGAAGCCTAGCACAGGTTGGCTGTCTTGGGTTGAGAGCTTCCAGGCATTCGGTAAGGCAATTGCTGACACGCTATCCGTCTTGTGGGCTTTGTGTTACTGTAAAGCAACCGAGATCTGTAGAGCACGGAGATACTGTAGAGACCGATGTAGACGTGACACCGACGGGGCGCGGAAATTTGCGGGACTAATCGGGGCGCACGGTCTGTGAAACAACGATATGTGAGACTCGACAAATGGCGGACTCCCTGGGACGCCAGCTGCGAGGCCCTGACGCCAGAATCCTGTAAAAGCGTTGCCGCGTATACCGTATGTTTTTCAAGTCTCCGAGTCGCTGAGTGTCCGACAGCAATAAGAAACAATCTACAATCAATTCTAAGCATTCAACTTCATCGATTATACCACGTACTGTGGCATCCCAAATGCACACCGAGCTTCCGACGGCGCAGCGGAGTCAAGGACGAGTACAAATAGAGGAAACGAGTCATCCGAGAGTCAGAAGAAATCGGAGCGCGTACCTGGAGATACTTTGAATCTCATCTGTTCGGCGTGAGATCTACGCGGTAGACAATGGATCTCGCGGATGACATGTAGCGCCTGTGACACCCAATGGCAGATGGCATTAGCTAGGCCGTGTCCATAGTTGCCAGCATTCCATAAGGCACGCCTTCCATCATTGATAGAGGCGTGATGGACAAGATAGATCTAGGAATGTGGTAGCACAAGGTTCACGCCTGTACGACCGGAAGAACGTGAGCTGAAGGATCTCTGCCGGTAGCTGTAGAGCAAGACTGACTGCAACAATCGTGGCTGCCACGCCACTGGATGATATTAAGCGACCTGAACGTTCACTTGGTAGGGGCTCCAGGGGCTCCGAACAAGGGCGTGGAATCGAAAGACGTTGTATGCGGCTAGTGAAGTTACCGACTGTCGGTTGGCGATTGAAGTGGAACGACGCCAATGCGATGGTGGGCACTCAGAGCATGCCGGTCTCACGCAGTTCACGGAGGTAGCCATCTTCGCATCTACCGCGTTCTCGTTTTGCATGCGTCGGAAGGCCGTGTCGCAACAGTCATTCACAAGAGCGGGAGTTCTGTGGCGCATTGAATTATCTTGAGTACTCCCAGTTCAAGAGAAAGGATCTGCTATATTGACCTTATTCAACGCCACTATCCCCGAGGACCCGATATGGCTCCCATATGGACGATAACCCTCAGGTTAGCTGGTAACCCGAAATCGTCTACCCTCACAAGTGTGACCCGCGGAGCGCTGCACAAATACACAGCTCTAGTTAACGCTCGAGCCGAATGGACAGATCAGCACTTACGGTAGCGAGACGTATTGACGCGGACGCTTGGCCAGACGCGTACTGCGTGCTTAGGACATGATACGTCCGAGACCGATGAGCGGAGGGCCTACAGTCTCTTCGCATAAATGAGTAAGTGCTCTTCAGCACGCTTGCTGCGCGGGTATCATTGCACTGACTGTGAGTGTGGAGACTAACGAGGCGTGTGTCGCCCCCATAACGCTGCACATTGCGGGCTCTCAAGCTATACCCACAACAGCACAGCGTCTCGAAGGTATGGTCTATACAGTACATGCGCTGCACATCACAGTGCCAATTTCCGAATCGTACTTGCGATAGTCCGGACCGCAGTAATTGAACTTAAAGCACGTCAGTCGCAGCCGGGACTCGGAAATAACAGGTGTCAGTTCAGTGATCGACCGGCTCTAACGAGTTTCCATTTTAATGATCCTCACCTGACACAGATTCTTGAATATAGTCTGCATGAAGATCAATGACTGGGAGACAACGTGAGGAGGAGGACAGCGCAACAAGCACTGGCAGTCACCAGCAACCCCGGGCCAGAAAGCGAATATTCCCACGGTTACAATGCCGTGTCCGACCGGGATCTCGGCCAGATGATGCTACGACACTAGTGAACACTGAAGAGCGACTCCAGAGGCTGAGTACATGAGAAATATGATAGAAAGATAGCTATAGACGGCAGAAATGCGATGATGTACGATTCGTGTCAATCGGTAGAGTGAGTGACTGGTTCTGCATGCCCTGTAGGTCCAAGTAGTAAGGAGGAACCGAGATCCGGAACCGATACGGTACCACTCCATATAATCACATACCATACTCGTCAAGCAGCTGCCGCGACACTCTCACGGTTCTGCATACATGAAAGCAGCCGGTAAATACGCGAGGCACGCATATCTTAGTCGCTAGAGTTGCTTTTGTGTTGATTCTGAAACTGTCTCTGACAGCAACACTAGGACCAGAACTCGAGTAGGGCGCGGGCCGTCCAGTCGGACCGCAATCTGGAGCTGTTGTCGACACACAACAGCGCCTTGTGGCTACAGACTAGGCTGACCGCCTAAAACATGCCGTTATCCGCGAACCTGCGTGGTAGCGTGGCTTTGACTTCACGTAGACCGCGGATCATGAGCACTTGGCACAGCCTGAGCGCAGTAAGCTTATCATGCTGCGTAGAGCTATCTGGGGCACTGAAAGTATGATCTCGCGCTTCTGTTGAGCGGTGAGTGTAGACATGATCTCGACCCTCACGCATGTATCACTGGAAGAATGGAAGAACTTCCTCAAGAATCGAACTACAGGTCACACTATGATCCGTATTCACCGGACAATGGGAAGCAGTCGACAAAGATCAACCGACTCACTGGGTCGCAACTAGCACAGCACAAGCATCAGTAGCGGAACGCGCGACCGACGTAGACTATCGTATTCGCCTCCGTGACAACCACTTCAACACTAACTGCCATCGACCTGCGTTCCGTTCTCCGTGCGCACTGGTAGTAGACGGCGCAAAGGGGCAAAATGCCGTAGGGCTCGTCTCCAGCATCCTGGAGAAGCAGGGCGACAGCTCCATGAGGCGGAACAGCCGCGCAGTGAAGTTGCGTATGGCAGTGCCGTTGTCGGTATGGGTCCACAGATCCTACAAAAGTGATATGGTTAATCTGGGTATTCACTTAAATGCTTGAAATCAACCATACCCGGACTGAGTATTGTCTACCCGCACGAACCCACGGTGATTCCGTCAAGTTGAAGAACATGTCTGCGGGCTCATCTAGCGTGTTGAGCTACGACACTCAGACATCAGAGGCATACAAAATAGAATCAGGCAGCAATGAACTGACCAGCATGACCACGGTGCCATTCTCAGTCAGTCCACTCCAGTATTGCGCTGGATAAGAGCTATTACTCGTCCAGTCCGCCTTTGAGCCATATCTTTAGCAACACAGTGCATATAAGAGCATATTGCTTCGCGTACATTTATTCCCCACCGGAATGGCGATATGCTTGTCCCAACAGTGGGATCCTGGTTTATGGCGAGTATCTCGGTATTTTTGAAGATATCTATTATCTCAGGGGATGCGGCGGAGAGCTACGTAAACGAGGTGAGTTCACGTATGCAGAGACACGCAACTGTACCCACGTTGGTTCCGATCAGCAATGGCGACTTCAGCAAGGCCCAGGCCGTGAAGTGTGCCTTGTTCTCCTCATATGTCAGTTCGCCGTTGCCACTGGATGGACAATTTCAGCGAAATTGATAGAAGCATACAACAACAAACGTACACTTCCAGCTTAGAGACATGCCACGAATGTCATTTGATATCAGTGAAATGGTCATTACTAGGAAACGCTCACGATGTCTATATCGTTCCTCCCGTAGAAGTTGGTATAGCCAGAGATAAACGAGGCACTGGCAGCGATGATTAACTCATCGGCACGTAAATAATCACTACTTACAGATTGATGATGCTCGCAATCGAATCCCAGGTGTCGGTGATGTCTCCATCGGCCTGTAGAGTGTCTCAATAGCGAGTCGACAATGTGTCATATATCACGTACCCGCCAACTATTGCCCACAGTGGCTCCCCAGCTATGACACGCACGCTCGATTATCTCGCACACGAAAATGGAAGCACGGGGCTCACATCCATACTTGACTCTGTCATGATACGTGTGAGTCAACAGTAACTTCCATCAGTCTGGCACGGTCGACATACCCAGCCCCACTCGCACAGGGAATATATCAGAGGTGGTTGTCCCGAAGAATTTGCGAGTTGGGCGATGGCATCGGCCATCCGTTGGTATTCTGAAATAAGTCGTCGCCATTATATCTTCAATCAACCCTGCTGAATGGCACCTACTTCCATACGTTCCTTGCCGGATGACATCATCGAACGGAACTTGACATGTACGCATTTGAGAATCACCGATGTCACCTATGCTGGTGAAGCCGGCACTCACTGTTGCAATTGTCGTACCTACACACGCATTAGTGCGAACCGCAGGTTTATAGAAGGTGACCCATACTTCAGATAGTCAAAACCCCAATTTTGGAACGTGGTGGCATCCAGGAGCTCATTGCTGAAGCTCCCTGGATAGCCGGCGCACGTCCTCCAACCTGAGTCGCTATACTGGAGCGTCTTTGTTAGTGTGGCCTTCAATCTGCCGGGTCCATACCACGCACAATACCAGCTTGACTGGTCTGAATGTTAGCAACGACGCTGACATATATTTTGTTTAGAATACGCACAAGCCCATGTCATGAAGCTGACTGGTCAGGTTATTGAACCCGCTCGGAAATCTTTCTGCATCTAATGCGATCACCGGTGATGAGTACCACCATCACAATTTCCAATGAAAAGTGGTCCCGTACTAGGGGTGATCAAACCATCCGCTGTCCGATTCTTCTCGGCCCAGCAGTCGTCGAGGTTCACATGCGTATAGCCAACATCCTGGCAGCGTGTGATGCCCGTTAAGCTCGGGTGAAAAGAGTTCGAAAGAGGACCGAACTCACTTGCAAACCGAGCGACTGCATGAGCGATGCGGTCTCCAGGATAAGGTCCTCGTTTATGTTGCACTGTTGCTTATTCTGAGCCTCCGTCCAGACATCATTCCGATCGGACGACTTACGGCATACGCATTCCAAGCTGGGTAATGCCAACGGGGTTGATACTCTGTGGCTAACTGAGTGACAGACTGGACACTCACTGTTGTATCCCAACACTTCCATGTCAAACCACCATCAGTATCATATTAGAGAACATACAGCATCCCAACCTACCAGGCAGTCGAGCCACCCCATTGTCTAACGCCCGGACACTAGTGATGGCAACGAACAACGCCGCGAGAGATACTGCCACAGTGGATTTCCGAGCCATTTCGTCAAGCAGCGAGGGTGCACCCCACAGCCGGTTAAGACTGAGCCCCTTTATAGCACTTCCTCGACCCTCGTGCCGTACCCAGTGTGAAATGAGTCCGTTATAGACCATACCCGGCCCGGGAAGCAGCTGTCCATCCTCGGAGCGTGTGATGCATCTTGTGATCGACAGTTAAACTTCTGCTATTACCCCTCGAGTCTGAGCAGCGCATGGTCACCGCTCACAGCAGCAGCGCGAACAAGCTTGGCAGCTTTTCTCGGAAGAGTCCGCACCCACATTGGCAGCTCGCCACCTTCCATACAGTGTCCTATTGATCCAAGAGCGTCCATTCCATGGTCCTTTCGCCAACCCTAGTACTCCGTCGTACAGCCCCCATACACATATGAACCATTCTCCGTTCCGCACTGGCAGTACACCGCACAGAGCGGGTCGATCCCATCAGGTTCGTCGCCTGCGTCCTGGAGAAGCAGCGCGACTACACCGTGCGCCGGGACAACCTCAGCGGTGAAGTTGCGGATGGCTGTGCCGTTGTCACTGTGGGTCCAGAGGTCCTGATAATGGGTCAGCACCGCCAGCAAACATAGGACTCAGTCGAAGGCGCACCCGGACGGAGTAACTCCGGCCCGCGCGGATCCAGGGCGACTCCGTAAGATTGAAGAACATGTCTGCCGGCTCGCTCAATGTGTTAAGCTGTCCCTACGAATTAGCACTGCATCGAAGAAATGCTCAAGACTGACCAACATGAACACGGTCCATTTTGACTGGGGCCGCTCCAATATTGCGCGGGGAAGGAACTGTTACTCGTCCAGTCCGGCTACCATACAGCAGCATCAGTGTATCAAATCTCTTGCACACGGCGTATAATCGGAAAGATACATACGTTTAAACCCCATCGGAACGGCGAGATGCTCGTGCCGACAACGGGATCCTGGTTGATCGCGAGAATTTCCGGGTTGGAGAGGACGTCGACAATTTCGGAGGACACTGCGGATAACTGCAACAGTCGACGCGTCAGCCAGTTTCATGAGAATATCATTGGTGAGCAACAGCGAGAGGAGGAAGGTCGGGAGAATCGAAGAGGGATGAACCGACGTTAGTCCCGATGAGCAGAGGCGACTTGAAGAGTGCCCACGCAGTGAAGTGCGACTTGTTCTCTTCATAGGTTAGGTCGCCGTTCCCGCTGATATGAGAATCAGTATCCAGTGCAGTGTGGCGAAGTATGCGTCACGTACACCTCGAGCTGGTTTACAGACACCAAGATTCAGTGAGATGTCAAGGGGCGATGTGAAAGGCTTACAATGTCCATGTCATTGCGCCCGTAGAAATTCGTCGCCTGCGGGATGAACGATGCCCTGATGCATACATCAGCTTATAAGATTACGCACAAGTCAGCGGGGTCGAGAGGCGTACAGGTTGATAATCGCCGCGATTGAGTCCCAGTTTGCTGCGATGTCATTGTCAACCTGGATCTAATCGTGAGACCGCAGCTCATCCCCCCTGTTGTTGTAGAATGTACTTACGCGCCAACTGTTCGCCATCGAAGCGCCCCAGCTGACATCCCATCACCATCTACTGTTAGTTGTAAGTCCAGCGGAGTTCAAGGCACGCACAGCCAGACTTGACTCTATCAACGACTCCCGCGTCAGTCCCCGCGCTTCGCTCAAGATACGCGCGCGAGATCGCACTCACCCAGCCCCATTCACAGAGCGAATAGATGAGCGGCGGCTGTCCGGACGTGGAGCTGAGATTGGCAATAGCATCTGCCATGCGCTGGAACCCTGCGGAACGGGGTGGTCAATATTTTAACACGCGTTTCAAGGAGAACAAGTGTGGACTGACTGCCGAGTGTGCCCTCACGAATGATGTCATCGAAGGGTACTACATACAAGGAGTTGACATAATCAGCGGTGCGCCCGGAGCGTCCAGAGTACGCACTGTAGCAGTTGTCGTATCTCAAGAGGCTACGTCAGGGGTTCTGCCTCAGCCGCGAACATCGTGGAACTCACTTCAGATAGTCGAAGCCCCAGTCCTGGAACGTTTCTGCGTCGAGGAGTTCATTGCTGTAGCTGCCAGGGTAGTCCTGGCACGTTCGCCAGCCCGAGTCAGAGTACTGCTTCATGTCAGCGCGCGACATTGGTGTATGGTGGCGGAATTACGTACGATACCTGCTTTACTGTTCAGTGAGGACACATCAGTACTCGTGAACGCAGAACAGATGGGGTCTACACAGACAAGCCCATATCGTGTAACTGGGAGGTGAGGTTGATGAACCCGCTTGGGAAGCGCTCCGCGTCTACGTTGCCCGTGAGCTCTGCCGCTGCAGCCGTTATGAATTATTGCGCACTCGCTTGTAGTACGCCGTCAGCACTCCGATTCTTCTCTCCCCAGCAGTCGTCGAGGTTCATCTGCGTGTAGCCGGCGTCCTGGCGGGCTGTTCAACCCTGCTTCGCCACAAACGTGGAGGACAGACGCACTTGCAATCCGAGAGACTGCATGAGGCTTGCAGTCTCCAGGATGATGGTATCATCAATGTTGCACTATGATTGTGCGCTCAACTCCATTGTGCACTCGAGAAGCAATTGATCGCGGCCTTCACTCACAACGAAGGCATTCCAAGCTACAATCATGACGCAACTGTTCAGGAACTCGACACTCAGACTCAATCCACGGCTTTCTCACTCACTGTTGTATCCTAGGACTAAGCAGCGTTACTATCAACCAGGGCACTCCCGGCTCAGGGTACATGAAACTTACTTGGAAGTCGGCCAACACCGTTGTCTAACGCGAACGCCGACGGAGCCAACGCGGCAAAGCCAGCGAGCGTAGCGGTCGTGAACAGCATACTGCTGGCAACCGGAGATGTGAGAGAGAAAGAACGTGCGCTGGAACCGTGCACCACCTTATAAGCGTCCAGCGAACGCGGGAACCGCACCGGACGCCATGCAACGAAGATGCACTGTCGCTGCTTCGGAATCACATATAGAACACGGAAAGGTCTATTTGAGGTGCCCGTGACGTACCCTGTGATCGGGGCCGCACATGTACCGCTGCGTGAACATCAGCGAACAACGGAGAGGTCGCGATAATAATGGGCCACCAGGTACCGAAAGCGGTCCAAAGAATCGGCGGCAGAGGCGAGCTGGCAGTCGGTCGCACCTAGAAGACCATCTCAGCAAGAGCATCAACGGCGTATCGCCCTCGCTTGAGCCTAGCGTTCCACTCACTGACGTATGTAGTATCGGATATCAGAGCCATTTGAATGCGCACCTCGATGTTGTGCCCATCGCATGATGATGTTTGCATCTCTGAAGGACACAGCTTCGTTCAACCAATTGAATGCTCCATGTGTCCTGCTCAAGGACAAATGGTTGACAAAGGGCACCGCTACTTCAGGCACGACATGATGAAGGGCGCGAACCGCTCTACCCATCCGGCTTAGCCAAGTCTCACAGCACGCATTAATGGAAGCACCAGATCTCTAGTATTCCGCTTCAACAGCAAATCTAATTTAGTGGCCACCCTGCGCGGCCAGGTGCCCTGCCTTGCTGTTGTGGAAGGCATCGTAGCGCTTCGCCCACGCGTACGTGCCGTAGCCTGAAAAACAAGAAAAGGATTAGTATGTATGTACATTTCCTCAGAGGTACACGGTAAGGTTCGAGAGAACATAAGCAGCTTTCACTCAAACGGCGAAAGCAACGGTCCTCGAACACGTATGTGCGATGTAGGGAATGACCAAAAGTATTGAACATGATACTGACCGATAGCGACTGGAACGATCCAGTAGCCAACCTGGCCCGACAGGCGGCGGTAACCGTTGAAGACCCAGTTGCGGATGATATGATGCGTAGCGCGCTGCCTCATCGGGGACATGCCTGTGCAAACACACAGTAGCAACACCAACGTCGCATAGCAAAGGATGGCACGGAGAATTAGAGTCAGTGGTAGTGGGAGAGCAAGACGAGTGCACGCACTGTACTGGACCAGGCCCTTCTGCCTGGGGAGCTCCTTGTCACCCCACCACAGGTTCTACATATGCGCCGCATCAGAACGCGTTCAAATATGTTTTGTCGTTTGCCCATAGCCATCGTTGGCCCTGACGAACATGCAGCTGTTGATACTCACGTAGACCTTAGCTGGTACAACAAATTCAACATGAGCTTCGCGAAACACACTCCAAGCGTTCGTGCACGTACGTCCGGGCATGTCGCTACGACGAATATCCGTTGCTCGCATCTTGTTATAGTCGGCTGTAAAGTAGTAGATGTGATGTCGAGAACGATGAGGAGGAGGTCAAGCAAGCCGCTGGCGAGGTCGGGTGTGGCAGGAAACCGGCGGTCTCAGCCAAATAAGCCCAAATACCGCTCTGGCGACGACCACTGGTGACCGGACCACGACCGCAAACTCGTCCCCGACGCATACCTCGGTTCGTACCTCAATCACCTACTATCCTTGACGATGCTTGATAGTGCTGTAGACAAGATGATCAGTCATAGCGAGCTATACAACCTTGCCAACTCGTTGGGCTGTTTGGCGATGCTCACAGTGGTGGCATACCACTTCGTCTCAGTGAACGCCCGCCACCTCTCAGCAAAGAGCGGCGAAGCTCCCCGCAGCTCTTGATGAAGTTGGCGGTATGTTGAGGCGACACAACTGCTCTGGTAGGTAGCCACCCATGGACCGTTTGGCTCGGTATTTGACGCGTCCATAGTAGGTCGATGGCTCGAGTTGTCTCACAATCATTCGCCGTGCACAGCAATACTTGGAAGATACCTGTTAGTTTTTGTGAAGCACCGTGGACTGGCAAGCAGCCTAATAGAGCCCTCGCCGTGTTGTATGGACGCTTAGGTGCTTGACCCTTGCCAGAAACCTACGGACCACTCGCGCGCGGCCTTCAGATGTATGTTGGATATCAGCCTCTATTAGATACGTGCAATCGCCATCCTATATTATGTATACGAGCGGCACCCGTACTTTGCGCGTTCATCCTCCAGTTCGCTTTGCATTATTCGCAGGACCTCACATATGGACACAAGAGGGTCCACCACGTAAAGTATCCCTCGGTGGCGCATTTGTATACTCTTGACCTCGGACTGATATGTGCTCACTTTGACCAGTCATAATGGCACGCACGTACATATGTACATGGATCACCGCGACACTGGTCAAGAACTGGTGCCGAATGTGATGATAACGCTCGCTCAACACGGTACGTTTACAGTCAGTTTCCACAGATATAAATTAACACTTCGACTCGCCCACTGCCTTCAAGCCCCGTTCTTCACAGCCTGCCAGGAGGGCCGAGAAGTGATGTCCTTCCACCACCTGTTCAGGATTATGAGCGCCTTGATGGACGGATAGGAGACATGCGATCAAGTCCTTACCGCGCCAGGTTGGGCCGCTTCGTAGCGTCCTCGAGTGCGTTGACGCCGAGCGGAGAGAGCATCGACCCGTAGGTCAGATGGAACAGGTCCGCAATCGTCACCTCCTGTTGTCGAAGACATCAGCTCACTAATTTGAGATAGGTGAAGAAAACTGATACTGACGTCACCCGCGAGGTATTTCTGCTTTGACAGGATGACTTCGTAGGCGTCGAGCTTCGCAAGGAGCTGGTTCGTCAGGCTCGCTACGCGCGCAGGGTCCGCCTCGCCCAGGCCCTTGTTCCTGTAACGCGTCGCGCTGGTCAGCCACCTGTCCATTGAACCTCGAGGCCGCTCACTTCTTGAACACCTTCTCAAACGCAATCTGACTCGCGAACGGGTCGAAGTTGCTCAGCTCGATGCTTGCCGCCTGCTCGAACTTCGCCACGGCCCGGAGGTCCGCAGGGTCCGGTAGGACCTTGTTGCCCTGGCCCGCGTACTTGAGCGCGATGTACCGCCCGATCGCGCGGCTCTCGAACAGCTGGAAGCCGTCCTCCTCCACGATGTACGGCACCTGGCCGAACGGCTGCTTCGCGAGGTACTCCGGAGACTTGTGCGCGCCAGACGCCAGGTCGACGGCGATGAGCTCGTAGGGAACGTTCTTCTCCTTGAGCACGGCGGCGACGCGCCGGGTGCAGGTGGAGAGGGGGGAGCCGTACAACTTCAAGACCATCTTCGGTTGGACGTGTGTCGAGGGCGGCGCGGTAGGAAGATACTGACTGGTTTGGGAAGTCCGCTTTCTGGGCCGTGGGGGGATTTATACGACAGCGAGGTCGTGATGGATAAGCAGAGTGTAAGTTCAATGACGGAAGGAAATATGCAGCATATGGTCGATTAGGTTGCTCAGGCACCTTCTCGATGTCGAGGACTTCTTGAATCCGATCCGCACACGCTCCTTCTGGGCTGTTCGGTATGTCATGGTGGCGTTCAAAAGTCGCTCGGTGTATCGGATTGCTGTTTTGGACAAGTGAAAGGTTATTTGGCTCGTGCGCGGTGGGTGTTCAAACGTTCAATGTCCAACGTCTTCATGATTATGATTAATGGCATGTCATCATGATTACTTGATGCTTACTTTCATATCTAGGTTGCCCCTCGGTTCACCATCTCTGTCGCCAACTCTGCATGTTTTGCATGAATCGGCTCTCTGCGTGCCGCGCGATGCAGGACGGCATGCGGGTCTCATGATGTCGGCGACGTGGACGCTGACGAAGAGCGAGACATAGATGTGCGGATTGTGGGAGTTCGGCCGCCTTTTACGGACACAAGGGGCGCGCACCAACGGACAGGCGAGTCAACCGCCGTTCAAACCTTCTTGTATATGGTGTCCGAGCTAACACGGACGCTAATCTGCGCGCCACGCATTCGTAAAGCCCTTCAGGCCATTCGGCGTTCGCGCGCCAGGCGGCCGCCTACTTTGACCGGTGACCTACTGGCCGCTTCGATCTGCCTATTCCGCGACGCCGCTACGTGATAGAACCCTAAGACCCCTGGTCGCTGACAGAGATTATAGTCTATGAAGTGTTCATGCGGGCTTCATGGGGCGTCATACGCCCGCTTTGACGTTGGGAGTGGTGTTGGGCGGAACAGATGCTCAAAGGAGCTCCTTAGTCGCCGTCCGCACGTGTGGGATGAGCAAGCGCAGTGTACGAGAGGGACAACATAAGTACAGCGACGTCGTTCGAACATCATCCAGGCATACATAAGTCCGTAACGCTGAACAGGATGGCGAAACGTATTGCAGTCTGCGGTGCGACGGGAAACCAAGGTTCGTCTAATGAAATGATGTCATACTACGAGCGTATCCCCCATTGATTCAATTCGTACACCAGGTGGCTCGATTGCCAACCTGCTGCTACAGCACCCAGACCAGTATACAGTACGCGCGCTCACCCGAGACCCCGCGTCGGCCAAGGCGCAGGAGTTGGCGAAGCTGGGCGCGGAAGTAGTGCGCGCCGACCTGACTGCCCCGGCCGATGTCAGCGCCGCGCTCAAAGACTGTTGGGGCGTGTTCGGTGTTACCAATTTCTACGACCCGGTGAGCTATGGCGATCTTGTAAGTACGTACTGAATTGTGGCTTACTCATCCGCGGCAGAAAATCAAAGATGACCCCGGTAGCGAAGAGAGACAGGGAAAGAACCTTGTTGATGCAGCATTGGCTGCGGGCGTAGAATGTTTCGTGTGGAGCACGCTCCCGAGCTCGAGGAAGATATCGGGCGGGCGGCTCGTGTCTCGCATTTACGAAGGTTGGCTGCATCGATCAACTCTACCTGGCACCCATGACTGATGTCAGAAAGCCAGGCAAATATCAGGTGGACGACTACATCCGGGAGACGGGACTTCCAGCTGTGTTTTTGTACACCGGTAACTTCTACGAGAACATGGTCTACCGCTCGCACATGGTGTACCATCCTGACAAAGATCAAGTGGAGTTCCGCCAACCTATCGTGAAGGAAGATACGCAATGTATGCTATCAGGCTTACGAGCATGCGACAGTAAGCTGATCATTCGACAGTGGCGATGCTATATGTCGAGAAGGACCTGTCTGGCATCACCAAGGCGATCTTCGACCAATGGAACCCGAAGAAAGACGAGCTCAATCACCAATACCTCTACTGCACCAACGCTAGAATCACGCCATTGGACATCACCGCGAGTGTCAAGAAGAGTAAGCAGTCCACTGCATTCTATATACCACGCCCTGACGATTCTGTTCTGCTAGTCACCGGCAAGGAATGCGTGTACACGGTGCTACCAACTACGCACGTCCCCGACCGCGACGTCATGTTCCAGCTCTACAACGAGTTGGGCATGTACGGGACGAAGGAGATACCCGACGAGAACGTCCTGAAGCTGGGCGTGAAATTACATGACATTGATGACTTCGTGAGGAGCAGGCTGGCACCGCACCTGGGCTTGCCTGTAATAGCCTGAGCGACGTGAAGCAGCGGTATGCATTACTACATAGTAGCCGTAACATATGCATGCCGAATATGCAGGGCTGATAATATGCGCAATACCTCTCGGATATTTGGATTATTACGCGATCACGTGCACATGTGGCTGCCAGCACATTGCTCGCGCGACCTGTCAACCGCGTCCTCGAACACAACTACGTCCCAGTGCTGTTCTTCCGCCATGAGCCATCCAACTGAGTCGCAAGCCTCTGGGGAGCCAGTGCGCAAACGCCCTCGTACACGGACTACTTCCCACAGCTCGACGTTGCCCGCGTTCAGCCACGATGGTGAATTCTGGTACGACGACGGGAACGTCATACTCGTCGCGCAGGACGTTGGCTTTCGCGTCTACAAGGGCTGGCTGTCCGCACAGTCGGAGATTTTCCGCGATATGTTCAATCTCCCGCAGCCTACTCCGAGTACCTCCCAAGACGATGTGTTCGACGGCTGTCCCATTGTCCACGTTACGGATACGGTGGCCGAAATCCGCTCGCTACTGGCCGTCCTCTTTAGTGGCAGACAGTGCGTGTTTTGACTCCTTGGGTGTGTCTATGTGTACCAATAATGCCTCTTTGACAGATACATCCGCCGGGTCGCACTCAAGTTTGACGATATCGCAAACTGTGTTCGCCTTGCCCATAAATACGGCATCCAGGATCTGCTCGAGGACTCCTTGGAGGAGTTAAAACGCTACTTCCCTGAGAGCTTCGACGCATGGGACTGTCGGCTGAAATGCAACGACCCAGCGGATGCGATCGTGGCAGTGAACCTCGCGCGCCTCACTAACACTGAGTCCATCCTTCCTGCCGCGTTGTACAGCTGTTGTCAATTAGATGGTGACGACATCCTGGAAGGGCGGGTACGCGGAGACGGCGTCATCGAGACACTCAGCTCGGAGGACCTCGCACGCTGCTTCGATGGGAAAGCAAAGCTGTGCACTCGACATATGCGACATTCTTTCGAGAGCATCGGAGCCCTCGATAATCCACATTGCAAGATGGCTGACGATCACTGTAGGGTGGCTATACTCAAATTACAGTCGTTTATACTTCGAACGTCACTTGAGTGTGGCGATGCCGATGTGCTCGGTCCATGGGACGGATTCATCAAGGCACAGGACCCCAAGGTGAAACCTAGACCTGCCTGGCCCATTTGCTCGTCTTGTATCACGGCCCTGCGCAAACGGGAGAAGATCGCACGCATTAAAGTATGGTCGGAACTTCCGGAGCTGCTCGACCTAGATGAGGACGATGAGGAAGAGGGAAGCGGTGCGGAGGAGGAAGGGAATGAAGGCGAGGAAAATTGAAACAGCAGCTCATCGGCGACGAGGTAGGCCTTGTGTAATCCGTTTGTGGTCATTGTCCGCCTGATAAACATCGAACGCTAGGCGTCAGCATGGAAAGAACGATGAATCTTCCTTGGTCAATCATCATCCGAAGGGGTATATCGAGCGTTCTCTGTGTACATCCTTGTTCCGGCACTTCGACAGCTGGAACTTACCGGTTCAATTTACGGACATGTGCTCCTTCATAAGTACTATCTCGTGCTATAACTTGAATACCAGTCAGTTCGATCTCTTCAGACTGCATGATATTCATCGAGCAATATATCGCTGGTTCTATTCGTTCAACCGTTTACCTCAATTTTCGCTCCTCGCATGCCTTGGCCTAGCATTGTGATCTTGTCATAGTACACTAGACTGTTGTGGAGACCTCGGCCTCGCAAAGCATCCTCAGCGTGCTCACTCGAGAGTTACACGTGGCCACGTGATTGACTACTGTCTTGTTGCCAACTCGAAACCGTCAGAGTTCCCAGCGACGCCGTACTCAGCCCGAGCCTTGCATCGTGTCTCGCCAGTCTGAGTCTACGAGGCCTAACTTACGCCCAGCTGTTCTTCTCTCACTATGAGCACTTCGTCGAGCACGCTGTCCTCAGGATCCGAAAAGCCGCCGCGCAAACGTTCTCGCAAGGACTCGGAGTGCAGCTCCAGAAGTCAGCCAGACTCGAGAGGCTCTTTCAGCCGAGACAAGCAGTTTTGGTACGACGACGGGAACATCATCGTCGTCGCGCAAGACGTCGGCTTCCGTGTCTATAAGGGCATGCTCTCGAGACCCTCCGAGGTGTTTCGCGACATGTTCAGTCTTGCGCAACCTGCTCCGAACCAATCCCGAGAACAGACTCCGGAAGATTGTCCCATCGTCCATGTCACGGATACGGCGGACGAGATGCGTTCGCTGCTAATGATTCTGCTGGAAGGGAGGCAGTATGTATTGTCTTCGCAGATTCACCCGTTGACACTGAATGGATCGGCACGTACCAGGTACATGCAGCGCCTAGACTTCGAGTTCGATGACATGGCCAATTGCATACGACTCGCGCACAAGTACAGAATTGAGGACCTCCTCGAAGACTCGTTGAAAGCGCTCAAACAGTACTGCCCGGACGATTTCGACGCATGGGATACCAGAGCCGAGAGCTCGGAGCCAGAACACGCGATCGTCGCAGTCAACCTGATGCGCCTGACGGGCGAGGTGTCCTTGCTACCTGCCGCTATCTATGCGTGTTCCCAGTTGGACGCCCGGCAGCTGCTGGACGGCTACAAACGCAAGGACGGCGTGGTGGACGCTCTGAGCCGAGAGGATCTCGAGTTGTGTATCGACGGAAAGGCGAAGCTCTGCATACGCACAGTGCCGTTCATTCGCAATCTCTTCAGGTCCATGGAAAATGCGGATTGCGTGGTGTCCGGTAACCTTTGCCAGGAGTCCATCACCTCTCTACGATTTACCGGGAGTGCCGCCGCGGTGAGCCGAGGATATGATCTTCTCGACTCGGCGAAGGAGGATATATGGAGGTACGATCGTACCAAGCGGCCATTAGCAGAGCTTGTTTCCCCTCTCTGTCCCTCATGCATCACAGCGCTGTGCGTGAGAGACAAGATGCAGCGCAGGGAGTTGGTTAGAACTACCGGAATTGCTAGGTGTTGGTTGGGACCAGGAGGGACAGGAGGAAAGTGGGGGCACCGAGGGAAATTGATGTTAACATCCGTTGTTCAGTGAATTGGATACCTGTTAATTACCTGTAGCACCTGCTATATCCTCCCGTCCATGGTGTAATTGTAAAGGCTAGTATGTCGAAGTCGGAGATATGGCGGGCCGCAGACGTTGTAATGCACATCTGTTGGTCTTATATCTTAGTAGGAAGCCTATCAATTCTCTCTTGACGGGGAGAGGATAGTCTTAATGTGTTGCTGTTGCGGGTTTCGAGGTCCACTGAAAGCTTCAAATTTCAATCCAGTTAGCTTCAAGCTTTGCCGCGACGTCCGAACGCGATCACGTGCTCTCATGGCCAGCGCATCGAACCCTGCGAGGAAGTCCACTTGCCACTTGGATGTCGTCGCGTTAGCATCACCTTGTATCTTGCCCAGCCTAGACACCGGTGCTATCCCTCCATTATGAGCTCTGTCTCAACCCTGCAGCACTCCAAACATCCACCACGCAAACGACCTCGCGCCGGGTCTGACTCTGCGAGTCAATCGAACGACCCGCCGTTCAGCCGAGACGCGAAGTTCTGGTACCAGGACGGCAACATCATCATCGTCGCGCAACACGTCGGCTTTTGCGTCTACAAGGGCTTGCTCTCTGCGAGCTCCGAGGTGTTTCAAGACATGTTCGCCCTCGCGCAGCCTTCGGACCACTCTCAGGGAGCCCCGAGCGATTGCCCCGTTGTTCATGTCACCGATACGCCGGCTGAATTGCGCTCATTTCTGACAGTGCTCTTGGATGCTAGACGGTATGTCTTTGATTCCGTTGATGAGGTTCTTCGGGCACCATTGAACTTCATTGCAGGTACATGAGACGCCACAAGTTTGAATTTGAAGACGTGGCGAATTGCGTCCGACTTGCGCACAAGTACGCGATCACGGACCTGCTCGAGGACTCTTTGGCGGAGATCAAAAGATACTTCCCCGTCGAATTCAAGTGGTGGGACACCAGGGCCAAAGCCCCAACAAAACGGCATGCGATCATTGCAGTGAATCTGGCGCGCCTCACGAACACGGTATCAATCCTCCCCGCTGCTCTCTACGCATGCTGTCAGATGGAAGGTTGGCAGCTCGTCCGTGGCTTGACGCGAATAGATGGGGTCGTGGAGATGCTGTCCTCAGAAGACCTCGAACGGTGCATCGACGGGAAAGCGGAGCTCTGCGCCCGTGCATCCGGGTTTACCCGTGAAGTCTTCAGAGACTATCCGCAGGTCACAGCATGTCCCTGTAGCAAGGCCGCTAAACAGATACAGGCGCAATGGAGCAAGTGCAAGGACCGTCAAATACTCTGCGATCTTCTGCACTCATGGGAGAGGCGCATACGTGCCTATGATTGCGCGAAGAAGTCGACGCGTCTCTGTTCGCCGTGCGTATCGAGTATGTGCTATCGGGAGAAGACACTGCGCGAAGATTTGTGGAAGGAATTGGACAAACTGCTTGGCCTAGTCGACCCGGAGGGCAAAGACAAAGGCAGAGATGAGGAGGGGACTCAAGTTCAAGTTCTGACTCGGACTCGAGTTCTGAGTCCGATGACAGCGACTAAGAGATACAGTGTACAGTCGTCAAAGGCAGGTTCATCATATCCTTAGGATCTATTTGCTTTTCTGACGGATACTTGTCTAGCTCGAACACCTGCGTCGAAACGTGATGATAGATGTTGACTGTGGAGCTTCATGACCGTAGTATGGTGTTTTAACGGGCACATATACTCACACCCACCTGTTTCCCGAACCTTTCCGATCCTCGAGGTACACATATAAGTCACAACCTTTTGCTCCTGAGATCATGCTTCTTGTGGTTCTGGTTCCTCCGGTTGATGACTGCGAGTAATAATAAGTAGGCCCACCGTGACCTTACATCGGCCCGCATATCGGCCCTGTACCACGTTCGCTGTCATCGTACGCTAGCAATAATCTGAGCCAGCGAAATTCTGGACCTGTCCTGATCTATCCGCCTGCCTAACCTAGGTATTTTCGCAGATGCTTAGGCCAAGCCTGCATGTGTGAGCAGCATCAGGATATGCGACCGCGGCAGATCACGTGCCTAATGGTGTATAGTCCGCCGATCATTTCAAGTCGCGATCGTCTCGTTTCCCGTTCGCGCAGTCACTAGGACTCCGTGCAACCATCACCCTCCTGCGCGAGCAGTCCAGCATGCCTTCCGGACAGCCACGACGCAAACGGCTACGTGCTGACTCCGAGTCTAGTGCGGATCGACCTGAGCATCCGGCGTTTGGCCGCGATGAAAAGTTCTGGTACGAGGATGGGAACATCGTCATCATTGCGCAGGAGACAGGCTTCCGGGTCTATCAGGGCCTGCTCGCTACGCATTCCGACGTATTCCGGGACATATTCAGTCTGGCACAGCCCGCTGTGGATGATAAGCAAGACGAGACACTGGGAGACTGCCCTGTTGTCCACGTCACGGACACAGCGTCTGAGATCCGCTCGCTCCTAGCGGTGCTCCTGCCTGAGCAGTAAGTCTTGACACATGCACATCGCAACGTCAGCATTGCTCACCCTTACCTATTCATAGCAGGTTCATCGGGCGCCTCAAACTCAGGTCCGACGATGTCGCGAACTGCATCCGACTCGCGCACAAGTACGGCATCGAGGATCTGCTTCAAGATTCCGTGCAAGAGCTTGGACGATACTTCCCGGACTGCTTTGATGCATGGGACAAGAGATCTCAGTCGGGGAGGGGAGCCTCGTACGCGATCGCGGCTGTGAACCTAGCCCGCCTCACGAACACGCTGTCGTTGCTCAACGGAGCTCTGTACACCTGTTGTCAGCTAGATGCCTCACAGCTGCTGGACGGATACACGCGTCCTGACGGCACGGTGGACATCCTCAGTTCAGAAGACCTCGGACGGTGCATAAACGGCAAGGCGAGGCTCAGTGCTCTTTATATGCGCGCGGTATACGACATCTTCGCACCCTTGTCCACGAACGAAGTCAAGAAATGTGTGGATGTCACCGGCTCTTGTAATGCCGCTCTTGCAACCATCCGAACACGACGCATGGAACCCCCGATTGGTGGCGAAGGGTACGACGTCCTGAGGCCTTGGGACTCAGTCATCCGCATATATTGTCAGAGAAAGCGCAACCCTCTCTGCAATTTGTGTGCGAAAATATTGCTACAGCGAGAGAAGACGATACGCAAAGGTGTCTGGGAAGACCTGCCAGACGTTTTGGCTTTAGAGGCGCCGAGTATACCAGTGGTACGTAAATATGTTGGCATCGACATGCATGATCATAGCACTGTTTGACCTACTACCAATAGGCAAACAGATAGATGACCTTCGAGGCTGCGGAGGATATGACTTGTGGACGGACTTGATCTAGGACTACTAGTTACTACTAGTAGCACTGTTACGTGTATCTGCGATGCTGCAGGCGGATACATTTACTTGGTGGGCGCGTCATGGTACCAGTAGGCCCGAAGTTCACTTTGAAGGATGAAATGAAAGAAAAGTCCAACGGCGTTGCCATCGACATCTGATCACGTGCCTATTTTCTGCTAAGGTACCTCCAGTGGCACTGGCACCAGACTGGCACGGTCAAGATCGCGACACTCGATGTTCAAACGCTCAAATCCAGCTCGTCGATTGTGTCGCTACCTGTGAATCCCAACTTGCGCAGTCTGAGATAGACGGTCAGTTTAGGCCTTGACTGGCACTTGTAACTTAGTGAGTTGTAACTAGATGTACCTGCCATTCAGAAGCGATATAAGAATATTAATTGAACTTGTTGTGCGAATCAGGACACTCTCCAAGTCATTATGGCTGGGAATGAGCCCAGCACTCTGCCCACCGAGGCACCGAGCCGCAAGCGACCTCGGACCGAGTCCGATTCTACAGACGAGCCGAAGGAGGCATTCAGCCGCGATGAAAAATTCTGGTACGAGGACGGGAACATCGTCATTGTCGCGCAGAACATCGGCTTCCGCGTCTACAAAGGCTTGCTTGGGACGCACTCCGACCTTTTCCGCGATATGTTCTCCCTCCCTCAGCCGGTCCCGGACGTCGGGGACGAATACCCCGTTGTCCACGTCACAGACACAGCCGCAGAGCTTCGCTCGCTGCTCGCTGCCCTCTCGCCCAAGCAGTACGTGTTCAATCCATGCCGGGACGTTCGTTTCAGTGACGCTGGGTCAGATTCTCGCCATGCCGCTTCTTGGAATTGGATGACCTCGCCAACTGCATCCGACTCGCGCACAAGTACAGCATCAAACCGCTCCTACAGGATTACCTGGAGGAGCTCGAACGATACTTTCCAGACACATTGGATGCGTGGGAGAAGAGGGTCCAGCTAATGAACCCTGCGCTCGCGTACGCGATTGTGGCGGTCAACCTGGCGCGTCTCACGGATACGCTGTCGTTGCTCCCTGCGGCGTTATATCTCTGCTGCCAGTTGGAACCGAACCAGCTACTGGAGGGATACGTGCGCTCCGACGGCACGGCGGATACACTGAGCCCAGACGACGTGGAGCGGTGCATCGGCGCAAGATCTAAGCTCTGCAGTCTTTACGTGCTGTCCTTACTCAAGAGCACTTTCGTCCCTATCATGGCGAACAACGAATGCTTGGGACCCGGAGGGCGCTGCAATACCTCTATCCATTCCATCATCACCCGTTGCATCGGAGACAGCATCGAAGCGGGGGAAGGCGACGCCCTTCTGTCCTGGGACAAACTCATACGCTCCTACGAGGCCAAGAAGCAGCCAAGATCCCAATACCCTCTCTGTGCATTTTGCGTGAAGGTACTGCTGAGACGAGAGAGGCGCAGGCGCATAGACCTTTGGTCGGAGCTTCCGACACTGTTGGGACTGGAAAAGGGTGACGAGGATAACTCAGACGCGTAATGCGGGAGTATAGGCATGTGTCATCTCGTTCTGCTCTAATTTACAGGCATGCATGCAATCTTTCAACATTTCACAAGCCGAGCGCATACTATCCAGTACACTGCTTGAACAAGACCAGCTCCGTGACTATGTGGAATCTTCACAACAGCCATCCGAGCATTAATCTTCCATCGCAAATGGCCTATCATCATACGCCTCATCATCTCGCTCCGAGTCGGAGTCGTCTGGATTCGGGACCTTCCATCCGTCGGCATTCTCTATGGTCATCGACTGAAGCCTCTGGATCAACTCTCTGGCCTCTTCCTGGGCGGCACTACCCGGATCCGAACCATCGCCGTGCGAAACATCCTTGCCTCTCCACCCGCCATTACCCTTGACGTAGGCTAGAAACTCCTTCCAGACGCCGTCAAGTGTGAGGACATCCGGGTCACCAACGACGATGAGAAGGGCTCGTGCTCGGGTGATAGCGACTAACGCATACCGTAAGAATGGTATGTCGGACAATAGCTACTCGATACATGACTGACCGTTGAACCTCTGCGGATCGCCGACAAAGCCCAACCGCTGCCGCACGTCTCTGAGCGCATGCGCGGGATTGCTGCGTACAGTCGATATGATGATCACGCGACGTTCCTGCATCGGCAGATTTGGGCCATTCAGACCTTCAAACACGCGAAGTCAGGAGGGACTCACCTGCCCTTGAAAAAGCTCCGTGGTCCCCACCTTCACGCCTTCTAGCCGAGTTGAGGACCGTCTGAGCAATGCGCGAATCTTTCCGCATTGCGCAGTGTACGGGCTGATGATTCCGATGTCCTTTGCATCTGGCGAGGTCGGCGTCAACAACCACGATGCGCGAGTAAATCACGAAGCGTACTAAGAGGAACCTTCCGGTCTTTGATGAGCTCCTCGCAATACTTTGCGACCAGCGATGCCTCTTCCTTGTTGAATAGGAAGGCGAACCTTCCTCCTGCTCATCCCTGCCACCGACACCGTGGAATACGATCGGGAACTTAGGTGTCAGGCCATCTAGGCACGTCGACCGAAGCATGCTGTGAGTAATAGCCTCATCACCGCAGGGCAGCAGCTCATTCGCGTAGAAACGTTGGTTTGAAACGCAATGATCGCGGGGTGCGACCTGAAATGCTTTACGAGCTTCGTGATCCTGCAACCAGAATCAGCAAGATCCAGTCGATGAAGGGGACGCTACGAACGTTATTCCTCTGTAAGCGCTCAGATCATAGACTGGCATCTTGAACAATCGTTCCATGTAGCTACGCCCAGTCCGAGTTGGCGAGCGATGCTCGAGTGGATGACCGGACCCAGCTGCTTGGTGTCTCCGCAAGAACGATGTTCGTGTTCGCGTCGGCGAGAGCTTGAGGGTATCATCGTGTCGGCTCCAAGCACTGGCCCGCCTCGTCAACGAACACATGCGTAAACCAGCCGCTGGCAAGGCCCAGGCCATGCGGGACAGCCGCAGACACGCAGGTCGTCACGACGACCCTGAAAGACTTCAGGACTTCGGCTTCAGGCATGGCATACACCCTGTTCCCGTTATCATGCAGAAATCCTCGAGCATCTTCTGCAGCTGGCTTTGATAGGACGCCAGAGGCATTGAGCCTGAACAGATTGCTCGGACCCATTCCCTTAGCTTGAACGCGAGCTGGTCGGCGGCGATGTTCGTCGGTGCGCACATGAGCAGGCGCGCCTCCGGTTGTTTTGAGGATCTGGAGGGCTGACTCGACCAGGTCACCGTCTTGCCAGTACCAGGGCTGCTCGGCGTCAGCTCGGCGACTCCATTGTCGAGTAAAAGCACGGTACATACGGGCCGAAGATCACGAATGGAACGCTGCCTGGAGGGCATTGGATATGGCCGCGACTACTTCCTTCTGTTCCGGATTATCGATGAGAGTTTGGTCATTGAAATCGAAGGCACCGATCTCCGCTGCAGAAGGGCGATGCAGATCCGAGCATGACTGCTAGTAGGAAACAGAATGCGAGACTGGTTGTTGTCGAGCACGACCGCCTGCTGGCGCCGCCGCCACGGCATGCGATTCAGCTGGAACTTGACGTCGACCTTGCCCGAGACGAGCCGAGCTTGAACTTCGGGTTGATGTGCACGAGCAGTTCCGGCAAGAAGTCCTCGTGGACCACGGCTTCGTGCCAGATGTTAAAGTCCTGCTTGCACACGAGGAGATTGTCTCCGACTCGCACTATGGGCTTGTCCTCTCTGAGACCCGGGATGCGAGTCTGTCCATCTGTCAGCACGCTCGAGGCTGAAGCACCATGGTACCATGAACCGAACTTACTCGTATCGACTGCCACGCATAAGCGGGCGCGGATACATCGTTACGCGCCAATCCACACTAACAACGGGCATATTCAGTATAACCTATAACCGTAACACGTGGAGAAACAAACCTCTGTTGCCACTCCTCGGAATGGAGCAGCGTGCTCCAGAACTTGCCGTACGTCCCCATGTTCAAATCCCCAGGCATGAACCTGCCACGGATCTCGCCCACGGTCTTCTTCACATTCGCTGCATTCAATACGTCCGCCAACGCCTTCGGGACGGGAAACTCCGGCAGCTTGACCGCCCACCGCACCTTGCTCCATGTCGGGGGGCGCCTCGTAGGGACGGCGTGCGGAGTCGGCTCGAGCGGGCGGAAGATGGGTCGGCGGTACGGGCCCTTGGACTTGAGCGCGTCGTAATCGGCCGCGGGCCCGACGACGGCTTGCACGCGCCGCAGGATCACGAAGCGCTCCTTCCGGCGCACGTCGTGGAACTCGAACTCGAGCATGTCCTCGAAGCGGCCGACGTACGAGGAGTGGAAGGTGATGAGGACCGTGCGCGGCTTGCCGTCGTTGACGAAGCGCGAGGCGCCGCGCAGGACGGCGGAGAACTGGGATGCACCGGATGATTAGAGCCGCAGACGGTCACGGTGTGGGTAGGGCAAGTGGCGTACCTGGAGCTCTGGGTTCCCCTATAGGACGAGGAGAACTTGATGAGCGCAAGGGAAATCAGGGTCCCCGGATCGTCATTGGACACCGTCACTTCCAGGGTGCACTCCGCAGAAAACGCATGTACAGAGTCAACCTCGACAGTGCCGAAGTCGATGCCACCCGCCTCGCCCGTCACCGACACGCCGTTCCGGTTCAGCTGCGCCGACTGCGTCTGTGCGGTCACATCTGCGTACTGCTGGCGCCTGCGGTGATACTGATCTCCCTCTACGTGGGATCCCCAGCGCGCCGCCGGGAGGTCGCGCTCGCAGATGGGGCAGCGGATGTACCCGGAGCTGGCGGAGGCGACGGCCAGCTCCGTCAGAGCGCGCTTGTGTGCGCCGCCCTGCATGTGCATGCGGTATGCCTGCATGTCGTCGAGCAGGATGCTGCATATGTCGCAGCGTACTGCTGTTGAAGGGATGTGTGGTCGCCTCCCTTCATTAGAAGAACTGGGCGCCGGCGGAGGACCGGCATCAGGAGGCTGCGCGGGATCTAGTATGTGCGCACGCGTGAGCTCTAGCATATATGCAGCAAACCGAGGCGGTGAACAATGACCTTCAAGCTGGGCATGACAAGCACGTTTCATGCCTTCGAGGTGTCTCCTTCCACACAGGTGCCGCTCCCTCTGTCGAGCACTTCTCAGCTTGATGATCTCGCCGCAGAAGCACAACGACCCAGTGGCAGACAAGGCAGGCAAGTCAGTATGGTCCGCTGCATGCTGGCCAGCGGCGTAGCCGTATGATTCGGCGCAGCCTTGTCAGAGCGTCGCTGGGCATCTGGCGCAGATAACCGGCGTTAGGGTGCAGTCCAAGTGCCAGCGCATACATTCGCGCGACGGACCTGCCTGGCGTTGCATATGCTGGAGACCGCGCCGATGCCTGTTCCCGCCCAAGTGCCTCTGCCTCTGGGCCTCGTTTCTGAACGCCACTGCCTCTCCACAGACGCATTCGAGGGCGGGAGGAGACACCGAGGGGGATGGCTGTGTATCAGGCGCCACCTGGTGTTGACTCTCCCTCACTGCAGAGCCTCGCCCTGACAGTCCGCGCGTGCTAAGTTCAGCCCGATGTCTCTTCCCGGCGAGATGGGGGGCCATCCGCCCGGTATCGATATCGAGACCGCAGACGCAGCGGACCATAGGCATACTGCAGGGGGCCTTGGCCAACAGTGGAGGATGAGCGCAGGAAGAGACGTGACATGGCTGCAAAGCGGGTTATATGGAAGAGCTGCGACAACCTAATCCGACGGGCGCGGTGCGTCTGCCCAATAATCGCGCCAGCGACGTGAGACGCTGAGACACTCTGGCCGCCGTCCAATTGCGGTCGACGGTGATATGTTGAACCGCAACTAGTTTCAATGGGGGCTACGTACCTGTATAACACTAGATCAACATGCCGGTCCCCGTGCCACATACTATAGATTCTGGTGGTTGTCGTTGTGTATCCAGGCGTGATTGTGTCCAACAGTGTACTGCATAATTCGACAGGCCGTGCCAGTCTGGCAGTGGGTGAGTAGTATGATGTGGTGAAGAGCGCGGCGTTGCGCTCGACAAGTTTTAACTCCGCGTCACGTCCGCTAGCAGACTCCGCGACGGTCCTCGGTGGCACGTACCAAGTTCTTCACGCCCTCCTCCTCCTCCTGGTCTTGAAGCGACACTCTGACTGAATCGACATCACGGAATGAGATTATGAATATGGAACCCTCGAATTATTGTACACAGTACTAGCACGCAGAGAGTATCGCCGCTGCTTGCGTCCGACGATCTCGTTGCACTACTCACTCTTTATTGTCGCGGTCTGCAGGGCCACGCCGAGGGCGCAATGATTCTGCACGGCCTGAGTCGCATCGTCTCCTGTAGAGCTGGCCAAGACGTGCTATAGATTCAGAGGCTATGCCGTCTGGCTAGATTTCAAGATCACGCCTCGATCGCGCCGTTCAAGTTGTTCACCTGCCAAACGCCGTGGTGTGGATTGGCGGGACGTGCGATCCATGTTGTCCGTCTCTCGTCTCGCGTTGACCCCGTCTCTGCGCACGCTGGGCTGGCTCCCTGCCACACCCACAATCCCGCCACCCGCCCAGAAATCATGCCACCGCGTCGCCGTGTCGCGCTCTTCCATCTCTTGAATTTGTTCATCATCCCTGCCCTAGGGAAGCTATATGTGCGTGGCGCCCGTTCTCAACTTGTTGGTGAGGTTGGTTAGGCTCAACATCACCATGTCAACATAGGTCACCGTGCCCGTTGACGGGACAACCTGGAGCGCAGGGCAGAATCAGACGCTGTCTTGGAAGGACGACGGGTCCGAGCCAACCCTCGCCAAGTTCAAAGACGCAAGCGTAGGCATCTACGTGGGAAGCTCGACCGTCCAGGTATGTCCCACCCTCATACCTCTGCTGCCCCCACTGAACGCCGCGTCTCTCGCCTTAGACGCTGGTCCAGGAGATCGTGGCAAGCGTCGACGTCGCCACCACGGAGTCAATCGTATTCACGCCGGACCCCTCCGTGGGGACCAACGGTGACTACTAGTGCGTCTCGCACCCCTGCCCCTCCTCAGGTCGACTGACCACACCCGACAGCTTCATCCGCTTCCAGTCCCTCGCCCTCAAGGACGCGAACAACTCCGCCTTCCCCGCAGAGGCGTTCTCCGCGACGTTCACGTAAGCGGCCCCGCTCTCCCTCTCCACAGTCCAACTCACATCCGGACGCCAGGATGAACGGGATGACGGGCGCGTTCAACGAGTCCGAACGCGCCGAGATCGGCTCCATCGCTCCCGCGGCTACCGCTCCCGCGGGCACCGCCCAGTCTGCGGGCGCGATGGCTGCCACGGCGGGGTTCAGGATTCCGACGAGCTCGCATGACCCCGATGCGATGCCCACGTCGACCGCGGATGCTGCTGCAAACGGCGCGGCGCATCGTGTCGAGGGTGTCTCTATCGGGGTCGCGTCGGCGTTCGCTGCGCTGTTGTTAGCGCTATGGGTTGTGTGACGGACTTCGGAGTGTGAAAGGACAAGTTAGTTCGTTCGCTTCATTCGTTGTTGGGCTTTGGTTAGATTTGTATCTTTAGCATACAGGGCTGTATCATGACTAGCATACACTTTGATAAATCTGGAAGCCTGTAGACAAGGACATCGAGGAACAACACACAGATGCCAGACCCGAGAGTTAGTGACACGTTCGAGAGACACGGCTAATCGAGAACGTCATACGTCGTCCGCATGATATGGTCCGCCTTCCGCCCCGTGTGTCTCACGAAGCCCATATAGTCAAGCGTATGCAGCGCGCGCATGAACCGCGCCAGCACCTCCTCCCGCCACTCCTCGCTCTCCTCCTCCTCACTCTCCTCCTCACCCGCACTATCCTCCCGCCCACTCTCACTATCGCCCTCCACCTCCATCTGCAACGCCGCCCGCTGTCCGCCCCTCCCTCTCCCCTTCCCCTTCCTCGCGCGCGCACCCCCGCCGTTCCCCCGTCCGTTCAGTCCCGCCCGCCCGCGGCCCCCCTCTTCCCGCGCCCGCTCTTCCGCCGCGTCGAGCCTCCGGAGCTGCCGCCGCTGGTCCTCGAGCACGACCGCGAACGACTGGAACCAGTCGTACACGTTCACCATCCGCCCCGCCTCCGCGTACCGCCGGAACAGGATGCTCGTGTCCGGGAGCTGCCACAGCGCCGGCGCATTCTCGCTGGCGCCCCCGCTCTCTCCCTCCTCTTCCAGCGCGAAATCGAGGTCGAGCTCCGGGGCGGGGTTGGGCGCGGGGGGAGCGGGTGCGCGGGCGTCGTGCATAAGGAGGAGCTCCGCGTGGGCGTGCACGAAGTCGTCGGGATGCAGGAGCGCGGAGACGACGCCCAGGCGGGGCGCGGGGTTGATGAGCTTCCGGGCGCCGCGTGAGTGTCTCTGCGTTTGTCCAAGGCAACGACTGCTCACCTCAGCGGGGAACGGCGTGTTCCCCATGTACCACACGTCCCACAGGGCGCCCTCGTCCAGCCTCACGAAGCGTTGCCTACGATAACGGTGATGTCAGTGACTGCGGACGAAGGACCCTCCGTGCTACGCACTCGAGAAACTGCACGAGCCAGTCGCCGGTTACAACCGCGAGCTCAGTGATCGTGAGGGCCTGCTGCACCGGGGCGTCCGTATCCGCGCCCATCTCCTCGTCCTCCTGCGTCCGAGCGAGCTGGGCAAGGAAGCCTTGTATGCGTGCTTGAGGACTCTCTTCTTCGGCGCCCGCCCCGCCCTCGTCGCCGCGCTCAAACAGCGCCAGCAGCTCTTCCAGGAGCGCTAGGAGCTGTGCTGCCGACAGTTTCCTGAAGCGCATGATGATAACGTTCCATGAGCATCGCGAGCACGAACAAGCGTCGGCGACTTACTTCACAACCATCCCGAGGTACCGCACGTCCTTCTCCACGCGCCCGCGCAGCGCAGCGCTGGCGAAATGGAGTGAGCCGCCTTCGTCCCTCCCGCGGAGTGCGCTCCCGCCGTCTTGGAGACGCGGCGCGTCGCCTCTACTACGAAGAACGCGAATCGCAGCTGGCGCGCCCTGTGTCGGAAGGTAACCCGGGCCGCGTTCACTGCGCCGAGGAGTTCGTCCGGCGAGGCGGCCAGGGCGTCGGCGTCGGTGTTGAGCGACCCGGAACGCTGCAGGCGAGCGGCAAGCGCGGAGACGAACGGGCGCGCGCTTCACGCGAACGTCCGTCGCGCTGCCGTCGGACGCGTTGACAAGCACGCTGAGCGGTTCAGCGAAGTGTTTCATGTGGGCGAGCTGCGAGTTGGGTCAACTTCCGGGGAGGCAGAGGGCGAAGGGAGACGCGCACCTGCAAGATTGTGTACAGCGCATCGAGCGATGCGGTGTGGCGTGATGTAAAGTCGTGTAGGAAGTCGAGGGTCGCGGGCCCGATCATGACGTCCGGTTCGAATGCTGGATCGAAGAACGTCTAACACATGTATGGTCAGCTCGGCCAGCGAGATATGATCACTCGAGACTCACCTTTGCGATCACTCCTCGACGATAGAATGACCGGAGGGTGCACTGAATGCTCGAACGCGAGAAGCGCGAGGGTCGAGCGTGAGTAGGCCTTGTGGAGGTGTGTTGGTGTCGACGGCGACGTGAGACCTAGGACGAAGACCAAGGGACGCGCGGTACATGCAAGCTGAGATGTATGAGCTACGAGCGGGTTGCGAGACGGAACGGGTGTACCTGCAGATGTAGAAGGCATCCTGGACTACTCCCACATCAAATTGCTCAAAATCGTGCAGGAATACGACAAGGTTTGGACGGTCATCACGCGCGCGATGCCAAGCTTCCAATCGTGCGATGTCGTAGTTTGCCAGAGAAGCGGCGGACCTTGTCTTTCCTGGATACGATGCCCCGTCAAGCTCGGCATACGCTACAGAAACCCCGTATCACCCACTTTCAGGAGACGAAAAGCGCACTGTGAAGCCTACGACGATTGCTCTCATCATAGCAAGCAAACTCGGGCATTCAGCGGGGTGAAGGTGTATTAGGAGGCTACAGTTGCGTCGTCTTTCTTGACTGATGGCGCCTTCAATAGAGATGTCGGAACCAACGTCAGGAGGGGTCTCGAGTTGCGAAACTACATCAGCATAGATCGGACTGCCCGCCTCGGCTGGGAAGAGCTGTCAGGAAGTTGTTATGGGCCACAATGTCAGGATACGCACCCGTCAAAGTAACAACAGGCACTTCAGGATATGGTAGACCTGGGAGTTGATCCTCATAAGAGACCTGATCTCCTGAGAGACTTCAGTGGCGATCGGGGCGTGTATGGCATTAACGAGTGTCTGCGACGCTTTGAGCAAGCGAACATCTGGTTCAAGGTATGTGCATACCTGCATACGGCTGAGACACTTGGTCCATGCTTGTCTGTATCCTGCATGCGCCGTTCGTATCCGTCGGGGAGGTCGCGCCATTTTGAAGGGAAAGGCGGATCCTGAGCGGGAACACCGTCATCTACGCCGATTGAGTAGAATTTACACGCATCAAAGGCGAGTGGTGTACCGTTTTCATCATCTTCTGGAGGAAGGTAGGTACATGGCTGGGAAAGACTATGAGATCAGGCATATTCAAGGCCGTGAAATCCCGTGGGGCGCACCTGTGTCTGGTCCTGCATGGTTTGTTCCTGATATCCGACGACTCAACTGCTGAATCTTCCCAGCACTTTCGCTGTAGAGCAAAGCTCCGTGCGACTCCTAGAGCTAATACTTTGGGGTGAGAATCCAAGCTCAAATTCATACACCCGTCGAAGACGAGCAGGAGGAGGCGACGCGCAACGCGTTTCAACCGGCCGGTCGCGCCACAAACGCGACAGAGTCACGTGGGCCGTACTCAATTATGTCAGCATGCGCGAGCGCCTGAGCGATGCAGCAGTCGACGACTTTGATGAAGTGTTCCAACTTCGAGTTGTGCAGTCCCAGTATCACATTCATAGGTCCTTAACCATCGCTCGAACAGTGGACTGTCGTAGATGACATCTTGACCTCCATATACAGAGGCTCCTGCGGTAACGATCTGTGCGAGGCGGGCCCGAGTCGTTGAGTCAAAGTCGGCCACCACCGTGACGCTGTTATCCCGGACGAGCGGATGTGCTAGCGAACACCAGGCGCAAGGTGTGCACTTACATGATTGATCTCTTCATGGCTAACCATGCCAGCTCGCCCCAGTGATTAGTTCATTACCGGGGAGCCTGAGATACGGAGGATATCTCGTACAGAATTCCCGCGGGCTCGATCTCTGACGCGGCGGGCTATGAAGTGGATTCCTCCGTACCTAATTCGAAAGCCGTTTTCGGCAGCACTGAGCAGGGCGGGTCAACGAGCACATAAAGGCGAGATTCGTGTGCGGTTCCTACCACAGAAACTCACCCTCAAGACGTACACCAAGTTCTTTCGCACTTTGCTCCATCTGGAAGAGTGGCAAGAGAGGTGCATGACTTGCCTCGCATATTACTTGATTGTTCTCACTCGCATCGATCAGGCTCAACGTCGAAAAATATGAGACGTACGATGCCGTTATCAAAGCCGAAGACACTAGGCACAAGTACAGGTAGGCATGGCTGCCTTCGCCGCGGTCATCTACATTAAGCAGGCAAACTTCCAGGCTACAAGTTCAGGCCCGACTTCAAGTGGGGGGACCTTTGTTCAGAGTTGATGATGTGTTACTACTCCGCAAGATACGTGAAGACGGACTCTGGCGTCGAGCTGTGGTCATCAAAGACCTCGCCTCTGACTTGCTACTGTACGACATGAGCAAGGAATTCAAGCCCGGCTTGCGTCACGAACCGGTCAGTGTTATGTTCGCGCCGGACAGGACGCGTTGGCGAAGATGCCACCATGCCATTGCACGCAGTTCAACCCACCAGCCACGATTACTTTTCCCCACCGTTGACACGTCTTAGGCCACAGCGTCTCACGACTGAAGAGATCGACGCGTTGGACGTCGAGGAGGATAGCAGCCTGATCAGTAATCCAGAACAGAGAGAAGTTGTCGCGGCGATTGTGACAGCGCCGGGGGGAAGTGTCCCTTTCATGATCTTCGGCCCGTGAGTGTCCCTTTGTGCTGCTTCCGCGTCGCTAATACCGACCTGGGCAGTCCTGGGACTGGAAAGACAGTGACTGTCGTCAAGGCCGCGCTCCAGGTCCTCAAGAGCAACCCAGACGCTAGGTTGCTCATGTGTGCGCCGACTAACGAAGCGGCCGACCTGCTCGCCTTCAAAATGGCAGAACTGGGGCCTACGCAGCTGCTCAGACTCAACGCCGTGAAACGCCCCGTAGAATCAGAGTCGACCCTCCAAGCAGCACTCAAACAGTTCAGCATCTTTGGCGCAGACGGGGCGTACACCATCCCTGATGCGGTGCACCTGCAATCGCGTAGAGTCGTCGTTACGACTTGCGTGTCCGCGGCCATGCCGTATTGTCTAGGCGTCGAACCTGGCTGGTTTACTCACATCTTCATTGACGAGGCGGGCCAATGTGTAGAGCCCGAAGCGATGATCCCAGTCAAGCTCCTTGCCGGCGAGAACACAAACGTTGTCCTCGCGGGCGACGTGAAGCAGCTCGGTCCGGTCATTCACTCGGATTACTCTCGTGATCTTGGCCTCAAACAGAGCTACATGGAGCGTTTGTCGAACATGCCTGTTTATGACTGGAAACTTATCGAGGAGTAACGTTCGTGCGTTCTCTAACCTCAGTCAGACTTGCTGACGACCGTAATCCATAGAATCGTCAAGCTGGTCAAACATTTCAGATCACACCCTGCGATCATCTCGTTCTCAAACAAGAAGTTCTACGGCGACGAACTGGAACCGTGCAGTGACGAAGCAATAACTCACGGCATGCTTCATTCGGTAGTCCTAGACGGTCTCAATCCCAAGTTCCCCGTCGTATTTCACGGGATATCTGGCCAGGAGAAGCACGAGGAGGATACACCCTCGTACATTAACGCGCAAGAGGCATCGCTCGTAGTAAGATACTGCAAGGCACTCGTCAATGATCCAAGGGCCCGCATCAGTATGTCTTGTCAATCAGTCATTGCTGCTTCATAACGTGACATTAATTGGCATATCCAGGTGCGAAAGATATCGGGGTCGTCAGTCCGTACAATGGACAATGTCGCATGATCCGCACGCTGCTGCAAAGGTCGTCTAGGCAGATGGATGGACTGCGCGTCGGCCCGACGGAAGCCTTCCAGGGCCAGGTAGGTGTCGAGTCTCCGAAAGCTCCTGTAGGCTGACTCGATCCCTACGCAGGACCGCCGCGTCATCATCATATCTACTGTACGCAGCAACCGTTTCCTCGCGGATATCCGCCAGCGACTAGGTTTCGTGGCGGATCCACAGAGGCTCAACGGTGTGTATAGCATGCGGTATAAGTACGCGTTGTCAGTATTGAGTCTGACGAGGTGTCCAGTTGCTATAACGCGAGCGCGAGCACTTCTCATCGTCATTGGCGATCCGGACGTCCTCGCGCTTGATGATGTATGGCGAGAGTTCATGGCATACGTCAAAGCCAATGGTGGATGGAGAGGCAAAGGTGTCTCAGAGGCGCATATATATGGTCCCAATGCAGAAGACACCACTACAGCTGCTGTGCGACGAATAGACGAACAAATAAACGAGGTCTGAGAACGGTAATGCTCAAGTCAGGGCCTGGATGATGACGAGATAGAGACAGAATCAGACGGTCGAAGAAGTGTAGTACGGCACCATACTCGTGTGTCTGGATATGGGAATGCGAAGATCGGACACTGCTGCTGGTGTGGAGGAATGACCAAAGAATGATGTCGACACGAAGTCCTCGAGATTTCCATAATTGCATGGTCCATTGACATATAATGCGCAACGTGATGCAAACTACGGAATAGGCTAAGTGTATATGTCAAGGTCACACACTCTGGCATAATCAAACGACTTACATTACAATGATTCAGGTATCATCCTGAGGCATCGCTTCCTCGACACTCTCCTTCAATTCCAGTATCTCCGGTAGGTTTGACCAAACCCTCTTGCGTATCTCCACGTCTCTGTGCTTGAGTAGGGAGATACATGATCCGCAAAGAGGCGAGGTCGGTTTTGGTTTCTTTTTCCGATCATAACTGCAGATGATCTGACCCCAGGAATCAAGGACATCACAGCTACCCCGCCGAATGCCTTCAACCCATTCTGACCGTATAGTGGCAATAGACGCATTGCACCGACCACCGGAGACTACACAGTCCGCATTCTCGAGGGGAGCGAAAAGCTCCTGTGCAGATCGAACGTTGAGCGTGCAGAGCTTTGCCGTTCCATCGATGCACCGCGCAAGATCCTCGGAGCTCAATGCGTCCACAAGAGCACCCATGTACACCCTTCCTTCCAAAAGTTGTTTGCCCGACAATAGACAGCAGCGGTATAGAGCAGCGGGGAGGATCGACAGACTATTGGTGAGACGTGCCAAGTTCACGGCGGTGATAGCCTTTGTGAGTTGATCACAGACGAGGCTCTTCTCCCAGGATTCAAAATCCTCCGGAAAATATCGCTTCAGTTCCTCCAGTGAATCCTCGACCAAGTCCTGAATGCCGTATTTGTGCGCGAGACGCATGCAATTCGCAACATCGTCAAATTCGAACTTGACGCGTCGCATGTACCTACAGGGTAAGAATGAGTATAATCTGGGTACAAGGGGAAGTTGCTCAGCATACGCACTGTCTACCACCCAAAAGCATTGCCAGGAGCGAACGAATTTCGGCCGCGGTATCCGTGACGTGGACAACGGGACAGTCGTCCGGGACCAGTTCCCGCGAGAGATCCGGAGCAGGTTTGGCGAGAGTGAACATGTCGCGAAATACATCGGATTCTGCGGCGAGCAGGCCCTTGAACACGCGAAACCCGATACCTTGAGCGATGATGATGATGTTCCCGTCGTCGTACCAGAACCGCCCGTCCCGGCTGAATGCATCCTCTGACTGCATGGTACAGTCGGACTCCGCGCGAGAACGCTTCCGTCGTGGCTCCGAGGCCTTTGGACTCGATAGCGTGCTCATGATGAAAGGATGGCCTTGGCTGGTAAGTGCGTGGAAGGAGTGAAGCTCGAGTGAAGACGCGCGAGCTCGGAGAGGCTGCGTAGAACACGTGACCGCGTAGCGACAGCCCAATCTGAATCGGAATGTCAGTACATAATTCCAACCGTAGCATGCCCTTTGACGAGCCTCCTCTGTTGGACGCAATCACGCCTGGGTACACAACGGCCATGACCAGCATGTACCGTTTTCAACCAGGTGTAGTCGTCTGCTCGCGGCGCGAACCCGAACTTGGGGTCACTTCCGAGTCGCTGACAGTGTGCTAAGGTAAGTAGTACTTGTGTTGAAGCGACTCGGTTCAACATGCACTAGGGTAAACATGCCAATCTAGTGTTCTGCAGGTACATGCTCTACTCGGTATCCCACATTGTTCGTTTGCGGTTCACCACGACACCATCGACCTCCTCTTTGAGAGAGTCTGGAAATTGGACAACCAAAGTGTCTCGGCGTCTCACGTCGCTGGCGCGATTATTTGGCAGACGGACGCCGTCTGTCTGATTAGGTTCTTGCAAATCTGCTCCTATATAACTCTTTGAGCAGCCATGTCGCATGTTTTCACGCGCTCATCTTTTCAATGTCGCCCAAGGCCCCTCGCCGTATGTCTAAGGTGCGCTGCATACAGCCAATCACTTCAACATCTGCTCCCGCCAAATGCAGCTGTGGACACGCGTCGACGTTCAGCAGCGAGGCCCAGAGGCAGGAGCACTTGAGAGGGAGTAAGCATTTGCTTGGGGTCCAACGTATGCAACGACAGGCAGCTCTGTAAAGCTGACTGTATGCGTTATATCTTATACTGCATCGCTAACTGTATTGTGTCAGGCACGCAGCAGCACTCCAATGAATCTACATCAGGTCATAATCCTACGTATCCGATTGGGAACGGGACGCGTACGGACGTGCCTGCTTTGTCTATCACTGGATCATTGTGCTCGTGTGGCGAGATCGTCAAGCTGAACAGTGATCAACAGAGGAAGGAACACCTCCGTGGAAGGAAGCACCTAGATGGGATCCGGCGCACTTGTCCCACTCAAGGTTCTTCTGTGTTCTGCATATAACTGACTCGGAAGCTCATGTCCATACATTTAGGTCCCGCTCACGCCTCTGGTCCTGGTCCTACATCGACGCCTAGTGCTTCCAATGAAGGCAGACGTACGCATATCCCTCCGACGGCAGTACGCTGCGACATATGCAGCATCCTGCTCGAAAATATGCAGGCATATGACATGCACATGCAAGGCGACGCACACAAGCGCCCTCTGACGGAGCTGGCCTTCCCCTCCAACAGCTCCGGGTACATCCGCTGCCCCATCTGCGAGCGCGACCTCCCGGCAACGCGCTGGGAAGCCCACATCGAGACAGACCAGTATCATCGCAGACGCCAGCAGTACGCAGATGTGACCGCACAGACGCAGTCGGCGCAGCTGAATCGGAACGGCGTGTCGGTGACGGGCGGGGCGGCCGGCATTGACTTTGGCACCGTCGAAGTTGACTCTGTGCATGCGGTTTCTGCGGAGTGCACCTTGGAAGTGACAGTGTCCAATGATGTACCGGGAACCTTGATTTCCCTTGCGCTCATCAAGTTCTCTTCCTCCTACACGGTAACCCAGAGCTCCAGGTACGCCATCTAATAGTCACACCAAGGACATCCGCAGCTCTAACCAACCCGGCGCATCTCAGCTTCTCCGCCATCCTGCGCGGCGCCTCGCGCTTCGTCAATCACGGGAAACCGCGTACGGTCGTCGTCACCTTCCACTCCTCGTATCTCGGCCGCTTCGAGGACACGCTCGAGTTCGAGTTCCACGACGTGCACCGGAAGGAGCGCTTCGTCATCCTGCGGCGCGTGCTCGCCGTCGTCGGGCCCGCGGCCGATTATGACGCGCTCAAGTCCAAGGGCCCGTACCGCCGACCCATCTTCCGCCCGCTCGAGCCGACTCCGCACGCCGTCCCTACGAGGCGCCCCCCGACATGGAGCAAGGTGCGGTGGGTGGTCAAGCTGCCAGAGTTTCCCATCCCGAAGGCGTTGGCGGACGTATTGAATGCAGCGAATGTGAAGAAGACTGTGGGCGAGATCCGTGGCAGGTTCATGCCAGGGGATTTGAACATGGGGACGTACGGCAAGTTCTGGAGCACGCTGCTCCATTCCGAGGAGTGGCAACAGAGGTTTGTTTCTCCACGTGTTACGGTCATAGGTTATACTGAATATGCCCGTTTGTTAAGTGTGGACCTGGCGCGTTACGATTTGTTCAATTCCCCCTTCATGCAGTAGGCAGCCGATACAAGTAAGTTTGGTTGCTCCACCGGTTGACTTCCGTCTTGAGCGTGCTGACACACGGACAGGCTCTACATCCCGGGTCTTATAGAGGGAAAGCCGACTGTGCGAATCGGAGACAAACTACTCGTGTGCAAGCAGGACAACCCTGACATCTGGCACGAAGCCGTGATCCACGAGGTTGACTTGCAGGAAGTGATCATGCGCATCAACCCGAAGTTCAAACTCGGCTCGTCTCAGGGCTTGGTCAACGTCAAGTTCCAGCTGAACCGCATGCCATGGCGGCGGCGCCAGCAAGCGGTCGTGCTCGACAACAACCAGTCCCGCATTCTGTTTCCTACTGGCAGTCATGCTCAGGACCTGCATCGCCCTTCTGCAGCGGATATCAACTCCTTCGTTTTTGACGACCACACTCTCATCGACAATCCTGAACAGAAGGAAGTAGTTGCGGCCATATCCAACGCGCCGCCAGGCAGCGTCCCATTCGTGGTATTCGGCCCGTATGTACCGTCTTTATACTCGACAGTCGAGTCGCCTCGCTGACGCTGAGTAGCCCCGGTACTGGCAAGACGGTGACCCTGGTCGAGGCCGCCCTCCAGATCCTCAAGAACAATCCTGACGCTCGACTCCTCATGTGCGCACCGACGAACGACGCCGCCGACCTGCTCGCGTTCAAGCTGATGGAACTGGGGCCCCAGCAACTGTTCCGCCTCAATGCTATATGGCGTCCTATCAGAGCAGGGCTGCAAAAAACGCTCAAGGACTTCTGCATGATCAACGGGAACAGAGTGTATGCCATGCCTGAAGCCGAAGTCCTGAAGTCATTCAGGGTCGTCGTGACGACCTGCGTGTCTGCGGCTGTCCCGCATAGCCTGGGCCTTGCCCGCGGCTGGTTTACTCATGTGTTTGTCGATGAGGCGGGCCAGTGCTCGGAGCCTGATACGATGATACCCCTCAAGCTCCTCGCAGACGCGAACACGAACATTGTTCTTGCGGGAGACATCAAGCAGCTGGGACCGGTTATCCACTCGAGCATCGGTCGCGACCTCGGCCTGAGGTATAGCTACATGGAACGATTGTCAAACATGCCAGTCTATGATCTGAGCGCCTATAAAGGAATAACGTTCGTAATCTTCCTCCTCGTCAACTAATAAATTCACTGACCTCTGGACTTGCAGGATCACGAAGCTCGTAAAGCATTTCAGGTCGCACCCCGCGATCATCGCGTTCTCAAACCGACGTTTCTACGCGAACGAACTGCTGCCCTGCGGTGATGAAGCTATCACGCATAGCATGCTTCGGTCGACGTGCCTAGATGGCCTGAATCCTAAGTTCCCGATCGTATTCCACGGTGTTGGTGGCAGGGATGAGCAGGAGGAAGGTTCGCCTTCCTATTTCAACAAGGAAGAGGCATCGCTGGTCGCAAGATATTGCGAGGAGCTCATCAATGATCGAAAGGTTCCTATCGGTACGCTTCGTGATTTACTCCGCGCATTCGTGGTCGTTGACGCCGACCTCGCCAGATGCAAAGGACATCGGGATCATCAGCCCGTACACTGCGCAATGCGGAAAAATTCGCGCATTGCTCGGACGGTCGTCAACTCGGCTAGAAGGCGTGAAAGTGGGGACCACGGAGCTTTTTCAAGGACAGGTAGGTTCTAAGTTCGCGGGATAGAGCGTCTCGATGGCTCATGGTTCACGGTACAGGAACGTCGTATCATTATCATGTCGACTGTGCGTAGCAACCCCGCGCATGCGATCAGAGACATGCGGCAGCGTTTGGGCTTCGTTGGCGATCCTCAGAGGTTCAACGGTAAGTCATATATCGAGTAGTTATTGTGCGACATACAATTCTTACGGTATACGTTAGTCGCTATCACCCGAGCACGGGCCCTTCTCATTGTCGTTGGTGACCCGGATGTCCTTGTCCTTGACGGAGTATGGAAGGAGTTCCTAGCTTACGTCAAGGCTCATGGCGGGTGGAGAGGCAAGGGGGTTTTGCACGGCGACGGTTCGGGTCCGGATGATGAAGGGAACACTGCGCAGACTGCTGCCCAACAAGAAGCCAGGGAGCTGATACAGAGGCTGCAATCGTTGACAATAGAGAATGCGAACGGATGGAAGGTCCCAGACCCAGACAATTCCGACTCGGAGCGGGATGATGAGGCGTATGATGATAGGCCAGGAACGATGGAGGATTGATGCTGAGATTGCTGCTACAAAGGTTCCATATGGTCCGCCTCGGAGTGGAATACACGACAATCTGATTCTTTGGAACGTGAACAAGAGACTGTTCGCATCAATAATAGCATAGCTTCCCAGAATTGAACACCTAGATGCAGTCGAAGACAGGATACAATTCAACGCTGTCACTCGAATGCGCAGAAACTCGTACATGGAGCGAGTCTGAGACACCGACTGATCAAAGTCATCATAGAAATCAGCTAAGTGAATGACGACTCGACAAGGCCATGGGGTCACAGTGCAGTTGGTCGGGAAGCCTAGTAGTCCATCGCAGTCATTCGGTTCGCACCATCTCATGTGAAGCACATGTCCATTCGTCTATACGGTCTGTGTGAACCCCAGCCCGCGGTCAGACACATGCGCACAATAGCGAGAAACGGGAAACGGGTTCTTACCGTAGTGTCAGTTGTCAATCATCTCCATAGGAAGAACTACCATCCTGACTCTCCTTAACAGGCTGTTCGACGAGACCCAGCAACTTCGGTATCTCAAGGAAGAGATCGTTGCGAACCGTCTTCGCTCGTCTGCACAGCGCAGCGATACATGACGAGCATAGAAGGAGGTCCGGTTTGGGCTTCGTCTTGCGGTAATGAGCGTGGAAGATATCGTCCCAAGGCGCGAGAATGTTGCTGCAGGTCAGCGTGGTGGCGTCCCACAAACGGTCTGAGAGCATAGAGGCGATGTTCGCATTGCATTGATTGTCCGGCGCCGAACAGTTTGCGTTATTGAGGGGGGCTAAGACTTCACGGATGACCTGAGAATTGCGGGAGCAGAGTCTTGCTTTCCCGTCAATACAGCGCGCAAGGTCCACCGGACTCAGAAAATCCGCGGCGCCATCGCTGTGAATTCTACCCGCTAGTATCGTTTGGCCGTCCAGATTACAGCAGTCGTACATGGCAGCAGGAAAGATGGATGGCGTGTCGGTGAGATGCGCCAGGTTGAGGGCGACAATGGCTCTCGTGGACGGACCGTCTCCGCAAACAGTGTCCCAAGAATCCGGGTCCGACTCCGGATAATATCCTTCCAGCTTTTCCAAGGCATCCTCAAGGAGATCCGGTATGTCGTACTTGTGCGCGAGCCGGATACAATTGGCCATGTCGTCGAACTCCAAGTCTGTGCGGCGCATATACCTAGATCGAAAGAGAGATAAGGGTCATTTCAATAAGGTTGAACGGTTTGAAGACGTACTGTCTGCCGATGAACAGAATGCGCAACAGCGAGCGGATCTCCGCCGCCGTATCGGAGACGTGAACATAAGGACAGCCATCCAGAGTCCCTTCGCACGAAGAATCCAAGACAGGCTGGGCAAGGCTTATCATATCCCGAAAGACCTCAGACCTCGATGCGATAAAGCCCTTATAGACGCGGAAGCCGACTTCCTGGGCGACGATAATGATATTCCCGTCTTCATACCAGAAATCTGCATCTTGAGTGAAGCTGGCCTGGAGTTCGCCGACGGAGTCTGACTGTAGACGAGGCCGCTCCAAAGGAGACTCCAGGTTCGAAGACGTGCTCATGGCAAGGAAGTAGTGTACCACGTACTGAGCCTCGCTGAGCAGTAGATCGTAGCAGGGACCAAACTTGAAAAGTCGCGGAAGCGAGGCGACGCGAGACGCCTGGTATGTATCATGTGACCGTGTACCCGATTATTACGAACATCGATGACAACTTGAAGATACTAGTGAACAGCTCGAGACAGAACGCAAGTACTACGTACCGGTTTTTACATGGACATCGACACGGTGTTGTGTAGAGCTCGACTAACCATGCGTCTGTTTCAATACACAGCAAATGTGGCGCGCGGACTTGGCTGACGCATATGCATACATGGGCAGGTACAAGATATACAAGTTATTGGCCGTCTACTGGCGCAATCGGCACCTATGCGGGTGTAGATATAGTGATGGCAGGGATACTAAACTCTCGATGTCAATTTGAGCAAGAACACGGAGTATGGGTGGTCAAACCTTAACGTTCACCCATCATGCTCATGGCGCTGTGGATACAACTCGACATCACGAGTGCGCTTGACTTGTTCCCTCTGAGCACCAAAGTAACGCGGCGTCTCGAAGCTCCATTCGCAGTTACCAACCACCCAGATCTCCATGGCCACCACGAATCTGGTGACAACTGCATCCGTTTGCGGACCCCATGATGGCAAGCGAGTCTTGTCGACTTGGAAATCGTCCATGAGCTGCTTGAAGTGCGCACCGAGATGATCGGCGGAGGTTTGGAGGTCGCAGTGCTTGGACTTCATCAACACGGTTAGAAAGTTACTTCCCGCGTGGCCCATTGCTTGTTCCCTATTGTAGGAATAGAGGTCCTGCTTCGTTCTCAGTAAATGATCAACTTCGCAATGAAAATACACTTACGTTTGACAAGGAGGTCATGTCAACAGCGGCAAGATGAAGGCGCATCATGGTAGGATGCTCTAGGATTTCGGCAGGGAGCTCGGCACCAAGGATGATCCCGAACAGTGCAAAGCAACAGCGGACGGCGCTGTTCTCTCTGCGCAGTACGATGTATGCATCAGGGTCAAGGACCTCTTTGCGCTCCCGTAACTCGGCTTCTAAAACGACCGCATTCACATAATCTTCAGTGTGCTTGATCAGTTGCTGATAGCATGCGGGTCGGTTGAATCGCAAAAGCCTCTCGCGGAAACTAAGTGGTTTTTTGTGAGAGTGTAATCACGAAATGGCGTACATCCTCACCCCTTCGTCATCTGGACCAGTGCCGATCCATCGCTCGAGTCAGGATCACGGAGAGTGTTCAGAAGGATGCGTCCAGTCTTGTATGCGTCCTTCCCGTTCTGGTCATCGCTGATTTCGTCCATGGCAAACAGAAGATTGATCAAATCCATGATGGTACGCAGCTCTTCGTAGCCGGCATAGGGATGAGTATAAGCGCAGAGGAGCTCGCTGCCGCCTTGCTGGAAGAAGACACGCTTGTGCTCCGGTACGAAGCTATAGCTGTTGACCCAGGCTGAGGAAGCCTTGGCCGCACGCTCGTAATGGGGATTGATGGAACCCTTGAAGGGTAGGAAGTGCATGATGTCAGGAAGGAGGAATGATTCGCGTGTGGAGGACATTTTGCCTGAGAACACGGGCCTACCAGCGAGCTAGAGAATGCTGGAGGAAGTGATAAAATTCGCGCAACGACGCACTTCTTGTATGCTATTTGAACTCCTCTTATTCCGAGAGCGCATTGTCAAATCACAGTCTGAGGGCACTAAATCTCCTGCACCGATTGTGATCGGACATCGTGTTGAGGGCACTAGCAATAGACCGAGACCCAATTGCCTGGTGGAGTAGGCAGTAGAGCTGTAGACTCGGGGACCTGTTTGGAAATTTACCGTAATGGCCTAGGCTGAAATCTTCCCAACCTTCTGCAAAAATAGTGCGAACATGTTAGCAGCTTACTAGTACCAACAGGATTAGCGTCGACCCACAGCAACCGAGTATTAGTGCTTACAGACATAGGGATGGATGGCACCAGCGGGACGCTGAACATTCGCAGTACCCATCAACGTACACTGCCTGTGAAACAACTCAAGGGCTGCCAGGAACACGGTCGCAAAAATACCAGGGCCATACAACCCAGGGTTATAACAGCTAATATGCCGACACTGTTGCATATCTGTCGCACTGCACCATGTGGGAGACATCGACGGCATTCGCCTAGATGGAGACTCAATGTGAGCATACATTAGACGACGGGCCGTTCGGCCGCAATTCAGTGCCTATACCCACATGCAGACGACGCCTCCAACGGCACATCCGTGCTAGTGGTTGTAAGAATAGAGTTTTGGGGTCAATAGCTTAGTTGCATATCTCAGCTGGACTCTTGTGGTACGTACGGTGTACCTAGAGATACGTTGACTCGGAAACCTATCTGTTCCATGCGAGGACCAGGTAGGGAACAGATCTTGCAGGTAGAACACATTATCTATAGAGCCGAGAGAACGTGGAGCAAAATGTCACTTGTCACTGGTCTACAATAAACCATGATTGACATAAGTACCGGGCTTATCGAGTGTGCTCCACAGAGTGCTGGTAGTTGACGGCATGACTTGGGTCGACAAAATGGACCCCAAGATGCTAGTCGTTTGAAGGCTTAAGTGCAATGGAGATTGTAGCCACACACCTCATTAACGATACAGAACAGTACGCGCCACAGGCACTGCTTTCTGTGCCCGAGTGAGACGATGCTAACGACTTCTCATGAACATTCCCAGAACAGCACCGTCGACCGACGATGACGCAGAGTCCCTGTGAGAGCGCATTCAATTCCCTATTAGCCTCCGTAGCGAACTTCCCCAGAAAACGTATGCACGTACCTGACGATGGACTGATAGGACGATCCAGAGAGGCGTCACCTTCGGAGATGATAGTACTCAATGATGAAGTACCCCACTAGCAGGCCCGAAACCTTGTATGCGGACGGGTACGGCAGGCCACCCACCCCTTTGGTCTCTTCGTACGCGCTGTTATTTTCAGCGTGGCAAAAGCTTGAAGGCGGCGGTGCCCGACCGTTGCGAGTGCAAGCAGGACACTTGTGAAGTAGCGCCCGAGGCGGCGTTCAGTACGGTCAGTCCTTGCGCAGTCCTCGCCATAAATGGCCGAACCTACCGATACAAGTATGAATGAATTCCCGGTGAAGGGTGAGTAGAGTCGCCCTCTTCTTGTCGGACACTAGGGCCTCGTAGTATCCCGAGCATTCGGGAGGGTGATGACTATGAATGTCAGCGGAACCTCCAAGTCGTCCGTACCCTGATCGCAGAACTCAAGGTTTTCAAGCGAGAAGGTGGCCAAACATAATGAGAGAGGGTATCGTCGCAGAAAACATATACAACGTCAAGAGCGAAGGAGGGCGCACGGGCACATACTGCGCGCTAGCGCTAGAGGCCGACCACTCCACGGTATGGCACTCCAAGGTGGCTAGATTCGGCAACGCTGCACAGATACGAAGAATTGTCGCCAGTGAAGGGAACACCACGCAATCCAGCTTCATGGTCTTGAGTGAGACGAGGCCCGATAGTGCGGGGAAGTAGGTTCGATGGAGTTGGGGGTCAGGCAGCGACTTGGCTCCTGCAGCGCAGCGGGCGCCGGTAGTCCCGCCAGACAAGCGCAGATGTTCCACGCTGGGCAACTTGCGAGCGAGCATCAAGGGGAATGCTCTGACAAACGCGGAATCCCCTCTTGAGATGAGCTCGAGCTATTTGACGTACGCACGGCAGCCGCGATCCGTGGTAAGCAGCGCAGAGAACTTCCAGAGCTGCTTCCGATCCTCGAGGGTCACGCCGTGCAGCAGGTAGTATCGGCAGCGAGGGACCCATGCACGACAGACCCGCATGCACGCGCGCAGTGTCTTCAGGCGATACTCCAAAGCATGGGTGATGTCGAGGTACACGATATCTATGACCCGCTCACATATCTCGATGGGAAGAATGGTCCTGCGTTCATTGTGAAAGGACCACCGAAGGACTTCCCATTCCCAGAACATCACCAATCGTGACGCAGAGCTTGAGTCCCTATGACACCACATTTCCCCGTTGACCTCCGTAGCGAACTTGCCAGACAACGTACGTACATACCTGATGATAGACGGAAGGGAGGATCCAGAGAGTCGTCACCCTCGGAGACATCACGATAGTACACAATGTTGAGGAGGATCACTAGTACGCGTTGCATGCCCGAAACCTTGTGCGCGGAGTGACAGAGAAGGCCATTCCACCCCTTTGATCGTGACCTATCTCTTCTTACGTGCTGTCTCTGTAGGCTTAGCAGAAGCATAAGATGGGCGATGAAGCCGGGGTTTGACCATTGCGAGTGGCGAGTGTATAGGCGAAACGTCGATGTTGGACGACTGCGAGCAAAGTTGAAGGCGGCGTTACGGTTCACGTTCAGTAGTATGATTATCAGTGCGTTCAGCCACTCTGCCGCTGACGTAATCACCCGTTACTTGAACCGGAGGACGTTACATAGTCGATCCCAGGTCGATCCTCTCGTGTTCATACTATCGTGTCGTTGTCGTGGTCCTAAGCAAGTACATAGCAACTCGTCGCATCTAACGAATGCGAATGCGAAACCTTGCGGGGCTTCGGAGGAGCCTACCATTGACTTTGTGATAGTGCCGCTCCCAGTCGTGCCGCGGCGGCGCCGGGCCTTGGCGGCGTTGGAACTTGAATCGGTATGTTTGTTTCTTGTTTGAAAAGGTGCGCTCTCCTAGCGTCAAATCAGTGCTGAGTGCAAGCGCAATTAGGAGACTTTGTATTTTACAATGAAAGAGAAAGGCAGGAAACGGAAGCTGGATGTCGAAGACGCAGTACGTCGAGTGCAATGCGTGTTGTTGACTCGCAAAGCTGATACTGACATACCGCGTTTGTGCAGATTTACGATGAAGCACAGCGCGGACTGGAACACCTCACAATTCAAGATACCAACGAGGTCAAGACAGAGAAGGTAGCCATGGTTAGCACCACACGCTCGCTGACTCTGATATATACATGTCACAGCCCAACGTCGTACGGCCGCTCCCTCAGAGAGCAATAAAGAGATATGCGCCTTTTACGAGACTTCTTCCTCGGGTATGTCAGCTCGTTTGCTTTCAGATGGACTTGTCATCTGACATTGTCGCCAGAGATATACCCAACCCCGCCCCTCCACGCAAGCTCAAGTGTTGTCCGACTCAGAATCCGAAGATGGGTCTGGGACCGACAACGCTGATCCCGACGACGACGCACTGTGGAGTGATGCAGGAGACGAGGATGATGACCTTGATATGCTCAGATTGGCTGATATGACGATTCGCGACGTGAGTCCGCCGTTCGATTGATATTGTCCGCTTCAGTTGATATGTCTTGCGATGACCATCAGTTCGACATCAACGAGTTCCTTCAGACTGATCGGGATGGGATAGTTCCCAATCCGCCTGTCGAATTTGAGCAACTCTTCACCAGCGTTTCGGGGAAGGGTGTATGGAAGGCACTTCAACCGGTAAGAACGCGTCAATGTTGCTTCCTCGCAGTGATTCACCTACTTCGCCTAGGTCCTATCCAGCATGAGGTATTCACCCGCTCTCGATGCGCAACGGGTATCGACGCTGACGCTATCGCGGCAGGTATACCGGAAAGGTGCAGAAGTGCATATCGGACATGACCATCTGGACGCCGTACAAAGATCTCAGTCGATGCATCTCGGTGTACCCCGCCCAGCTTTACAACTTCCACACCTGCGCGCCCGAGCCTCCCACGGATCGCAAGGCGTGCAAGGACTGGCCCCGAGTAGGCGAGTCGCGCGATCTCTGCTTCTCCACGGGGGGCACCTGGTACTACTGCGGGACATACAAGTGCACCGGCATGTCCATCTTGCGACTCGAAGATCTCTGCAAACTCGACGAGTCCAGATCTGTGAGCACCGCGTCGTGGGCTTGTACTCTGGATAGACGATTCTGACCCGAGCGTAGTACGCGCTGTTCAATAGCCTCGCGCAACAGACGCCGCGAGTCCTGGGCGGCGAGTTCCAGCGGTCGACCGCCAAGACGATGGGCGCCATCACGAAGGCCCTGCGCGACCTGTACTGGGACGGAACGTTACCCATCCGATGCTATGGGTTTCAGCTGGTTGGATACGACGAAAAGGTGAAGGCGGCATTCGTCAAGTGTCAAGCTAGCGTAAAGCAGAAGAAGGACAAGAAACGGCAGAAGGCGCAGAAGAAAGGGGGCAAGAAGAGGCAGCGACTGTCGTGAGGCTTTCAAAGCCCAGATGAATGTATCAAAGTGGAATCGGTCTATATCCTGTAACATAGTTTATGTACGCAGTCCCTGTTGTAATGATGTGCCACGGAGTCTGAGTGAGTTTGCAGACGACACCATGAGTCGTCAGTGACCTGCCTTGATCAATCGAGGTCGCACTGATATATGAATGACATGATATGGTGCAACGGAATGCATTCGACGAGATAGCACGAGAGCAACAGTATGAAAACAATGTTGGACAAGGAAGACGGCTTTGCAGCGGTTAGCACTGCATCCTGAGGTTAGCAGATAGCGACAGTGATAGTCATACGTGCGTACGATGGTCAGGATGAGTGCCAAGATCGAGCACCTGTGAATACGGGCACACAAGAATCGGGGGTCTAACTAACTCTACATGCTAGTCAGGACGGTTCAACAAGATCATGCCTTACATACCGGCCTATCTTCAGGAGAGCCTGAGCCTCTTCCGGCTTCCACTTCCATTCTCGTCGGAAGTGTGTTTTGGATTCAACAGCTCCAGTTTTCCGTCATATTCGCGTCTCCGTACACTAATCGCGTTTTCGATATCCCGATTGGTGCCGACCTTCTCCAACTTGTGGCAGCGTACGAGAATCTGCCCAGAATGATACATATTCCGAACTTTCGTGTTCAATTCTCGATTACTGATCTCGGGGCCACAAGTTCGCTGAATGATCGTGTTGATGGCTTGATTCTGCCCAACCATTAATCAGCCGGGCAGATGGTGACGGAGACCAGGACACTAACCTGCAGTCCCGTGAGGCAAAGTAGGACCTCGAGAGATTCATTGGAGACACTTGTACACTCATAGACACCGCAATACGTCCATTTTCCCTTGTCTTTGAGGAAAAGATCGCGCCTGACGCCAGCCCGAGGCCCTACCGCGTGAATCGTGTTTGTTCCCCCGGTGTGCTGGTCATACTGCTGATCAGGATGCAGGAACAGGCATCTGTCATGTGTAGGCGACCAGAGGGTATCGGTCTGTGTGTATGTCCAAGCGCGATCTAGGGCACTGTGATCATCGTCAGCTTGGGCCTTTCAAGTGCAGATCTTCTTGTTCTAACGTACTATGGTTCAGTCAAGCTCTACACATACGTGATGGGTGACAACAAATTTATCAAATGTGCAGTAACTGTGTGCAAGATCGACTGACCTTGCGGATGTTGGGCCATGAGTCAGGGACGCTGGGAAATGAGCAAAACCCGAAACCGTCGAATGGGCGGAATTTTTGGCCGCCGAGTACTGTGGAAGCGAAGTATTTGTACCCAAGTGGTTCCTGTTAGAGGTTATGAATGTTCAAGTAGAAGCAGACCCGAGAAAACAATCTGACCATGTTTTGTATGTCATTGCTGGTCGGCATTGCGTCGTTTTCGTCAAGACTTTTGTACGATTGCTCGTCAGCTTCAAGTGGATAGAGTGTCTCGTCCTCCTGCTCGCGCGTGGCTTGCAGATCCGTCAATTCCTGTATACACAAACATCAAAATCGCGACTGATCATCGAGATATATCCTACTTTCTGAGCCTGCAGCAATGCTTCCTTCGATTGCTTCCGCTTCCTCTTAGCATTCTCAAGCCGCTCTTCCAGAGCCTCAACGACACGAGCCTGAACAGATGCACACCCGTCTATCAGAAGAGGTTAATCGCATATTAAAGGTAGCGCTTTACGTGCTCGAGCCTTTCCTCTTGTAGCCTCTGTTCTGTCTCTGCCAATTTGCGCCTAACCTGTTCATAGGGCTAGTCCGTGCAGGCGTGTCAGCGACCCAAACCAAAGCTACTGCACAAATCTTACAGATCCAGCGGATAAAATGCACGGCTCCGAGTCTTCTTCTTTTATTCTCCCTTGCAGACTGCGGCGGGTATCATCTAGCTCCTGTTGAAGCCGCTCGTTCTCTCCCTCTAGCTCGTCGTTCCTAGACACAACAGTACAATTTCTACGATCGGCTTCGTCCTTGCTGGCTTCAAGAGTGCCAATGCTAGCCTTGAGATCCGCGTTGCATGCTCTCAGCCTCGTCAGCTCGTTTCCCAGTGCTCTGACGATCTCATTCGATAAAACGAGCTCTGAATCCTGGTGATCGCTGGGCATATTTAGGAACAGCCGAAGTACGGAATGTATTGCGAGCGCAGATGTCCGGAGGAGAGTTCAAGAACAGAGGATCGACTGCCAGCGGGCCACGGAAGTACTTGAATGAGTTGGGCGTCCGAGTCGTGGGATACGTGGATTGCCATTTGTAGACCGCAGATTACGTCAGCAACGCTGTGGCTGCTCCGCCCAATTCTGAGTGAGCCCAGCAGAGCAGTTCGTTCTTGCCTCACTTACCATCTGCACTCATCTCGCTCTTCTTATCCCATTACCTCTTGGTCTCATCGAATGGTCTCCCAGACAGACGCTGGCAGCAGTGCCATGCACGATGTCGTGGAGGCAGCCGAAGACTTCGTCGAGAAAATGACAGACACGGAGACACCTGCGAACGAACAGGAGGAGGGCAGTAGCAGCAAGCAGTCCATGGAGGAGCGGAAAGCGAAGCTTGAACAGCTGCGCAAGAAGATGGTGGGCATCTGTCTTCAGCCGTCTCGTCGCCTGAACTTACACCAACACCCATAGCACACAGCCTCTTTGGCGAACCGCGCATCCGTAGTGGAAGAAAGCTCAAAGGCCAAGATCACCGCCCGCGATGCAGCACGGCTGGAGCGACAACGCAAGCTTGCGGAGACACTACGTCTCAAAGCAGATGCGGACGAGCGCGGCGAGGACGTCGATCGGCTGAAGAACTGGGAGTGGACAATCGAAGAGAACGACGAGTGGGAGAAGAAGCAGGCGCGAAAGACGCGGCGGGCAGACTTCGAATTCAACAGTACGTCCCTCCTCCGTTGTTTCTGCGATGTTGGCGGGGTGCTCAGCATCGCAGGCGGACCGATCCTGACGTCCTGTTCGTAGACGACGCGGATGCCGCGCGCAAACGGTACAAGAAGGATCTGGACCACATAAAGCCCGACCTTGCGTCGTACAACAAGCAGAAGGAGCTCGCGATGGGTCTGGCACCGGGAACGCTAGCTAAGGCGGGCGGTAGCTCATCTTCGCTCACACAGTTTGACCCGAAGCAGGGATCATCGTTGGCGGTGAGTACCTCGTCATGTCTGGCTGTTGGGTGGCCTCATTGACGATGTACCGTAGGTCGCACCTACGAGTGAACAGCAACGGATCGCTGCCGAGAACCTGTATCGCGACGCGAACAGTCTGCTCTACGCAGACAACAAGCCGACCGAGGAGGCTATAGACAGGGTGGTCGCCAAGATCAATAGAGAGTGCGTTGCGCGGCATTTTTTAGCCGTTCCTACTCATGCATAGTGCAGTATCGATAAGAAGAGCAAGTTCTCGCGGAAGCGGAACAACGAGGACGAGGGCGACATCACATACATCAACGAGCGAAACCGTGTGTTCAACAAGAAGGTACGCCGCGGTGATACCCCTTGTGCCTTTCGTCCACTAACGTCTTGGTCCAAGATTGCACGATACTACGACAAGTATACCGCAGAGATTCGTGCAAGTTTCGAACGCGGAACTGCGTTATGATGACACCCTGCTTGTTACATTAGCCCGATGCTTCCTATGGGACCCTCCACTCTGTAATAACACTTCATGGACAGATATTATTGCCACTTTCCGCCCTCGTCAAAGGCATTGTAGGTAGCCGCCGCAGTGGCGCGCTGTGCTTCTCAGCAACTACTCGCGAGCGCAGTGTAACTACGTCTATGATGATCGAAAGCTTCATGACCGACAGAAAGACTTGACGCTTTACAGAACCCCCAGACAATGGTTTCACAGTCGACATATCAGAGGGCGCCGTCAGCACGGCAGCCAAACGGTAATGTTGGATACTCAATAATCCTCGGGCAGGCTAACACAACGCACAATAGGGACTTTCAATCCGAATGATGAGATAACAGACGAAAACATCACGTTCAAAACACCGACAACAGACAGAGCAGAGCAGATACAGCATTACGAGAGGGACTGCAGAACAACGTGCGCGTTAAGAAAGAGAACAAGACGTCAGCCCATGCTATGAACGGGCTTTCATCTACTCTGCGTGAGCTGTCTGCTTTGCCACTGTCATATGGAGCACGTACGACTTCATCGACGCAAGTCTGGCAGACCTCCGCCTCTTTTTGCTTCGGCCAAGTCGAGATGCTTCGAAAGCTAGATCGATGTCGGGATTGTGCGCGACCTTCAGTAGTCCACAGCAGCGGATAAATGGCACTTCATCGCGAAATATGCGTTGGCGGTAGTTCTTTGCCCTCGTCTCCTGGCTACCACCCATGGTTTTATGCATGACAGAGTGCATATGTGACTCGAAATCGAACGTCATCAGGGCGACTGCGAAGTGAGGAAGAACTGCACTCACGCCAAACTGCCGCGCCGTGAGGTCGCACGATTGCGCATAATCCATGTCAGTGATGCCTATGCATTTGTAGGTGCCGCAATAACTCCATGTTCCCCCGTCTCTATGGAAAAGGTCACGGGTCTCGTCGATCCGAGGTGCATGGTCGCCAGACTTGGTAAGGGTGAGCTTCCCTGTGTCCGGATCATAATACTTGTAAGGTAGCAGTAGCAAACACCTTTTCTGGGATGAAGACCAGGCACTGTCGGTAGGAAGGCATGTCCAGTGCAGACCGGGGATGCTGTCGCGGCTGTTAGATATCATCAATCACTTCATGAGCCGCGTATGCCGTACGAATGTTCCTTGAGTATCTGTAGGATTGAAACGATCGGTCGTACCATTCACGCAAAATGGAAATGACTCAAACAGAACAAGGATGGTACGCACATCTCGCAGATATTTGGATGACGCAGATGCATCGCAGTGCCGGGCATCAAGGGTGATAAGACCCGCACTGTCAAGGGTACCAAGGCTTGCGCCGTGAAGTCCCCCGCATCGAAGAAACCGTTCGGGATCAAATGGCCCGTCATCGAGATCTTGCGTTGGGGCCGCAGTTCAATTAAAGTTCACGGTGTAGACGGTGTAGGCAGTCAGAAACAGTTCACGGTAGCGCATACTGGGAATCAGCTCACCACTATCTGAGTCACTCGCATAACTTAACACTGAACCATGGTCACTCATGCCCAAGATAGATACCTCACTCGCTTCGGCACTTGGAGCACGTATTATGTCAGACTGCGGTGAACAAGTGGTCAGTAGTATGTGCACGAAGGGAGCGATATACTCACAGGATTTGCATCTAAAGTACTGTTCAAATCCTCCCTCACCTCCTTGTCTTGCTTCGCAAGGTCAGCGAGCTGTCTGTTCAAGGAGTCCACTAAGTGTCTCTGACCCGAAACATGTGTGACTGATAGCGCATAACATGGTAGATACACTGACTCACATGCTCAAGCCTTTCCAACATTATCTGGTGCAATGCATTGTCTAGCTCCTGTTTCAATGCTTGGTAGCTAGGCTGTCCGTCGAAGCCATGTTAGCGATCCTGACTTTAAGTCCAGCTACATAGCCGCACGCGGACTCACAGATCCTACTGCTATCAAGTCCGGTTCTGAGTCCTCCTTCTTTACTACAGTCGCTTGGAGAGTCTGGCGTGTGTCATCAAGTTCATGCCGAAGTCTCGCGTTCTCCCCTTCAAGTTCAACGTTCCTGTCCTTCAAGTTGCGACACATTGCTTTTGTCTCAGCATATATGGTGTTCAGAGTATTGATTCTATGACCGTTAGCATGTATCCTAGCAGGGTATATCTTGGAAGACACGAGTTGTCATACCTAGCTCGTAGCGTCGTGAGCTCGTTTGTCAGGGCGCGGACATTTGCCAGCACAGGATTGCGGTCACTAGCACCGTGACTAGTCGACATCCCCGTCAATCCGAGAATCCACCAATAGCAAAGCCGTCGAGGTCCGAGGGGAACGTGTTCGGCGGGTCCTAATTTCTGGGATGGGATTGCGTACTGAGTGTACATCATGATAGCAGTCTACGGGCAGCAGCTCAACAACGAGATCCCGATTGGATCTCACCTCGGAGAGTGCGAATTCGGGACAGTCACACTCATGTTCGTGTAGTCTTCGTTTTCGACAATAGCGCGTAGGGGTGCAGGCGGCATAAGGCAATACGATATTATCTGACACATAGTAGGAGTACTATCCCTCCATGGGCACTTCGTGAAGTGCCACCCTGTGGCGAACCTGGACAAGAAGCCCTACTGTACGAACGTGACCATAATAGCTCATCTTGAGCGGCAGCTTGAACACGAGACTAAGCTTCGTGCTAGAGTCCGCCGCGCTAGAGCCTAAGAGGCAGCCCACTGATGTTCCCGACCAGACGTCTCAGCCCTTCCATATCCGGCTCCAAGAGCGACGGGGTGAACGGATGAACATGTCGTACAACTGGAGAATAGTCAGCGTCCCGAATTGCATTCCCGCCTCCACATTGAACTGACCTGGATTTCCTCAAGGAGCCCCTCCCCGAGGACCACCGCGACCTCTCCCTCTCCCGCGTCTACCGCCCCTACCACCAACCCCAGGCGTTTCTTCCTGAATAACACCATCCGTAGCAGGAGTAGCACCTCCAACCGCTCCATCCCGAGTCAAAATCTTCGGCGTCGGAGTCGTCACATCTCTCTGCAGGATAGTAGGCGGCGCAGCCGGCTGGCCAGCACGCTTCTCCTTCGTCTTGGGTGCGGCCTCGCCGGGGGCGGACGGTGTATCAGCTGTACCCTTGTCCTTGTCCTTGTCTTGCGCTTGGCCACGCCGCGGAGGACGTCCACTGACGCCGGCACCGCTGAGCGCGGCCTCGAACTGGCGCGAGCCGAGCCCGAGGACGGGGCGCCGCCGACTGGGACCCGACTGAGCAACTGCCGCTGCGTCTCCGGACGTCGATGTAGACGCATCCGCACCAGGCTGAGAAGGCAACGCGGCAGGGGAAGGCGTCGCAGCTGCGCCAGGCGCGGGAGCGGGAGAGTGCTTTGGCTGGCGTTCCCGCGGTAGGCGAGGAGCCTTTGCAGACTGACCGGGCTGCGCTGGTTTCGCCTGCCCTTGGGTGGTCGGGGTGGGAGCGGGAGTCTTCGCCCCGGGAGCAGATGACGACGCTGCAGGCTGCTGGGCTGCCTTCGCCGCGGCCTTCTTCGCCTTCTTACCGAGCGGTTGTTCAGCTGGCGCAGGCTTCGCGGCGCCACCTGCTGCGGACTTCTTCTCGTCTTTCTTCTTTGCTGAGGCGGCGACGGAGGCGTCCTTGTAGTGCGCATGGTTGCGGAGGATGGCCTCCTTGTCCTTCTGAGCGGACTTCTCCGCTTTAAGGGCTTCGAGCAGGGGCGTGGTGGTCGGTTGCGGAGGTGGCTGCGATGCTGCAACTGCGTGCGGAGCGAGGTCATTCGTACATTAGGCGACAAAGGAAAGATGTGGCGACGCACTCAGAGTCTCGATCGTCTCTCCGTCAACTGGCTTCGCGCCTCCCTCTTGCAACGACTTCAGGAACGATATGTAATCCTCGTCTGCGAACTGATGAGCGTCGCTTTGTGAGAACTATTGCCCGCACGCACCTTTCTCGATCGTACCCGTTCTGCCATCTACTTTCTTCTTCTCGGAGGGGATCTTCTGGTATGGCGAGAACTCGACCACGGCGATAGACTCGTTCCCTGGCGCGACAGATGTGAGCCCATACGCACGCCGCACGGGACAGGGCGCACCTGCTTTGTCCCGGAAGAGATGGCCATCATAGTCCCTGCTGAATACAGCTAGCTGATCCTCGTTTCTGAATGCGATGTAGGCACGAGACGGGATGTTCTCCTTGTTCACTCTAATAGACAATCGACGTCCTGCCTTCGCGCGCGACACAGGATAGTGTAGAGCGTGCTTACCGCTTCCTGAACTTGCCCTGATAGTAAGCCTTCCATTGAACGGTCTCATCGGTGACCCATTGTTGCACGCTTTGCCAAAAGATATCCTCTGGCAGATTTGGAGGCAGACGGCGCACTACGGTCTTCAGTCGCTCTGTCTGCGGCTTGTTCGCACTCTTCTGCCGTTTCTCCTTCTCTTTCGCTTTCCCCTTCGAGTTTGGGCTAAGAGACAGCTTCGGCAACTCCGCAGGCATAGACATACAAGTCAATGGCAAAATAGTATGCGTGAATTGAACGGATGTCAAGGGAGGGTGGACTTGGGGAAGGTCAAGGGAAGGTCAAGGTCACCTACCAAAGCTCTACGTATGAGTGGCGTTTTCGTGAAAAATTACTTACTAGGTAGGTCGTACTCTTGTGTACTTAGTTATAGTGATGCGACTTACATTCGCGCGCGATGTGCGTCGCTGCTGGTCGCACTTTGCGTGTTCCACTGTACTCGTACACTGTGACGACTTACTCATGCACTACGACGACTTACTCGTGCGCATACCGACTTACTCGTGCACTGCGCCAACTTACTCGTGCGCTACACCGACTTACTCGTGCACTACACCAACTTACTCGTACGCTACGCCGACTTACTCGTACGCTACGCCGACTTACTCATGCAGTATACCGACTTACTTGTGCATTACACCGACTTACTCATGCAGTATACCGACTTACTCGTGCATTACACCGACTTACTCATGCACTGTGTTGACTTACTCGTACACTACGCCGCCTTACTCGTACAGTATATACCCAGTTAACTCACTTTACCCGGCGTAGTCTGTACTCGGTAGCTGACTTACTCGTAGTGAGACTTATTCGTAGCAATCATACACTTACTGTAGCTGGCTTACTCGAGCCGCGGCGATCATACACTTAGCACTACTGACTTACTCCGAGTTGATACACTTACACCTTGCTGAATTACGCATTGATCGTACACTTACAGTCGACTTGCCAGCGGCTGCATCATAGGGTGCGTCCGACAGGTGCTTGCCCACTGTTAATCCGATCTCTGATGGTGCCGCAGCTTTCACTGGCAGACAACGAACCCCAGCATCCTCCGAGTCCTTCAGGCTTGCCCTTCCGTTTTGCCGACCAGTATGGATCACAACACCCGCGGAATCGATTCTTCTCGGGACCAGCAGCTCTTGAACGAGTTTCGTCTGCGGTATCATCAGTATGTGCGGAATGTTGAAGATATCACGGTGACTTCGTCCGACCCTACTGTCATTGCTCGTCTTGGCGATGACATTATGCAATTCAGCCAGCTTGTTGAACAGGTAAGCCTTCTTATACCTAACATACTGCAAGCTGACGATTACCTTGATCTTTCTCCAGAATGCCAGTGTATTCGATGCTTCGGAGCTTACGATCATGCGGGATAGTCTTGGACTCCTTCGTCATGATGTCCACCTCCTCCACAGTGACAGCCTCGATCAATCTCATCATGGCAGGCCTGTCATCCTCACCCAGGTCCATGGTGGTGGGCGTGGCCGACCAAGGCTTGTCATCGACCCGACGTGGCTCCGCTGGGCATATGGCCACAAGTCTATCGCGGATATAGCGCGTTTTTTAAACATACACCGATCTACTGTACGAGCTGCTCTCATTGAGTATGGCATCAGCGAGTGCCGGTCTGATCCATTCGCTGGACGCGAAGGTGAACCGAGCTACGACGATGGCAGGAGCAGTATGGAAGAGGTGGAGAACAACCCAGGCGATGGCACACATGATGGATATGCTTCCGAATCTTCGGATGAGCATAACCAGGACTCCGAGACCAGGTATGCAAGTCTTTGCCGAGAGATACAGAGGAATCACGACTTCTTTCAGGGTTTCCGAGGCAGACAATCTGGCTGCAGATACTAGCTCCCGGGTCACCTCCTATACCCGACCTCTCACCGACATCAGTGACGACGACCTTGACACCGCTGTCCGGGAGCTCCGGGTACATTACCGCCGCGCCGGGGCTACCATGATGGTTGGCTTTTTGCGGGGGACTCTGGGCATCCATGTCTCGAAAGCGCGGGTGAGGCAATCCCTGCTTCGAATCGACCCTGTGCGGCGCGTGTTCGATCGCATCCGCATTGAACGCCGCAAGTACCAGGTAGCTGGTCCGAACGCTCTCTGGCACCATGACGGCCAACATGGTATGTCTGTTTCGGTGTAGGTCGCAGCGATTGCCTTCTGACGCACGCGGTGCAGGTCTTATTCGCTGGCGCATCGTCATACATGGATTCATTGATGGCTACTCAAGGCTTATTGTGGGTCTGCGCGCGAGCAACAACAACCGAGGCTCAACTGTTCTTGATGTCTTTCTCAACGCCTGCCGAGTTTTTGGAGTACCGTCTCGTCTTCGTGGAGACCATGGCACGGAGAACATCGAGACAGCATGCTGGATGGACGATCATGTAGGGGCTGGAAGAGGCTCGTACATCTGGGGGCGGTGGGCCTATTCATGTGCCTCTACTACACACTGTACTTATTCTCGTCGCTTGCATACAGGAGCATCCACAATGTTCGAATCGAGCGCCTATGGGTCGATGTCACAGCGCAAGTAACATCAAAATGGGCCGACTTCTTCACGGACCTCGAGCTCCGCCATGGGCTGAACATCAACAACATCGACCACATTCACCTCCTGCACTATCTCTTCCTACCCCTGATCAACACAGAACTGCTGTATTTCGTCTCAGGCTGGAACCACCACACTATTTCTGGTGTAAATCGTACACCTTCCGATATGTTCGGTTGGGACATGTATGTCCACGGTATCCGTGGTGGCCAACTTCCTCCACATCAGCAGCTGTTGACAGACGAAGAACTCGAGTATTATGGGGTCGACTTCGAGGGTCTCGGAGAGGATGCCCTATTGGGCTCTCGCGAGGCGAACAACCCAGAAGACGAAGGTGTCTCATCATTTCTAGGCCGCATACCACCTGCCGAGCGCCTTAACACCATCGCAGTTGAGACTGGCGACACGAACTGGCCAGAGGAGCTGATTCAGGGTTTGCAGGGCCTGAAGTATGCAGTGCAAGGCCGCGCAGACGACGAGTCCCTGACTGGATTATGGACAGCTTCTCTCGTCCTCATGTGTACTTACTTTGGTGATGTTATGACGAATTGAAAACAACTACCATACAGAATGCAGGCTAAGAGGCCAATGGAAAGGCAAAACCATGCCACTACGAAGACAAGGCAAGTACAATGCTAACATAGACTGGTGCGCGCAAACACGCACCCTGTCCCTGTATCTCCCTCCTTCACACTCTCGCCCTCATCCGCGCCATGGCACACCCGACTTGCATCTCCTCTTTGATCTATCATGCCGTGTTCGTGGCACTCTACCCGCTGCCTAACTTCACCTTTGCTGGTCCTCCGACACGCGCCTTCGCTCTCACCGAAACATGCCGTGCACCCGGCAGCGCCCATTCTGTCTACCACTGCCCATTCTCCCTTTCCTCTGCGCACAGCCGAAATTCTGCATCTGCACGCCCGCCCGGTCTCGTCTTCTCCATGCGTGCCCTCTCGCACACCGCACCCGCTCTACTTCACTCGCTCTGAGCATGCGCACTTGGCCTTGTGCGGGACCCGCCGCGCCGGCGCCCGCCCGCCTCTCGTTCACCTCGCTAACGCATCCTGCACCGCCAAACCCGCCGACTGCCGCCTCTCCGACCTCACGCAGCGTCGCATGTTTCGCACTCTTGTCCAGCGCCCCGGCCCCCGAACCGCCCTCCTGTGTGCGTATAGCCACCCTGGCCCCGCGCTCGTCCGCCCCGCACTCACCTGCCCTGCGCGAGCCTACGCGCCGCCATGGATTCTACCATCTGCCTCCCGCGGGCCGGCCACGCATCTGGCATCGTTAATATCTCGTCCTTCGACGCCCGCGCAGTCTCCCTCGCCCTGTTCACCCTCGCCCTCACCTTCTCCTGCACCAACTCGAACGACCATCCACCCATCTGCCTCAGTTCCATCGCCCGCGCACGAGCACGTCTTGCGCGACCGCACGCGCCACGGCGGTGTATCCGAGGCCGAGAATCTCCGCGAGCGAGCCCGCGCCGCATCAGGCGCTCAGCGCAAACATCGTGCCGCCTCCGCACGCAGCAGCCTTGCCCTTCCCGCCGTCCGCAGCGTAACGCGCATGCGAGGAGACCATCGCCAGACTAGACTTGCCGTTGTCGTGTGCAGCTGACGTCGCGGGCGCCGAACGGAGCATCAAGTCCGCGGTACCCTTGGACTTGCCTGGCCAGGTGATCAATTCGCAGCCGCAGGCGCATTCGGACGGCGCATCTACGGAGGTGACGGGGTCCGCCTGGTGGGAAGATGGCGTGGCCGCCGGCTGACTGCTCGAGGTGGAAGCAACAAGTGGCGCAGGGAGCACGGCCACGGCGAAATCCTTCAGAGACGACCGAACGAGTCCCGATGCCGCCGGGTTCAGACTCAGTTGCGGGGTTGAATGGTTGATGGACACGCTGACCGGCGGGAAGGCGAATGTGGGCGTCGCCTGTTGAGGCTGCGAGGATACGACTGTGATGAGGGGTGGAGGAGCCCTTGATCGCGTAGCCGAGGACGGCGGACAGAATCGCGAGACTGACAATGGGTGTGGGCACCGGCGTCAGCTGGAAGAGTATTTTCCATGACGTGCATCGTGAAAGCATGCTTCGAAGCGATCCGTTGCGTGAAGCGGGGAGATTGCTGCACCTCTCCTGCAAACAGCGGGTGCAAGGCGCGAGCAAGCTGCTCGGGTGCGACGCGTTTACATCGACGACAGAGGACGAGCAACGAGACGCTGGCACAACCTTGCACTGTGAGATGTTGAATGTATCCCATTGCTGCTCGGCGCCGAGGAGTACCGGGGTGAACGAGGATGGCTGGTTGTCCCGAGCGAAGCTGATGGATGGAGACCGCACGTCGCTTGTTGGTAGTCGGGTACGGGTCGTATCGATCATCCGCTGAACGTAACACCAGTTATGAATGATAGAGCAAACTCTTAGGCGCAGCGCCCTCTTCCGCTTGCTCGTCCTAATGGCACTTGGCGTTGGAGGTGGAGTATACCGCCGTGAGGATGCAGCGGGAGAGCCGACCGCAGATGATGGCTGTCTCACTCCAGTGTCAGTCCAAGGATCAGGGAGACAACAAAGTGATGGAACATACGACATCGACATCCATCGCTGGACTATCCAGCATGCTCATGTCCTCCCCCTCCCCATTCACACTCGCAGCGGGTGTCAATAGGATCCACGAACAAGGACGGCGCTGCTTCCTCTAGTTCACTGTCGCCGCTCGGCGTATCCGGCCTGCGAGGTTCCTCAGTGCCTGCCTCCTCGGGATACCTGCCCTGATCTGGCGGCGGACGCTGCACTCGGTGTGGCGAAGGTAGCTCGCAGAATGATGCGACGAGCCGCTGGAACTGCGCTTCCGATCGCATTTCGTCTTCTGGCGCTCACCTGCACTGCGCGCCGGCAGCCTCAGGCGCTGGATGATGCTTGAACTCGGCCGCGCGCATAGCCGTCGCGGTGGGCAAGTCGTGCTTGCGCATACGCTCGCGCCGCCGCCGAAGGATCGTCTGAAGTGTCCATATCCATACCCATATCGCCGCGCGAGGGGGGCAGGAGGGCCTTGGCTGCGGCACGCACGAGCTCAGCCAGCTTGGCTTCTGCGCTCCGGGCGGCGCGTTCAGCAGGCAGCGCACGGCGGCGGACGGCGCGCAGCTGGAGGAACTCGTCAACTTCGAGGTTGGTTGACGCCGGGCCCAGCTGGAGGTCGAGGAACTGGAGATCGTCGCCGTCTGGCGGCGGAGAGGATCTCTGACGATCGTTGCGAGGAGTCGTCCGGTAAGGGATCGAGTGGAAGGGTTGGTGAAGAGGGCGAAGGTGGACATTCAGTCGGTGCATCCGCACTGGGAGATGCGAGTAGCTGACGAGGCGGACGTGGAATAGGGGTAACACACAAGGGGTCATTTGTATGAATTCCGAAGGTCCGAGTATGCGGCGGAGGATAGCAATGTGGACCAAGGGTCGCCTTCAGGTGATATTGCAGTGTCGCAGAACGAGCTATCGGAGTCGCCGCCTCGGCAGAAGTAAAGCCAACGGGGGTCGTGGCGAGTCCAGTGGTGGAGGATCCCCGTCGGTGTCCATTAAGGGTCATGCAGAATCTTGCAATGCAGCAGCTCTAGGTGCACGCTGAGCGGGGAGCGTAGCGCCCAGAAAGCGCCAGCTCGATCTTCGTGGATCCGCCGCCAGGCTCTTCCGGGAGGCTCGGAAGGCTACCTAGGCTGGATTTGTCCTGCGGGAGACATTCCTCGAAGCCGGAATCACGACGCGCCGGCAGCCTGAGTATGCGGGGAGGCCGCGGCCAGACCCGGAGGGACCGCATTCAAGTCAATCCACGAGCCTTCGAAACTCCATCCCCGCAAGGTGGCATGATGCACCATCCAAACACAACGGTGCGACGAGGCGGCTCTTGACTTGCTCTGGATCTCAGCCACCTTCGCCCGGGGTGCGGCAGCGTTGGTGCGGCCACCGCCAGCAAGCTCGGCGCGGCATCCAGCCTCCAGGGCGGCGCCGACGAAAGCAGCCTTGGCGGGAGTGGGCGCGAGACCAGCCGGCACGATTGGCGGCTTGCGGAGGCACGAGAGCGACGCACCGAGGCGGATTTTGTTGCGGCTGCAGGAAGGTCAGCAATGCGCGAAGTGCGGATGGTGCAGGGAACGCGCACCTTGTCTTGACGGGACTAAGTGCGAACTTCTTGCTCCGCCGCTCCTCCTCCCTCCTCACTGCCTGCGCGACACCCAACTCGGCGGTGCCCCTGCACCCTGCCCACCAAAGACTAGCGCATCCAGGCGCCGCGAAAAGCGGGCGCGCCAGCGTGCAGGGGCGGCGAGGCTGCGCGGGTGGCGAGCGCGTTCCGGCCGCTGCAGCGGGTAACCTGCAGCTGCGCGTTCACGGTGCCCTCGAGCTTCTTCCCCGGCTCTCCAGGGCTGAATGAGGCGGGCTAGCAAGTGGCCGATTAGCGAGTAGGCTGCTTGGCACTATTTGAGAGCGGGGTCGCCGAGGCGGCTGCGAGGCAGGCGGGCGCTGCGCGCGGAGGACCCAACCATTGCTGAAAATGGAAGCAGGCTGTGAGATAGCTCAGTTGTTAGCATTGCGCAGCATAATTCTGCGGAGTAAGTACATACCTCAGCCTTTGAACGCTTGAACGTGCAGCTCCCATTGCTTTGCTGCGAGTTGGGCAAGAGCGACCAAAATCTTCTGAAGCCGAGTCTTCCTTTGACGATCATGCGGATGCGACCACCTGGGCCTTACCCCAACGCGAACATCGACGCATGACCGCCGCCAAAAGATCTGCGGCTCGGTACGCGTGGCTGTTTGCGACAACGCGTGAGGAGAACGACTCGGAGCCGCCCAGCGGCGAGCGTGGCACCACCAATTCGGTCATGTGACGATGTAGGCCGCGCGGTGCGCCCACTGGCTCCGCTCACGCAGAGCTCATTCATCTGCATTCAGGGCTCACGATGCCTTCGCGGAAAGAAAAGAAAGAGGCCCGGAAAGCAGCATACTCCGCTCTCATCGAAGACATCAGTGGCGATGCGGCTGCTCTCGAGTTACTTGCTCGTTCGAGCAATCCCTATCCCCGCCTACAACTCACAGCTTTACTACACTTTCGACTCGCCTCCCTTGGCATTCCTTCCCCCGCAGGCGACCTCTTTGCTGGTTTCTTGGGATGGTGTGCTCATACCCGGGCCCAGCAACTTCCGAATCAACTCGAGCAGGCCCTTGTCCTGCGTAAGCAGAACACCCAAGTGCGGGAGGAGATGTGCAGGGATCTCGCTGCGCGCCTGCACCTGCGGAGGCTAGATGAGGCCGGCAAGGCAGCCTGGCTCGACGAGAACACGACAGAGGTTTTTGTTGACCCACTCACCAAGCCATACCCCGACTACCATTGGTGGGTTGCTGAGTCGCCCGAGACAGCCGAGCAGTGGAGACCTCGAATCGAGGAGGGCAAGCAGGCGGACAGGCGCCACACACGGCACCCTATTGCCGTGGAGGACCCCTCGAAGCTCGCACACATTGTGCACGAGGAGGAGAGTGTAGTTTTTCGGGACAGGAAAACAGGCAAGGTCGTCATGATTATAATCCGGGACTTCTGTAAGGACAAGAAGGTTCTGGCATACGCAAATGGCGAGACAGAGCAGTCGGCTGATATGAGAAGATCAGTCAGGGTGAGCAGGCAATATTTGAGTCTCATTTGTGCTCGTTATTGACACTTGTGCACCAGCTCGAGGACCCGGGGAAGCTTGTGCTTCTCGGCTACACTGCTGGTTCTCGCAGCCACCCTCTGTACGACTGGGCTCGGAACCTCCGCTCCTCCAAACACACCGCAGAATTCATACGGGAGCACGACTTCCGCGTATCATCAGTATTTGCTCTCTTCTGGAATCTGATCCAGTCGCACCTTCCTGAGGAGGTCCTCGCTCCGTTCGAGTCGTACCTTTCCGAGAATTCGATGGGTCGCATGGACGCCAATTCGAAGTCGCGGGAGTCGAAAGGCATCTATATGGTGGAGTGCGGAGACGAGTACGTCGAGTTCAATGATGCCGAACTCGCACCACCTGCAGGTGTGGCTGGTTGTAACTATGCGCGGTAAGTGCTCTTACACCATTTCCTTGGATCGGTCCTGATGCATATCTTGTAGCGCCATTCATCGAGAGAAACAGCCCCAGAAATGGGCGTTCTCATGGACGACTTCTCGCCGCAAGGGTATGACAGGAGGGAGTTTCTACGAGGCAGTCTATGGCATCAAGGTATGCCAGGCTCCCAACACGATGATCGCGTGGATGCCTGAGCACGACCATGGCACGAGTCTGCTCGATTACAGCTCGGATCGGAAGGAAGATGTTCCGCCTTTCGCGCAGGCTGGCATCGCCTTCGTTACGAGTACCCGCCTTGCCTCCACCTGGCAGAAGTATGTTGAGGGCGAGGATTTTGCGACTGCGGAGAAGGAATGGGTGGAGAGTATGGAGGATGACGTCGAGAGCAGCTGTGGCGATGAACTATGCACCCTCTGCCTCGATGACGGTTACATTTGCAGTGTCAATCCCTGCCCAATTTGCATCTAGTTGTAACTCATCACTCGTCTTCATAGCTAGCAATGTTCTCAATTTACACAGAGTAGACATTACTGCAGCTTCAGCAAAACCCTAGATGCTCGTGCCGACAACAAGGATAGGGTAAGTAGCTAGGGACTACCTGCCTCGCACTCTCGATCTTCGCAGCAAGCATGCCCTCCACATTCCACTGACCCCTGTGCTCCTCAAGTGGTTCGGCTTCGAGGACACAGGCATCATTGCCTCCCTGAACACCTCACTGAGGTCGGGTACGCGTGGCGCGTCCTCGCGACGTCCTCCGCGCTCGCGCCGCACTCGAGCACGAGCCCCAGGATGCAGTCAGTCCTCCTTCTCCGCGAGGAACTCACCCGCCCGCCCGCGCCCGCGCCCGCGTTCGCGCGCGAGTTCGCCTGGAACGGCAACCTACCGGCGGTGTACTGCACTGCCGCCTTCTTCAACTCCTGCTCTGTCTTCCCTACCCACGCCGCCTCCGGGTGCACGTACACGACACCCGGGATCACGCGGTAGTTCATGTGCCCGTGCCCCGCCTTGATGCACTCTGCCGCCGCGATGCTCTCCTTGGCCTTGTGCGCGAGCATGGGCCCGAAGGTCGCGTCGCCCATGCACCTCACGGCAGAGATGGACGTGATGTACTCGTCGTCGATCACGATGCGGCCGCGGGGGTCCACCTCCACGCCGATCTTGGTTCCGACTTGGGCTGCCCCGAACAGCCTGCGCGCGCAACACTCGCGCGCCCGTCAGGGCGCGTGGCCTGGACGCGCAGATCGTACCGCTTACCGGATGACTTACCGGTCATTCACCCTCAACGATCGCTGCACTACCGAAGCTCGCGTCATATCCGCCTACCCCCGGTCGACTCAGCGCTCATGCGCGGATACACATTCGTCGCAGTATCCGGTCTGGTCACCGACGTCAGCGGTATATCCACGCCGGTCAGTCAACGACGAGACGCACTCGGGTGCCCAGCCATATCTCATAGGGTATGTTTGTCCGTTTCCGATCCGGTTCCGAGCAGAAAAGCTAGCAGTCTTGGTTAGCAGATGCCGAGCACGGGTGTCCCGGCCAACCAGTGCCAAGTACTCGCGCCGCCGACTCGCAGCGTGCCGTGCTACGTACGAACCATAAACCTGTACGATGCCTCCTGGAAGATATGTCAAGTTACGATCTGCCCCGGTCAAGCTGCACGCGCGACCGCAACGCGTCGGGCGCACTTGCTGTCGATCACCATTTCCTTCCTCGACGATCGCTGCGCGGCACGAGCTCACGGCGCGTCTGCCTTCGCCCGGTCGAATCTCCAGCCCATTTGCCCCGGTCAGAGGGCACCAAACGGGATGCTCACGGGCTGGTATTCGCCCGCCGCGATCCCGGTCTGCCCACCGACGTTAGCGGCGCCTCCACATGCACTGGTCAGCGTCGACACTCACTCCCGTTCTCTCCTCGATCTGTTCTCGGCCTTCGTCTCGCACATTGTATGCGTTCCCTACCGAGCAGTCTTGCGTGGCCGCTCATCGTGTCCCTTGCCGACTTCCTGGCTCTCTTCGTGCTCACCCTCAACTCTGCGCGTCTTCTGCGTGTGAGTCGGTGTCTCCGCGCAAGGTTGATGAGCTCCGAATCAGTCCGACATTTGTATTTGGCCCCGGTCGAGCGCAGCGAACATCCTCCCGGTTGGGCGAGGTGACGCATACTGCACATAGGTCAGTGACCAAACCAAGCGCGGCACAGAGGTCGCGTACCGCTGAACCGTCCCCGCACGTCATCATTCCGACACTGGCATGCCGAAAAGCACCCGGTCCGGCACTCGACCGTTTGGAGACTGCACGCGCCCGGCAGGCGCGTTGGCCCGGAAATGCAGACTTCACTGCTCATCTGGCCACTCACCGGTCAGCCACCATGTACGGCACGTCCGCACACCCACGTTCGCGCCATCTGTGCCCTCGCCTAGTCAGCCCGTATGGGACGGTCAGAGCGAGTATCACAGCGCCAAACGGAGAGGCTTACGCGGAGTTTCGCTCGCCGCGGCGCGTCTCTGCCTCGACACCCCCTGCCTCGTCCGCTTCGCTTCGCTTTAGTCACGGCATCGCGCTCGATGTGCCAGTTCCTGCCCGCCGGTACCTGCTCACTGGGCTGCTGCTTGTCGGACGAGTCGTCATAGGCGGCGAGTCTGCACCGGTCGGGACCTTGCCGCTTGCGAGGCATTTGCTGAGTGAGCTCATGAGCATGTCCGCGGATTGTCGACGAAGATGAATGGCTAGCAGCGACCACCGCAGACGACGTCGGCAGGCGATGGAGATGACGAAATGACGGAGATGACCTCGCAGGCGCACCGAGAGTCGGGAGCCAGTGGTTATCGCGGAAGTTGAAGTCCGATGTGAAACTCATTTGGTTTAAGGCGAGGCCGGGGAAGTCGCGACCATGCGAAGCGCAGGAGCAGTGTGGACGCATCGAGTGCGGCGAGCCTGGGGTCCGCCTTGTCAACAGTATCAAGAACGAGCGAGCCGCAGAGAAGAGGAAACTGGCGAACCGAGTTACAATGGATGCTTGCGGGCTGAATTTTGCTGCCGAGCTCTGCAGGGATGCGGCTGGAGTGGCAGGCGAGCGGTACAACCTGTGCAGTTGTTGCTCACTCAGCTTGGGGTCCCTGCGTGAACCTCAGTAGCTGATCGTGGCCGCCCCCGTCCACATCGAACGCAATTGCATGCGCCCAACACGGCGCACTCGGGGAGACAGGGACGGACTACTGGGCGCGCCGGCGCGATCATGTTGGTGGGTCGCCGACTGGGTGAGACACTGCGAGGTCACAGGCGCGCCGAGCGGAGAGTCCTGCATCCGGCGCGTGCTGAACGGGCAGATGCGAGTCGGACGAGGACGGGGGCGCGTAGCTCGAGGTTGACGTGCAGAGTACGGACGTGAACAGATGGCGGACGTGGAGGCGGGTCGAGTGAGGAAGGATATGCGGAACGCCGGCGCAGAGGAGAGGGAGGTTGAGGGCGAGCGACTTCGGTACTCACGGGAGTCGTTCCAGTTCTCCTCCGTCTGCGCCAGTCGTCCCTTCGCGGCCATCCACCCAAGCGTCGGTTCGTCCTCTGGGTGCTTGGCTAAGTGCGCAGGCGCGCTCTGCGCGATGGGTTTGACGTCGCGCGGTCGCTCGACCTCGAACTCGTAGGCAGTGGGGGCGGTACTAGTAAGGTTACCGAGCGCGCGGCGATTCCGCGTGACCAGGGCGTGAGGAGGGCGGCGGGAGCGTGGGTGGTTGGAGTGGTGACTGGACAGAGAGGCCGCCTACTGCGAGCAAAGACGATCGGGGTGCGGACGGAGACTTGGCGAGTGGGCATGACTTGAAATTAGAGGGCGCAGGCGCGTTGAACGCGGCTCCTGCGCCCGGTGCGCATGCTGATGGCCAAGCGAGCGGATGGGTGGCGAGGCGGTGGGCGCGCTGAACGAGAACAGGGCGCGTCAAGTTCGGGGCGCGCGTAACTCGGAGGCCAGGGTGAGGGGGGTGGTGGGTGATGGTCCGTAATACTCACCGGAGTCGTGTAGACTCTCCTCTCCTCTCTGCAGATCTCCCTATTCCTCGCCCTACTCCTCGCTATGTACCGTCCTTGTGCTAGTCGGGGTCCCTTGAAGCACGCGTCGGCGTGTCCCGCGACTCGGCGAACCCGTCCTGGAGTCCATGCATTCGAGCCCATCGACGCTCTTCGCGATGGGGTTGTGTCTGGTTGCCGAGACCGCCGATGGCATAATTGACACCCGGTAGCTTGTGCTCGCCATTGCTGAACTCGAAGGACTCGCCTGAGAGGTTTCGAGGGACTCGCGCGAGAGGTTCTGTGAGCGAACCAAGCTTCCACACCCTGCTCAAGCCACGCCTGCCCGCTGCGGACGCAACTAAGCCGTGGCAGGCCTGAGCGACGCCTTTTTAACAGCGTTTTGGTGTGTCTACGTGGGGCTTGTGTCATGCTCGAGTCCGCGTGCCAACCTCTCGTGTGATCTCTTGCCCAAAAAAGATGACTGAGAGGAGGATTGACCCGAGACTAGGGTGAGTAGTCGACGGGATGCCGTTTGTGCACACTGGATTCGTGCAGCGAACGCGAAGCGGAACAGTCGGCTGTGGAGGGTGGCAGGGACTGACACGGGTGACGGGTGACTATCGAAGCGCAGGGGTGGGGGGCAGCGGCGACGGGTGGCCGCAGACTCGGAGGGGACTCATCGACAGCGGGGACACTCATCCTCTGGCCCGCAGCGCCCTCCAAGCGGCGCTGCGGAACGGTAGCACCGTGGACAACAGCGGATGCGGGGCGGCTTGGGTGACGGGCGACCTGTACGACCGCCGGTGGACTGGACAGCGGGGAATGCGGTGGTGGCGGTGTGGGTCGCGCGCGCGACGGGTCGGAGGCGCTGGATATGGCCGGATATGGTCACGTCCAGATATGGACGTGGCGGGCGGGCACGCTCGTCTCTCGCGTGCAGGGATATATGGTCGGGGAGGGTGGTGCGGCACGCTCATCCCTCGTGGGCGCCGCGCCGCGCCGCGGCGACTCGGTGGACGTGGTTGCACGCGGAAGTGAACGGCGCACTGTATGCTCGCATGCACACTATTGGCGACCACCGTTCACGCCGACGACCCGAGTACTTAGCTAATTATGGCGGAAGACATCAAACGCGACCGCGTACGCCCAACGCGGCGCACTCGTCCATTTCTTTCGTGATCGCCTCTGCTGGCAGGCTCTGCAGACTCGGCGAACCCGTCCTCGAGTCCACGCATTCGCACCTCCCACTCCTCGCACGCGCGCGGTGCAAAAAGCACTCAAGCGCATGGTCAACAACAAACATGCTATCGATGTATTAGAGTCGATGTATTAGAGAGCACAACAAACACGACACTCAACCGAAACCATCGCCTCTAACTTGTCCCAAGTGGATCGGCTTCCAGGACGCAGGCATCGCCGCCTCCTTGAACGCCTCGCTGAGGGTGGGGTGCGCAGTCCGCATTGCTCCAGATGGTGGTGGCGAGGAAGTCTCCCCAGCCCTCACCCATGCCGCCGGATTCACCCCAGCCGAGGCAGCCGGAGGTGGCAGGACCACCCGCCAGACGCGTGCTGAGACCGCGCGAGAGCTCGTGAATCGCAATGCCAGCCTCAAGATCACCGTCACGGTACGGGTTCGCAGTATTCCAGAGGTGCATCCGGCAACGACCGTTCTGACCGTCAGGAGGAGTCATGAAGTTGGCTGCAACAAGGATGAGTTGCACGTTCTCCACTAAGCTACTTATGACTAACCGTTGTTGTACCCGCTGCCGTCTTGAGCATTGGCTATGACGCCATCGTTCTCCTCGCCACCGCGACCGAAGTTGTGCTGCTGGAAGTTACCCGAGACCTCATCGAAGCCGTACCGGTAGTACAGATCATGCACGAGTTGCTGGTGTAGAACAACTGGGTGCCTGTCGCGTTGGCGTACTTCTGCGCCTCATCAAGCACATCCTCCCTCTTCGTCTTCTTCGGGACCTACGTGAAGTTGAATACCAGCAACTCGCCTGCGCGGGATGGGAGCAACCGACACCGGCGATCTGATGCCCAGCCGACGGCGGAAATGAGACGATGCGGCTGGGAGCGCTCGCGGCGGCCTCGTACCAGTTGCCCTGCATCTCGACTCGAACTGCGGCCGGTCGCCAGGAATGGACCGTGCCACGCCACACCGGGTACGGAAACCCAGCTTCCAAACGAGCTCAAGGACATCGAGTCGCCGTGGGCACTTGGATGAACGCAGCCTTCGCCTTGAGGGGTGGCGGCGTCCGGACGCTGCTCACAAGCCCGAGATCGTGCCACGACCACTGACGAAGCGCGGCTCCCAGGTCGACTGCATCTTCTCAAGGTGCGCAGCACAGTTCTCCGAGGTCCTCCGTGAGCGCCTGGTTCGGCAGCGCCTGGTTCGGCGTCGCCGCGATCATGAATGGAGCAGCGCACACGCCGGTCGCCCAGCGCATCCTCCTGGTCCGCAAACGCATGGTGGTTCGCCATGAAAACGGCGCGCTGGCGTGCTCGCAGTTCTACTGAGCCACGGGAGATCCCCGAAGCCTGCTCAATGAGCGCGGCTGGCTTGCTGTTGCCGGGCGTGACCTGCTCGCTCTGCATCAATATCCCAGAGCCTCATCGCCTCCATGAGCTGCTCGAGATGTTCCGCGCGCGACTCAAGCTCCCCGAAGAAGTCGCGCAGGCTCCGAATGCGCATCCGGAAGGCCGCGCACGAGACCAGACACAAAAGGATCTGGCTCAGCCACGGCAAACCTTTAGAGTCAGACGATGTGAGTGGTAGTAGATTGCATCGAGATGACGCCATTACATACCGCGTCACCGTAGGAGATTACGACACCGCCTCACGTCCACGTTGATGTCCCCGTCGGAGACCTCAAGCCGTGCAACAACTGGCGCACGTAGACGTGGCTCACGCCAGTGTTCTTGTCCGTATAGGAGTCCTTCCGAATGACAACGAGCTGGCAGGCGGCGTCTCCCGCGTGAGCTCTTCTGCGAAGTGCTGCCAACCTCAATGGGTCGCTGGCGCGTCTGCAAACCCACTGGACGCGTAGACGGGGTCCGCGTGGTAAACCGCATGCGGGTGCGCAGGGCCGAAGCTGAGGGTCTTCCGACGGCGACCTGATTGCCGTGCTGTTGCCACCGGGGTGGGCGAATGCGCCCGCGAGATCGATCGCAGCAACCGAAGCGACGAGTAAACGACGCATTGTAAAGAATGAAGTTTTGTTAGAGGAGCGAGCGGTCGTGGCTGTGAACCCCCCACTAGAGAGCTGGAGGAGTGGCGGTGGTTGGGGAGAACCGGCTGAGCTGCGTACACGCCGTCCTTACGCTGATCGAAGGTTGTCTATCTGAATCGGGTGCCGCTCTGGACTTGTAAGCAGCCTGGCGCGGCTCATCTGGCGCGGGCCCCGCGGAGCATACGAGCTCGGCGCAGCCGCCGCGGCGTCCGATACGGCTTCTGGCTCGGCGGTGATAATGATCGTCGGGGCTGGCGGCATTGGGGTTGTAGAGTTGCTTGGACTGCCGGCAGATGGCCTGCTGGTGTCGGGATGAAGGACGGGAGAGGAGGTAGCGGTAATCTTGAGGCGGCGCGAAAAGCCATCAGCTCCGGCCGGCACGCGGATGGCGAGGTCTACTTGACAGCATTGTTGGGGGTAGTAGTGGAGGAGCGTGCATCCGACGAGGAGCGGGCGCATGCGGTGGTCAGGGAGTGGAAGAAGAGCCTGAGGGAGCGGGCGTTCGGCCAGCTCATTTTGCTACACTGCGAGCGCAATCCGGCGGGTCAGTCCCATGCGAAACCGGCTACGGAGCTACATACGCGGCATGCCTGCGCTGGAACGCGACAAATTTGTCTGCAGGATCTGTGTGTTGCACCAGCCTGCGGGGCGCGGCCGTGGGGAATGGCTGCGGCGACTCGGACCCGGTGGTGAGGGCGATGGCGAGGGCCTCCGGTGACGAAGACAGCGGAGGAGAGAGGATGAGGCGCCCGGCCCGTCTGTAGCTTGCGGGCGTTCGTCAGGAGCACGTACGTCGGGCGGTAGGCTCGCGTACCCAATGCGCGATGTTCGGCGCGAAGAGAGGGCGGCATGACTGGGTGGGCACGTCCGGTGAAGGCGTACCGCCGATTTGGAGCAAGCTTCCTGCTCGCTTTCCCTGCTCCCCGCGCCCGTGCTCCTACTATGCTTCCCTCCTCACATCATCCCCGCTCTGCGCTCGTCGTGTTCTGGACAGTCTTGTCGCTCGAGGCTGGACTTGCGCGAGAGACCTGGTTCGCGTGGCTAGGTTGCTTGTCACGCAGAACCACGGGACGTCGAGAGGAGGTTCTCAGATTCGAGAGGAGGGCACCTGGGTCAGGAGCGCGAGCGGAGACCGGGAGAGGTAGAGGGTGATTCCTGACAAGCTGAATGCAGCAAGAGCAGCGCGCTGGCGCTAACGCATGGACCGCTCACACGCACCGTTCACGCGGACTCGCCGCGCGCGCCATGCTCGACCTCATCAGTGCACCTAGCAGACTCTGGCTCAGCGACGGCGCCATATTCATGACCCTCTCTGTCGACCGTGTCCGCTCTCGACCAGCCCGGACAGTTGGACTTGGCCGAGATTTCTCGTATGCCACCGCTTTCGGTATCTACCTCACTGCCCACCACACCCTCGTCCCTATTACCTGCATGAAGGCAAAGCTCCTACAACAAATTCGGGTAACGTTGGAAACGGGCTCACGCAAGGCTCACGCAGGCGACGAACCACAATGACCGCGTCCTTCACTCGATTGTCTACCTCCACGTCGCCATCATCTCGCAGCCCCTCTCACCGCACGTTCGCAATGATTCTCCGCCGCGCTGCGTCATCCAGCTCGGTCAGGATCGTCGCTGAGTACGCCAGTTGGGTTTCGCTGGTATCACGGAATCTCACTTGGGTGGGTATTGCCTGGACTGGTGCGCCTTCGATTATCTCATTGTGGCCCTCTGCATTCTCTAACCTGCGCGCCGCAGGGCATCATCTCGTTCGTCCCTCTCGACTGGATCAGTTCGCGATGAAGGCCACCATCATCCAGAGGCTTCCTGGCTGCTGCAACGCCGCAATGGTGCAGGCTTCCGCCGCCCAGTTCCTGCGGCTGGTCCCGCGCGGGCAGAGCCGGGCTGCGCCCCGCTCGCGAGGTTACCGGGGGCCGCAACGCGCGCACTGAGGCGCCTCCTGAAGGCCGCGGCCAGGCAGCAACGGCGCGCACCCGGCTCAACCTCCGCGGTGCGCTTGCGGTTCTGGAGGTACTGGCTGATGCTCAGCCGCAGCTCTTCTGGCGGCGATCCTGCATCGATGTTCGCGTTGGGGTAGGCCCGGGTGGTCGCATCTGCAGGGTCGTCAAAGGAGGACTCGGTTGCAGTCTTTGGTCTCCTCCCCGCGGCGGCCAGCAGAGCGAGTTCGAGCTCGCGCCTCTAGTTCGCGCCGGCTGCAGCCTGGCCGCGCCCGCCCGAGCGCCATCGACCGGCCTGCGCCTGCCCGCTTGCCATTGCCCGGAGCACCCAGGTTGGTGGCCGCCGCCGCCTGCGCGCTGCGCGTTGCATGCGCCGCCTTGGCTGGGCATTGGCTGCGGCGCGCAGGCGCCCAACTTCAGGTCCCGGGAGGCTGGGCGGACCGCCTTTTCCGCTGGCCCCAACGCGCTCTCCAACCGCACCGCGCCGCGCCCGCTCACCTGCAGAAGACTCCTGCAACTCGTGAATTCAGCCTGCCCGCTACCGGCGACTTCGCCGGCGCCGAGATCTCCCTTGGACGCCGGCTTCTGCTGTCCCCGCGGCAGCTTGGCCAACTTCCTGGTGCCCTAATCACCGGGTCTCCCCATTGCCGCGCCCAAGGCACTCGCCCCCGGCGCCCAGCAGCTTATCGAAAAACCGCGCCGCGCCCCGCAGGCGCCTCGCGCTCGCGCCGGGACCGAGTTGCCCGATTTCGAGCCTTCTGGCGAGCGCGCAACTCTGCGCACCCCGCGTTTGCACCGCTACCGCCCGCCTCTTCATGCACTTCGCCACCTTGAGTGCTGCGCCCAAGTTCGACTTCGTGCCCCCTCCATGACACCTCTAGGCAGCTCCGCACTGGCGGCGGCGGCACCGGCAACGAGGACCGGTGGAACGACGGTGGACGCGAACTGCAGAGCGAGAATTAGCACGATAGTTCAGAGCCAACATTGATTTCATAGATGTTCTGTTCCAAGCCATATCGGTACGGTGCAGCCCGAAAACTGCCAGGGGTGAATCTGTACGACTACGAGTGCATACTGCGAGCGAGCGGCGAGGAGATAGAACATACGACGAGTATTATGTGAGTGAATGAAGTGCAAATGGTAAGCAAGGTAGATAATGCGAAGACGCGCGGAAAAGGCGGGAGACTCAGGCGTCGCTACGATCGTAAAGCAGGCCCGAGCCGCCTCCACCTGCGAACTGAATGAGAACATTAAAGGATACCACCGTGGGACTGGCGATCGCAGAAAGCAATTCCTCAAGAAGCCAGCTGTCGATTGCATTGAGGAGGGATGTCGCTTGTCCACCGAATTCGGATCGTATACCTCGTGGACGAGCTGTGCGAGGTAGGCAGTCGGAACGACACCCTCCTTGAAGCATGTCTGCCAGCTGACGATGCCTTCCTTTTCGCAGAATGCGCGGCTCGCGACAGGGCAGGCATACGCCTCGTCACTATTGCCGACGAAAGTGATCTGGAAACCGACTCAGGATCCATATGCATACTAACGATGCAGACCTGCTGCGAGTACGAACCTTGATTTCTCGCTACCCACAATCGAGTCGGAGCCAGTGGCAGCGATGGCGAGCATGCGAGGGCGGAAGCTCGGAGAGTCGATCTCTTCAAGTGAAACGAGGTCAGAGGTGAACGTCCCGGCAGCTCGCTTCCTCTCGAACGACGCAGCGCAGGGAATGCCTGTGCGCTGGAGGAAGCCCCTGACCACATCCCCTAGACTGGCACGCCCATCGTCGAAGGCTATCGTCTTCAGGGAAGAGGGACTGTGTGCTTGACGATAATATCGAGGTAAGGCTTGAGGCTTTCGTAGCTGCCAATTCGCGTCGAACAGGCCGCCATCACGAGTGCAGCTGGTCCACCGGCGAATGCTTGAGCAGCCTGAAGAAGACTGTAAGAAAGGTAGTCCTCGGCTGATAGTGCTGCATTAACGAACCTTCGACAACGTGAACCCGTTGTGACACGGCAACTCGAAGCCTGCGCGGAAAGCACGAGTATCGGTATGCTCTGCAACAGTGTCGTCGCCTAGCAGAGCCTTGTACAGGAGCATTGGGGCAAAAGCAGCATGGGTTTCTTCGTCACGAATCGTGTATAATGCAGTCTGCAAAATCTCGTCTCGTCATCTACAAAGCAGATCATGTGCGGCGACTTACATGCTTCCCAAGGTAAATGACAAAGTCTTCTTCAAATGGTGTGAGATCGCCAGTCGTCCCAATGCTGTCGAGCTGGATGATCTCCGCTGCGAGACGAGGATGGAAGGCCTGTGTGACCTCGCGCGTGATCGCCTCAAAGTTGCAGCCATTGAGAAGATAGATCAACCATTCTCCTGCGATCTTCGGATTGCCATACCATTCACCAAGCAGAGGCCGACGATGGCACCGAGGGCCCCAAGCTCTTCCTTCTGTGCAGGACTCAAGGCTCGCGGAGGGCAAGCAAGGACGTTGGAGTTCTCGCCAAGCCTCGTCATGAAGTACGATGGTAAGCAGCGAGAGAATTCTGCGAGCAGTACCATCATTGTCTGCCGTTCAAGCCCATCGCCGAACGACGCAACAAGAGGCAGGTCGCCAACTTCGTGGTGCTGTATGCTGAGAACGACGAGCATTACCACGAGGAGGAACACATGGGGCACTAGAGACTTACGCGCGGAACGATCGATTCATGGCAAGGATGTGGGTGAAGTCGCCGTTGACTGCAGCCTGGCCAAGCATGTCCTTGAAGATGACTGCCATATGCGGCACGTCAGAACCGTCGATTCGGAGGCGACAAGAAGGCCTCTGGCCATCAGATGCAGCCTCAAAAACTGCATTCCTGAGCTCTGCTAGAGCCTCGCATCGTACAGCAGGGTGGTAGGACCCAGACGCCGGACGATATGGAGTCGACCATCCCAGTCGAGGAGGGATCAAGTCCAGCACGAAACATGGTATAGTCTGTGTTCGCTGCAGAGCAGGGATCGATGATAGCTGCATAGGTGTTAAGCAGCGATGACTGAATAACAGGCACGACACTTACTTGTGCCTGCCCAGCTCTGCGCAGCCGCGCCGATACTCGTTGTCGGGGGTGGCTCGGAGCATTGGACACTGCCGCAGGAGCAGTTGGACCAGCAGGTCCATCGTCGAGGCTGAGCGACTCCAACCCAGGACTAGTAGGGCCAACTAGGCCAAGGGCTTCTTCAACCTCGTCATCGGTGTCGCTACTACTAGTAAGCTCCGAGTCTCTGGCTAGGCACGTCGAATCACAGAGCACATTGCTATCGCGAGCATGCCCCGATCCAGGCGTCCCATCGCGTGGCAGCCCATTATAGAATCCGTCCGAAATGCAGGTATGCGGAAGAGGCGGGCTATCGGGGAGGGCAGAGGGAAGGCGAAGCGAGACTGGGGCATTGGCAACGACTAATGAAGTTGGAGTAAACATGTGCCTGCAGCGAATGAGTAAGGAATGGACACATACCGAAGTAGACATGAAGTGCACCATCCCGGATACAGAGACGAGGCTTACAGAAGTACAAGACAAACATAGACGACGCGAGGGTGGCGATGGTCATGTCTGGTGCAACAGGGTAGCGATGGAGCCATGCCTGTCCATCTTGGGTGGGAGTACCCTTGTTATGCAGCGACAGAAGCTGAAGCTCGAGCTGTTCGTGGCGATGCTGCGAGAAATTGAGTACCTGGGCGAAATCGTAGCCGAGAGGTGACGCCCTGAGATCGGCGATAATATCCTCAACAAAAGTGACGATGGATGTTTCGAAAGGGCGCTCATACGTGCGCGCAAGGCCGAAGGAGTTGAGGTAGTCTCGCATGGTGGAGTAGCGAAACTGGAAAAGGGGGAACTTGTAGCCCATCGATTCGGCATCTGGAGCGAGCTACAGCAAGTGATTCAGCAAAGTAAGCCACGATTGATCAACTGAAAGGCTTACAGAAGGAGGGTATACATGAGCGACGAGCCGCAATTGACCAGCTTCAGTCAGGCATGGGCCTATCTCCTTGTGTATGCCCCGGGGGACGACCGGAGCCTGGCTGCGTCGCGATCGGGTCGCTCGGGGAGCCGAGCTCGCCCCACGAGGCTGCCGACTTGGACCAGCTGCATTACGAGCAGCTGATGTTCGCCTCTCGATGTTGACTCGCTGCGAGGTGCCTGGTGCTTGTGTCGCATTGAACCCGACGAATGGCTGGGTCGGCGAGGGGGCAGCAAGTGGCATCGCAGCCTGCATAACACCTGGGAAGCCGAGCGAAGGTGCTGGCTGAGACCCATAAGTAGGAAACAGGGGGGCAGGGGCAGCCGAAAATGCGAGTTGCGGAGGTTCAGGTGGGGCCAGCGACGACGACGACAGGTGGCTCCGATGGCTGTGATATGGCGTGATCGGAGGTGCAGCACTCGCAGCAGCAGGCGATGCATCAGGCTGTCCAGTGTTGGGAGCTGACGACGACATGGTGGGACCCTGAGGGCCTGGCGACGATGCTGTCGGAGTCGAGTCGAGAGCCCGGCGAAGCTGTGCAAGCTGGGCAGGCGTGAAACCAGCTAGTAGGCCTGGGTCGAGCGAGGATTGCGAAAGGGGGCGATTATCCATGGCAGGCTAAGAGGTATCGTCAACAGGAAGGACTATTGGGAGAGCATGGATACTCACTGTGAATCTGAAGTGTCGTAAATGAACTATAGCTGCAGGGCAGCGACGAAGAACCAGACTCGGAGCTTGAAGTATACAGTGAACTCTAGTAAAGCGATGGGTCAGCTCGGATGGTAGCAAAGAACGAGAAAAACCCACAAGTCGATGAAGAGGCCAGACGACCTTTAAGGATATGAGCAAAGCATCCAGAACGATTGGCAAGGCACTCACCGATATTATGGAGAGAATAGTATGCAACAGTGAATATTGCGAGCAATGAATCTTGAGAGAGTCCGAGGTCAGGGGCATGTATGGAAACGATACACAAGTTCGAGGCACTCACGAGGTTTGGCAAGTATTAACAGTGGGCGACTGGAGGCACTTCGGTGTCAGGAACTCGACAGCTAATCCATCGTGAGAGGGCAGAGCTCACCGATAGGGTTGTTTGAGAGGCGACAAGCTGTCAACTCGGACGAGCTCAGAGGGGAGTAAGATGGAGAGAAACTCGACGACTGAGGGGACACTAGGCCAGGTGTGACGATCCGAGTGTTGCAGGGGAAGGCGGGCAGCCTAAGTCGACTCGTTGGCTGGCGACGACAGCGACCTCTAGTAATAGGGGCAGCAGGTAAGCCCACGAGGCATCACGAACAAATAAGCACACACCTCGTACCGACCTCGCCTACAGTGGTCTTCGGCTTCGATCACTGGAATCGATGCAAGGATTCTAAGGAGAACAGAAACTTCAGCATCGTGCAGTCCCTGAAACACGCAAAGACTGAGATTACCGAGGAGAAAGATTTGCGACTCCTGGCAAAGGTCGGAAATACAATCAGCCACGACTCGGGGTAGGTCGACCGAAGCTCCAACCAAAGAAGCGACCCACCTCGCATAGTCCAGGGAATCCGTACAGACCGAGATTCACGAGTAGGGATTCACTATTGGCGAACACTGGAAATGTGGTCGCACATACGAATAGGCTGACCAAAGCTCCATGTTTGAAGTACCAATGTATATCTCTACAGGACGAGTTTACATATTCACTGTAGGGAGTCGAATATCAGATTATGACCGAGCAGTGCAGAATTATACTCTACCTCAGCTAGGGCAATGTGTACGACAGTCGGCACATCTAAGTACGAAGTGTACGAAGTTAAGCGCCGACTACAGACGAAAAGTACGATTTCCTGTACGACTTATCAGTAAGTAATTTTCCGTGATAACGACCGTCATATCTACGCCACAAGTGGCGCAGTTTGCCGTTCTACTTTTGGGAATTTGATGCCGTCTGTCTCACGGTTGAGTACGTACTGTACCGTCTGTACTTCAACGTTTCAAACCTTCTTCCCACCGAGCATATACGACCTACGCCTCACATTCATTGAGCGTGTTGTAGCCCAGTCTTTCGTTACAGCCTGTTGCTTCACCGAAGTTCAAGTTGACGCATGCCTCGGTCTAACAGTATACACGATAACGCAGCGGCGGGATCCGATGACGACTCGGAGTCGGAAATCATGGACGAAATCGTGCGGGCTATGAGCAGTGAGCTCAGAAGGGCGCGAGGGCAGCTAGATCGAGTGCACGTCGAGAAGGACGACCTACAGCGAGAGCTAGATGACGTCCGCCTTCAACTGCGCGCCGCCAAAGAAGGGCAGGAACATAAGGGAAAGCGGGGTATCAGTAATTCTGTGAGCTCGAGGCTACCCGTTCGATCTCATTAACTGATGCTCCTACGCTTTTTAGCAGCATGACCAAGCACGACGGGAGGTTGATCGACTGAAGCGAGAAAAAGATGAGGAAAACGCTGAACACGTAACCCCTCGAGCTCTAATGAATTGTGGCGTATCGTAACACGCTCATGTTTGTGCAGGCCAAAGCAATGGAAGAAGTCGTGTCAAAGCTCGCGAAGCAGAAAGAAAAGTACCAGGATGCGAAGGCTGCACTCAGGGAGTCCCAGAGCGTGAGCTCGCCTCGCCTTCCTCCCAGTATGAACCTGATCGCTTCCTTAGGTCCTAGCTAAACTTCAAGATGCAGCGGCGAGTGCGGTTGCAGAGCTTTCCGGGACCCACGTCGAACTGCCCCGAAAACGCAAACGTGAGGAAGACCCTGAGGAAGGTGCAGGTATCGCCGAGTCCCGTTCCAACCAGCAACCTGTGGCGCCTGAGACGGCGGGTAGTAACTTCAATGTCACAACATCTCGGAAGGGCCAAACGACTCCACATAGTGGAAGTAGTGTGAGTGACGCTATGCTCGACGGTACCATTTGATCTCACGAGTTCCAAAGAAGACTTCAAGCGCACGAAAGTCGAACCTCCGAGGGTTCTTGGGAATTGTTGACGGCGAGCAATTTGTTACCCCTTCCATGAATCATTGCGCGAGCCACCATGGGCAAAACTGGGACAAATTAATGGCCGTACGTCGAATTGCGAGTGAAGTGGCTAGATAGCTAATCATGTGCATGCTTGTTCTTGCAAGGCGATAGCTAGGTGGGACGCTTGAAACTATGAGCACCGTAATGGTGTGCTGACGTCATGCCAGAATCAAGTGTAAAACAATGTATTGCGCACAGGGCAGCATCATCTGGTCTTCTGGCTCAGCTATGCGATGCTTGCACTTTCGGCCAGCCCATCGGTACACCTTCGAAACCCGAGCTCATGATCCATGCCTCCACGACTCATCGACCCTATACCCGGGTGAAGTACGGGAGCTCTTCTGGTCGGACAACAAGAACAACGTCTACTGCGGGACTTTCAGGTGTGCCAGTGTCGCGGAGGTGCCAGTGCAGGAGTTACTTGAGCTTCGTATGACCGAAAGGGTAAGAAACGCGAGACTTTGCAACGTCTCTCGTTGTTGCTGACGGCATTGCCAGCACTCGTTGCTCAAACGCTTGGTCAAAAGATTACAGACACGCGGGGTCTTTGTTCCAGCTCATAACGGCTCCACTAAGGCGGACTTCCTCCGAGATCTGTATCTCGATGGAACCCTGCTCGTACGGTGTCACAGTTTGGAATACGTCGGCCGAAACGAGCAAGTCAGCGAAGTATTTGCACAGTTTGGAAGCAAAAACTCGGCGTCCGTCAACACGACAGTCACCAAGAGTCAAAAAAAGAAGAGGCAGAGGCAGACGTAGAAGTAGAAGCGATTACGGGGGCGATCGTAACGGTAATCTTGATGCACGTTCTCCATGTTTTGAAAGCTCTGACTTCGTTCCACTTCGCAGCTGTGGTGCGTTAGCACTATCATGCAAGGTGTTGTGAGCTACAACGTTGGCGTAACTCTGGTTCATCTCTATGTGTTTTGATGCTGTCGATTTCGTGATATCCATATATTACTGCTCACAATTCACTGTACGACGAGTCTTGAATTTCATGATACAGCGTTGCACGGACTTCTCAACGAAAGTCACACATTCGCTCCTCCTCCTCTCTTGATCTGCTCATCATGCATCAGAGGCGAATCTAGAATGGTCAGCACTTGCCAGTGTTCGCTGCACGCTATAGTACTATAGCGATCACGGGGTTTATGCTGCTGACTTTTGTGAATATAAAGCCGCTTGGGTCGAATACGTTCTGTACATAGTAGGTCTGTATCAGTATGTTCGCGGAAGACAAGCGAGGCAGGCATTACTACATTTAGGAATTTGATGCCGCCCTAGTAGTACGTCTGGAAGATGCACGCCCGATCCTATATGTTTCGGCCCTTCAAAATTCCTTGACATTGTCGCCTCGACGTTCAATTTTCTCTGACTTCTCCCTTGCAACCCATGACAAGTTGAAGTCGCTGTATGTCGCGGGCCAACAGTACTCACGACAATGCTGCTGCAGGAGCCGAGGAGCCGGGAATCATGACAGAGGTAATTCGGGCTATGAGCAGTGAGCTCAGAAGGGCTCGTACGGAGCAGGATCGACTACATGCCGAGAACGAGCGACTGCAGCAAGAGCTCGACGGCGCGTGTCTAACGCTGCGAGCGCTCAGGGAAGGTGAAGACGAGAAGTCACCGACGGTGGATCATACTCGCTATTCGAAGGTGAGAATGTGTTTCGCCCGGCCTAGGACCTGTTGTCTCACTCATTCGTGGTGTCAAGCTATACGAAGAGGCACGCCAAGAGATTGACAGGCTCACTCAAGAGAGAGATGGGGAAAGATCCCATCATGTAAGAAGCGTAGTATGCACTGGCTCTCGTTGATCGTGACGTCTTTCCCCAGGAAGTAGCTATGGAGGAAATACAAGGGAAGCATCTTAAGCTTAAAGACAAGTACAAGGCAGCGAAAGCTTCACTAGCAGAGCACAAGACGGTGATTTGTCTCAACTTCTGCATTCACTACATGATCATGACCGTGACGTACCTCAGGAATTGAGCCGAATTCGGAATGCAACTGCGAATGCATTTGCAGAGTTGTCGGAAGTCAGAGCGCCATCGTCTCGAAAACGAAAAGAAAGGACAGAGGACGACCACACCCCGATCATTACGCAGGAGGCGAAGGCAAAACGTAGGCAAACCTTAGAGTCTCAACCCGATCTGCCGGCTTCTGAGGCTGGTCCCGCGGTGCATACTCAGGCACTCACTATCCAAGATACACACGCAAACGTAAGAGCCGTATCATTCATGATTTCATACGGCCCATGATACGATCTATCTATAGCTCAGTAAAGATACACTGGACGTCCGAAGCTTCCTCGATGTGAATCAGGGTGAGATATTGAAAGAGCCATCCTTACGACATTGCCAATGGCTCTCTGGGCACGAGAAGTGGACAGACTTCAAGGCCGTACGTTCCAACCTTTATTGTCAATCCGCACCATCATTGACGCGAGCATCTACAGAAGCTGGCTTCAGCACGGTGAGCGTCAATCTCACTACTGTTCGCCCGCGCCCATTGAACAATGATTTGCCCTAGCCTCGACCTCCAGACGATCTATTGTCCGCCCGAGAGCATCATCTGGTCTCCGCGGTCAACCATGCGTTGTTTATTTATCCACCCCTTACATTGCTACGTCTCAGAGACCAGAAGCTACCGGCCGTTTGACTACAAAGCATTCTTGGGATCAGGTCAAACTCGAGACGTATGTTTGCTTCAAAAGCTTGAAGATGGAGATGCCACCGGCTGCTACTGTGGCACCTTTAGATGCGTAGGCGCGTCGAATCTGTCTTTTCATGATGTATGCCAGCTTGGACTATCCGGCCAGGTAACTACGAGTGTGATCTCGGAACTATACCTAGCTGACATCATATCCAGAACGTTTTGCTCTCTTATTTGGTTCGCACAGTTATCGTGTTGGGAACCTTCGTCCCGCCCGAAAGCGGTGCATCCAAATCACAAGTCCTCAGACAACTGCTCCGTGATGGAAGCCTGCTTCTACGCTGCCACAAGCTGGAATTCATAGGACGGAACGATGAGCTCAGCAGATTGTTCATCGAATGTGGAGGTAGCAAATCGGGGCAGATGTAAATCATTGCTGCTGAAGAGGGAGAGAATAGGAAGAGGCGAAGGCAGGACTCGGCGTGAACTTTGAGCAAGGCGAGCAGCAGCATATGCACATTCCGTGATACTTTCTGATGGGATTTACTCCGCAGCGTCGGTCGCTGGCAACATGAACTTCGTGGCTTCCCATGTCGCCTGTTATCCTGTCACGCCGCCCTCCGCACCTCAGTTCCATTATACTCTTCACAGGATTGTCCCGTTTTTTTTTTGCTCAGATGCAGTGTCTAATTATGAATACGACTGCTATCGTTAAGAGGCCCCGGTTCTGCGTCATACCATCATGTCGAGTTCTGTCTGTTGCGAAAGTTTGCTTCCGATATCATGTGCATCGCCGGTCCCGGTCGGTCAATAGCTTGTGGCCATTTCGCTACAGTGATTTGGAGTACATGTTCAATACTAGCTCAGTTGGGTACCCATGAAGTTCGGCAATAACGATCGGAACTGAGGCCACTGGCAAGTCACGGCGACGACATGGTACTGGCATGATGGACCACGACAGTGAATTGCTCTAATATTCTGTATTTTCGCGGCAACATCATGATACTAGTACGTACTAGCAGGCTCCTATCTTCTGGAATGCATCGTGACTACTGGTGTACTGTATTTACACTCGATGCAACAACGGGAAAGCAATGCATGCATTACATATGTGTCTGAAGCGACTCAGACCAGCACACATCGCGACGTACTACGTACTGGACAGGATCGGGAGCTGTAGCAGAAGCCCAGCTTGTGGCGGAGTCTCAGTACTGTCTCAGTCCGAGTCTCCACCGACTCGTCCGTGCCATCCACCTGTCTGCTACCACCACGACCTCTAGGGTAAGTCGCAACTCAGGCTGTCGCTTCAGATACCATTGCGATCATTATATATTGTCTGAATCCCTTCAAATAGTGCTCGACCGCATTTTGTAGATTTGAGCTGGCTGCTGCTATGTCTCGTAGACTCGGAGGTCCTAGCCGCCACTGCGACGTGAACTCGTTGCTCACAAACACACAAGCTCTAGTGGACGAACTAGCAACTCTGAGAGCAAGGTATGATAAATACATCGTCTGTAGGACTGTCTCAGAACGCGAGACCGTTTGCTGTTGAATCTAGGAATACCTTTCTCGAGACTAGACATGACATCATACAAGCACTGGGTGCCACATTGCAAGAAAGGAACACTGAACTTGAAGAGGAGGTCGCGAGACTTCAGCAAGAACTGGATGCCACACGGCGGACTCTTCAAGCCTCGACTGCGGTTAAGAAACGGGAAGAGAAGAGTGCTTGGGTAACCGGTTCATCCGTAAGTCATTGTGGCTATCGGTCGCTCAGGTTGAAATCAATACTGAAGGACTTGACGAATAAGACTTACAAAGAAATCGAAGAGGAATTGAAGGATGCGACGTATCGAGAGACAGATGACAGTTCTGTGAGCCTTGTCGTCGTACTCACATGTTACTGGATGATGCTGATCAGCTCCGATGTGGTATTAGCCGTTTGACAACTTGGATGACTTCGATATGAAACTGTTTCTCAACAGTGGATTACTGCGTGATCGCCTAGCCGCAAACGAGACATCATGGCCACCCAGCAGCTTTGATTCGTACAATGTCAGTCCTTGTCTTTGTCAAGACAGTCACGTACATATTGACCTAGCCATTTGTGACTGATAGATCCTGATGAAACTTTCGTACGGAATCTGGCTTGCGCGCAACATCGTATCTGCTGATTTCTGTAACAGCAATGATCCAGCTTGGATCAGTGCTTCGTATTTCGACCAACAACCCAGCATCTGCTGCCCTTCGGTTGACAAATGCTTACATTTGGAGTACGTTGACAGCGACGGCATCAATGATCAGCCTTCTATTGTGTGTGGCAATATCAGCGACGTATACCTTGTCAAAGATGATGGCACATGGGTTTATTGTGGTGTCCACCAGTGTGTAGGTGTATCATACCTGCGCTACAGGGATCTCTGGTTCCTCCAGCAGCAATGGGTGAGCGTCATCTCAGGAGTCTTCAAGTTGATCATACCTCATTGGCATGTGTTGCACAGCCCCATTTCGTTGCGAACATAATGCCGGACATTACCAGTGCATTGCCCGACCGTGACTCTCAAAACCCCGAGCACTTAGAGGAAATCGTATTGACTGACAGCGAACGGTGTGTTGTTGCCTGCTGCGGGCTGGTCAAAATCGGATATAATGTCAACGTTGAGCGTGCTTTGCGTGCACGTAGCCAAGAATCTGGTGCTAATGCACTCAAGCGCGAGACGGCTGCGAAGAAAAGCAGAAGCCGCAAGAAGCAAAAACGATCCTCCACGCACCACAGTATGTGCCCGGTATCGGTGGCTTGCCAGTGGTCACTTAGCTTACGCATGGTCTACAGAGGGGCGAACTTGATGCACCAGAGCGCACGCAACGGCCCATACAAAATGCTGTCTTTTCTGCTTCATTTACTTCGTACACCCACTCTCGCCTTCATCACCGCAATGCTATCTTCATGCTTTGTTCACTGTCTGTTTCGTGCACTTACTCTATGACTTTTGCTATCGAGCTGTTGAATCACGTCGTACCACACTGTATACTTATCGCCGCGTACCTGTGATGTACCTACTGCACCAAAACTACATCGCTATCGCCCCTACATGCCCATTGATACTGGCGTACACAACGAACGCGAGTGACTGGGCTCGTTCATCCCGGACCTGACGAGCACCTCTCTACGAGCTGTGTAGTGTGCCATCAGATGCCGCGCTTGCACTCCTATTCGGCCATGGCATCCTCGCACGCCACGAGCCTGGGAGGTTACTCAGAGACCTCCGCACGAAGGACGACCAAGCGTGCCTGGATGTATCGACAACCATATAGACAATCACGCGCCGTAACACGACTCACTGGATTACATGTATACATGGCTTGCCCATCGCGGACAGAGTTAAGCCTCCAACTGAGAAGCCCCGCAGCTCACGCCGGTGTCACCGATCTTCTCAACCCACTCCTCCGCCGCAGCCCGCGCTTGTACCACCGCTCATGCCCGTTCAACACGCTCCCTCCTCGTCCGCTCCGCGCCGACCGCGCGCTGCATGCAGAACGTCCCGTTCAACTGCGCCTGCGTCAGGAAGATCTCGCCGCGCGGCGCTGAGGTCGTTCAGCGCGTTGAGTTCGAGCGACGCGGTCCGTGACGACGCATGAGACGGTCAGCGCGAGAGACGGTTTAGTCACGAACACGAAGGAAGGGGAGGTCTTGACGGGGGAGGCGAAGTACTGGTTCAAGCTGATGTACTATAGGAGGTCAGAATCCGAGAGGAACGGAGAGAACGGGAGGCGGAGGACTGACCCGTCGAAAGTAAGCTTGGAAACCTTTCGCACCGTAACCCTGCAAGACCAGTCACACCCTCAGCGAGCCAAGGCGGGGCCCGAGGTGCCAATTGCGATGGTAAATGACCTGCCTGCTCGACATTAATGATGGTTGAACTCGTTTGAGAGGTGCTTATGCAATACCTGCCTCGCTGTGCTTGGTGCATAGAACTCGAGTCCGACGTCAAGCACGTCCATTCTTCAGACCCAGCACCGAAGTTCACGAAGCCCCACTATCGCTGCGCATAAGCGGTGTACAGCGCGACAAGCAGCATATATACGCCGAACTTGTGGAGATCGGTCCCTACGGACGTCACATACATATCTGTTGCTAGCCTTCAAGCGCGACGCGTCGCGGTACTCGAGACGTGTAAACGACCGAACATCCCAGCAACGAGTTACACACAGATTTCGCTGATCTCGTCCAGACAATACGTCGCGGCTGACAAGATCATCCTGACCGTGCCAACTACACCAGAGCCTCAGAACAGCCAAAACGCGTAAGCAAGGCCGACTCACTCAAGAAATACGGACGCTTCCCCCGCGCGACGTCCTCCAGCACCACGCGGAGTGTCTCACCCTGCAGCACGTATTCATCCTCGGGCTTGGTATTAAGATCTTAAGACGTCATCATCATGTCCTCGACTTTCGTGTCCCAGATTCGGCGCGAGTATATTGGGACAATGGGAGTGCAGCGACGTGTGTGGAACAAGATGAGGAGGAGGACAGAACGGCGGTTATGTGTGCCGCCCGCCCTGGACGGGTGCAGATCGCGATCGGTAGATCACGACGGACTCGGAAGATGCCGCCAACCGTCGGTCAACGGTGCAGTGGTCAGTCTGACACTGACACTGACAGCGCATCCTGGTCTTGCAATTGTCGTCGAACCCAAATCTAGGCTACTCTCCCAACGTTGGGGGTACGTTCCGTTCGTATCTATCTCTAGCAGAGTCGTGAGGCCAGGCAATGTCCGACAAGCAGAATGTCTCCGACACCGATGCCCTGTCGAATGAGATCGTCCGGGCTTTGGGGAATGAGCTGAAACGACTAAGGGCTACTCATCGCGAGTCAGAAGCTAGGATTCGTGGGTTGGAAGCGCAATACGGCGACCTGGAGGCTAAGTATGGTGGCCTCGTGGCTCGTAACAGCGATCTGAAGGCCAGCCATAACGCTGTCTCGGCGAGGAACACTGTTCTGGAGGGCAGAAACGCCGAGCTAGAAGGAGAGAACGCGCGGCTCCAGCAAGAACTCGGAGACACGCGCAGAGCATTGGTAGCTACGAAGGTAAAGGAAGAGGACTCGGAACCGTGCATTCTGGCAGCAGGATCGGTCAGAGCATTGCACCCTGTCCCTCGTCTTGCTCAATACTGATGCGGCTGCATAAACTAGCCTTACGAGCAGGTGAAGAGGGCCCTAGACGAGTCGATGCGACAGAGGAAGGAGGAAAGCCAAGAGCATGTGAGTAATATATGTGTGCGGCGGAGACGATTCAACGATGTCCATAATCCTAAAACAGGATCGCGTTATGAAGGCTCTCCAGGACAGACTTGCGAAGTCAGATCAAGGACGTGTAGAGATGGCCGCGGAACTGGTGCAGGCGCAACGACTAAAGCCGCCTCGTATCTCCTCCCAACGTAAGTACTGATTAGCTGACAGAATCTGACTTTGGCTCGGCAACGTGTCACCGACAGGTATTCACACATAGGATCTTCGAGCAGCAATGAGAACCCGCGACCAGTGCCTCGGAAGGCTAGGACAGCCATCGCAAAGCATGCAAATGGCGATGAAGGATCGACATCTGACGACGAAGAATCCGAAGAAGAATCCGACGCGGTATCGGCGAGTGATGCCGACGAATCGGTATCCAGTGTCGGCGAAGAGGATGAAGCACCGGCAGCATGTGATGACGCCGAGAACGTTGTCGTCTGTCTGTTTTTCTCATGCTCACATTTGAGACTGACGTCTTGCTTCATAGCAACCACAGGACGTAGATGGTTTCGATTTATCTCTTTTCCTGGGGAGCGAGGCAGTCAATTCGACCGGAGTGCGAGAATCTCCATTGAAGGTGGAACTCGGGAGTAGAGCGCTAAGAGATCTCCGCAAGGTTGATGTCACTCCGCGTTCTTCCTGACACAGAGGCTGACATTTAGACAGATAATCCCTCAGCCATGGTTTGTCTTTACCTAGGTCAATCTCCAATGTGAGCTGATGCCGATACGGTCCCTGATCTTTGATGTTAGTTGGGTATGCACTAGCCCTGAAGTCATTTGGTCGAACGAAGCGACCAAGTGTCTGTTCATGTTGCCTTCTCAGCTCCACGACGCCAACTCCGGAGCGACCACGGACATTGATTACGACGACCGAGTTCAGGAGGACGAAGTGCGTGACCTATTCCATAAAAGCAACGGTACATGGTTCTACCGCGGCACATTCCGATGTACGGGACGGTCAATCGTGTCATACAGATGTATCAAAAGTATTGTCAAGGGCCAGGTTAGTATAGTGATAGTACGGCATACTGTGATCTCTGACACCAAGATAGCACAACGTCTTCAATACTATCTTTCAAAGGACAGTCCCCGGCAGCCATGGTTCTACGCTCACGGTACAAGATATGTACAGGAACGAACAGCTCTGGATTGTTTGCTTCAGACTGGAGAAGGTCGGCGAGAACCACAATATTGTGAGCACACTGGCAGTAGAGGCATGCGAACACAATGGTCAAGAAAGAAGCAGACAAGGAAGCAGACGCAAACGTCCATCACATCATACAGACAACGGGGGCAGGAAGAAACGCAAGCTCTCTTGAAGCCCAAGGTACGTTCGACTTGACTTGGTATCGATGTACGATTCAGCTCGTGTCTCCGAAGCTTAGGCAGAACCCACACCGGTCACTTCGCTCTGTGTATTATATACCCGCATCTATCGCTGCTTTGCTTTGTTGTGTCTTTGCTATCATTCCTACGCAGTTTCATCCGGTTATATTTCATCCGGTGCATAATGCGGTACTCGTTGGCACTGAATCCGTCGATTCTCATCCGCTACGTCCTCAGGCTATGCGCCTGGTTTCCATTGATACCGACAGCAGTATTGACATTGCATCAGTACATCTAGCACGAAGACAATCTAATAGGTATGTACTCAGTCCGAAAACTGTTGAAGAACGACCAATACTCTGCTTACACCTGCGATGATCCAGTCAGACGCTGCATTCAAACTCCTGGATAATGGGGAACCAATCCCTCGGCTAAGCCTGACTTTATCGCTGCTCTGGCGGAAATCGGGCCCCGCTCCCGCCATGCGACTGGATCGGGAGCTGCACGACGCATGAATACAAGGCGGCACCGCGTTGATCTGAATTGAGTACTGACAGACCGACTCAATAGTACTCGAGACGTATGGATGCCCTGCTTCTCTCGCAGCGGTGACCCATCACATCATGCTGCAGGTGATCAATGTCCTCGGGGTCGTCGTAGGACGCGGAAACTCAAATGGTGCAGCCTGAGGGAGAGAACGAAGTAAATAACTTAGTACCGACGATTACATCATGCAGATCCTAGTGGCAACACCGCAGCACGTGTTGGGCCAACGAATTTCAAGTCGCAATCGCCATCTCAACTTCCAAGAGACCAGCGAAGTTCACACCATTGTCCCTGTTATTCTCGCTGTCTGGCTTCTTGCCTCAGCTTCGACTCATCCGTACACTCAGAGCAGACTGTTACTCATGCCTCGCGACGGTGATGGCCGCCATTGTTCCTCGAACTTGCTATTGGCAAGTGCACAAGCCCTAGTAGACGAAGTGGCCACGCTAATAGCGAGGTATGGCGATTCATGTTCCTGCATGATGGGTCAAAACAATTGACTGTCGAACATAGGATCAATGATCTCGAGACTAGAAACGACGCCCGGGAAGCGTTGTACACCAATGTACAGCAAAGAAACACTGAACTAGAGAGGGAGAACACTCGACTTGAGCGAGAACTGGATGCTACGCGGCAAGATCTTCAGGCGGTCGTGGATGCTCAACAGGGCTCGAATGTCCCGATAGCTGATTCATCCGTAAGTCAACGAGTCTGTTGCTTGGATCACACAGAGAGGACTTCGACTCGGACGAGAAAGTCTTACATGGAAATCAAAGAGGAGCTCGACGATGTCTTGCACCAGAGGTCACTCGAAAGGCTCGAGCATGTGAGTTGTTCCGCGTGGCATGTACGTGCGCCTGCTGATTCTAGTCATGCACGAATGACCTTGCAGACTATCAAATTAGAACACTTGAACGCGCAGCTCACGGGAGTGATTGTGAAGTCCGAGCAGACAATGGGAAGCTTGGAGCAGACTTCGACTGTAGGTGCTATAATTGCTAGCTCCATTCAAGACGCTGATCACTTATTATCAGTCCCGGGAAGTTGTCACTGCTTCGAATGACAACGCCACTAGGGCTGTTGGGTCTGATTCTGACCCTACTTCTAGTTCTCCAAGAGTCTTCCAGGGAATTGCTACCAGTTCATCCTTGAATCCGACTAGCAGCGGAGCACAAGCTTTTGTGAGCCTTGATTGATTCATGTCTTACTGAACCCTGTTAACCAGTGCGGTATCAGTCTGTCAACGAGCATCCCTTTGACCAGCAGCATTTTCTCAACAGTGAGATACTGCAGAACTGCCCACGCGCAGAGCCAAGTCCGTCCAGCAGCTCATACCTTTCCCATGTCAGTCCATGTATTTTTCGAGGCGATCATGTACTGACATCGCTTGTGACCCGCAGATTCTGCCGGGATCTTCGTATGTCATCCGTCGAGTACAATGCAAGGTTTATTTGCTAACATCAGCAAAAGCAAAGAAATCCCTGTACACAACAGGCCTTTGTGTCTTGACAACGAATCCAGCATCTGCTCCCTTACGGTTGACAAGTGCTTATATTTGGATTTCATAGGCATAGACATATGGACCGGGGCCGGGGAGACGCAAGGCTCTGTTACTTGCGGTGAGATTCGCGAGATATTTCTCGCCAGAGATGATGGCACATGGATCTATTGTGGCACCCACAAATGTGTCGGCGTGTCGTACATGACCTACGGAGATCTCTGCTTCTTGCAGGAGCAATGGGTGAGTCTCGTCTCAGTTTGAAGGCTCGTTATTCCCTCATTGGTAAGTGTTGTGCAGCCCCGTGTCGCTGCGAACCTAGTGGAGGACATAGTTCCCTACTCTGGCTCTCAAGTCGCCGAATACTTGAGAGAGCGTGTAGAAGTTGACGGCTACTTCGTTGACTGCTGCGGGCTGGTGAAGATCGGATACAATGTCAACATCAAGCATACGTCGGAAGCGCCTCACCCAGAGGCTGGTGCGAATGCACTTAAGCGCAAGAGTGAAAAACATGATGGAAGCCGGAAGAAGCGAAAGCATTCCTCCTCACACAAAGGCATGCCATGCTCGACATACGTGGCTTGGTGGACAGCTAACACAAAATCTGCAGGAGCGCCAGCTTGATGTCGCGTATCTTGAGTTACAAGTACTAGTCTCACCACAAGATGCGTGCGGAGTTTGTGTCGAACCTATCCTCCACACGCTCCCTTTTTTACTTCATCCGCTTTGTGCGCCCACTAATATCTCGCCCCCTTCACACAACGCTATCTTCACGCTTTGTTTGCTGTCACGTCTTACGCTATGGAATTTGCTATTGAGCTGGTGCTTCCCGTCGTACACCTCCGTAGATCATCACATGCATGCGCTGTATACAATATTACGTTGCTAATAATGCACCATCATGCGCATTAGTTCCGGCGAATACAGGAATCCATTCAGGGACCTCCGTCCAGAGACCGACCGCCACTACTGCTTGGACAGCGTTGTTCCCTCTTGCATGCGCGGAAGTGGCAGCTGCAGGAAAGCGGACTGACACCCAGAAGCGTGACTAGCACAGCTCATGTACGCGAGACCGAGCCTCAGTGAGGTGGCTTTCATCGCAGACAGCCAGAAGGTGGGTTTGAAACCGACAAGACGACCCGACAGGACCGGCAAGCTGGCCTGATGCCACGGTCTATGTGGTGGTATGCACCTATTCAGGACACTGAGAACTACGCTTGTGTGCTCATCTTCACCTGGCTGCACAGTCACGTCGGGTCTGTTATGACGGGTCGAAGAGAGACAGTAGAGCGTCAGAGAGGAGAGGCCATCAAAACGCACGAACACGCATGTATGCGCGAGCCTCAAGGTATAGCTGTACACAGCGTTCACGGCGACGTGACGATTACCAACAACCTGGTTCAAATTCCTGTCAAGCTGAGTGAAATGGTTCTTGAACGGTAGAGCCCCGAATCATCTAACTCACCTCGGAGTCCAATACATAGCCTCCCGCCGCCCGATACCCGATCCCCTCTCCATAGATGCAATATACAGGTAGGCCGAAAGGGCTGCCACCATTGGTGCACTCACTGGCAGCCTACTATGGCATTAGGCTCAGTCGAAGCCCTGCGAACTGGTATGAGGCATTGCCGGCGTGCACTATGATGGCGATCGTGCCAGGGGTCTGCGCACCGAATTCAATGACACGCTGCACATTTCATTAATGGCGTCCGTTACGGCCGCCTCATGTTCTTCGTGCGACACCCATTAAACCTACGGGACTAGAAATAGAAATGAGTCACTACTGGGTGATTGCAAGCCTAATAAGTAGTGGTCCGCTCTCGACCGCGGCGGATACCGAGATTGGATCGAGATCACTCAAGTTGAATGAACGTAACTGACACCGTTGACTTCGACTCGTTGCTCTGGTTGGGTTAGCTACTGAGTCAGCTTGGGCTCCGTATCTCTACGTCCTTCATTTTCCTCGTTTGGTACAGTATGTCTCACAGCGGCGAAGCTACTAGCAGCAATGGCTGTGACCCGGGCTCAGTGCTGGCGAACGTGCAAGTATTGGTGAATGAATTGATTACACTGAGGCTAAGGTATGATGAATGAAACATATAACAGGACTTCTAAAGAATTACTTTCGTGTTCAGTAACAATGCACTCGAAACCAAGTACCAAGACATGGAGGCGATGTACCACACAGTCAAAGAAAAGAGCGACGAGTTTGAAGGGGAGAATGCGAGACTTCGGCAAGAGCTGGATGATACACGTCAAACCCTTCAGAATACAGTGGTGAAGAAAGAGAACATGAAGCAGAGTGCTCTGGTTGTTGGAACATCCGTAAGTCGGTGGTGTGCCCCGTCAGTTAATCAGATACTGTTGAACACGATGACACTGACAAAGCCTCAGAATGCAATCAAAGAGGAGTTCGACGAAGTCATGCACCAGAGGACGGTCGAACGGCTTGAACATGTGAGTAATGTTACTGTCATTTACAGATCAGGGTAAATTGCGACAGCGCTGACTTGCACTGCCCAGGGCTGCCTTGTTGATTCTATGAGTGGACAGCTCGCTGATATGACCGAGAAATACAGACAAGTGAAAGAGGAGCTGGAATTAGCAAAAGCCCCAAATGTGAGCTCTGACGTCTTGTGTAATTCTTCTATCATGCTTCATGCCTTGTGTTAACATATGTAACAGGGACTTCTCAACAGCACACCACCGTCTTTCGATGTCCAACAATTCATCAACAGCTGCGGTGTGGGCAAAGTTGAATTTGTCGTCGTCACTGAAGAACGTGAACACTACATATTTACAAGACTAGACTTTGATCTCAGGTCCAGGCGTACTTCCCATGGGGTGAATCTTTCCTATGTGATTAATATTGTACGAATGCTTGACTAAACGGGACAGGGATGTGGGCAACTCCTCCGCGCTGACAGCATCTGGTCATTTTCACACGACAAATGTCTAGTTTTTATCCCGATGTGTCACCATTTGCCGATACTCCCTCCAGGCCCTTTTGATGGGCCACTGCTTGGTACAAGGCATGAGCTTTTTAACTACTCGGGGTACCGCAGATGGGACTACAACGGTGTTTTCGAATGCATCGGAATATGCGATATGGATAGTGATGGTATGAGGTCTCTCCACTTTCTGGACATACCGCAGGTGCGCGGAGAATTCTTTACTGTACGTCTTGACTGACCGCGACTTCTGGACAGGAATCCATTGCCCGTTTGGCGAAGACTTCATTTGTACTTGCCAAGATACCACATCTAACCTCGTTTGTCCGATGCTGCGCAATGGTCAAGGTTGGACACCACGACAACGCTGACCGTGCCGCTCGGCTTGCCCAAGAAGCGGACCGCGCTGAGGTCCCCGAGCGTCCGTCCGACGAGCCAATCCGGCCTAGGAAGAAGCACAAATCTAAAGCATAGCTTGTGTGCGGAGGTGTGTACCAGACAGAGCAGCACACCAATCCACAACTCACGCAGAGATTTCACAGCGCGGCTCAACTCTGACGCTGATCTACTCTTTATGCAGCGTGGTTATGATGGTCGCCACATGCAGTTCTCTTGCTTTGTTCGTTGTTGCTTTCGCACAAGTGTGCTCTGTCTTGCTATCACACGTTATACATACCCGTTGTCGAGTGTTCGACAATGACTACACTTGTGGTCTCAACGCGACTTCGTCGACTGTCAGGCCTTCAGGACCCTCCACAAGAAACAGATCATTCGGCAACTAGCTCTTGTATGTACGTCGAAAACACGGTACTGTTGCATTGATTATCGAGTACTGCATACAATCAATGCTGCATAATGACGCAACCACGCGCTCCCGACCGGTGTGCATTCGTAATAGATCAACGGCAAATGAAAGGCGCCATAGTGTCTCGAAGACTCACAAAGGGTACGCCAGACTGAGCGTGCAGTTCGTGCGAGAGCACGTCACACTCGGGGCAGTCGAGCAGTGGCTGACAAGATGCATAAAGTCCGAGTCTCACGACGGCATGGATGTCTGCCGCTTCCGCAGACATCGGTCGCCCGATGGTCACATCAATGAGATGCCATGCAGATTCGTGCGGTCACTCTCGGAAGCAACACCAAGATCATCGGAATGGCTTGTAGACATGCCAATCTGCGACAACGGAAAGGGAGAGAATCATACCATTTGACTCAAATGGCCCTCAGCCTACCTGCCTCTCACCACCTACACCACCGACCTTCCCAACCCACTACTCCACCGCAACCCTCGCCTCCTCCCAACTCACCGCCCACACCCGGTTAACATGCTCTTCCTCGTGCGCTCCGCTCCACGCTGGCCACGAGCCGCATGCAGGACACCTTTCAGCTACGTCTGCGTCAGAAAGATCTCACCACACCGCGCCAGGTCGTCCAGCGCGTTGAGTCCGAGCGATGGGGTCCACGACGACGCAGAAGACGGTCAGCGCGAAGGACAGTTTGGTCATGAGCGTGAAAGTTGGTGTGTCTTCACGCGAAGGACGAAGTACTCGCTCGGGCTGATGTACTGTAGGAGGTCAGGATACGTGTGGGGAGGAGAGAAGGAGGCGGAAAACTCACTCGTATGTAGGTTTAGGTTCCTTTCACGCCATAGCCTTGCAAGACGAATCAGAGACCTTCGGCGAGCGCCGCAGCCGCCTAAGCCCGAGGTGCCAGACGCGGTAGTCAATGACCCCGCCTGCTGGACATTGATGTCAGTTGAACTCGGGTGAGAGGTGCTTAGGCTTGCTGCGCAGAAACTCGAATGCAACATCGAGCGCGTCCGTGCAGGTCCGTGCTCCAGATCCAGCACCGAGTTTCACGAGGCCTCACTATCGCTGCGCATCAGCAATGTACAGCGCAGCAAGCAGCATATATACGCCAACCTTGCGAACATTGGTCCCTACGGACGCTGCGTCTCTCTTGATATCCTTCAAGCGCGGCACGTTGCGGTCCTCGGGACACGCGAGATTTACACCTGCCCAGGCGGCATAGACATGGAGCCAGACATCGGGGTAGTCCTTCACTGTGCCCGTGTAAGCGACCGACCATCCCAGCAAATGAGCTACTCAGACTTCGCTGATCTCGTCCAGACGACCCGTCGCGGCCGATGAGGTCAACGTGACCGTACCAACTATAACAGAGCCTCAGAACAGCCCAAACGTGTACGCAAGACCGACTCACTCGAGAAATCCGGACGCTTCCCCCGCGTGACGTCCTCCAGCGCCACGCGGAGCGTCTCACTCTGCAGCGCGTATTTATCCTTGGGTTTGATATCCAGATTCCAGACGTTGTCACCATTTCAAGTTCCTCGACCTTCGTGTCCTAGGGTCGGCGCGAGTATTGGGAGCACAGCGACGGGTGTGGAACAGGATGAGGTCGTCTAAAGAACGGCGGTTATGCGCGCCCCGACGGATGCAGATCGCGATCGGTAGATCACGACGGACTCGGAAGATGCCGCCAACCGTCGGTCAACTTGAATGTGTTGACTTTCTGTCAGTCTGACAGTGACAGTCCATCCTGGTCTTGTCGTCGAACCCAAATCTACATAGGCTATTATCCAAGCGGTGTGGGTGCGTTCTGTTCGCGTCTAGTTCTAGCAGAGTCGCGAGCCAGGAATAATCAGGCAATGTCTGACCAGCAGGACGACTCCGACTCCGAACGAAACCGTCCGGGCGACGGGCGTTAGGAATGGAACTAAGGGCTACTCATCGCGACTCCGAAGCCAGGATCCATGATTTGGAAGCTCAGTACGGCGACCTCGAGGCCAAGTATAGTGACCTTGTGGCTCAGAGCAGTGATCTGGAGGCCAGTCATAACACTGTCTTGGCGAGGAACACCAATCTCGAGGGAAGAACCACCGAGCTGCAAAGAGAGAATGCACGACTCCAGAAAGAACTCGATGACACGCGCAGAGAGTTGACAGTGATGAAAGAGAAGGAAGAGGACTCGGAACCGTGCATTCTACCAGCAGGATCGGTCAGAGCATTGCACCCTATCCGTCGTGTTGCCAAGTACTGATGCAGATTCCACTGGCATGATTCAACCCTACGAGCAGGTAGAGAGGGCGTTAGACGAGTCGATGCGTCATAGGGAGGAGGAAAGCCAAGAACATGTAAGTGAAGGCCGTGTGCTACGGAGACGGCTCGAAGATGACCATTATTACAACTCAGAGTCGCGTCGTAAAGAATCTCCAGAGTAAACTTGCAGAGTCATGTTGCGGAAAAATCACTTTCTGACTCGGACGACGAAGGGCCCGACGAAAAGTCTAACGAAGAGGCTGATGGAGCATTCGACGAAGGATCTGACGCAGCACCGGCAAGTAATGATGACGAAACCTTCGCCGTCTGTCCATTTCCTTGTTCTTACATCTGAGACTGATGTCATGCTTGATAGCAGTTACAAGACGTGGACGGTTGCAACCTAGCTCATTTTCTTGGCAACGAAGGGGTTAATGCGTTCGGAGTACCAGAATCAGAATTGAAGATGAAACTCCCTTGTATGTGTAGTAAACAAAGGGCGTTGAAAGCTCTCCGCAAGGTTGATCGTCGTGTTCCATCTGATACTAACACTGATACTGATGCATTCCACACAGATAATCTCTGAGCCACGGTTTGTCTTGAATTTGGTCAACCTCCATCATGAGTCGATACTGATACCGGGCAGTATCTTGGATAATAGCTGGATATGCATCGGTCCCGAACTCATTTGGTCGAGTGGAATGACCAAATGTCTGCTTGTGTTGCACTCTCAGCTCTATGATGTAGACTCTGGAACTACTACGGACATCGTGTACGATGACCGAGTCCAGGAAAATCAAGTACGCGACCTCTTCCATACAACCGCACTCCCCGATGCAACCGGGAAACCATTGTTCTACCGCGGCACATTTCGATGTACAGGACAGTCGATCGTGTCTTACAGGCACATCAAACCCTTCATCAAAGACCAGGTTGGTGAAATTATAGTGCCTCATCCTGCGATTTCTCTGACCTTGAGATAGCCCAACGTCTTCAGAACCATCGTTCAAAGGACAACGCGTAGCAGTCAGGCCGCCACCCAGGCGGCACTCAAAGACATGTACGAGAATGAACAGCTCAAGATCGCTTGTTACAGACTAGAGAAGGTTGGCGAGAATCGCGAAATTATGGGCATAGTAGAGGCATGCGAACGCGACAGTCAAGAAAACACACGCAAACATCCGGCGCAACGTACAGACAACGGAAGCAGGAAGAAACGCAAACTCGCTTGAAGTCCCGACACAGCTCACATCCCTCACGCTTAGCCAAAACTCACATCGGTCACTTCGCTCTGTGGATCGTATACCCACATTTACCACCGCTTCGCTTTGCTATGCCTTTGCTATCGTTGCTACCAGTTTTCATCCAGTTATATTTCATTCGGTGCATAATGCGGTCCCCGTCACCATATCTGTCATTTCTCATCCGCTGCAAGCTCAGGCCATGAACACCAATACCGGCAACAGGATTGACAACTGCATACTGGTGTAGTGCATCTAGCGCGAAGACAATCTAGTAGGTATGTTGTCGGAAATCAGAGAACGAACAATGCTTTGCTTACACCTGCGACGAGCCCAGTCACATGCTGCATTCGATATTCTGGATACTGTGAATAATGGGGAAGCCATCCCGCGACCCAGCCTGCCTTTCATCGCTCTCTGACGGGACTCGGACCAGACCAGCGAGTCTCGTCCCGCTACGCGACTGTCAAGATAAAGTATTGAATCGGGAGCTGGACGACGTCACGGTCAGGCTCGGAGGATACACCTCGATGACCGGACGCGTATCACTTCGTTCAGTCGGACCAAACGTATACGCTACATCTGTCTCGTCTCCGAGTCTAATCTCGTATACATGCTACGAGTTTGAGGAAGATGTGGTCGTGACGAGTCGGTCTTGGTGCTGTCAAACGAATTGCAAAGACTGACGAGGATGACTGCTTGTTCGTTCATGACAGCCCCGCAGGCCGCACAGTACAGTGAGAGAAAGATATACAATCTCAGACTGAAATAGCCCTCAGCCTACCTGCTTCTCACCACCGACGTTACCGATCTTCCCAGCCCACTCCTCCACCGCAACCCCCGCCTCCTCCTGGATCAGCGCCCACGCCCGGTCAATATGCTCCCTCCTCGTGCGCTCCGCGCCAACCGCGAGCCGCACGCAGAACGTCCCGTTCAGCTGTGTCTGCGTCAGGAAGATCTCGCCGCGCGCGCTCACCCGCGCGTAGAACGCGCGGTTCAGGTCGTTCAGCGCGTCCGCGCCGAGCGGCGGGGTGAGGCCGCGCGCGCCGGGGTCTGCGACGACGCGGAAGACGGTCAGCGCGAAGGACGGCTTGGTCACGAGCGCGAAGGAGGGCGAGGTCTCCACGAGCGAGGCGAAGTACCCGTTGAGGTCGATGCACTGCGGAGGTCAGGATCCGCGAGGAGCGGAGGCGGAGGACGCACCCGTCGGATGTAGGCTTGGAAGCCCTTCACGCCGTAGCTCCGGAGGACGAACCAGACCTTGAGCGACCGGAAGCGCCGCCCGAGCCCGAGGTGCCAGTTGCGGTAGTCGATGACCGCGCCTGCTGGGCATTGAGCACTGTCCAACGCGTTTGAGAGGCGGTTAGGACACACCTGCCTCGCTCTGCTTGGTGCGCAGGAACTCGGGCGTCACGTCGAGCGCGTCCGTGAGGTCTTTTCGGCTCCTGACCCAGAGAAGGGCTGCGTCGAAGTTGACCAGGCCCCACTATCGCTGCGCGTAAGCAGTGTAGAACGCAACAGAGTAGCATATATGCCCCCACCTTGTGTAGATTCGTCCCTACGGACGTCGCGTACGTGTTGATATCCTTCAAACGCGAGACGTCGCGATACTCGGGACATGCGAGAGTCACGCCAGCCCAGGCGGCATCGACGTGGAACCAGACGTCGGGGTAGTCCTTCACTGTGCCCCCGCGTGAACGACCGACCATCCCAGCAAACGAGCCACACTCACGGACTTCACCGATCTCGTCCAGACGATCGATCGCGCCCGACGAGGTCGTCCCAACCGTGCCGACTACCACGCACCCTCAGAACAGCCCGCACGCGTACTAGTAAGCAAGGCCGACTCACTCAGGAAGAACGGACGCTTCCCCCGCGCGACGTCCTCCTCGAGCGCCGCGCGGAGCGTCTCGCCCCGCAGCGCGTACTCGTCCTCCGGCTTGACGTCCAGGACGCGGCACTGCAGCCCGAGGACGAGGCTCGCCTTCACGCCGAGCGAGTGTGTCTGGCTCGTCACGTACAAGACGAGGTCCTCGAGCTTTGTGTCCGGGTGTCGGCGCGTGTATTGGGAGCGCGCCGCGACGGTCACGACGAGCGCGGAGTCAGATGAGGTCGTCTGAATGAATGGTCGGTGAGTAAAGGTGACGGTGGACGCATGGGTCCAGGCCTTACCTGGATCACGCCACCGCCGGTGCCGGAACTGTTGAGGAAGTGGTCCGCGAGCCCGAAGAGTCTCGCGCACCAGTCCATCATGGCCATCTCGAGTTCGGTGCATGCGGGGCTGCTCGTCCACTATCACCGACCGTTTGAGAACTTCGAGCGCGAGGTGTGCCGCAAATGTGGACGTACGTTGAACCCAGGATTCGCCGTACTGGTCGAGTACAGGTCGCCGAGCATCCCCTCGAATGTACATGCCGTCGGGAAGTACGCGTAGAAATTCGGGTGTTGCCAGAACGTCAGACCTAGGCGTCTGCATTGAAAAGGACGTCAAGACGAGAGCGCGACATGCATACCTGGAAGTATGAGCTTCTGATAGTCGTCTGCGATGATGTTCCAATCCTCGCCATCTTCTGGTGGTGAATCTACGCGAACGCAATAGGTGGATTGGCCCCGCGAGACAGAAGTCGTACTCACCCGGAAGCTGCTTGAGAAGATAGCCCGGCTGGACAGGGGGCACCACTGGGCGGTCCTGGAGCGAATAGTAGAAGTCGCAGATCCTGTCGATCGCTTGGTAGCCAGCTTTGCGGAACCTAGTGGAGACACGGTTCAGTACGATATGAAGCGATCTGATCAAGTGTGCACGCACGCTTCGATGTCCATGTCTCACTCCCAGTAGATGCAAAGTGTCAAGAGAGGCAACGTACGGCCAACCCGGATGCCCTGGTCCTCTTGTACGACGATGTCCCCACCAATCCCCGAAGATGACTACTGCCGGAGTGCCCTCGGGTCCAAGATGATAAGTCGAGCGATCCTACGCAGTGTTTCGGGCACGCATGTGGACGGGCGACTGAGTGATCTCACGATTCGGACTTGCGGTATTGCCGGGAAAGGGCTGGCAACTTGGCTCAGAAACCCTCAAGGGACTCGTCAGTACAGACATTAGAGACAGTGGGATGCTCCGGGTGTCGCGACGAAGCCAGTCGTCCGCGTCAAGTCGTGTCAGTGGGAGCAAGTGCTTCAGTACTTCAGTACTTGTTCAGTACGGCCAGGCAGGCGTGGCCAGCGCTACGGTACTTACGTAATCATGCTTAGTTATGTCGACTGTCTGCCGCATCATGTCTCTCGCCGACTCGACGATTGTCGCACGGAGACTGCTGCGTGTCCATTGAATCTGGTGAGTAAACGTTTAAACCTCCACGCGATCGTTAGCATAGTGCACGCCGGCGGTGCCTCGTACCAGCCCGTAGGACTTCGACTGACCCAGATGTCATAAGTAGGCTGAGCCTGTGAACCAGCGGAAGTAGCGCTTTGCGCCTTCCTGTACGTTGCATCTATGGACGGGGATTGGGTGCCGGCGGGAGGGTAGTGGGTGAGTTAGATATTTCGGGGCTCTAGCGAACCATTAACTCATCTGGAATGGAATACGAAGCAGGTGGCCGGAGAGCGTCATGTCGCAGTGAAATTTGCATACGAATATGAAGATCGCGCATACATGCTTGTTCGTGCGTTTTGATGGCCTCTCCTCTTTGACGCTCCGCTTTCTCCGTTCTTAGAGCTGTATGCTGTACGACCTCGCCCCCGAGCTATGACAGACCCGATGGGACGGTTGTAAGCGAAGTGACCATGAGCACGCAAGTGCAGCCCTAGTTTCTGTCGCAGAAAACGCATCGTGAAATCATGCGGCAACGGCATGTTATGTAGGTGCGCGCCTCCTCGACTATGGCATCGGACCAACTTGCCTGTCCTGTCAGGTCGTCGCATAGGTCTCGAGCCCTGATCATCTGCGACCGAAACCACCCCATCTAGGCGGGTCCGCATCTCACGCGATGTTTGCCACTCAAACTTATAGTCGCTAACCCGCTCTGTGCTACCGTCGGGTTCGCGCGCGTATGAGGGGCAGCGAAGTTATCTATGAAGCAACCCGATTCCGCCTGCAAGGCCGTCGGTGAACGACATATTATGGCCATTGATGGACATACATGCTGAGAAGTTATGATCGTAAGATTCGATGGACCGATGGATTGTCAGCGCAAGTCGGCAGTCTGCGTCGAGTTAGGGGAACGCGCCACAGGGCACACTCGCATCTTCCTTGGCCTGGACATTGTGAGCTCTGACAGAGGACGCGCGAGTGCACATAGAGCCTCGCGGATACGATCCTCCACTTATCCGCCCCTTGCTACTGTAGAGATCCATGTGGTTATGAGAAATGTTATGCGTCTTATCAGCCATCACGCACCCAGTTGCTCGCTCGTATGAGGGTCTGCATAGAGCCAACTGCGTCGCCGGGCCAGATCAATCGCCCTCATTGACCTCGATGGGACAGTACGCAACACAAATGGATATCATAGTGCGATAGCGATGACATAGCGCGGAGAGAAACGCGGCAGTGAGCTAGATAGTGTTGCAGAGGTGTCTCAAGGCGTTGTATAGATGCTCACGGGGAACAGTATGTCAGGCTCGCCCCTCTGTAGACTGTCAAGCTAAAAACCCAACGGGCTATTGAACATAAGCGCGTACCTTTGTGTGCTCAGGATTGCTTCAGCTTCTTCCGGTTTTCAGTTTGCTCCTCAGCCGGCGAGCGTCTGCGCTGCCGCTTAATAGGATTGCGTCTTTCTTCGATGTCCGAGCGAGACGGTCCGCTACGGAAGCGTTTGCGCCCGATGACAGGGCTGCAGCCCTCTTCGCTGTTCGAGGAAGGCTGCTCGTGACGAAGAGCACTCCGATAGTGGTTTTCAATTTCCTGGATCTGCTGTTCAAAGCTCAGGCTGGGCTACCACACGACTAGTTATCGCAATGCGGTGAGGCATGAGCAAATCAAGACTCACAGCAAAGTATGCCCCGCTGGAAATATGGGCGGAGCGCCGGGTATCATAGTTGTGGTTGGCATTCGCGAAACCCAAGACACCATCGACGGCGTCGGACTCGCCGGAGTCGGAGGAATAGTTAGCAGCCTGCGTGATCTCGTCGCTGAAAGTGACGCGTTTTCGGGGCCTGCCCCGATGAACACTGGGCAGTACACGAACGGTGGGGAAAGACGTTACAGTGCCTACAGCCGAATGCTGCCTTTCCATCACCAGGTTGTGCTTCGCCTTCACGTAGTTGTGTGCTCAAGGCATCTATTGCAGAGTCCTGCAAAGTTATTCGTGTATCATTGAAGGTGCGTCGATATCATACATGGAGCTACTCACATGTTCAAGCCTTTCAACTGTTCTCTGGTGCAAGACATCGTTCAACTCCTCTTTTATTTCCATGTACGGCTTCTGCATGATTAAGTCATTTAGTGTTTATCTCACCTAGCGACTGACACACAGACTCACGGATGCCGCAGCTGCCCGAGCACTCTGCGCTGAATTCTCTATCTTCGCTGCAGTTACTTGAAGGGTTTGACGCGTGACGTCCAGCTCTCGCTGAAGTCTTGTGTTCTCCCCTTCGAGCACATCATTCCTTTCCTTCGCTTTGCGGTAGTTACTCTGAAGATTAGCGTAACTAGACTCAGCAAAATATAGTTAAGCATTCTGAACTGGCCCATAGACATTCAGATACATACCTCGTCTTTAGCATTGCCAATTCATTTACTACGGCTTGCACATTCGCCACCACTGAGTCCGCGCCGCGACTTGCGCCATCAGTCGACATGCTAACTTCCAAGCGACTCAAGCTATGGGAAGCGATAGACTGGGTCAGAAAGTGTCCAGCGCGAGACAACTGGTGGTAGTTGGGGTTCAAGTTCCTTCGACGTGTGCCACGGTGCGTGAAATCGGTACTACAAGTCATGGGATCTATGTTGGATCTATGTACGCGACGCCGTTGCGTTCCCGCCACCGTTCGCCACAGCAGCTGACGTAATACGCCTACTGCGTTGTTGAAGATGCATCATGATCTTCGGGGCAGGAACTTGATGGAATAAGGTGCCGGGCGGGAGGGTAGTGGATTCGGAGGTGAGCACAAGATCACCTTGTTCGCTGAGTGGTGCAGCGAAGTCGTGCTCCAAGGAGAATTTACTTCACAAGGGTGTTGTGTACAAGACTTCAAGGCATGATATCCACGAAGGCGTGGGGGCTGAAGACAACGACAATGATTGCAGTGATATTTAACCCCTGCGTACAGCTTGGATAGCCCGATTTCTCCCTGTTCGCTTCGCGCTATCCACCAGCTAAGACGGTTCAGCTCGTGTATTGCACTGTTCATAACTTGAAGTGAATATGGCATACGGACACTGTTCGTACAGGTTGCAGGGCTCGTAGGCGTGTTCACTCTCAAGCTGGCATCGCTCATACTCGGAACCCACCGTCAGTTCTAGAGCATTCCTGACTATCTCTCGTAAACCGAACGCGAAAGGTGCACTCACCAGGTGAATACACACACCGGCTTAGTCGAGTTCTCCGTGCCACGCCTTGGACGCGAAAGATTCTGCGACGTAGGGTCATGCAGTTATCTAGAGCAATGTTCGTTCGTTCATTTCTAAACGTAGTGACAACGCCTCAACACATACCGAGCGAGTGCGAGGTGGACTCGACGTCTTCAGCGACCTAGCCGTCACCTCGTGGTTCGACAAATGGACGGAGCCATCAGCAACTTTCTCCGGGTTGTATGCGGTTCTCGGCATATAATCGGTACCCAATGGCACGCGAACGTCAACAGCTAAGCCGCCCGTTAACAGCACTTTCGCAGATGGGTTCCAAAGCGCTCGCCTGTCGTCAGAAGGTTCGCATTGAAATTGGACGTGCACTCATTGTAGAAGATAGCCTATGAGATTGTATGAGATAGGGCAGACAGAGTAGTGCGGAGAGAACTCACGGTCCGTGCGGCGAGCTCCCGTACGCGTCCGCCTGTACCTCCGACTAGCGGGCACGAAGTCGGCCCTGATGCTAATGGGAATGCAGTCGGATTCTTGACTTCGGGTGCTCGGCAGAGCCAACACTCTACGTTCGGAGTACGTGGACAGAAAATGACGACGTGGCGTACCCCCGCATATTTTCCTTCATAGCCATGGGGCACCGGATATACGACTGGAAGAACGAATTGCCAATGGACAGCGTCAGCGTCGCAACAGGCGGCACTGATGTGCGCTGAGAGACCAACTCACCGGTCATGACGTTGTCAACGCAAGCTAGCGGCCGACTGTCAGCAGCGGGATGCATGGGCGAAAGATAACGACGTAATAACTGGTCAATACCGCGGCATTGCTGTACCTGCAGTGCGCATAGCTGGCTCAGTCGGACCAGGACTTCCTTTCGAGCCGGCTTGAAGTGAGCTTCAATTTTAGTGAACACTATGAGGGGATAGTGCGGCATACCTTCATACACGTGTCTCGGTGATTTCCACACATTTCCTATGACATTACTCAACTCTTTGTTCCGCTCTCCGAGTCCCTTCGCGAATATTCTGCGGCCCTCCTCGTCGCTCTGTGTCCATATCCTGGCCCATCATGTCGACCGGTCCTGGGTGTGCATGGCGTTGTTCAGAACGCGCATAGTATCGTTTGCCTAAAAACTGCATCGCGCATCGTCCGGATGGCCACAAATCAGAGACAACACAAGGGTCGACTCCAGGAAGAAGCCCGTGCATGACTTCGGGCAATGGTCATCTTGCACCACCTCAGCTGCCTGAGGCTGCATGAGGTTGCATGGCAGTACTGCTAGTTGGACCGGCGCGGTTCTGTTGACGCGCCATTCACAAAGCAGGTCCGACGATAGAGTATGTCGTATACGTAGTGCTAGCACGGTTGATGTTGGGTCGATTCTCGAGAGCGCGGCCTCGTGACCTCGACGCGCTGGTGGCGGTCGTTGCTGCTTGCACTCAACGTTGCGCACCGTGGCACTGTGGCTGACTATGGCTGACCCCGTTTGCTGAACGCCTTGACGTCGGTCAGGCCTTTGGCAAGTTTTCATGGCTTCCTGAAACCGTCTCCCTCAAGTCTGCCTGCTATGCTCTTCGGTAGCCCAAGCGGTCACTCTTTCACTGCGCTTCTCACTGCGTGCGGCTTCAAGTTGGTGTTCACCATGACGTTGAATGGTAACTTACCTCTTCCGCTTCGCAGACATTGCTGAGTATGCATCTACACATAGGTAAGTACATGCGGATGGTGGGGGAAACCCGAGATTTTGCTCGCAATGCGATCAAGTAAGTATCGTTCGCAACATTTGGATGCCGAGCTTGGTATGCTCGCTTCGGATGCTCTACTAGGTGCCATGTGTAGCGGATATCCCCCGCTTGCGCCGATGCTAGCCACCAAACCCAGTCGAACGGTAAGATATGTTTACTTACACAAACTGACTGATTGAATCCGAGTCGCTCATTCACTGCATCCAGGTATACGACTCGGAGTTGACACGTTCAGGCGTGCTGTCCGATTCTGCTATCGACGTTCCATCTTGCATCGGATCTGCCCAGGCTGTCTACCTGGGACGCATACATGTACGTGTAACAAATTATTGAAGCCATTGTTGCGAAAGAGTGGCTGAAGGCATTCCGCACAACACGTGGATCTCGTATCCCTGAATCGCCGTCCTTGCTCGGTCTGCCGCACGCAGAGAATTCAAAGCCAGGGTAGTGCATGTTTCGGGGTCCAGCTTGCAATGATCACTTGGTCACTACCCCGATTGCCACGGGCTCCGACTTTCGTCGGGACAGTCCTCTCTACTGACATTCTACTCTACCATCTCACTTTTAGATCCGGGCACCGCATCCTCGTCATACCTATACTTCAATGGCGCCGAATTAGCATAACATCCCCTTCACGTTTGACCAATTCGCTCTTTGTGTTGCCATATGCAGGGGAAACCTGTAGTAGGTGAGTTTCGAAGCGCTAATGGTTTTGCTCCTAGAAACTAACTGTGATGTCGAGTTTTGCAGTCTTCGCCGTCATCAAGAATCGTCTCTGTGTCAGAAGACGTGTGAAGCACAATGGAAGCTGTCTATGGGCTCAGTGGGCGACTCTTTGTCCTCACGAAAATGTCCGCGTTCCCCGCAGAAGATGCCGGTCCCGTTCGAACAAGCTTCCATGCTCTGCTCGACGTCCACTGTCATTATCCAGTGCGTAACCGGATGATGCCCAGTCATATGGCTGGCGCACGCGCACCCTCTCAAACGTCTTCGCTGACACTGACGTCCGGTGAGCGGATTCATAGATACCCTGAATCCAACAAACTGATCGTGCCCCGCCTTCATGCTATAGAAACTGTCACATTCTTCTGACGCACGGGATGACCACCCTGGGTGTTCATCGGAAAATATCGCTCCCGCATGCGATCAACACGGTCGGTTTGGGTCACCCTGTGATTGGCATATTCGGTTCACTGCTCTGCGTACATAGCTGGACTGCTTAGCGTCAAGGTGGCAAGCTCAATCACGCATGTCCTCTAGCGTACTAATGTGCATCTCGGACTATGTTTGTCTTGTGGTCTGCTCGCCCCCGCTGTCTCGGCTCTGAGGCATTTCTGCTGTTCTTTTGCCCATCACTGAATGTTGAAAGATTGAATGCTGATACTCAGACCCTGCAGGCCGCCTGTTCAGTCGTCAAATCATTGCTGTGCGTCTGGAGCGGGTGGTCCGGCGAACGAACGAGGTTAGCAGTGTACGTCCGCTTTCCGTTCGGCCTCCTTCAGTGGAAGCTACCGGCGCACTGCGTCGTCGAGGACACCGACGTTGTCATGCGCCGACCAGTATCATACCTTTTTTCATGCATATATTCCCTCCGAAACACCCTGCTTTGTATCGAAATATGCAGGAGAACTCTAAATGAGTTTCGAAAGCGCTAATGGCCTTGCTTCTAGCCTGTGATTGTGATGTTTGGCTTCCCAGTCGTCGCCGCCATCGAGAATTCCCGTGCCAAAAGACATGCATATGTGACAGTGGAGGCCATTTATGGAGGCTATTCACTCTGCCTCTCGCCCACCCGCTCAACGTATCCTCTGACACCGTGATGTCGCGAGCGAATTTGTATGTCGTACGTCCGTTAACGAGTCTGTGCTGTAGACCTGATTCCTGTAAGCTGATCACGCGCACCTACGGTGCTTTAGATTCTGTCCTTCTGACACTCAGGCTGGATGGGGTAGCGAGCTCTGCAAGCGCCGCAGCTAGTCGCCACCCAGAAAGCGTAACTGAGGTTGTGCGGACGGCGGGCGAGTTTCACGCAGGGATGCCAATGGTGGATTTCGCGTGTAACTACAATGCAGCGTGTGTGTAGAGAGGGACGTACCGTGGCTCCGCGAGATGGAGTTCCTTTTCCCGGCGGCGTCGGGTGTGACCATGGCTGACCTTCACTGCTTGTCAAAAACCGCGTGATTCGTCCCGCCTCTATTCTTGTCATGACCATCGGCACAGTGTTCTATACCTGTGTCAAGGGCATCGAAGCCGCGGCGCGGCGGCAACCTCGCGGCAACTTGAAGGACATCGAGGTGAACACTAGCCTGATGAATGATATCGACGCCGCATTCGTACTCGAAGCATTCGAGATGGTGGAATATGCAAAACGCCCCCGAGAAAATGGCTCGGTACCAGGTGGCACAATCAGCAGTCTCGCTTTGACGTGGTCACACTGCAAGCGGCTGACGGGATGCTGTGGATGACGGCGTGCGATTGTGCGGCTCTTTGATGCGGTAACGAGTGTCGACTTGATGAACGCACGACTCGGATTGTGATGCGGCTACTGGCAGTTGGACCCGTTCGGTACGGGGTTGATCATCTTGCACTTGCCATTAGTACACCGACCGTGTCAAGTCATTCGCGTTTCGAACGAAAATTATTGTAGAGCATCGCATTGAGTCTGCAAACAAGACCACATTACGTTGCGAACTTAACGACTGTCCTCGACTTCCAGTCCAGTTCAATTTAACCTGTCCAATTACGCTTGTTTTGATAGCCTTCGAAGTGATCCTTGAATTTGTAAAGTTTGGGCGCCACGGGCCGGAGGCTGGGAGAGCGCTGGAGAGCGACTCTGGACCACTGCCGCCACAGCAGGCCCAATGTCATCGATTGGTGACTTGCCACCAGAGGACCAGACAATGACCTCCTTGACAAACGGAACATGGTCAGTCTAAAAGCGTCGTCGGGAGGTTGTCTGGGGTATATAAGCTGCAGCATGTCGCGAAAGTAGATCCTCACCAACAAGAACTAAGTCTCAGCAACCTCCTACGATGCAGTTCAAGCTCGCCTTCGCCACCTTCGCCGCCCTCGTCGCGGTTGTCGCTGCAGTTCCGTCGGTCAGTATAACCCCATCCATCCCCGCCAGTAGTGCTGACATCCCGCACACAGCCGGAGGTCACCACCCAGCTCTTCACTCAGGAAGAGATGATCGCCTGGCTCAAGCGACCGACGCCGAGCTCACCTTCATCGGCGACCCTATCCCAGGTGTCAATGCGCCCGAAGGTCTTACCTCGCGCGCCGCGGACAACACGATGGTCACGTACTGCAACCGCCGCACTCCAGAACGTCTGCGGCGGCTCGTGCACCGTGTACAACGGCTCGGCCAAGTGCCTCAACGCCCCGGACACGCAGTGCCTCGCAGCCACGAACAACGTCGGGTTCTGCGACAAGGGCGGGTACGTGCGCGGATAGACGGCCCAGAGAACGCAAGAGTTACTGATAGATGCCTTTAGATGCGGAGGTAGCTGCAACCAGCTCTCGACCTGCGGGACGCACCTGGATAACGGGTATTGCTACACCCCGGGCACTAAGTCGATCAACGTTGGGAATTATTAGGCCCAGTTTGGGAGGGTGGGGCTGAGGATGCGAGAGGATGCGACGAGAGATGACGGGTGTATGGGAACGCGTAGTTGTCAATGCATGAGAGCCTGGCTTTGTAGTACTGGAGCAAAGTGGAAGGGCTGGAGTTGAATGACGAGTGAGCACAACCGCTGTGTGCACATAAAGATACTGTCGGCCGCTCGGTGTCCTTTCGACACGATTCAATTAGGTCCTGTCTTCAAGTTGACGCGCCGAGTTCCAAGAGGACCTTGTCTACGAGACCGAAAGGCTAGGTCTGGGTCCGCACGCATAACCCGGGTACCGTGCCAGAACGGCATATATCGTGCCCACTTGCGTCTCCACGGAGAGGCACTAGTTCCGGTGCATAGTTTGACTTGTTATACAATCTTGTACAGCAAGTCAGCACGAATACTGATGTAGATACTCGTAGGAGAGAAGATATACCGGCTTGATTGCGAAATCATCCCGTTTCGTCCATTCCTGTGCCGCGTGTAGCAGAGCATCCGTCCGAGCTTGGCGGACCCGCTAACCGTATGAGAGGTGATGTCTGTTGCCGTGGACAGTCTATTCAGCATTGGACGCTAACCAGGGCCTACATTCGAGGCTCGCCTAAGGCAATAGACAGTGTCATCTTCGGCGAAGAAAAAGAAAGTCAGCATCATGACTAATCTTTCAAAGCTGCTGTGCATGACCTACCTGCACAGCTCGTATATGCGGGCAAGACAGAATGAAACAGGAGATGATCAAAGTGAGCCTTGGACTGGAAGCAGCGTGCCCCACTGCGCGGCCCAGCTAATTTGCCGGTCATTACACCATCGTGGGCAGCCCGTCCACGTCGTCGGACGCCTTCGCCGCCAAAACACTGGGAAGCGTGCGACGGAAAGAGCCTTACTCACCTGACATACGTCGACGACTCTCTGAGTCTCTTCTCTGGAGCTATGCCCAAATACCCGGCTAGACTGGCACACACATCGGACGGAGTCCGATCCCGCTCATCCATTAATGACATAATCCATCTATATGATAGTAACAGTTTTTGTCTGTGCCGCAGATCAGCTTTACGCATTGGCTTATGATGTGACAAATGGACGATACCTCTATGATCTTCATTTCACGGAATATCGGCCTACCCATCCCTTCCCCGCATCCTTTTCCGCATCCTCGAGTGCAAGGTGTATTGTATCCGAGCGCACCGAGCTTCTCCTCTAGTCGACCACATCTCCGCTCGTCCTGAGATAGCACGGCAGAAACGGCAGCGAGGAGCATGAGTTCGTCGGGCTGGCAGTTAGATGGCGGAAGATGTCTATGTACTGATGGGTTCGGGGCCGCGGTATCGCTGCACCTGTAGCTCGGAAAACTGGCTCGCTCGGCCCAGAATAAAATGGCTTCGCAAGTGAGCTTTCAGTGAGCACTGTGAATGGCATAGGGAGACGTACCTTGCTGCTTCGGTGCCTTCCGGTAACTGCCAGATACAACAGTCCTCATTAGCACCGGTGATCAGAGCGACGAAATAGCCATACCTCCATGTTCTGTTGTTTGTACGCCCGGTATATAGATGCCAGTGGGATTTCCCCTGCTCGGACTTTCTCAGCGTGGTGCGAGCAGTGATCGACCGTACTGGTCTCGTCTTCGCCATGAGTCTGCTCACTGAGAGAAGCCTGTCAGCGGCTAGTCTGCGCCATCGCTTCTCAAGTATGCGAAGTCACGATGCCGACGAATGGATGCTGCTACACCTTGCAGTAGGACCGACTCTGGAGCCTGTACCATATCATTAGCTCGCGACCTATGTTACGACCCAACTTGAAATATACCTTCCTGATTACGGTTCTCAATGTCGGCACGCTCGTGCTGTGAATCGACAGGAGTCACATCAGCCCGCATCCAGCTTGGAGAGAGGATTGAGGATCGCAGCAGCGAGGAGGGCGAGGCCGTCGAAGAACAATGCAATTGCACAAGAGATGAGTAAGGGCGCCAAGAACGGAAGGAATTACTTACGAGCAAGGATCAGAACGCAGGACAGGGGGGAGAACACAGGAAACTCGACGAACGGGTAGCCGAGTACCGACAGCGTTGAATGGCAGGGGCTTGCACGCGAGCGAGAGGTCGCCCAGGACACCACCGAGTATGAACGGCACGGAGGTCCCAGATCGCCTCCGGTTCGTGGTCCACACCGTCTATATCTCGCAAGTATTGCGGGCTATTCATGTGATGGATGCGTGTCATTGCTGTATTTGGGTGGAGAGTTGCCGCCAACGAGGAGTGTTCAAGTTGTGGGTGCGCATGCTATTGCATAGCTCAAAAGACGAACTAGTCGCCTAACGGCTAGGCTGATCCCCGTGCCATCGTAGGCGGCGTTTGTGCTTGCGACCCGTTCGTATCACACGTACACGCGTAGCACAGCGTCATGGGTCGGGAGTATCTATATCCTTCGCGCGGACGACTGTGCAACGTTCAGCTTCCAGAGTTTCGTACGCTTTACGCAGTCCAGTACGCACCCAACCCATACATTCATACATCGGATTCGTACCCGAGCGGGCGAAATAGATCAGGCCTGGCGACAAAGACCATCCATGAATCGTGAGTATGCGATACGAAGTCGGCCGTGCCATGATCAGACTCAACCGTACCTTTCTGTCTTCCCCAACCGCGGCCTGTCTCAGCTCTACACCACCCCCTCGAGCCCGTTCCGCACACCCTCCACCGGATTCATCCCCTGCATCATCGCGGCGTCTCCGCGTCCCCGTCCGCCGCCTCCAGTACATCCCGCACAGCATGCGAGCGCACCGAGCCTCTGCTAGTCACTAGCCATCAACCCCGAATCTGCATCTCCGCGTGCGTCATCAGCCCGAGCGCGAGTCCGGCCGTCGACGTCGCCGCGCCCGTCCTGCGCCTCGACGGACGCGGCAGCCTCGGCCCGCTTGCGGCGGCGCCTGGCGAGCGGGTTGAGGACCGCCGCGGCGAGGAGCACGAGGCCGTCGAAGAGCTGCATACAAACCCAGATCAGCACATGGAACACAAGAGGGCACAGCATCCACCCGCGCGAGCGCGACACCCGGAACCGACGCGGGGTCTTCGCGCGCCGTCGGACGCACTGAGGAGTGCCCGCGCGGGCGCATTTGGCGGGACGGGAGAGGAGAGAGGGGGGAGACGACGTACGACGACGAGCGAGTAGCTGAGCGCGGCGAGCGCGGCGAACGGCGGGGGCCGCCACGCGAGCGAGAGGTCGCTCAGGACGCCGCCGAGCATGTCGACGGCCATGAACGGCACGGAGAGCCCGACGACCTCGCGGTGCACGTAGATCTCGTAGTACTGCGGGCTGGGGGCCGGGTGAGGGAGCGTGGGTTGCGCGCGTAGAAGGGGTGGACAGAAGGAAAGCCGGCGTGGTCAGTCGAGGCGCATGAAGGAGGGCAGAGAGGGACGTACAAGAGCGCAAGCGAGAGTACGACCGACGAGATGATCCCAAACGCCTCGACCGCGCGCGCGTCCCCCTCTCATACGCCGGCTACAACACCCAGCCCACCAACCACATCTTCAGCCCACCCGCACACCCCAACTACTGGCCACTCACCCGCACCGCATACACCATCCCGCCCTGGAACCCCGCCAGCCCCGCGAGTGCCGCGCCGTACAGCGCCACACAGACCGCGCGCGGGCGCCGCGGCGCGCCGTAGTACTGGCACTGCGCCCACGACGCGAGGCAGAGCGCGCCGAAGAGCTGCGGCTGGACGATGAGCGGGACGTTGAGGTCCTGCACGATCGCGTAGACGCCCATGAACCCCGCGGCGGTGCCCCACAAAAACCTGTCGTCCGGCGCAGGGGGTGTCCGCGGGCGGGGAGGAGGGACGGCCAGCGCGGGTACGGGTGAGGGGTGAGTGGGAATGGGGATGGGGATGGGAGGAGGGCGTGACTCACACAAACCACGGCGAGAGGCCCTCCGTCGACTTTGTGCGCCAGCTCTTCCAGATCTGCGGCGTGAGCTGGACCGTCCAGCATATCGTGCCCATCGTCCCGAGCACGTTCTCCGCCGCGGCGTTCGGGCGCATCGTGCTCGGCCCGGTCGACGTGCGTTCAGGGCGGGTCCTAGCGTGCCCAAGAGGGTTTATGGTGGCTCGGCGGGTCGTTGAGGCGGGTTCGAGGACAGCAGCAGAACTGAACGGTAGCGGGAGAGGCGAAGCTAGCGTCCGTCTGTGCCTGCAGAGGGCTCCATGGTGAGTCAGGCTTCCGAGAGGCCGCCTGTGACCGGAGAGCTTATCTCCCCCAGCGAAGACTCGGAGGTGCGTACAGAGTCGGCGATGGCTCGTGCGGGGCTGACCACTGACGACCGCGGCGGGCGAGGCGGTCCTTGTGCGGAGAAAGCAAGCGTGCACGTAGACGCAGAGCCTACTAGTACTACCGGAAGCGACATGGTCACCAAGTGGATTCCACGGGAGGGTATCGTTACACCACGGCTTGTGGCAGGCACAGCAGCCGTACAGGAGCACATTCCAATCCAGCCAACATACTACATACGACTACCCGTCGCCCGCCCCGACAGCCGTCCCGTTCGCATCCACGCCCGTCGTGCCCGTCCCCGCCCCCTGCGCGGCGTCGTGCACCTCGTCGACACCGACTGGGCTCATGGCGATGTCGTGCGAGACGTCGAGCGAGCCCGCGCGGGCGAGGGCACTGTCGGAGGCGTGCTGGTGGATCTGGGTGAGCTTCGACTCGCGGACGGCCTGGGGAGGGGAGGATGGACGTCAGGAAGTGCAGACGACCCCCGAAAGAGGCAGGAGGAAAGACTGACGTCGTTGGAGGCCTTCCTCTGCTGGAGCCTGTCGAGCGACGCCCTGCGCTGCTGCAGGTCCTCCCCCAGCCGGCCCTCCTGCTGCACCTTCAGCTGCGCCAAAGTCAGCACCGCCGCCCAGGACTCGAACGCGCGACGCACCTCGAGCGTCTTCGCCGCGCTCCGCTGCGACGCCATCGCGTTGTCGTGCTTGTGCTCCGCCTCGTTCAGCGCCCGCGCGCTCTCGTACTCGTTCTTCACCGCCTTGTCCAGCGCGTGCTGCGCCGAGTCCGCCGCCTGCCCCCGCCGCATTCGATCAGCGCTCAGCACCCGGTCGGCGCACGACGCACCTTCAGCGACCGCTCGTGCGACTTGTCCAGCTTCGCGACGTCCTTCAGCGACCGGTCAAAGTTCCGCTGCTCGTTCTTCGCCTCCGTCGCGATCATCTTCTCCACCTGCTGCGTCTCCGCATCCGCCGACGCCGCCCCGCTCGACTGTGACTTGTTTGACGTGAACAGGCCCATGCTCGCGGTGACCAGTAGTAAGTCAGTGGGGTCGCGCAGAGTGCTCGTGAGAGGTCGTAAGAGTGGGATGGAGCTGGAGCTGGGTGGGGGCGAGCGGCAGGGAGCTTTATGCTGGAGCGGTGGTGACGCGTGCGGGCACCCCAGAGCTGCCTCGGCCCTCGAATCGAGTCTAACCCTTGCGGTCCTGCCCTGAGAGTATCTGGGCATGCAAGTACTGGCCTTGCCCCCGTGCGTCCGCAGGTGTGGACGGTACGCCGACGGAGGGGTGCGAGGCACACATCGAGCAGTGACATTAATTAGGCAGGGATCACGTACAGTAGTAGTCATACAAAAGAAACACATTATAAGCCAGGCAGCACTACGAGACAGACGGAGCACCACCGACTGCAGCACCTACGCCCTGTCCCCACTCGCGATCGCCGTCCCATTCGCGTCCACGCCCGCCGTGCCCGTGCCCGCCGCCTGCGCGTGGCCCGTGCCAGCCGCGCCATCAGCGGGCCCGTTGGGCAGGTCGAGCGAGCCCGCGCGCGCGCGGTCCGCCGCCTGCTGGTGCATCTGCGCGAGCTTCGACTCGCGCACGGCCTGCGGGCACAGCGGGGTCAGCACCGTCCGTGGTCGCAAATCGCCGGAGGAAGGGAGAGGTCCGCAGAGACGCCGGCTCGTGCGTTCCCTCGGGGGCACGAGCGCCGCGTCGATAGGGACGCGACGACACGGCGGCGGGGAAGGGTACGGAAACGGACTGGCACTCACGTCGTTCGCGGCCTTCTTCCGCTGCACCTCGTCCACGGACGCCTTGCGCTGCTGCAGGTCCTGCTCGAGCTGGCCCTCGTGCTGCCGCTTCAGCTGCGCGCCATCAGCGCAACCCGCCGATCAGCAGGAAAGAACGGGAAACGCACCTCGAGCGTCTTGGACGCGTTCCGCTGCGCCGAGACCGCGTCGTCGTGCTTGTGCTCCGCCTCGTTCAGCGCCTTCGCGCGCGCGTGCTCGCCCTTCACCGCCTTGTCCAGCGCGTGCTGCGCCTTGTCCGCCGCCTGCCGCACCCGCACCCGCAATCAGCACCCACCCGCGCGCAGCCCACCCGCGGCGCGGCGCGACGCACCTTGATCGACTTCTCGTGCGTCTTGTCGAGCTTCTTCAGGTCCTTCAGCGCGTGGTCGAAGCTCTTCTGCTCGCCCTTCGCCTCCTTCGCGAGCAGCTTCTCCACCTGCCGCGTCTCCGCGTCCTCCGGCGCCGCCCCGCCCGACTTGCTCGAAGAAAACAGGCCCATCGCTCGATTATAACAGATCCGTAGGTCGTGAAAGGTCGTTAAGAGTGGAATGGAGAGAGGGGTGCGGTTGGGATTGTGGTTTGTGTGGAGGAGCGCGGCGGGGCGTTATATACTGCAGCGCGGCGGGTGGCTGGCGGGGCTGGTGACGCGCGAGGGGAGGCTGGCTGGGGCGCGCGGGGGTGACGTCACGCGTTCCTGTTCCTTCCCTGCCTGTAAAGCTAGACGGTTGCTGTTAGTGTCCCGAATGAACCCCAGTGAAAAACGCATCTGCTGGGAGATGCTCTGAGATGCTCGGAGCTGCTCGGTGGGGCCGCTGTCAAAAGGACATCTGCGAGCAGCTCCGAGCAGCCTGGAGCATGAAATCCGGACTTTTTGCATTTTTCTAGATGCTCGGAGCTGCGCTGAGCGTGAAAATTACGCGTATGCAGCTGGGAGCAGATCCGGGCATATTGCTGGATGCTCCTGTATTGCACTAGCTGCCATAAAAATAATACATTTATCGTGTATACGTTGCCCGCATCCTGCGCTGCCCGCGCCCTGCATACCGCGCCCGCCGCACCCTGCGTACTGCCCGCATACCGCACCCGCCGCCTGCATACCGCGCCCACGCGCTCCCGCCCAACCACCCCGCACACCACCTGCATACTACGCCCACCCGCTTCCTACGTACTGCGCCCGCCCGCACCCTGCATACTGCACTTGCGCCCGTTTCACGCCTTCGTCTCACTCGCACGCACCCGCCGCTCTCCGACACTTCCGAGTCTTGGCCATTGCACTTGACTTCTTCGCCTTCGATTTTCTTGCCTTGAACCGCAGACTTGACGACTTCTGTAGGCATCAACAAAATGTAAGGGTCACGAGCACTGCAGAGTCCTCCATATGCAAATGGCACGCACGAATAATTGCCTTGAAGTCGGGAACATAATGGGCCTTCTTTCCTGCCGCTCGCTGGTGTCATCGGACAAGTATTAGTCTTGCTATCTGCGAATCACAATGTACACTCCGAGACGTACCAAACCATGAGCTTCCTGCTCATACCGCTATTGTGACATTGAGCAGCCTGAGGAGGGCGAGAACTGGTTTGCGGGAGGCGAGCGAAGGTGTGTACATCCGTCCACTTGGAGAGTCGGCAGCGCTGATGAGCGTGGGATCCCAGTGGAATAGAACACAAACAGGCCGGGCGCTGTCCCCGGCAGAAGCTTAGTACGCGATCTCTTGCGCCGCACAGCAGAGTGAGTTGTATTCCATCTCATGCGGGTGCATCACTGACCCGCGACGAAGGGCCGGGCCGCCGCAGGAGGATGGAGGTGGGCATACGCTCGGCGAGTCGGAAGCGACGAGGTCGACAGCACGTTCATCCCCGACCCCAGCTCTTCCATACGTACGTACACCCCGTATGTCTTCCTCTTTGCAGGTCACCGTCTGCTCATGCTCCTGTGCAGCTCCCGAAGAAGAGACCGCGATACGGCATCTCACCTTCTGGCGCGACGGCTTCAGTGTCAAGGACGGGGACTTCATGCGCTACGACGACCCCAAATCCTCAACGAGATCGACTCTGGGTGCGTATACTCGACATCCACCCGGAACCGTATCGTATGACACTGACTCGTGTTCACGCAGCCGCGCGCCGCCGCACATCCTCAACGTCTCCCCCGGACAGCCAGTCGAGCTCCGCGTCGTGAAGCAGCTCAGCGACGAGTTCGTGGCGCCGCCCAAGGCGCGCAACGTGTTCTCCGGCGAAGGACACCGCCTCGGCTCGCCCGTCCCGTGCATCGCGGGCCTCGGCGCGGCCGCGTCTGTCGACATGTTGGGGAGCCTCCCCGTGACCGCAACTGGGAGTGTAGGACTCCCAAGAGAGCCGAGCGCACGCCGGGCGAGTGTGCGGTCGGCGGAGAGCATCAACACGCGCTTCGAGGTCAACCAGAGCCTGCCGACGATGAGCGCGCAGGTGCGCCTCGCGGACGAGACGAGGATGGTGTGCCGGATGAACCTGACACACACCGTGGGCGACATCCGCAACTTAATCAACGCGTGGGTGGCTCCGTCTGCCCGGGGATGTGGGCACCGTCTGATTGATGTGTGTGTAGGTTGCGCCCGAATGGTCCCGCTGGCACTTGCCGCCCGCCTTGGACGGTAGCCTCAAGGCTACCGTGTGTGACGTGCGCTGTCCGATGCCATCGTATCAGATCAGTATCTACACATGTATAAGTAGACAGGTAAATCAATACGAACCTTAAAAGCGATCCTTACAGCGATGTGCATGGGTCCCGCCGCACGAATCATGCGGACGGGTCAATGAGCAGGCACTGAATGAGTGGGCCAGCTAGGGAATGAACGGGCGAGTGGGCGATCAGCTGAAGTGTGAGCAAGACGTGCGAGCAGGGCAAACAAGGAGGCGGGCGGGCGAGCAAGGTGTGCGCGCAGGCAAAAGGGCACGTGGCAAGTGAGAAAGATGCATGGACGAGCGAGGAGACACGTAAGCAGATGAGACGGGCATACAGCAGGGCGGGCGAGCGGGCAGTAGACAAGCAGCGGGTGATTGCACACTAGGTGATGGTGGTGGTAGGAGCATGAGAGAGGGGAGCAGGAAGACGACGACGACCGCCATCGCTGCAAAAAGATTACGTCATACCAGAGCGGGCGGGAGCGTTAGTGTTATAATGCGCACCGCGCAGTACTTGGTATCGTAAGTGCATAACGCATGCGCAAGGGGGCGGAATTGACAGCGATATCGGAAGGCTACAGCCCCAACGTTCTAACTCAGAGGCAAAAGACACTAAGCTCTAACGACGATGAGTTAATTCATTGACAAGCTGTCATTTGGTGATTTCGCTGTAAGCCGTCAGCAGCTCCGAGCAGATTTGGGCACATTTCAACGACGCGCGCAGCTCCCAGCAGCTTGGAGCATCTCCCAGCAGATGCGTTTTTCATTGGGAATGAACAGTGAATAGAGTTGGGGCTTACCGAGTTCGTCAGTCGAAAGAACGCGGGACTCCAGCGGGAAAAGGGCGCGCTGTGGGTCGGAACAGACATGTACGTGTTAGGATCAGGCGGTCTCGAGCGCAAAAAGTAACCAAGCCACTGCTCGCGGTCAATACACACCATCTACGGACGATATGGTGCAGAGCCGGACGCGTCGCAGCTGTGCGAATAACAGGACCAGCCCGTTCTCATAGGATGTCAGCGCCTACATTAACTGTACACATAGCGTACGCAGCACACCGCGACTCCGCTCGCGTCCATACCACCCCCACCTGACCACCGCACGCCTCACCACGCCGCGTCGCCGTACTCATACTCGTCCCCGCTCGCAGGCGCATCGTCGCCGTACACGCTCTCCTCGTCGCCATGGCCGTATTGTTCGCCCTCGTCTGCGTCGTCGATCCATGAGCCGGGATGGTCGTCGGCTTCGTCTGCATCTTCGCCCCACGGGCCGGGGTGGTCATCCTCCACGGCCGCGAACTCGTCGGAGTAGAGGGGGAAATGGTCCGCGTGGGCGGGCGCGTCGTCCTCGTCGGAGTAGACATGGATGGGCGAGGAACTGTGCACGAAATTGTGCGGAACAGAACCATCATCTCCATATATGATCCTAGCATGAAGAACGTGAGTAATGATTACGGGTCGATGGACTAAGACCTTACCTTTCCCTATCAGCCACGGCGTCGGCTAGGCCGCTATCACTGCGAAACAAGGTCAGCATACTCCATTCGAGCACGACAAGGGAAGCCCATACCTGACGGAATGCCCATCATCCTCATCGCTCGGGGCATCTTCCTCCTCTTCATCGCTCTCCACGACAAACCGATGGCGCCGCGCAGGAACCGGGGGCACAAAGTCCACGTCCTCCTCCTCGGACCCAAGGTCGTCTCCGTCCTCATCCGAGCCCACAACCAACGCATCGTCCTCTCCAATCGCGCCTCCTACCGCCAGGTCCTGCCGGAACGGCGGCGAATGCCGCTCCGCGCCGTCCTCCGCGCCGTCGTCGTCGATGAAGCTGCTCTCATATCCACATTCATCGTCCTCGTCACCGTCCTCGCTCCCGCTCGCGCTCCCGAGCCCGCCAAACAGGCGGCTCCGTATCATCGGCACGAACCCATGCGCGCCGCCGTACACCACACTCCCGTCCTCGTCGTCCACGTCCGTCACGTCTTCCTCGTCTATGCCATCGTCGTCCCCGTCCCCCTCCTCCGGCCACGCCCACTCCCCCCTCCGCCGCCCGAACAGGACCCCGTCCAGCCAGTGACCCATCCCCTCTGCCCTGTCCCCGTCCCCGTCCGACTCCTCGTCCCACCCGTGCGACTCGTCCAACCCAGCATGCTCGTGGTTCCGCGCGTGCCCCGGGTACACCCTGTCGCACGCGGAGCACATCCCGTCCCAGATCTCGTGCCCGCAGTCGACGCACCGGTAGATCCCGCCGTCCTCCGCGTCGTGCATCCCGAGTATCGTGTGCAGCGCCGCCGCCGCGGGGGGTGGGTCCGGGAAGAACAGCGGTGCGCCCGCCCCCGCCACGTTCGCGAGCGGCTTCCGGAAGATCCCGTCCCACGGGTCCGCGCGCTCGTGCGGTGCGTCGGGCGCGTCGGGCGCGGGGGGATTCATCGGCGGGTCCGCGAGGTCGCTCCTGAAGAAGTTGCCGACCATGTCCTTGACCGCCCAGACCTCGATGGGCCGCTCGCGCAGGACCGCACGGCAGTGCGGGCACGTCTTCTTCCGGAGGAGCGCGGGGAGCACGTCGTGCGGATGTGCGTCGGCTGGCGGCGACTGGAACCACGCGACGAGGCAGCCATGGCACGCGATGTGCCCGCAGGGCGCGAGCGCGTAGGGTTTGTGCAGCGGGTCGAGGCAGATTTGGCACATGAGCGACTGGTGCAGGGTGGAGAGGAGGGTGCGTTGTTTCGAGACGAGCTGGAGATACGGTAATGAGCGAGTGACGCAGAGTGATAGGTTCTGTACGTACCTCGGACTTTGCGGCGAGCTGGGCCTTGAGTGACGCCACTTCCGCAGAGAGGGCAGACGTGTCGGGTGACTGCGCCTTCTCCTTCCCTTTCAGAGACATAGCAATAGCCTTGACAAAAGTGAATATCCGCGGAATGCAAGGAGTGATGAGAAGCTCACCGGTGGAGACACAGGTCGGGGCTCGGGGCTGGCCGTCTTGACTGTCGGCGACGATGCAATATGAGGGATACCGTGCGTACTGTTGGCCCCAGCGCTGGTAGACGGGCCTGCGACGAGAGCCATCGCAGCCTTCCTGGCGCCAGAACGCGACCGCTTTCTCGATAGCCTCGAGCCTGGCACACCAGGCACGGGCATTGCGAGTACTCGCGGGGCCTCGGTAGTCTCAACGACAGGGTGCCGTTTGCGCTTGCGTTTCCTCTTCCTTTCCTTAGTCGAACTGTCGCGGTGTGGCTCAGAAGCGATCGCAGCGCCCTTGCCTCTGTTCTGTTCGCTGTTACGTGCGCCTTCCCTGTCGCTCGTGTCCTCCGAGTCGGAGCGCACTCGCTTGCGGCTGTTCCTTGAAGTGGGTGCGTTGCTTGGACCTGCGCCGATTGGGCCGGTCGCACTCGACATTGGCAGGAGGTACGTCGTCTGTCCGAGTCGCCAGAAGCAGCGCCGCGTCACGCTTTCGCAAGTCGTGTGCAGTCGTATTCACTGTTGCGACGGATTCCTAACGAGCGCAGTTGACAACCGCAGAACGCAGCAGATGAGTGCTGGAAAGAAACCGCAGACTTTGAGTTTGTGGGTGGCCACATAATGATACCACGTGACTACCTTCCTAAAGCGGATGTTGTCCTCCGTCGTCGCGCACGTCGAGCTCGGCTCCCTCATCGCCGCCAGCACCGCGCTGGACGTCCTCGCCGCCATCCCCGTCATCGCCCACGACATCCGCCTCGCGCCCACCCTCGTCTGTCTTTTCTCAGCCTCGCGATGCGCCCCGCCCGCCTCAGCAGCAACCACTTCGACGTGCCCGCGCACCGCCCGCAGAGCCCGCGAATAGGCTCGTTCTTTTGCTCGCCGGACCTCAGCAGCTCTCGCTGGCAGTCGTTGCGATCTCAAGTACGCGACCGTGCACCTGCTTTTGGCAGCGCGCTGCACGACGACGGTCCCACCTCGGTCGTTTTCCAGCCCTTGGATGCGCTGCCCTCGTCGTCAGACAAGCCGTATGGCTCGCCGCGACACCGTCCGGGCTTCTCGCATAGTACATCCCTGGGCAGCTCTATCCCACCATCACCCATCCTTACAGACGTTGGCTCGGCGCCCGCCCTGCCCGTCCTCTCGCCGTACGCTACCGAGAGCTCGAAACGGCTCACCCTCCGACGCACGAAACGCAGCCGATTCTTCACCCTACCGCAGTTCGTGGAGACTCAGGCGTTCTGGCTCGTCCTGTACTTCACGTTCAATCTCGGGCTGACGCTCTACAACAAGCTGGTTCTTGTCCACTTCCCCTTCCCGTACACGCTAACTGCGCTTCACGCACTCTGTGGGACGCTCGGAGGCTTGACCTTACGGAGACGGGGTACCTACGTGCCTGCGAAACTCAGCGCGAAGTCATCGGCTGCACTGGCGGCGTTCGGTGTGTTGTACGCGGTTAACATCGCGGTAAGCAATGTGTCGTTGCAGATGGTGACCATTCCGGTGCGTAGTCCCTCTATCGATGCTGGCCTTCAATCTCATTCCCTTTAGTTCCACCAAGTCGTCCGCGCCGCAACGCCCATCTTCACTACCGCCCTCTCCATGCTTCTCTTCGGCACACAGTTCACTCGCCTGAAGATACTCTCCCTCATCCCCGTCATGGCTGGCGTAGCCCTCGCGTACGTTCCTTCTCCTTCTCCTTCTCCTTAATCCGACCGACCACTGACTGACCCTTAGCACCTATGGCGATTACTACTTCACCTTCCTTGGCCTCCTTCTCACCCTCCTCGGCACCTTCCTCGCCGCGCTCAAGACTATCTACACCAACGTCCTCCAGTCCTCGCCTAGCAGCTCCCGCCCACACTCGGCGCGTCTCCCTGTCCCCCCGCGCCTTGCCCTTCACCCACTTGACCTCCTCACGCGCACGTCACCCCTCGCCTGCGCGCTCTGTCTCTTCTACGCGTGCGTATCCGGCGAGCTCGGGCAGGCGCGTACGTCGTTGGTGCCGCACACGATGGCGGGCTGTGGGCGCGTACTCGTTATACTGGGGAACGGCGTGATCGCGTTCGGGCTGAACGTGGTCAGTCTGAGCGCGAACAAGAAGGTCGGGGCGCTGAACATGACGGTGGCTGGTGAGTGTCTTCAGTACACGTCAGCCTGACACGATGAACTGACAAGTGGTGGCAGCGAACGTGAAGCAGGCGCTGACGATCCTCTGTGCGGTGGGCATCTTCCACCTGACAATCACCCCTGCGAATGCGCTTGGGATATGCGTCACCCTTGCAGGCGGCGCGTGGTATGCGTGGGTTGAGTACTCCGTGAAACACCGCAGCTCAGCGTAGGTGTGAAGAAAACGCCACGGGCAAGTCCTCATATGTCCGCCTATCCGACATCTCCGCATGCAGTTCATCACTATCTCCTTTTACCCTCACCCTTTTGTCGTTATTGTATTGGTATGATTTTGTACATGGACTTTGAGATGCAATGGACTCATCCGAATGTGTAGGATGGAGTTAATGTGTATTAGTGTTTTGTAGTATGTATCCTCAGCCTAGTTTATAGGATGACAATCAATGCTATTGATGTCCAGGACATATTGGTGCCAGGGACAACACACATTCAAGACTCAACAAACATGGCCCCTTTTACCAAATATGGAAATTTTCATATATGAAAGTTGACTAGAAGGCCCCCTGTGCAGCCACACAGAAATATCTCCATGAGATTAAAAGCAAACCACCTGTGTCTGCCCAGGTCAAACCAGTGTCAAGTGTGCAGGACCAGCACCTACCCACACAATACTTGCCAAATTTGTCAGAACATTTCTGAAAGCAGGAGTGCATTTGTCTGTCACATTCTGTGCTACCAAGCTCATCTCTAGCTCCCGAGTCTGTTTCTATTGCTGTTTCTCTGATATCTGAGCTTGTTGAATTTGCTTACTATGTCTTTTCTTGCATTAGAAGTAGTATACCACATTGTCTCTAGTTCCTCTGCACATTTAGCTTGTTGCACTTGTTGCACTTGTCTCAGAGTTTCTGTATCTCTGGATACACATTACTGTTTTCTATATCCTTGAATATGTTCCTATTGTCTCCTTTCCACATTTAGTCTATATAAGCTCAGATGTAGATAAGCTCAGACTGTAGATTGTACTCTAGAACAAGTATTTTATTTATCCTATTTCTATTGACTCCTCTGACCTCTCACCTGAGCTCTGGACATCTGTCTGACCTCTAAGTCTTATCTCACTTTCTCCAACTTTCCTCCAACTCTATCTCTGCACTCTGCATTCTGTTCTCCATTCCCCAAGTCCTCAATTTCCTATGAGTGACAGTTTTGCGGACAATTACTTAGGGGCAAGTCTTACTTTCACGTGACTCAGACTTAATGGATGCCCGAGGTGAGACTGAGGCAGCCTTGCCAAATCAGGACAAACTTCACACTTGCCAGGGCCACTGCTCCAGATGGTTTCCCCATTATTCTCTACGACACATAGTGTTCCTTCATTCATTTCATCCACTTCTGTCATATGTGTTACAACATCTTTGCCTCTCAATATCATGGGAACCACGGGGACTAGTCATGGCTCTCCCCGGTGTCTGAATTTTCTGAAGCATATCAGGCCATATGTCTCATCGATAATGATTTCTTAAGAGGAATTTCACTTTTGTAGAATCATAAGTGGGCTTTCAGATTTGTGCTATCCATGCAGATCCATGCTGTGCAATGAACAGCACCGCACATAGACAGAGTTGCCACAGATGGCTGACAATTCTGCATTAAGTGATTGACAAGCCACCAAAGCAGAAGCAGGTGTTCTAGAGTGGAGAATACAACCAATCTATGGCTCGCTGCAATCTATATACAGATTGACATGGTCAGAAATATCTGTGAATGCAGGGATCAAGGGTACAAAATGGAGCAAATTTATGTCTAAGGTGTACAGTTTACATGTCAAGTAAGTAGTAAGTCTTACGCAATAACTAAGTTGTGGATGTCAGTATTTGTTTTGAAACAATGACTGTCATAATTTCCTCTGGACTTTGGACCTCCAACCTTTGATTTTATCTCAAGGGCACCTTTGTTACAATATCCAAAATATATGACAGTCATTGTCGTGGAATAATACTTAATCACTGGGACTCACACTTGGATTGTAGTTGCCACTTCATTTTGTAGAATCGTGACTTAGATAGATCACTTATTGTAGAGCTTGGACCTAGATTTGGCAGTGTATTGTGTATTGTACTCCTGGAACTTAATGTTCTTCATCCATTCATTGCCCTTACATGTGAGTTTGAGCTCTTCTCCCTAGCTTTGATCTTTCTTGCTGATTGCCTTGGTAAAGTTCTCATTGGCCTTAGGTGATCCTTGGTAGCTTACTGAGGTCGACCACAGGTTTTTGCTTGTTAGCCAATGAGTAACTTGATTTGAAATAGCTCAGGTGTGTTGCATAATACATGAGGGTTGACGTACCTACTACTGGTTTTCAGAAACAGCTGGTCTCTCATCAGGCTGGGCACTCATTAACTCAGTGAAGCTACTGTGGACTCAGGGCTATACACAAGGTCAGCTCATGACCTGCTGCTCTAATTGACTTTTTGCAGTGCTCTGCAGCCCAACTCAAAGAGATCCATCACTTCCTCAACCAGACAACTATCTCATAGCCAACACCTTGGGAATGACCAGCTATCAGCAAGCACCCTGTTGCTGGTGGCCAGCCAGCTGCTGCTGCACTTCCAGTCACTTGGTAACAAAGCCTTCAAAGTGGTGTTCCTATGGCACCACCAACAGTCTTGCTCAGATTCTCAGCCCCTATCTCTGCAGTCACTTCCTCCTTCATCAGGAAAAAAGCATATTACTTGTGGGACTTGCCCAAGACGCCCAAGTGAATTTAGCTCCAAAGACAAGTCCCTTGCCATTTTTGCTTGAGCATGATGCCCAAGACACGTTGTTCCTGGTATAACTTGGCAGTAAGTTTGTGCCGTCGCCTAAGGTGCGTGGCTCCTTGTATGACTTGGTATTAAATGTGTACTATTATGTTCAGCACATTGCTTCGCTTCCTTAATACCAAGTACACGTTACAGCCCAATGTATCCTATTACCTTGTAGAGCCAATAGTACCACTACCACTTGGAGTCAAGCTCCTCGTCATGACTGTCTTGTAAACAAGGCGTTCAGGTTGCATTATTTCTATCCCTCAGGATTTGATTCGGGAGCGGTAAATCATATTGACACATCGAGTTTGGTACAGCAACGAATAGCTAGGGACTGCAAAGTACAACACAGCATACAACAGAGGTCACAAAAGTACAACAGAGGAGACACAGCGTAGTAGTACCACAATATCACACCATAAGAGTACGTAACCTGGGATGGAAACTTGATGTGAACGGTACATACTGTACACCTTCCGAGTTCGATACGTGTCGAGACATTGATGTTGCAGTCAGTTGTTCTGTGAAATCAGCATTAATGGTAGATTGCTATCTGACCATAGGAATCAGACTCACATTGGAAAGCGTAAGTGACGTACTAGCTGCTGTTCCATCAGGCATCTCCTCCCTCAGTGTTGTCCAACTGGTCGTGCTCTTCAGCTGCTGGTGTGCCTCTGTCATGCTCGGCCTGCTCCTCAATGGCATTGCCGTCTGAAGCTGCATCTGCTTCTATGTGGCATGCATCAGACCATTTGCACCTTGCCAATATGCTCTCACTCACCTGGCTCTGCAGCTGCGCCAACAGCTTTGCCTTTTGAGGAACCAGTCTTCGGCCTAGACGGTGAGCTCGGCGCACTTCTCGTTGCAGGAGCTGCTGACATAGAGGACGGCTTAGTGCACCCGGCTGTCTTCTTCAATGTGCCACCAGATGAAGGCTTCGGTTGCACTGCAGGTTTCGTCTTGGCACCGCTACCGGACGCCTCAGCATCGTCTTGATCCGCGCGGTCATCTTCAAGTGCAACAGTCTGCAGCTTCAACCAGTTGATGAACATATTGTTGTTGTCCTCGCTGTCCACCGTGTCGATACCGACACCGCTCTCTGCTCTTCCCCTGGAACAACAAATATTAGCAGCTACTACACGCCACCAACTTGAAGCAATACAACTTACTTGATGCCCTCCCACAGCAGCCTCTTGGTCGCCGTGTAATAGTCCGGCACGTTCTGTTCCATTGCCTCGAGGATCGACATGAGGTCATCCCATCTGTAGGATAGTCAGTAGGTCACGCAATAAAACACAGCGGTCAACTCACTTGGGTGCAAACAGCTTGTTTGAGAATGACACCGCTGTGTTCGCAGCGACTTCCCTCAAGCCAAGCTCAATCTGGAAAACAAGATTGAATATTACATATCATAACGACGAAAACACTTACGGAGTTGCACACCAATGCGATTAGGTTGTCCGGGACCTCACTGAACTCCTCCGTCGGGGTGGTCGACTTGGCATGGCCCACGAACCACTGCTGCGCGATGATCTTGGCGATTGCAGGGTGTCGGAATGGTACCTCGGCCTTGACGTGTGATTTCTGATGTGAGACGTGAGACGTGCATTGCGCAATAAAGAAATGTAAACATCGCTGAGTGATGATATACGGACCTTGCTGATGGTATTCTTGTTGTCCCAAATGACCTGCATCTCCCCAAACACAAAGTTAGGGATGCTTCGCTTGCCACCCCTCACCTTCATGATGTGCGTCGTCAGCAGCCAGTTCACAAGTTGAGTCCGCTTGTGACCCTGCATGACGTTCAAGCCGTATGCATGCTCGACAATAACCTTCGCCTTTCTCTTCATCTTGTTGCGAAGCTGCAACACAATTGTCCAGACCTGCACAGCGTCAACTACGATCAGGGAATCCACTACAGTACTTACCACATCCCTGACATTCTTGCGCTGGGTGTTACCCTCCTCTTCCCGCCCATTCCTCAACTTCCTATACGCGGCACGCACCGTCACCATCTTCTTGCCATCCTTGTCGACGGAGTCGCGCGCATCCTTGAGGGCATCAGTGACAAGCACGTCGTTTGACACGAGGTGGGAGCTCGTGATCGTCGTGTCCGACGTCCACGTGGTCCTGAGACCCAGTATATTGCGCAGGCAGTATTGCGCCATGTTGACCAGCGGCTTCATGTCGACGGGCAGGTCGCTGGCTTTCATGCGGACACGCAGATTTGAATTGGTCCGCTGCGAGGTATGCGCCTTCTTCGTGTTCGTCTGCGGCATCTCCTATTTCGTCCGGCGGTGTTGTGTTCCGTATGGTCAGTTGGGTAGCATGTGTCAATGAAACATTGAACGTACTATGACATCGTCCTCGTCCTCACTCAACCTTTCTCCGTCATCGTTCTCAGCCTCCGAGCTGTTTGACTGTGTGGCATCCAATTGGTCACCATCGTCAGACGAATCCTGTCTTGCAGCTCGCGCCTTGCCCTTCGAGGAAGCTGTCTGAGAGTTCAAGAGCAGTGAGTGAGTACAAGTTAATGTGAGATGGTCATACACATACCTTGTTGGTCTGAGTCACAGTGACTGAGCTTGTGTTCTTCCCTGGAGCTGCTTTCTTCTGCGACACTCTCTCATCACCTCCATTGTCACTGTGCTCGCTGTCCGTCATCTCCGACTTCTTTCTATTTCTGTTGGCCGTCTGCACTATGTCTGCAATCCGATCAATTTGTCAGGGAGTGATGATGGGACAGACTGTGAGTAACATACCGAGTTTCTGTGTGATGGCCTGCTCTCCCTCGGTTAGCGTCCTCACACCCTTGTAGGCTGGCCTTGGTTTAGCTTTGAGGATGTGCAGGTCAGAGTATGCGCGCGCATAATTTACTTCACTCACGACGAGACGGAGCAGGCGCAACCTGCTCCATTGCGATGTCACCATCGTGCTCCTGCTCCTGCTGGTCGCCCTGACCGGCTCCCTCGCCTTTGCTTCTGCTTTCACCATTGCGATCGTCGTCTGACCCGGAAGCTGGTTCCGGCACCATCTTCGCCTTCTTGCGTGAGGGCTGCAGATCTTCCTCCTCGTCTGAAGCTTGCTCTTCGATGGCCAAAGCGGCCGCACGCTTGCGCGTGTCTGGTGTCGAGCTCAGGATGTAAGCTCTCGCGCAGGGTCTTGCACTGATGGTGCACGTACCTTCCCGCCACTCATCGTCCTGCTCCCTCTGCAACGCAGCCTTGCGTTTCAGCAGCTCATCCAGCTGCTTCTGCTGCGTGGGTGACCACTCTTCGCCACTGTCGCCTTCGCCTGCCCCTGTGGACTTCTTGCTTGTTGTCGTGGATTTCTTGCTTGTTGCCAAGGTTGATTTCTTACTCGCCGCGCCCAGCTTGCTTGCCTTGACTGTCTTCCGATCTCTAGACTTTGCGGCCCTGGTTGTGGGCCCATTGTCCGTGTCTTCCTGTTTCCTGGCGCTGGATCGAGTGGCACGCGGGCTAGACATGATGGGATGCTGGCAAAAGCAGAGGAAGGATGATGGAAGCGAGACAGAGCGAGCGTAAACGAACCTCGAGCGAACTCTGCGCGCTGTCCCCCGTCGGCGCTCCGAAGTTCCCGCGAGCGTGCACCCCAAGGCTCTCATGTCCAGATGGCATGAATAAGTCCAGGACGTGTGCACCAGATGCGCGTTGGCCGCGGTAGTGTAGATTGTAATGAGTAAAGCGATACGAGGGGAAAATGCATAGGTGAGCATGTTGAAGTGGTACGACGAGGCCGGCTTCATGCAAGCAAAGTTCGCCACCTTCAAAATCGCCTATGGGAAATACGAGGCATATTGAGTCGTTGTTGCTGTCTCGGTGCGCTTGGGTGGCAACGTTCACATTGATGACGAGACCAAGGAATGGGTGGACAGGGGAGGTATGGTGATCCGGCAGAATGCTAGCTGTGAGCCCATTCAGCGCATTTGCCCATGAGCATTAGTGAGCCGAGGCATCCATTAAGCCCATGCCATCGAGCAGCCGACGCCGGCCGATGCGTCCTCTTCCGCCTATGGTGTTTGGGCAGCCGGCGGTCTTCTGCGTCCATAGTGATTGGGACGGCCGACGGGTCAGTGTAGCATAGTAATGTATACAGTACGAGCTGTTATTACTGAGCCATCCGATCCCCATTGGGTACCCGACATCGGCTGGTATAAGACCGCAACGGCTTTTACACCTGCCCTATAAGCATAGTGCAACCGACCTCGGATGCATCTATGGCCATCGGTTGGCCGGCGTCGGATGGGTGCACCTTGCGGCCTTTCCTGTTAAGACGTTCGAAGACCGGCGACCCGACGTCGGGTGCCCCTAACACCATAGGAATGGCCGATGTCGGTGGGCCCCATACTCATTGGGCAGTCGAGGTCGGCCGGCCTCCCGCTGTCCTGAGCCAAAACTGTTTGGCTCATGGAACATGGTACTCAAATGGAACATCTTGGTACTGACAGAGTCTATCTTCAGACACTGCACAGCCCCGGAGAAGAGGGACAGACCCCATTTTCTAGGGTTCTCTGCACAGCCAGCTACTCCATGGCCCCAGATTGCACAGCCACAGGCTCCACAAGCTAAATATAGATCTAGGGTCCAAGCACCCAGTACCCTGGATCACTTTGTACCCTAGAAATGAGCCCATGACTAGGTGCACAGCATGCCGACACAGCCCTCGCTGAGCAATCAAGGTCAGTAGAGACCCCGGAAGCGGCCAGAGTGGGCCCGTGGCAGTGTATTGGGGTGCAACGAGTCAGATGAACACACAGCCACCCCAAATGACTCAGCTTGTGGAGAATGACTAAGGGATGACTCAACACATGTAATTAGTATTAGATCAGCGTATTCCTCATGTATATAAGGACCTGCGAAGTGGCAGGGAGAGGCAAGCAAGTTACCCCCAGACAAAGCTCAGACAAGTCGTGTCGCTGCCAAGTCTGCGGTGTAGTGCAAGCCACTCCTAGCCTAGCAATAGAGTACAGTGAGCCCAAAGTCTAAGTGTGACTGTAAGCCTCTGTTGAGCTAAACTAGTGAAACTTGCTCGGTAAGCTGTGATCCATAATCAGTACTATCATTCTCGTCTAGTCACGTCCACGCCCTCGTCAAGTCAGGTTGCTGATCAGCTCACGTATTCAGTCACATCACGTCACGTCCACGATATACTTCACGTCCGCTGAGCAGTCAACCTACTTGTGGTAAGTAAGGAAACTGTTTCTACTAACTCACTTCACAGATAACAACCTACTCGAGTTCCCCCTCCACAACGAACAACTGTGATAGCCCGGTATTGTCCTTACCCGGTGAACCGCAGCAGAAAACATTTCTGACCTGACATCAGTGGAGCCCACCGCGAGGGGGAAAACCTATACTTGAGTACACAAAGCTGTGAAGATCTACTGGAAACAGTCTATTGCCACAGCCTAGTTTGCTCAGCCTAGTCAACGACATCACCAAAATCTCACGCCAAGATTAATCCCCACACGAATTCAATTAGGAACGAAGAACCATGGCTACTACAACCGGTATAGCTGGTTTGCCAATGCCTGGGAGCAAGTGTGCTCCTAGGAAATTCAAAGGCAAGTACTCGGAAGTCAAGCCTTTCATCCAACACTACGAACGGATCTGTGCCAAGCTTGGCATAACCAGCGACAAGGACCTAGTGGAGAATCTCGCCCAGTATTGCAGTCGGCGAGTTCGTCAGTTCATTGAGGGTCTGCCATCCCATGAGGCCATTGTGCCTGATTGGGAAGCTCTCAAAACTGATGTACTCAAATACTTTGATGCGGACCGAGACGACAAGAAGTACAAAGTAAGGCATCTGGAAGCATATGTCTTAGAAGCCAGGAAGAAGCCAACCATCAAGACCTTGGGAGCTTGGAGGGAATATACTAGGAATTTCCTGACTATCTCTGGATGGTTAAAGAAGAAGGGTCGCATCTCGGAAGATGAAGAAGCACTCTACTTCTGGAAAGGAATACCTCGCAATTTCCGTCAGACTCTGGAGCCACGCCTGCTTGCCTCTCAGCCAACTCATGACTTATCCAAACCATTCAGTATGGTGGATATAAACAAGAAGGCAGAGGGATTGCTGCAGCGCAACCGATTCGACAGTGACAGACTCCCGTCAGATGATGAGGACGACTCAGATGAGAGTTCGGACTCGGATGATAGTGATGCTGACTCGTCGGATAGCTCTAGTGATGATACCGACAGAGAGGATCACAAGAAGAAGAGCTCTGTGAAGACTAAGAAGCGCAAGCCTACGAAGAAGAAGCACTCGAATAAGAAGGAGGATACCGATGAGGACGAAGAAGCCACCGACCTGAAACGTGCACAAGCTGCTCGTCGCAAAGCCGCACTGGACGAGAAGAAGAAGGCTGGAGAGGTAGAAGAGCTGATTCGCCAAATGAACAGGATGTCGCTGAGCGACCCGGAGTATGGTGTGCTGTACTTTCGGGCTTGCCACTTGAGTGCCCTAGCAGCCTCAGCAGTCAGACCACCTGTTCTAATTAGCTCGTCTACCACCAACTCAAGGCCGCCTGTATCTAATGGATACAGTGGTCAACCAGCCGGTTCACCTCCAAGTCAGCCTACAACAGCCCCGCTTGGCCCAAGACCTCCAATGAAATGCTACGGATGTGGTGGCACCGGGCATGGCATTGGAACATGCGCAGAGATTAACACCTTGATAGCTCAGGGAATAATCACGCGCGATGGATCTGGAAGGCTTGTCATGAAGGATGGCTCACGTATCTTCCGCAACATGGATGAACCCTTCGTGTCAGCCATCCAGAGGCAGACCGTCCCGGCGGCTCACTATGTAACCACAGAGTCGAAGCTTGGGTATTGTACTCATGCAACTCTCGAAGAGTACATGACAGACGATGAGGACACATATGTACACGTCACGCAAGACGAGCCCTCTGACGAGTATGCCTTCAACTTCGCTGCAGAACGGGGTACTAAAACTACTCGCAATGCTCGTGACCATGCCACCCAGGGACCAGTCGTACCACCGGTATCTGTTCAGGAGAAGATCAATAAGCCTCGACCAGTCAACAACCCGATCAACCGACGCGATGTACCTCCGCACATGAAGCCGACTACAACGTCACAGCCATCTCCTGACGCAACTCGTGTCTCGGCCCGCTTGCGTGGTGAGAAGGGCCTGCCAATCCCAGATCATACGGGGGACCGCGCACCACCACCAGCAATACGTGAGCAGACACCTCGTGCGCCTGCTCCAGTACCAACCATCCAGTGCCCTGTGGAAGTAACAAGCCGTCAGTTCAACGAAGACGGAGCCACCTCAGTTGGCAAGATACTTTAACCCGGTTATTAGCCCGGTGCAACATACTTTGATTGCCAGTAATGCCCTACTAATTTTAGCCAGCAGTCGATCCAAGATACCTTTCGTGCGAAGGGACATACCTTTGATCACCGTAATGCGACCAACATACTCTGGTCCGAGCAACATACTTTGGTCTGAGGCTCCGAGCAACATACCTTGGTCCGAGACTGCGAGCAACATACTCTAGTTCCGAGACTGCGAGCAACATACTTTGGTCCGAGCAACATATGTTGGCTGATAACGAACTCTCGTTGTAGATACGAGATAACATAAATTTAATAACCCTATTAAGCTCCACTAGTACTTGGCCTACGAAACACCCTATGGGGTGCCACTACAACTGGGCTACGAATGACCCTCAAAAGTCCTACTAATACTAGGGCTTCAAAAATGTATCACTCACAACTATCTTCGTGTAGTATAAGTCTCCTATTTAACCCGCTATCAGTCCCACATAAGTATCGACCAAGAACATTACAAGCGAACTCTTTCTACAAGCGAAGCTTATTTTCTTCAAAACGTCTGCGTTCCGGGTCGAGCTCCTCGAAGATAGAACGCCTATCCTCCCAGATACTCTCCCGATCCGGCCATTCCGGAGCCGCACCGCCTTCATTGCCATCATTAGCATACCATTGCGAACACTTCGTAGTAGTATTCGACTCACCTGTAACCTCGTGTATTAACGGGAGGCTACAAAGTCCCCACTTCACCCACACAATGTAATCGCCTTCGCGTAAGCCGAACACGACGTTGGCAATGTTCTCGACATGCACAAAGCGCCACGCCCGCTTCGGGCCGATCCACAGTGCGATGGGATCGACAAGACCCAAATCGTACCTTGTGCAGACAGAGGTAAAGCTCTGTTGACCACGCTTGTCGAAGAGGAACACGTCGGGCTGCAGACCATCCTGTAAAGTGCAGGTCAGCGAGCAGCAATGGAATGAAGAACTGAGGACTGACCTCGTTGTAGGCATAGATAGCGACGCAAAAGGTTTTGCTCCTCAACAATGTTCCGGCGTCGGAAGCGATGGGAGTAGGCACGGCAGGCCCTTCTACATCACTTGACGCATCCGCGTCGGAGCCCTCCTCGGAGGCGGCGTCATCAGCGGGTGGTGCGCGAATGAGCGACGCCTCGGTCGACCCACGACTGGACGTGGCACCGTTGCGAGACGAGGCGGAGGCCGGCGAAGACGCGGGCGAGGATGAAAGGGGAATGGGGGGGTCTGCGTCTGTCGCAGCGGCGAGAAGTGCCGGTAGCGGGGCATCCGCGATGGCCCAGTATGCCGCGGATCCCTCAGACTCATTGTCTGAGTCCGAGAGTTCGATCGTATCGAATGGCGTGCGCTGCGGGCGGCGTGGGGTACGGGGTGGCATGGGTGGCCCAGGGAGTATCTCGATGTCCGAATCATCGGACAACGTGCGTGCACTGGTCGACGCCGTGGCTCTGTTGGATTGAGAAGTGGCGATGAGAGGGCGGCTGAACGTGCCGCGAACGCGAGGCGACGCACTGCTCCTGCGCTGTCGCTGAGGGGATGTAGCGTCCCTTAATCCTCGGGCCCGGTATGCGCTGTACCCAGTCTCTATTCAGAGGGACTGTCTACACGTAGCATACATGGGGCGATGAGGATGGTAAAGGACTGAGGTCTCGTAGGTGCGCTGGCGCGCCATACGAGCCCTCGAACAAACAAGAACAATCATACGAGATAAGATATACCGTAACGGGAAGATCCGTTACACCCTCCCCCACTGGACACGACCACGGGTCCCAGAGATAACCAGAGAAACTAAAAGGAAAGAGGAAAAGAAAGGAATAAAACACGCGACAACCCAACGGTGGTAGCGACTGGCAATACAATAGTGGTGCTGTACTGTAGACAACGACATACCAAGTCGCATCAGTGAGCAGCACAGCCGTCCACTATTGTCATACATAACTCAGTGGAGTTATGCAAGCCAAATTCATGATGGCGACATGAGAATGTCAGCAACAAGGTAGTGCTGATGATAATACAGGTAGCAAGGTTGGAGAACTGTGAAGTTCTTCTGACACATCGCGGACAATTTGCCGGCGAGCTCAGCAACATGTACGTCAAGCATGAAGCTCGATCTCTGCGCCCCATGAATCCGATGCGCGACCGTGTTGGACACGACCGACGTGACTGTCGTGGGCGGATGCGAGGTAATGATGGTGGGACGAGTACCTCAAGGTACTCACTTCTCAATTCACCGTCGACCTCCTCATCGTGGACGTCGACGGGGAGGCCCAACGTCTGTGCGTGGGCTACAGACCAACCGGATACATTGGTCGAGCAAGTAAACTCGCCGATTGTACCGCGATGCATCGTCGTGCCGGGTGCGACTCGCAGGTCGTCCCCCGGACCGACTGTACCACTGTTGTATACAGTGACTGCCACGACAACCAATGCGGTTGTCATGGTCATCACGGGTGGTGATTGCGGGGTAGGGAATGGTGGTGCAAAATAAAGAGGGTACGTCCAATAAGGACGTACCTTTGCTTTTCGAGCTCGCAGGCTCGTCTTCTTCGCCTACACCACACCCTTCCTCCTCTCCTCCTTCTGCCTGACCTTCCTCATCAGATTCTCCTGGTTCCGCACCCTTGTCCACATTTCCTCCATCCTTCCATTCCTCGCGTGATCTCCAGGGTACATGCGAGGTTGCCGACTCGTGGCGCCTGTCGTAGTCGCCATGGGTGTCGAGGCCGCAGGGAGGTCGATAGGGGTTAAGGTGTGGGTCCTTGGGGGCGAATCCTCGGCGAGAACTGTAAAGTTCTCGCCGAGTTGAGGGTCGGGAGACCGTTCTGGTCGGTCGGGGTCCGTAGGCGCCGGCTGCTACACTACACGTAGTGCAGCAACTCGGTCACGGTCTTGAGCTCGCGCGTCCGTTAGGGCTACGCAATCGTCGAGCTGCGCCGTCGCCGGAGCGCTTGGTTCGTAACGAGAGTGGTGTTCGCTCAACCGGTCGAGGTCGAGGTCGTATCGCAGGCTTCCCAGCTGAACCGGGAATGGTTCAGCTGTCTTGACGGGACCGGGGGCTTGCACTTCCTGTTGGGAGTGCAAGTCTTCTGGACAGGTGGCCGCGCGTGAGTGGGGATCATCAGGGACGGAATCGATGCCGTTCCCCGACCCTGTCAGTTGAACTACTGCGGGTTCAACTGCACTGGACGTTCGCACTTCCGTGATGAAGTGCGGACCGTCTTGATGCGGGGCCGGGCGTAACATGTCGCTACCAGACAGAAGGTCGAGGAATTCGCGAAAGAGGTTGTCGGGGTCGTCCCGCAGCTCGGCCAGTTGGACCACTAGTGGTTCAATTGCGCTGAAGCAGCCAGGGACCCGTACTTCCGCGGGGACGTACAGGCTGTCCTGCACGGTGCGACTAGCCAACGGGAGGTCAGTAATGATTGGAGGATGGTGATCACTGACGCCGTGTACGTCGAGCAGCGGGCTAGACGTACACGCCGCATCGCGTGCAGTCGAGGTTGAATTGGGCACATTGGGCATGCATCGCTGCATGTCCATCGTGCCGCCTTGCAATTTGGGGTTTATGACCGCGAGGTCGTCCCTAGCGTAGGTGTGCTCTCTTGCAGAGCGTGCCTGATCCCGGGCAAGGATGATGTCGAGATGGGTACGTCCATTAGGGATGTACCCGCTACTCGACAACCGGTCTTGGGTTGATGGGGCGCGTCGGACATGCGGTACTGCACGTCCGCCGTGTCGCCTTGCAGTGTGGAAGGTCCGGGTACGACCTGGGGGTCGTCCCCGGTTACAAGCGTGCCACTATGCGTGAGCCAAGGTACGACCGCGAGGTCATCCCTTAGCACAGGTGCACCGCCTTGCAGTGCGGAAGACACGACCATTTGGTCGTTGCGCAGCGCGATCACGGTGTGGTGGGGCGCGTCGGACGTGCAAGGTTGCGCATCCGCCGTGTCGCCTTGCGGGATGAACGGTACGACCGCGAGGTCGTCCCGTATTACGGGCGTACCGTATTCGTGTCCCCCAGCGCGTACGACGAGATCGCTCGTCAAAATGTGGGCTGGCCCGGGGACTGTCGCAGGGAATAGCAAGTTGGGTACATCCATCAAGGATGTACCTCCACCACGCTGGTTGGTGGTGACTGAGAAGGGCACGTCGGACGTACAACGCTGCGCGTCCGCGGTGTCGCCATGTGTAGTGGCCGGTACGACTCTCGATTCGTCCCGGTACATGTGCACACAAGGCTCGTGGCCAGTAGTGCGCACGACGAGCTTCAAGTTCGTCGGTACGCCTACTGGCGCGGGCACAGCAGATGTGGAGGGTACGACCTTGAAGTCGTCCCGCAGCACGGACGTGCTACCATATGGACCTCAGGTACGACTTCGCAGTCGTACCTGGGAACGGGAGTGCCATCTTCGTGGCTAGCAGGACGCACGACGATCTTCTCGTTCGTCGCTACGCCTGCTATCGCGGGCATGGGAAGCGGGGGCGGCAATGCAGGGACGTATGATGAGTACGTGCCTGTGGTTGTCGAGCCGTCGTGCTCGTACTTCCGGCTCGCCCGGTACCCTTCCTCCCTCTGTCCCTGCGTTCCTTGCTCATCCTCGCTACTCCTCTCCTCTCTGTCCTCCTTCCGTTCTCCTCGCTCCTCGTTATCCGTGGTCCGCTCCGTCTTGCTGCTCGGCGCTGGACTTGAACGCGCGTCGTTCAAGTCCTGGGTCGCGTGGCTGGGTTGCGTGTCGCCAGAGCCGCGGTAGGGGTCGCCAGGTTCGCCAGAATCGGTAGGGAGACCTCCCAATTCGAGGCGCGAGGTGTGGGGAGAAGGGAGATGAGCCGGGGACGAATGAAGTGATGATCTGGTACCGCGAGGTACCAGGTCGTCGGTCGCCACCGACTGGACTGGCGGCAAGTCAGCCAGCCAGTTGCGAGCGCGAGTTCGCACTCGCGTTGGGGCGGCGCGCGCGTCTGGTTCGCCAGACGCGCGCTCGAGTTGGCTGCCCAGATAGTGGAAGGGGTCGAGGACGAAGAGTCGGTGGAGGCTCAGCGCAGCGCAGTGGGCGCTAGTGCTCGGGACGCTCGCCACGGACTCGTGACACTCAACGCCCGTAGTGTTGAGCGCGTCGCGCGTCGCGCCGAGCAGGTTGCTCGTCGTGGCGCGCCCATCATTCGACAATAATAATATATTTCTTGTGTCGCTGCTCATCTCTGAGCGCGCGACGAGTGTACCTACGTACGCGGGCTCGTTCCCGTTGTACACAGTACTGTTGTAGTACTGTGTGCCTATACCCTCCCGAGCGCGGAGATGCGTCGACTCGACGCACCACTCGTTCGGCTCGGATGCGAGCTCGATGACGGACGTGTCTTCGAGTTCGGCGCGTGCATCATCCTTCGGGGTGATGCCTAGCTTCGTCGCTTGGGCCGGGACACCTCGGGATGGCAGTGCCTCCAGGTGGCATTGAGCAGACCCGACGGCGGTCTCGGGCTGCTCAGAGCGCTGTGCATACCCGGCTTCGCCTTGGCGAATGACGGGTCCCGGTACGACCTGAAGGTCGTCCCGAGATGTGAACGTGCTGTCATCTCCATGATCACAATGGATCATGAAGGCGGATATGAAGAGACGGTGGCCCGACGAACCGCGGGCATTGTGCCCAACGGGCTCTACATTCGCCATTACGCACACTAACGTGGGTATGGCAGATGTCGAGATAAGTACGTCCACCGAGGGCGTCCTGATCCTTCTCGACACTCTGTACTCACCGGTAGTGTGTACAGATGACTGGGACATGTTGGATGAGCAATGCTGCTCGTCCGTCATGTCGCCTTGCAGAACAGACGGTACGACCGCGAGGTCGTCCCGTATCACAAACGTATTGCCTTGAAAGTCGGAGAGAACGACCATCAGGTCGTCCCGTATCTTTTTCGTGCGATCATCGTGGCCCACAGAGTTTCCAATGAGCTCCGCGTTCGCCGATGCGGGTGTTGGTGAGGTGGGTACGTCCCTTAAGGGCGTGCCTTCCACTATGTTGCCGCTGCTCGTGGATGAACAGGGTACGTCGGACGTGCGACATGGCACGTCAGCCGCATCGCTAGGCGGAACAGCAGATACGACTTCGCAGTCGTTGGTACACCAGGGCGCTGTCAATAGAGCATGCGGGGAGTTGGATACGTCCAGCATGGGTGTATCTTCGAGCTCTGAGGCCGCTACGCTATGGATGGTGACGGTCTCAAGGTACACGTCGGACATGCGGTACTGCAAGTCCAGCGCGTTGCACTGCGAATTGGACGGTACGACCTCGCGGTCGTCCCATATCACAGGCATACTGTCTTGAGAAGCGGAGGGTACGACCCTTAGGTCGTCCCGCAACGCGTACATGCCGTCTCCATGGCCAGTAGCGCGCTCGACAAACTTCTCGTTCGTCGACGTGCGCACTGGCTTGGGTACGAGCGAGAGGACCGGTGGAGAGTTGGGTACGTCCAGTATGGGCGTACCCTCGATCTTCGATCTCGCTACGCGACAGCTGGTGAATGCTGGATGGGGCACGTCGGACGTGTATTGCGGCGCGTCCGCTGTGTCGCCTCGCGGAATGTACGGTACGACCGCGAGGTCGTCCCATATCGCAATAGTGCTACCTTGCAGACCAATGGGCACGACGGTCAGGTCGTGCCGCAGCACGACAGTGCCGCCTTCCTGGCCTGCTATACATACGACGACCTGTGTGGTCGTCGATACATGTGCCAGCGTGGGCATTGGAGAAGGAGGCGGTGGCGAGTGGGATACGTCCACCAAGGGCGTACCTGCGTTTATTGAGCCTCTCTGCTCGTCTTTCAGGCTCGCCCCGCACCCTTCCCCCTCCTTCCTTTTCCTGATTTCCTCGCATTCTCCTCGCTCCGCGTTTCCCGTGGTTCGCGCAGCCTGGTTGCCTGGTGCTGGACTTGCACGCGGGTCGTGTGAGTCCTGGATCGTGCGGCTGGGCTGTGTGTCGCCAGAGCCGCGACGGGTGTCGCCAGAGTCATGAGACTCGAGAGGAGAGCCTCCTGAGTCAAGATGCGAGGCGCGAGGGCGGAGGGAAAGGATCGGAGAGTAAGGATCTGGCGGTCTTGTACCGCGAGGTGCCAGGTCGTCGGAGGGGTTGCCGACCGCGAGGTGGCGGTCGGTACTGACCGGTCGATCCTTCAGCTGAACCGCGAAGGGTTCAGCTGTCCAAAGACAGAGCGCGGCTCGCACTTCCGTTGGGAAGTGCGAACCGGGTTGGAACGCGGTTGCACGCGGGCGGTGGCTGCCAGTGTGGAGGTCGAGGTGGCGGTTAGCATTGAGAGGAGTACTTCCGGCGCTACCGCTGGGAGTGCTTGCTCTCGGCGCGTGCGCGTGACGCTCGACGCATTGAGCGTCGAGCTCGATGCTGGCCGCGTCGGGCACGTCGTCCGGCACGATAGTTGTATATTTTGAGTCGCGGCTCATTTCTGAGCACGCGACATGTGGATCTACGAGCAGAAGCTCGTCTACATCCGGGGATGCGACGTGAGGTCGCGTCCCTATGCCTTCCCGGGCGCAGGACCGAGTCATCTTGTCGGACAACTGGGACTCGGGCTCGGCGACGGCGGCGTCGACGAACCTAGCGCGTGCACCACTCTTGAGTGTGGTGCCGAGCTTGGTCGGCTCACTGGGAGCAATCGGAGACGGAGTCTCCGGACATCTCTGAGCAGTCTCGATGTCGGGCTCGATCTGCTCAGGACGCGACCCCTTGGGCTCAGACACGGGCTCAACAGCGGCAGCGCTGTCGATCTCGGTGCGCGCACCACTCGTCGGAGAGCTTTCCAGCTCCTGTGGCTCGGTTGGAACAGGCGGAGTCGGGTTCTCCTGGCAGCTCTGAATGGGCTCGACCTTGGGCTCGAACAGTTCTGCGTGTGCTGTGCGTTCGACCTCGCGGTCGGACGGTGCCTGCTCCGCGAGTGCTCCGGACGAGTTCTCGGGGTCTGAGAGCTCAGTCCGGCAGGTCGTGCGACGGTGACGTCTGGACTCGTTGTCCTGCTCCACGGAGCGTCTGAACGATGTGATATCATCATCTAGATGCTTCATCGAGTCATCGAGTGTCCGGAACCGCCTATCGGGGGTGGGTCGTGTCTCGACCGGGATACTCTTCAAGAACTTCGCAAAACTGTCAAGAAGTCCATCCACCTTCGCATCGACCTTCGCGCGGTGGGCCTCCCGAGTACTACGCGAGTGCTTGGGAGACTTGGTTGTCGATCCAGCCATCTTCTTGAGTGGTTGCGAAGTTGACTAGATTTGGATGTAAAGCATAGAAATTCGAAGTTTCCAGGTTGTTGCCTAGAGTAGATAGTCCCCAGAACAGAAGCTGTTCTGGAGCGCAAAAAAGTGTAGCGTCCCTTAATCCTCGGGCCCGGTATGCGCTGTACCCAGTCTCTATTCAGAGGGACTGTCTACACGTAGCATACATGGGGCGATGAGGATGGTAAAGGACTGAGGTCTCGTAGGTGCGCTGGCGCGCCATACGAGCCCTCGAACAAACAAGAACAATCATACGAGATAAGATATACCGTAACGGGAAGATCCGTTACAGGGGATTTGCGAGTGGGTTGCAGAGGCCCATCGACGACCTCGACGTCCGAGTCGGTGGAGGGAGTGAGTCGAGAGGGCGGGGAGCGGACAGCAGAGCGAGAGTGCGAGGGTGGTTGCCTGGGAGCCACAATGTGCCGACTGGCGGTAGTAACTCCAGGACGGCTGGCCACAGCAGCCAGAGGAGGCGCGTTGACTGCTTGGGCAGCCGGGCCGATGCGCTGCTCGCGGATGAAGGTCGCACGCTCAACCAGATCCACGCCTTCTCTGTCGAGGTGTGCTTCCTCATCAGCGACCTGTCGGAGCTCGTCGTCGATCTTTTCAACTGTGGCCGCATCACGCGAAACTCGCCGGCGTGTCAAGGCATTGCGACGCTTGTGTACCTCTCGTAAATTAGACACGTTGACTCGCATGCGCTCGACAAGGTCTCGTTCTTCGTCGCTAAGACGGTCGCTCAGGTATCGGAACCCCCGGAGGGGGCAATCTGGCATGGAACACTGCAGATTCAGTCAGATAAACAGGTCCTTAGGATGATTCGTGAGGTTACTGACCGTGGTGAACAGCCGAGCGACGTTTACATCGTTTGCATTGAGATACTGGAGTTGGACTGATGGCCCGTGGTTGCAGACGTCGAGATCGTATTGAGGATGACAAAGTTCTTCGGCGAACAGCTTGAGCTTTCGCTTGTAGAAGTTCTGCGAGGTGTTGGTAATCGGCGTCCGGGGCCCACTGGCCTGACTCAGAAGAGCTCGCGATGTTGACGAGCGGGTTTTGCGGCCCCGAGGAGTTTGTGAGTTTGACATGGAGGCGAGGGTGAGGGGCGTGTGTGGGCGTGCGCGAATAGTGCGCACCTTTTATACCCTCGCCGACCTATTGTTCGCATGCCCGATCCACCATTGTCGCTTTGTGGCAAGATTAGGGGTGTTGCCACGAAGCCACAGAAAGCTAAGCGAGCTTTGACCGGTTGAAGATCAACCAGGGGCGTGCCTCGCTTGGACCTAAGAGCCAAACGTGTGGCGCAAGGGGATAGCGGGGTCAAAGCGTCGGGAGGAGTTGGGCGGGAAACAGGGCTGAACATCGCAACGAGATCAAAGCGAGACTTTAGGGCGACTGGGGATGACAACAAGCTTGAACGATGTGATAATCAGTAAATAACAGCCTTTCACTTGGTACACTAGACACAATGTCGTACGTATTCTACAGCTACAGTACTCCGAAGCCTTTCATAAAGAAACATTACTTTCCCTTGCGATGGAGCGATGCGTAATCCTGCTTCCTGTGATGCGCTGTCAGCGAGTGAAGGTCTTCCTATAATGAACTTACTTCGCCCTCTTTGGACGACCCGAAGGCTCGTCCGGCATTTCTGCGTCCTCGGGGCTCCCTCTCTTTTGTCCACGCGCTGGCGCGCGGTGCTCGCCTTCCGGGGCCACAAGAGTGGCACGCCTCCCACTTGATTTCGTTTGGCGGCCTCGGCCCCGGCGCGATGTTCCCTTTTTGACAGCGCGGGGACCCTTTGTCTGGCCTTCAGGTTCGGCATCACCATGAGGCAGAGTATCCGAGGCAGTCGCGGATTCAGGTACGTGCGCATCGTGCTGCGCGGGCTCAATGGGATCGCCTGGTATCTTCTCACTCTGCTGGACGAGTTGCCGGTCGTGTCAACGGACATCAACCTCTGTGCTGTTCGCAGAGTGCAGTATATGACTCACCTTTCCGTCGTCTTCAGCCGCTGGTTCTTCACTGAATCCGTCTTGGAGCTGTGGCGGTTCGGCAGGCGCGGGCTGCGCGACGCCGGCGAGTTGGTCGACACCGAGACTGGGCTCAGCTCGCTCGTCCGCCATCGCTGGGTCATCGTTGGACCCGTCTTGCAGCGGCTGCGGCTCGGCGCCAGGACGCGCGACGTCGTTGAACTGGACGACGTCGACACTGAGTTCAGCCCCGGAGACCACGACCGCCCGTGGCGCCTCAACGCCGGGCGGGTGACTGATATCGTTCTCGGTGTTGTCGCGGCTAGCTGCGGAGTCTTCCGCGTGAACTGCTCCGCCCTCAGATGGGACGGGGACGTTACGCTGTGGCTGAGCGGCCACATGCATGGGTGGAGCGATGTCCTGCGGCGGTTGAGGGCCGCCCTGCGGGGGTAGATTACCGTGTGAGCTCTGATGCGGCTCATGCTCTCGGTCGCGACCATTGAGTACAGACAGACTCACCTCATTGCCGTCTGTGGGGTGTTCTACCCTTAGTACTCCCTCCGATGGGACGGGGACGTCTGGGAGTGCTTGAGGCACGTTCTGCGGGGGTTGAGGGCCGCCGGAGAGGTGATCCGTCTCCCGGGTACTTTCATGAGTTGCACTGGGCAGAGGCTCGGCGTGTTCCTGCGTTGCTGACCCAGACGCGGAAGCGTTCGCGGGACGGGGTGTGAGACCACCCGCGTCGAGCACGTAGTCATCCAGTGTCTTGATGAGGGGCTGGGTGACGACCCGCTGGGCAAGGTGGTCGCGCCCTCGTTTTCCGGCACTCATCCTGAGCAAGTCAGCCCAAACAAACAGAGAACAACGTAGCATACTTACAAACTACGGTTGGATGTTCCGTCCTCTCGCACTTTTCCCATGTACACAAAGATCTCGGCGCCCGTTTGTTCAACCCACGAATCAATGGCAGTGCGCATGCTCAGGCGCAGCCGAGCGAGAAGACTGTAAAGAGAGTGAGTCAGTGAGCAGGTTTTGGAGAACTGCGGCACTCACTCATGCTGCGTAGGTGCATCTTCTACCTCATCCTCTTCATCTTCGTCCCCGTCACTCTCCTCGCCGGCTGCCACACGAGAAGCACGTTCAGCCTTTTCTCTAGCCGAGGCTTCTTCATAGCGCTGCCATTCGTCCGGCTGGTTCAGTTTGAACTGCTCGAGATCGCGGTGATGGCCACGTTCAGCGCCTTCCTTCGGTCGCCTGGTGGAAGCTTGCCTTGAGCATCCACAACATCTTTGCCGACGCCAGGGTGGTCCCGAACGTATAAGTCGCGCGCACTCGAGGCGCGCGACCGCCGCGCTTTTGCGGGAGGCTGAGGTTGGAAACGGAGCAGCGCAGGGGCCATGTTTCTCTGCGCGTTGATCCACGCCTTATGGTTCTCAGCCCACCGGAGGATTCGCTGTTGGGCGACATCTTAGCATCGCATAGAACTTGGAAGGTAGAGACTCACCCCCGGCCTTCCATCGCACCGCTCTGCGCGCGCTTCTTCTGTCTCGTAACCCTGAAATTTGCCTTTCTTGTACACAGGCTTGAGGACTTGGGGATCGAATTCCTTGTCGAAGGCGATGGCGACGTCCTGGGCCACAGTCTTGTACTCGGCGTCCGGGTCAGCATCCCTCCAAGCGGCCACCATCTTGTTCACGAGCCATTGGTGCTGGTTGATGCCCTTGCGCGGGTCAACAACGCAAGCCAGACACTTGGGCGCGGCGCCGGAGTTCGTCATAGTGAGGCTAGTAGGTAATCGCGAGCGGGTACCAGTGGCGTGGTCCATGCTTTTTATATGTGACTTTCGCCACCGATCTCGGAGGCCACATCTGGACGAAAGCGGGGAACATTAGCCAACGAAAACAAAGACATAACGAAGCCACTCAGGGGCACGGGTAATGTCAAAGCGTGGTCCGCGGCGCGCCACACGCAGCCGACCACCCGAGGTCTCGCAATGCAAGTGTTATGTTATTGACATGTTCGTTCTACTAACGCGCGATACAAGGTACATTACGGGAGCGGAGGGGTGACGAGGCGTACAGGTGGGCAGGGCAGGCGATGGAACTGTTCGGTGAAGCTCTGTACGTAGAACCGGATCGCTCGCACCTCAATATCATCGAACACATGCGTCTTCTCACATGTCGCGATAGCGTCCTTGTCAGCCCGTAACGACTCCGGGAAATTGGGCCACAAACTCATGACGTCCACGAAGGCACGTAAGTTTCCGCGACGACCCAGCCAGCCGTCCTGACCAGCGGCGAACCAACAATACACGGGCTCGCCTACGTCAACCGTCGTGACGGCGGACTGCTGGGATGGCGTATGCCAGACACTAGAAACGACCTGTTCGCGCTCCCACTTGCGGAACGCATCGCCCGAGTAATCGACCAGGCGGCTGTCGAGCGCTCTGAGTTCGCAGCGCCAATTGGCTTCGTAAAGCTCCCAGATGACGAGGCGAAGGTACTCCTCGTCGGTTTTTGCCCGGTCAAGGCTCACCTCGACACCTCGGTACATCGCATGTTGGGTGTCTGTGTAGGACACCAAGCCTCCGCCCTTCGCAAACAGTGCGCGGACAGCTTCCCGTCGTTCAACATGCCACTCCGGCTTGCGGTCCCCTGCCGTTGAAGCGCTCTGAGCGTCTCCGTTCGACGGCCCTTGGTCGAGGGCTAGACCATTCCCCAACCGATCAGATTGAGGTCCGATGGCCTGCTTGGTATTCTTCCGCTGACGCTCTTCGATGGCATCGCAGTTATAATCTCCGTAAAGGGCGTGGCGCCACTCGGCGATTCGCAATGGCGCCCCGTCAATCGAAGAATCAATGAGTCGGAGCTTGCAGAACTGCCATATCCGGGCAAAGTTATGGAGGTATCGGGCTTTGTTCGTCTTCGCGTTCTCGATCACAAAAGGCGGGGGCAGAAAGTATTCGAGGGCGACCGGTGGCGGAAAGGGCAAGGGGGAGACCCCGGTCAAAGCGGTGCGCCAGTTCGGGCTAAGCTCGACGACGTCAGTGCTTGGTGGCTGGAAGGTTGTGGCTGGATGGGGCTCTGATGGCTTTGCCCCAGACCGCTTGCCCCGAGATTTGTGGCCCCTTTTCTTGCTGTTGTGCGTGGTCGGGCGCACGTCGTGGGGCTTCGGGAGCACAGTAAAGGCTCCATCGTCTCCCTTGAATCGCTTCGCGTCTCGCTCTACCTCCTCCGTGCGAGCCACAGCGTGGAGCTTCGGCAATGCGGACGAGCAAAGCAAGTTGCTAACGAACAAGACCGATGGTTGCGTCCACTTCCCGGGATCTTGATGGGTCCCGTCGGGGTCGTACCATGATTTGGGGACCCTGGGCCACGCTGGGCTCGAGTTGAGCGTTTGTGACCACCTGCGGGGCTCCACGACCTTCTGTATGATGACGTCGCGCGTCCACGGCTGTATGAGCCAAAACGGAATCCCCAGGCGATGCAAAAGCTGGGCGGCAGGCACCGAGCGCACAAAGGCGCCGAGAACTGGAAGGATGCGGTAACGTTGGGACTTCGCGTCGGCCATACGCGCGGCGACCTCGTTGTGATAGATAGTGAGACCGCAGAGCTCCAAGATGAGGCGGTGCGCCAGGCGGCCGGTGACAAGGGCGTGGAGGCGAGTAGTAGGCAGCGTTTTGAGGTGTTCTACAGCACTTCTCAATAAGAGGGAGAGAACCGTACCGAGCCGTATATCCACCAAGGCCTGTCCAAACCATGCGAGCCGGTCACGACTCTGAGCCGAGCGTTCCGCGTCTTCGTATCGAGCAATCACTGAGGTCGCGATGTCGCTCAGCTGTCCAAGTACGTCCGCATTGAAGAACCCGAAGGCGGATATGCCGCAAGACTTGTCTTCTTCCCAAGCGTAGTATCCGAACCCGTCGTAGACCTGGTCTCCTGGAGCCCAGGGCGAGCCTCTAGTTGGGATGCACGCATGATGTATCGAGTTCGTGTTGTACAGTTGCGGCCATCGAGTATATTCTTGGGGGCCCCATAGGCCGTCCTCGAACGTGACGATATGGTGTTCCGAAATCCGCGGGAATTCCGGGATCCAGTTGGCGTATGGCGTCGTAATGATATTGCAGCTGTCGCCAGTGTCGGCGGCACACAAGCCGTCAGTCGGTTTAATGGGCTGGCGCCATTCTGCCCTCCAGGCCGGTAAGCCAAGTTCGGAGTCAGCATCGAAAATCACGTACGTTCGCGGGGCGTTACAGTCAGGACGAAGTCGGTGGTACCGGTAGGACGGTCGAAGTTTGCGTCAGCCATCCCGCCGCAACAAGCCTGAACGAAAGTACGGTCAGTCGAGGACCAGAAAGTTCAAGTTGCATTGCACCCACAAAGACAAGACGCAGTGAGCGATTGGCGCAGCTCGTGGGCAATCGACTGGGGTCAGACTATCCGCGCATGGCTGCGTGTCAGACACGCCCGAAAGAGCGAAGAAACTGGACGCACCGATCAACTCCCAGGAAATGCAAGAGTCTGAGTGTAGGTAATTCGTCTTGAAACGGCGCGGCCTGAAGGCGTGTAATGAACGCTCAGTAGTTTGCAGCGACCGAAATAAGTATTGCCGTACGCACGGCGAGGTCCTTAACTTTGTCGAGCCACAGAGTGCTCCCGCAGCGATGCCTCGACTGGTGTTGATGCGAACGCTAAGTTACTGAAGGACGGCTTGGGCTTCACCGGATTCCAGGACGACGTATTCTCGACTGGCAGGTCGGCCGTGAGGTGTTGTAACGGAGGAGGGTGGAGGGAAGTGCCGGGGCAGCAGATATACCGCGCCCTGGCCAGTGTCGCGCAGGAAGATCGCAATCTAACCCGTTTCGCAGATCACTGTGTTGAAGGACCCCAAGAGATGTCGAAGAAGCCCAAGAGAGTAAGCAGGGAGGTGCAATTGAACACCGTGGAAGCTAGAGGTCGACGAGGAGAGCGTCACGGTGACCCACAAGAGGAAGTCGGACTTCGCATCGGAGAGATGTCCACGGGCGCCTGACCCGCAACTCTCACTCGCGCACTCGTCCTCTGTCTCCACCCCGCCGACTCTCCTTCCTCTCGAGCCCCTGCTGGTCCCTAGTGCACTCCCCTATGGCGTGTCCCCGGTTGTCCGCTTTGGTTTCGACCATGCGTTGATGACCGGGCGGGAAGCTCCTGTTCTTGACGAGCAGTTGAGCGACCCTGCTCGCCCGGCCTACAACACCGTATCCGCCCCGCCCGTCTCTCGTCTGTGTCGTGACCTTCAACCCGATGCCCCAATCCTCTTCGAATCCAACCTCGTTCAGGACGTCAACCGCCCACAGGTCGACCCCTTTACCGCTCACGAACCCGGTCGTCCGCCTTGGTTTCGACCATACGTTGATGTCCGGGCGGGAAGCTCCTGTTCTTGACGAGCAGTAGAGCGACCTTCATCAACATTCCGCCCCTCTATTCTCCAGGGCTCAACTATTTTCACCTGTAATCGCCAGTAACGCGGCGAACACTACTCGGAAGGAGCATATTGGTACCATGGTGCGTTTCGAACGTTCTCTTCATTGGGCTCTAGCTCACTGTATAACGGATACACAAGTGACTCCCGCTCCACCGCGACGAGACTGTCCCTCCATTCCCCCGGCCGGAGTGCGTTCACATCACACATGTCCGTAAGCCGACTCACAGTCTAGATCATTTCTCGTCAGACTACGCTCAGCATTGCAACATCCACCGAGTATCCCCTCAAATGCCCTGTCCCATCCGTGCGTACGTATCGTGTCAATGACCGCCGTTTCCACCAGTGCATTGATATCATAACACACGATCCAGCTACCGTCTCTGCGGCCGTCTGGTCATCTCGGACCCTATCACTACTCGCGTGATCCAACTTAAGGTACATCGCATTGTCATGAGCATTTGCCCCGTATTAACGACTCGTTTCGCGTCTAGTCAGACTCCGTTCTCTACCTACCGGCCACTGCTACGCGATGTCAAGAGTCCCCGGATCGTGCACTGATGAGTATAACGTAGTAGTTGTGGTATGCTAAGGCTCACCCCCACTTGCGCTGTCCGTATGTAGAACCCGTAGCCTGATCAGCCGTTGTAGTCGGTGAATGCGATGTGCCTACATGAACCGGGTTTAGTCTTAACAATGCGCCCCTGCGAATTGCGCTTTGACCGTCCCTGATGATTGTCCTGGCTCTCCAAGCCACTCGCCCCTGGCCCTTGGCGACGCGCGTCCCATCGCGATGCTTTGACCGCTCCGACCCTGGTCTCTGGTTGGTGGTGTGCATCTTACCTCAGTCTCTTCTCTGTCGCCACTCCCCCTTCCCTCCGCCCCGATGCCGAAAGCTAAACGCAAGAAGGCCGCACCATATGTATACGAGGACGACGGGGGCCAGTCGATACCTGATGGACCGGAGACCGTTTGGGTTAGCGGACAAGGGCAGGAGACAGTCGAGTACCTGTCGCCAGGCCTGCGATTCGAGAAGCGTGGCACTGCCAATACACGCACGACAGACCCACCACTTCCCTCGCTTCTTGCATATGCTGCGGAACTCGACGCCGACAGCACGATGCACGACCTACCGGAAGATCCTGTGCCTCAGGAAACCCCCGCCGCTGAAGAGGAGCCGAAGAACCGTGCCAAGGTAATGAGATACTGCAGTTGTTGCGACTGTGCCACTGACGAATGATACAGACTGTTCACGAAGCCATGTCTGACTTCCTGAACGACTGGGCGCAGAAACTGCTCGACATCTTCCGGAGCCACGAGATCGACCCGAACGTTGGCAAGCCATGTTACGAGTGCCACTCACACGACGCGATCTTTCGCTGCACGGACTGTTTCAACAGCCCCATCTTCTGTTGTGAGTGTATCGTCGCCGGCCACAAATGGAATCCTCTCCACCGAGTGGAGCGATGGAACGGCTCGTTTTTCGAGCGCACTCACCTCTCGGACATCGGGCTCGTCTTCGCGCTGGGCCACTATGGGGAAGCATGTCCCACGACCTTCGACGAACCTCCGAGTCAGCTCACCGTCGTGCACACGACAGGCTTATGCACGTTGAACGTGCAGTACTGCCACTGTCTCAAGGATGGTCACAAAAGAATGCCACGCCCCCTGCAACTGTGGGACGCGGCACTGTGGCCGGCATCGTTCTCTCGGCCCAAGACCGTGTTTACCAGCCACGCACTCCGCTTCTTCACGCAGTTGACGTGCCAGGCCAAGACATCCGCACACGACTTCTACGGGACGCTACGGAGACTGACCTCAAACGCGTTCTTTGACGATGTGAAGGTATGTATTTCTCATGCAACACTTCATCGCTCGCTGACTTCAAACCAACAGGACCGTTATCGCGAGTTCATGACAGCACACCGCCACTACCATTACCTCCAGACACTCAAACGGTTTGGAGTGATGTTCGACGTAAGCTCGAACCCGGCTGTCTTGCCGTGCGTTGCCCAGCGTGTCCACAACCCGGCGTCAACATGGACCCGATTTGGAAGGAACGCCCTCAATCGGAACGATACAAGGACGCGCTGCATTATGCCAAGGATGGAAATTTCCATCTGAATCAGCATGACAAGAAGATGGACCGTGACGACTTCCCTTTGACGAACGGGGCGCAGTACTATGTGGACACTGACGAGTACGGCGAGTTCCTCGACAAGACTAAGGTTTACGAAGACGTTCAAGAGGAAACGACTACGTGCAGTAATTTCAACGCCCTCTCCGAACGGTACAAGGGCAAGATCAAGACGGGACAGGTCGCTCTGTCATGCACTCGCCACGGTTTCGTCATTCCGTGTGGCACTGTAGACTTACACATCGGCGAACGTTATGCGAACGTCGATTACGCGACGCTCTCTGGTCTTCGTTGGTACTACTCGTTACACCTGCTAATCGGATCATACGACGTAAACTGCAAGTACGGTATCAAGTGGTGGGATCGCCTCAAGAGGATCGCGTCCATCCTGCCTCATGTCCCTGGGGTCTCAATTCCGCAGGAGGCGTGGCCGATAATTCAACGCTGCGTCCCGAAGTGGCATCTACCGTCACACACCGGCCTATGTCGGTTCCTCTTCTCATTCTACTACACCCCTGGCGTCGGAAACACGGACGGCGAGGCGGTCGAGAGGCGTTGGGCTGCCATGAATGCCATTGGTCGATCCGTTCGCGAAATGGGCCCGGGGCATCGGCAAGACGTTATTGATGCGCACAACTCCGACTTCAATGCACAGAAGACCTTCAAAATAGGTGAGTGCATTGCCGGACTCTAGTATGGCACTCATCGACGCCATTCTAGCCCGGCATTTAGAGGCTAAGCTCAAGGATGCACTAACAAACCTGACCGACCACCAGATAGAACTGGATGATCTGGAGACCACGCTCACGTTAAACCGACGTCCGCTTGCTGAGTGGAAAGCCGCTGAAACCGAGTACGTGGTGCAAATAACGGATCCAACAATTGATCGACACAAGATCAAGATCCCGTACCAGGTAGCGGTTGATGAAGGTGAGTCGCATGTTGAGTTGAACGGGCCCTGAGCTCAACGGGTTTAGCACCATCGACCCAAGACATTATCGCACGACTCAAGGAGGAGGATGCAGCCGAGCGCGACGCCGAGATGGATAGACGAGGGGTGAAGCGGAAGGCGGCGGATATGGAAGACGAGGCAGGGGCAGTGACTGTTCGCAGGCGAGGTCTGGGTGACCTTCTCTTGGATGCGATCACACTGGAACATCAACAGTGAGTGAATACGACGACTGGCTGTCTATGGATAGGTGATGGGTGAGAACAGGGAGACCTTAAAGAGGAAGGTTCGAGAATACGAGAAGGAGGCATCATCCGAGTTGTACAACGAGATCAACAATGAACGGGACAAGCTCCATGCCAAGCAGCAAGACTGGCTGATGTGGCAAGCCCAAGTGATGGGCGCGACGTTGCTAATCCTGGAGGAGGAACTCCGCGACTGCGAGTGGCCAAGTCGTACCATTGTTGATGCAGAGGATGTCATTCTGCTAATTCCCTCCGCATACCCCCAACCCGTTCGCAAGCACGCCCTCTTCCGACGTTTCGTGTCGGCTGAGCGGCGCCTCCGCGTGGCTCATGCCGAAGACCTCCTAAAGAAAATCCGGCAAAAGCTTCATTTCGAAGCGTTCTTTCGTGCACAAAACGCGGGCTCGTATGGTCAGCAAGCCCACACAAGGTACGCCAAGTTGAAGGAGACCGAGAGGGCGAAAATCCAGTCGCTACGACAGGAGTACGAATTCACCAGGACAAGGGTCGTTCGACTGGCCTCGGCGGAGGATCCTTGCTCATTGGAACCTCTGACAGAGCAGCAGTGTCGCCCGCCAGTCATTGCCGATGAGAACACAGGTCGCCGAAATGAGCGTGTCTCATGGCTTTGGCGGGACAACACATACCACGGCGCCGGAGCATTGGACAAGTGGGCGCTAGAAGGTGAGTCTCTGCAATAGCACATGTCGAACGCACGCTGACGTTCTTCATGCAGCGGCGCGCGTCGAGTGGTTCCGGGCCAGTGCACGTGTATCGAGATGGACGGAAGAAGTTGCACTCGTGAAGGCGGAGATGCAGCGAGTGCAACGATTCTTTCAGCACTCGAAGGAGACGTGGGACAAGCGTGCCAAGCAGCTGTGTACGACCATCAGCGAGCATGGTGCGGCTGCATATGCTGCGAGGTATGTGGATCACCATTACCCTTCTGCTAAGACTCACTGGGAAGCACTAGGCAGGCAGCCATGTACTCTCGGCTACTAACTGAAGCACGAGCAAGATTTCCGGAGTCGGAGCATGTGGGCCTAACCACCACTGCACCAAATGCAGTGGTATGACAACTTCATAGACTCCAATGTATACTACCTGTTGTACTACAAGTCGCGCTAATTTGACCACTATAATCGGCACTATGTCGTACACTATAGTGTAAGCTAATTGTCAGGGCTAATGTGTGCACTAGGGATCGGGGTACGGCACGCACTAAAAGGCGGGATAAGTGTCGCGCTATAAATTACACTACCTATTTGGGTAACTCGTAGGCTACCTGTCGGGGCCCCTGGAGCTAGCAATGGAAGGATGCGGACAATATTAGTGGACGAGGAGTGGCGGGCAAAGTATGTTATTTGGACAATATTGTCGGTCAAAGGTATCTTGCCAGGTGAAACTATTGGAAGACGACGATGACGAGATCATGGAAGATCTCTCGCAGCCACACGCACCATCATCGGACAAGGGAAAGGAGAAGGAGGGAAAGGGACGTACTGAGCCGGCGAAGACAGAGCCCCAGAAGCGCGTCCCCCGACAGAGCCAAGTCCAGGCCCAAGTCGATCCGTGGAACGTCCTCGCCAAGGCCCTGAATGCCCCAGTAACTCTGCCAGTGGGCGAGATCTTCGGCATTTCGAAAGAAATGTCAGCTCACCTGCAGGAAGTGTTGAAGCCAAAAGCACCCCCGAAGAATATCGTTGCGGCTGCATTTGGTCCTCGATCGAAAGGGGCCCTCATCTACCTTCGAATGGAAGTGGACGAGAGGCCCGTCACTGCCATCATCGACACCGGATCTCAGCTCAATATCGCTAGTCGCAAACTATGGAAGACGCACCTCAATCGACCGATGGACATCGCCCGCTTGTGTCAGATGAATGACGCGAATGGGGGGGCCGGAGCCCTCCGTGGACTGGTCGAGAACGTGCCCTTGACGTGCGGAAACGTCCGCACGATTGCCAACCTGTACATCGGTGAGCGCGTCCCATTCGACTTGCTGCTCGGACGTCCCTGGCAGCGAGGAAACTACGTCAGCATCGACAAACGAGCAGACGGAACGTACCTCATGTTCAAGAACCAGGACCTCGAGACGCAGCATGAGATCCTCGTCACACCGGACGGATACGACCCGGCTTGGTCATACGAGCCAGCGGTGTGGTACGCCGAGGACGGCGCGAGGACGGACGACCCCGGTCTTGCGTTAGCACCCTCGAAAGTGCTCTCCTGCACTAGTGCAAGGACCCCGACCTACGCTGAAGAATGGTTAGCGGGTAAACGGCTGGGAGTGGACATACTGTACGATGACCTACCGTCCAGATGGATCGGCCATGCAAGGATGTTCCAGCACCCCAATACACTAGCTGCACCCTCGGAGACTCCCCCGGAACGACTGAATGTTCCCCGGAATGCACTAGTGGGCCAGGGCATGCCAACGAAGGGGTCCACCGTGGAACCTAGGACAAAAGCATCGTTAGGAGGTGATAGGAAGGGCGGCGACGTACCGAAGTCTTGGAGCCCGACGGCAACCCCGGGAATTGGCCCGACACCCTCGATTGAACGGCTGGGTGCGAGCGTGACACAGGCCGACCAGGACAAGCCACCTAGTCAGGTGAACGAAGCCGGACGAGACCGCGAGATACGTGCCGTGACGCGTCTACCTCAGGGGTTCACGCAGTCAGTACGCGACGCGCATCGGAATGAGCAAGCAACGAGCGAGACGCACCCGTGTGGAGGTCGCATCCACCAGTGTGCACCGTGCCCTACAACGCGCCTCCGAGCTCACAGACAAGGCGCGTCCGCGAACGTACCTACGCGCATTCCCGCCGCCACTCAACACGACGAAACGGAGGATGGAACGTTAGTGGGAGCCAAGAAACGTGACCGCGACGCACCGAATCAACAGAACGTAGTGGCCACCCTAGAAGCTAACATTGCGCCCTCAAGCGAACGCACTGTACGCCTCGCCGACGGCAGCTTTGCGGCACAACCTAGAGAGAAGAGGAGCATAGGAGAAGATAAGCAAGCCGGCGACTTACCTGACCTCAAAGATGCAGCACCACAACTGCACGGGACTACGGACATGCTCGCGCCGCTGATATCGCTCCCGTTCGGAATGGAACGACCTGCGAAAGACGCGTTAGCAAGCCGACCAACGACCGGCACTCACCAAATCAACAGAAACAGCGAGGCGATCTACGCACCTAGTTCCACGCCCTCAAACTCGCAAAGCACCCGTCCCGACCCTATCGAACGTTCTGCGCACGATCCGCCGCTCCACCAAGGCCCCGCCGATGTATTGAAGCGCGTATTTGACGAGTTGGTCACGCTAGCCCGAGAAGGGATAGATCCAGAGGACGAGACAGGAGTGGGAGGGCGTGACCGGAAGAAAGCAAGGCGCGTCAATATTGCAGTTGATAGGGACCCGAGGCAGTCAGTGGCACTCAGAAAGAAGAAGACGCGAGCAGAGCAGCGTAGGAAACAGCAAAGCAGGGAGAGGTTGAGAAGCAGAGCCGGCGAATTAGCCAGGAAACGAGCGAGACGACCACAGACGGAAGTGCCGGCGGGAACGCGCGTTTCCGACCGTGCGGAACCGTGCAATCGAGACCCGGACTTAACGGAGTCCACTCGCCCGGGTCACACCACATCCAATTGCGATCGGGCGCCCGATCCACTAGTAACGTGCGTCGCTCGCTCTCGTGCCACGTCCACTACGCCCGCCGACTCCACCACCCCCGGCTCCGGTCATGAGGGCCACTCCCTCGACCTGTCAAGCGCACGCACCACCAAGATCGGACGAGGAAGGATAGCAGGGGAAGCGGGAGTTAGGCAGGGGAGCAGGGATGCAGGTGAGTACACCTGCTGGCCGTATAAAGAACTCGGGCCACGTACCTTGGACGACCCATCCCCCGCCTCTGGACGGATCCACTCGCCCGCCATGCCGCCTCAGCGTCGCGGACTTCTCGCCAGATACTCGGCGGCCCCGGTCCTCGTTCAGCCGTCCCCCATCCGCTCGGTTCTCTCAGTGCCGCCCGACCTGCCGCGCGGGTACCTCCCGCCGCGGGACATCGAACGCATTGTGGACTTCGACAACCACCACGGCCGTGGGCCTAGCGCTGGCTCGATGGTCCTCTCGTCCTCGAACTGCACCATCCAACGCGCCTACAATGAAACCGACGGGGCCCAACGATTGGTCTTCCACTGCCAGAACGGAGCCCTCGCATTCCAGCACGCGAACCAACGCAGCACGGGTGTCGCAAGCTTCACCGGGACCGTCTACGGGGGGAGCCGCGTCGACCGCGCTGATGAGCCCTTAGCTCACCTACCCACCGAAAACGCCATTTACGGTCAATACAACAGCACACTAAGTCAGAACGGTCGACGCACTGTCCGTCCGTTCGAGGGAACCGCCCGATGTTCGAAGCTCAAGCGTCAATGTTCGGAACCCTTAGTGGCAGAGGCGAGCGGTTTAGAAGTGTCGCTACATTGGTAGGACTCCGGGGCAAGTACATGGCTACGTCAAACTAACTAGTGACGGCCTCGGCAACTCTCGTATCTATGTCCTCGACCTCCACACCCATGACCACCACCCCTACCCCTACGAACAGACGGACCGGCGTTGAAGCTACGGTCAGTGTTGACGCGCTCGAGCAGGCTTTCGAGCAACCCGACGAGGGTGCCGTGCGTGCGGCGCTGGTCAACTGCGATGTTGTGAATCGCTCGACCCATGGACTCGAGGTTGTCGGGCAGCTGGCGAAAGTCGGACAGGATCAACGACTCGCGCTGATACTGCGGGTTCGCGAGAGGACGACGCTCGGCCTGGTTGACTTGTTCGAGCAGCACCAAGGTCTCGGACCACGCGATCGTAGGGTAGGGCGAACCTAGGATGTCCCCTGGTTGCCATCGCGGTGAAAGACCTCGTCGAGGTAACGCATCAACTCGTCGATCTCGGGGAACGACCTAGGAGCAGGAAGCGTATCGTTCGCTAGCAGGATGGCCCGGCTGCGGGACTCGAACAAGAATCGCTGTTCGAAGGTCGGTTCGATGGTTCGAACGATAGTCTAAGTTCGGAGGCACGTACAATCATCCAACGGACTCCGTGGGCCCAAGCCAGCCACTCTCCGGGACTGTTGGCATCGTATCGCAGCTCGACAAGTCCCTCGGTCTTGAGGACCTCTAGGAGGCGGTAGTAGCGGGCAGCATACGCTTCGGAAGTTGGGTCGAGGTGCGGCATGTTCGTGTAAGTCAGGCGAACTCCTGCAGCTGTCTCATATCTTCGAGGACTGTCACCGGCTCCGGTTATGACCTTCGCCGTTCGGGGACGGTCGCCCGTTATGCGGAACCTGCGGAAGGCCGAGTTGGATTCTCTCATGTGTTAGTAGGTCCGGGTCGAGCATTGTGACATTCTCCGATTGGCTGCTTTCCTTATCTCTTTCATTCATCATGTCTTGTATTTCTCTTGGCTCTCTTGGTCTTCGGACCGTATTTTCCTGTATATACTCTGGGACTTGTTCCCTTCGAATCTGGGAGACCCCCTTACCCTCTCAATCTCACCTCGCACCGGCGAGGTTCGTCAGTCAGCCAGTACGTTCGAAGTCAGCAAGTTCGCCAGTCAGTCAGTACGTTCGAAGTCAGTCAGTCAGTTCGCCAGTACGTTCGCCAGCTCGTAGTTGCCCCGAGAGACTCTACACTTCTTCTCCTGCCGTCGCTCGCCTTCCTTGTCACCGTTCGTTCGACACGTCTGTCGAGACTCCCCCTCCTACCTTCGAGGCTTAGCCCTCGTCTTCGAACAGTCTTCGACATCTTCGAAGCTCTCCCACGTCGTTCGGAGTCTTGTCCGTCCTCCTCCTTCTTACCTAGACCACTGTACAGTCCCCCGTACATCTCATAGACGCAGAGGCCTCGCATACCACTGCTCGACCTCACGGTTGGGTTTTGTGTGGCTATTGTGTTCTTTTCGGTCGCGTCAGCGCTACCATCCCTTCCTCGCACCCTCACTCTTCTCGAGGCCACCGTCCCCGATCGCAGCCTCAAGCACGAACGGATACCGAAGGCGCAACCTTGTGCGTCCGGATTGCTGGCCGCCCAGGCCCCCATCTTACAGCCATGCGAACCAGAGGAACGCCAACGTAAGTGGCACTCACGCTCGTGAGCCGGATACTCACACTGACCGACCTGGCCAGTACGCGTATGCGGATGCCCTGCGTGCCACTCCCATGCGCCCGGCTCCGTTCTCAGACGCGTGGCGTGCAACGCCCATGCATGTAGAACCACCCCCGGCTGCGCCGATGCACAGCCTGGAGGCCACAGCACGGGCCTTCGATGAGGCCTGGGCTTTTGGTCAGTACGCAGGGCAGCCAGCACGGTTCCCCGCACCCTACTGCGAGACCACGCCCAACACCCTCCGTCCGATCCTTCCACGCCCCACGACTAGCGACACGCCTCCGACGATCGATCCCCGCCGTGTGCTGAACAGCCTCGGCGTCCAGCACCCTCTGTACTCGACTGGCGCCCCCGCCCCTCAATCGCCACTGCAAGGCATCACCGAACGCACCCGGACCCTGACACTCGTCGACGAAGGCGCGGTCCTGCGCACGGAGGTCGACGCTGCCGACGCTGCGGCAGGCCCTGCGCCCTCGACCCCTCGGTTGTAGTGCCAGCCCCACCTCCTACCCCGGTCGGGCCAGCTTCCACCTCGCAGCTCAGCCCGGCCGTGCCCATCGCATCCTTGCTCGCGCCTGCGCTCGCCGACAAGACTCGCTCGCCAACACCGCCTCGCCAGGACTCGCCTCAGCTCCAGTACCCTGAGAGCAGCGCTAGCAGCGCCTCGCCGCCACGCCCCTCCTTCGTGCCTGGCATCCGGGCGGCTCAAGCGTCTCCCGCGGACGACATGGACACGGACTCCGATGTCGTCCTCGTGGAACGCTCGGGCCCGTCGTCAACCCTGGCTACTGCCGGGAACACGCCCGATACCTCCGACTCCGAGGGCTTCGAAGGCGTCAACCGGCCAGCGAAGGACCACTTCAGCCCGCCTCCGGAGGCTGAAGAGCTCGACTCGGACACGGTGATCATCAACATCGGAGACCTCCCCAAAGGAAGACCGCGCGTCCCGGTCATCGCGCCGCCTGCGGCCCACTCCCCTACGATGCGCGAGTGCATCGAACGGATTCGCGAGGAATACGAACCCCGGAATGAAGCCCTTACTTCCTCGTACGACACGGACCGAGACGCAGAGACGTCTGCTCAGGTACGTCCGCGTCCGAACATGGTGATCCTGCTTCGGAAGCTGACGTCCGCAGTGCGCACTCGAATCCGCTGCACATCCCATGGACAAATACACCTGCGATTACGTTCGCATCGCGCTCGTCAAAACCTACCGTGCCGTCCGCGCTCGTGCTCGCCGTGACTACGCTAAGGGGCCCTCCACCTCGAGCAGAAGCTGAAGGCCGACCTAAGGCCTCGCCGCCAGACAGCCACACGCGGGCGCAAGCCTGCCAAGGCAAGCGAGTCCTTTCGGGGCAACCAGCTCTTGCACCGGAAGGAGCGCGACGACCTCGGTAAGCTCCGGGACTACTTCGCTCGGTATCGCACTGCTGACTATCAGCGCGGCGGTATTGACGACACCGACACTGTACTCCGGCTCATCGACACGGCCCTGGAATTCGACGCGGCCCGCGAATACTCGCTCGTCCTATGCACTCGATGCACGCGCGGCGACTTCGGTGGTCCAGGCGAGTATCCGACCCATCAGTAGGCGCGAGCTCGAGGTCGCATGCACGCTCCTGTACGTCGTAGAGCCACCGCGTGCGCACCCACAAACTAATGTCTGCTCGCAGCCGACTAGCTTGTGGCGAAGATATCTTAGACGACTTCATGTAGGTGATGGCTACTGTTCCTTCGACTCTTACTGTATAAATTTGGTTACGATCTCGTTCTCGATAAGTTCAATTTGCGTCTGTAGCGGCGAGTCCGCCCCTTGTGCTCGATCTTGTACTTCTATGACTTGTCTCTCTACGTTTCGATGTGTTCATGTTTCGGCTGTGTTTTCTTATGATTTGATTCCCGACTGCCTCGTATGTACTCTTCTTACTGTACCGAGCTCCCGACTTCTCGACTCGCCGAGTGTACGATATAGCGTAGAAAACCCCACGAAAAGCACTGAATATACTGGTTATACTCGGTACTTGTATGTGGGCATGCTTGGTGACGACTTGGGTAGTCTCTGGCACCACCAACAGAGAGACTTAGCTGGACAGCTTATGACAAGACCTGGTACTGGGCAAATCAACTCACTCGAATACGAAGCACTCTGTCCTCTCCAACGACTTGCTCACAACCTCGCGACACTCCCCTTCCGAAGCCTGCTCGCGCGCCCAGTTCGGTTGCCACCACTCGACCTAGGAAAAACACAAGCAAGTCAGTGCAGCCCAAGTGTCTCAGGCCCGGAGCTCGGCGGTCCTACCTTCGGGTGTTTCGTAGGACTTATCACACTTAGCGAGACTGCAGAAGATGACTCCAACATAGTCGGGGCGAGAGACTCGACCTCGTTAGCGCGCGCGCTCAATTTGGAAGAAGGCAAAGAGCTACTTTCCTTTTATGGTAGTGATGTCCTCGCTGCTTACAAACGCGTCGACCGACGAGTAAAGCCAGTACCTGGCGTGTTTCCAGAAGATGCACGAGTGGAACGACGGATCCCTGGAGACCCGCTGGCATCTTTAGTGCCACTCCCAGTGCATCCACCCAACTTCACGGCTGGCACACGCCTCAATGAAGAAAACCTCGAAGCAATGGATATCAATCCAAAGGGCTTTCTCTGGCATGAAGAGGAAAAGCTATTCAAGCATATCCTTAAGCTTAACGAGAATGCACTAGCCTTTGAAGAAACACAACGCGGTACTTTCCGAGAAGACTACTTCACACCCTATATTATTCCGGTAGTCCCGCACGAGCCATGGGAATTCGCAAATATTCCCATTCCACCAGGCATTAAGGAGAAAGTCATTGCACTACTCAAGGAGAAGATATCGGCAGGAGTGTATGAGCCTAGCCAATCCTCATATCGCTCAGATGGTTCTGCGTAGTCAAGAAGAAGGCAAGCTGCGAATTGTCCACGATCTACAGCCCTTGAACAAAGTATCTATTCGAGATGCTGGCCTACCACCCAAGTGGATGATTTTGTGGAAGATTTTGCTGGTCGCAAGTGCTATACAGTCTTTGATCTGTTCTGGGGATTTGATGCCCGCAAGGTACATCCCATGAGCAGAGATATGACTTCATTCCAGACACCGCTAGGCCTACTTCGAATCACTTCGCTGCCCATGGGATTCACCAACTCCCCAGCAGAATTTCAGAAGTGCATGGCCTTCATCCTACAAGATGAGATCCCTAGAGTGGAAATCAGTTGAACTCCACCGAGGCTGGCCGTTCGGAACGGGATCCAGAAGTACTGAAGGAGAACCCGGGAATTCGCCGCTTCATCTGGGAACACGCTCAGGATGTACACCGCATCATGCATCGAGTCGGGCGAGCAGGAGGACCTTTGCTCCCATAAGGCTCAAATGTGTCGTCCAGAGGTTGTCATTGTGGGACAAAGTGTACACCCAAAGGCAGGCTACCAGAGCCAACAAAGTAGACAAGATCCTTAATTGGCCAACCCTCCGGAATGTACATGACATCCGAGCATTCCTAGGACTATGTGGTACTGTGCGCATATGGATCCACAATTATTCCAAGGTTGCCCGTCCATTGACTCAGCTTCTACATAAAGAAGCCGAGTTTGAATGGACAGACAGCTGCAATGAGCATTCAATGCTCTCAAAGCAGCTGTAACATCAGCCCCCGCCCTGAGGCCCATTGACTATAGCTCCGACAATCCAGTGGTCCTATCGGTCGACTCCAGCAAGTATGCAGTTGGATTCATTCTGTCGCAATACGATGAAGCTGGACGCAAGCGCCCTGCTCGGTATGGATCCATACCCATGTCAGAGCGGGAGTCTCGCTATTCTCAGCCAAAGTTGGAGTTGTATGGTTTGTATCGAGCCCTACGAGCTTACCGCCTATACCTCACTGGAGTCAAGAACCTGGAGGTAGAGGTAGATGCAAGTACATCAAGGGAATGCTTAACGAGCCAGACTTGCAACCAAATGCGACCATTAACCGATGGATCCAAGGTGTACTACTGTTCACATTCAACTTATCCATGTGCCAGCGGAGCGACATCGAGGACCTGATGCCTTGTCAAGACGGCCACTCGGCGAAGGAGAAGAGATAGCTGAAGAAGATGATTCATGGTTGGATGACATTGCCTTGTACACGGAAGTTCGGAATCACCATCGCCTCTTGGGATATGAGCAAGTTCAGGACTACAGGACCTTGCTAAGCCAAAGCCATGCCGATGTATTCATCTCTGCAAATACTAAGGCCGACAAGGTTCTGCATCAGTATCAGAAGTTCCTGACAACTGCTGAAATGCCAGCTCTCCCAACGCAACAAGCCAAGCGCCGATTCATTCGCGGGGCTAGCCGCTACTTCCTCAAGAACGATAAGTTGTACCGCCGAAATGGATCTCAACCACCACGTCTCGTCATTCTCAAAGCCGCAAAGAGAATTGAGATCCTAACTCAATCTCATGAGGGATTGGGCCATCGAGGAGAACAGGCAGTAATGCATACTGTGAAGGAACGGTTCTACTGGCCAAGCATGTGGAATGACATACGACACCATGTTCGTTCCTGCAAGCAGTGCCAAATCCGCAGTGTCCGCAAGGTGGAAGTCCCGCTCATGGTCTCTACACCTGCTACCATATTCGTCAGTTATACTTGGACATCATGGAAATGCCATTGGCCAGAGGGTTCAAACATATCATTGCTGGGCGAGACGACCTGTCACGGGCTAGTGAGGGACGATCCTTGAAGAACAAGAAGGCCAAGTCAGTGGCAGGGTTCTTCTTTGAGAAGATCCTCTGTCGTTATGGAGCTGTGGGAGAAGTAGTAACAGATAATGGGCCAGAGTTCAAGGAAGCTTTCACACAACTCATGAACCGATACAAGCTGCCACAGATCAAGATCTCCAGTTACAATTCCAAGGCTAATGGAGTGGTTGAGCGAGGTCACTTCATAATCCGTGAATCTATCCTGAAGGCCTGTGACGGAAGAGTGGACAAATGGCCAGACTATGTTCATCATGCTTTCTTCACAGATCGGGTGACTATCAGTCAATCAACTGGTTTCTCCCCATATTACTTGTTGTATGGAGTAGAGCCAGTGTTGCCCTTTGATCTTGCAGAGATGACACTTCTAGTGGATGGATTCCATTCAGGAATGTCCACAGTGGATTTGCTGGGCCTACGGATCCAACAGCTCATGAAGAAGCCGGATGATCTTGCTCGTGCTGCTGCATTGCTGAAGAAGACTCGCCTACGTTCCAAGGAAATCTTTGAACGGCGCTATGAGAAGCGGCTGTACAAGGAAACATTTCAGCCTGGTGAACTAGTTCTTGTACGCAACAAGGCTGTTGAGCAGAGTGCAGATCGCAAGCACCATCCACGGTATCTTGGACCATTTCAGGTGGTACGACGCACCAAGGGAGGATCCTATGTATTGTCGGAGCTAGATGGAGCAGTAGGGAGGAAGGGAATAGCAGCGTTCCGGCTACTTCCATTCATATCTCGAGAACAAGTAGAAGAGCTCAACTGGCTAGATGACGACATGGATTCAAATGACCCAGATCAAGAGGCAACCCAATCAGGATGGGCCACAGAAGACGATGAATTAATGAGTAGTGAGGAAGAAGACAGCAATAGGGAAGACAGTAGTGAAGAGGATAGTGATTCAGAGGATGAAGATGAAGAGTAGAGAATAAGGGTAGGATATGCATGAGATGAGGGCGCAACTGGGGACAGTTGCAATTTCTTGTGCCGACCAGATGTCCTGAGCCAAAACTGTTTGGCTCATGGAACATGGTACTCAAATGGAACATCTTGGTACTGACAGAGTCTATCTTCAGACACTGCACAGCCCGGAGAAGAGGGACAGACCCCATTTTCTAGGGTTCTCTGCACAGCCAGCTACTCCATGGCCCCAGATTGCACAGCCACAGGCTCCACAAGCTAAATATAGATCTAGGGTCCAAGCACCCAGTACCCTGGATCACTTTGTACCCTAGAAATGAGCCCATGACTAGGTGCACAGCATGCCGACACAGCCCTCGCTGAGCAATCAAGGTCAGTAGAGACCCCGGAAGCGGCCAGAGTGGGCCCGTGGCAGTGTATTGGGGTGCAACGAGTCAGATGAACACACAGCCACCCCAAATGACTCAGCTTGTGGAGAATGACTAAGGGATGACTCAACACATGTAATTAGTATTAGATCAGTGTATTCCTCATGTATATAAGGACCTGCGAAGTGGCAGGGAGAGGCAAGCAAGTTACCCCCAGACAAAGCTCAGACAAGTCGTGTCGCTGCCAAGTCTGCGGTGTAGTGCAAGCCACTCCTAGCCTAGCAATAGAGTACAGTGAGCCCAAAGTCTAAGTGTGACTGTAAGCCTCTGTTGAGCTAAACTAGTGAAACTTGCTCGGTAAGCTGTGATCCATAATCAGTACTATCATTCTCGTCTAGTCACGTCCACGCACTCGTCAAGTCAGGTTGCTGATCAGCCCACGTATTCAGTCACATCACGTCACGTCCACGATATACTTCACGTCCGCTGAGCAGTCAACCTACGTGTGGTAAGTAAGGAAACTGTTTCTACTAACTCACTTCACAGATAACAACCTACTCGAGTTCCCCCTCCACAACGAACAACTGTGATAGCCCGGTATTGTCCATACCCGGTGAACCACAGCGGAAAACATTTCTGACCTGACAACGGGCTCGAACCTTAAGTCTGATGCCGAGGTGCAACACCTTGTTGACGAGGTCCTCCTCGCTGAGGACTTCGACCGTGAGGACCTGCGCCGCTTCCGCGTTACGAAGGAACTCGAGCGCCTTGACAGCCTTGACAAGCCGGGCAATGTCTTCGCAAGCACAGATGGATGGCATGAAGTGTCAGTCAAGATCAGTGTTCCGAAGGAACGCACGAAGTTCGCATCAGAGGCAGATGCCCCTATGTTCGAGGTCCCTGAAGTCTACGTCCGAAAACTCACGGAGCTTGTCCGCTCGGCAGCAGAGGCAGTCGACGCAGACCGTTTCAACTGGCTACCTTTCCGGCAGTACTGGCGACGTCGCAAGTACGAGGCTCCTGGATCCAACTCTGGGTCCGACAGTTCAGAGACGTCTGATGCCGGTCACAATGAACATCAATTTGAGAACATTCGCCTCTTTTCCGATCTTCCGAATAGTGACGCGATGCTGGAGGAGGATGCACGGATCCGCGCACTGCCCCGCAACGCTGCAGATGGACCGGAGGTCGAGTACGTCATGGCACCTCTCATGGTCTGGTCGGACTCTACGCACTTGACGAATTTCGGCGGTGCACACCTATGGCCAATCTACCTCTACTTTGGATGGCTCTCAAAGTATGTCCGGGGCTGTCCTACGTCCTTTGCTGCTCACCACCTGGCATATTTACCATCAGTGAGTCAGCTGAGAAGTTAGAACAGACCGTCTATCGAGTCTGGTTGACTAATTTGCACATTCTCAGCTTCCGGAATCAATACAGGACTGGTATCAAAAGGTATATGGCATATCTGCGACTGCCGACGTCCTTCGCTTCTGCAAGAAGGAGCTCATGCATGTTATCTGGTGCTATATCATGGATGACGAGTTCATGAAGGCGTATCATGAGGGTATGCTTGTGAAGTGTGGGGACGGTATACTGCGCCGAATATTCCCTCGCTTCTTCACCTACTCTGCAGACTATCCCGAGAAGTACAGTACCATTTCTCCTGTAATTCTCCAACCAAGCTGACCAAGCTGTACAGGGCCTTACTCGCCTGCATCCGCTTCCTCGGACGTTGTCCATGTCCGCGATGCCTTGTTCAGAAAGCTGACATACTCAAAACGGGCTTCTCGAAAACATGGGAAAGCATTCGTGTCGACAGCTCACGCCTCCGGTCGATCATTGCTCACGTACGACGATGGATATTCAAGTCTGGATATTCCCTGACAAGCAAGATAATTGGACAGGTAATGGACCCTATTTCCGTCCTACCTACCCGGGTACGTCATGTCCATCCTCCCTTTATGTGCAGCTTTGTTTATGGACTCCGAAACAGAGTGCCTTCTCAACGCGGCTTGCGGATACCGGGTTCAACTTCTACTCCCTCTTTGTGCCCGACATCTTGCATGAAGTCGAGTTAGGAGTGTGGAAAGCGATCTTCATCCACCTCCTTAGGATACTGCATGCCGAGGGAAAGGACCGCATTCAGATAATGAATGAACGGTACGTCTCAGTGATATATAATACACTCACGAAGATAAGTCATGTTTACTCATGTACCTAGCTTCCGTCACATCCCTACCTTTGGACGTAGTACTATCCGCCGATTCGCAAAAAATGTATCCGGCCTCAAGCAGATGGCTGGTAGAGACTTCGAGGACATACTGCAGGTGTGTAACCTTGTAGTCCGTGTGCAGACATTACGGTAACATGTTGCATCAGTGTATCATACCTGTTTTCGAAGGCCTCCTCCCACCGCCACATGATGAGCTTGTACAGACCCTGGTCTTCACGATTGCCTACTGGCATGGCCTAGCCAAGCTTAGGTTGCACTCCGAAGAAACAGTCGCGATCTTCCATGCAGCAACTCGAGACCTCGGGAAAATTGTGCGCAGGTTTCTTCGGAAGACTTGTGAAGCATATGATACCCGTGAGCTCCCTCGAGAGGAAGCAGCTCGTGGTCGCCGCACAGCTGCGATGGTTGCAAAACAAGGAGCAAAGGCCTCACGCAAGCTGCGTAAACAGCAAGCATCTGCCATTGCAAGCGCCGGCCCTACATCAGGAAAAAGCTTTCGGGGCCATAGCACCCACTGAAATTACATTGCCATGATAGGTGCCATAGGGGCTATAGAGGGCTGTAGACGTCAGCATTGACTACTTGTCAATCCATAGTTCTCCATAGTACAGCGTAGTCGGGTGTAAGTGGGCCATAGGGGTCAATAACTTTAGTCTGTTGTGTATATCAACCCATTGACGAGGATACAAAAACAAATGCGGCATAGCGGTGATAGTCATTGGTGCACTGTGATATTACCAAAGCTACGAGAGTCAAAGCTTACACTCATTCTGGCATTGTATGTTATGACATGACATTTACAGGCAGACGTGGAACTCCGAACCATAGGCTATACATAGTAGACAATATACCATTAGAGGTTTCTATGCACACTGTATCAGGAGAATGAATCCTCGGTCTCCTTGAACGCGGGCCCGCACGCTCCCGATCCGTCAGCTTGCAAGTTTGATTCGGTACCTGCAGGTGGGAGTCGTCAAGTTCTCTGCTTCCGTGCACTTCGACGGTGTCGCAAGCGTCGTACGCATCCTGGACGTATTGGCCGGCCCTGGCCCAGGTCCCGCTTGTCCCGCTTGCGCTCGTCTACATCGTGCCCGTTATGCTTTTGGTTAGCAGGCTCCAGGCCTGTCCTCGCTGCATGTCCTCGTCGTAAGCGTGCTGCTCGTGTTCGTTCTGTACATGCTCATTGCGCCGATGCTCGCCGGGCTCGTGCCCCCTGGGTTGTGCCCTGCGAGCTTCAGCCCGCTTGCCTTGTTCAGTGCGCCGCCGCTCAACCCGGCCGTCTGTTCTCGAAGGTGTCTGTATGTGAGTACGTCCTCGTCTCCTTGTGACGAGTCCCATTGATCCTCATCGCTATACAGCCCTCCCACGTCTGCTTCGTGGTCAAAGGGCCGCGTACTGGACGGACGCTGACATCGTCGCCGTGGTACGTCCCTCGTCTCTTGCTCTTCTCGTGCTCCACGCACCGCTCACGCGGTTGCTGCTGTTCCAGCTTGAACGCATCGGACTCGCTACGAAGAGACGGGCGAGACCAAATGCTTTGAACGGTGCGTGTCGTACGCCTCGCCGCCCTCCGTGAGCTGGCTGACGTGCATCTTCCCGTGCGAGAGACGTGGCGAGTCACGGGTGGGTGGATGTCGAGTGTCGGCGCGTTTCGGGTGTCGACTTGACCACGCCCGCCGGTATGTGACTCTTGCGCCGGTTGTGTACGCAGCACGCGCATGGCTCTGACTGTGTGAATAAGCAGAAGACGATGATGCGGAGAGGACACAAGGTGCGTACCTGCTCGTATGTGGATGCACACGCGATGACGACGATCGCGTAGTCGGAAACATTGCCCGTGCTGGACGCGTCCGCTGCCGTCTGTCTGATCCTGTGACGGACGACAGCTTCCCGCGGGGTGCTCGTGCTTGCAGAACGAGACTGCGCCGACGAGATGAAGTGCACGGGCAGTGTGGCCTGTCAACGGAGATCCGTGCGCAGTTATGAGCGCACGAGAACGGTGGTCCATTCCGACAATCGGCGGGCTAGTCACGGGCAGACGGACCTTCGTAGTTTGAGCTTTCGCGCTCGTTCGATCCACTCACACTGCACCCTGAGTACCCTTCCTTCATCTTCGCACTCTCCTCCCGTCCTTCATTCCTCGCATCCCTCGCAGTTCGCGCGGTTTTGTCGCTCGACGCAGGACTTCTAGGTGCGTCGTTTAAGTCCTGGGTCGCACGGGGTGTCGCCAGATCCGCATGTTCGACTACGGGTTGCCGCAGTCAAGTGATGAGTGCGAGAGACTACGAGAGGGCCGCAAGGTGAGCCGGCATCTGAACGTTCGACAGATGGAGTGGGAGACGGCAGAGTAGGCGGGAGACGGCTGAGCGGGCGGGCGAGAGAACTGGCAGAGACGCGTCGTCGTCTGCAAGTGCGAAGCGCTCGCTTCGGCGAATGCCGACTGCAGCCACCACTGCCACGACACACCTCTCACACCTCCTCCTCCTCCAACTCTGAGTACCTCCCTTCCCCTCGCGGCCGCTCCCTGCCCGCCGCATATCTTCAAGACACGCGGACGAGCCCGCTCCCAAGAGGCGAGGTGCACGGCACGCAGCCGCAATGAGCCTCAGAGGAGGCTCGCTAGGTGAGTGCCCCGACGATCACTGGGCTGTGTATAAGTCACGCAGCAGTCGACGTCGCAGTCTTGGATATTGACCGCAGGAGCACGACACCATGGTGGAATAGGCCGGTCGAGGACAGCGCATACTTCGAGCAGGACACCTCCAACCGGGCGAGCGTCGTCGAAAAGGCACGGCAGTCCGTCGTCTCTAACGGCTCCGTCCAGCTTGCCTACGCCGAGCGGCCCCCATCAAGTCAGGCGCGCTCGCCAAAGACGTCTTACACTGACGCGCGCCATCTCTCCAACGGCTCTGCACAACCCTCAGCTTCAAACAGTCGGGCTACATCTAGTTACGCCACTGCCAACGACTGCACTCCTCGGGTACTGTCCTATGCCTCTGTGTGCCAAATAGTCGACCGTCATCCTGTCAACCCACCTCGCCTACCACTCGACCTCGGTCATCCTCTCCGCATCTCACGCCTGCTTCCACACCGCCCCCGCAAGCGCTCTCCCTCGTCCCAACGCCCCCCACGGTCATCTCCGCCCCGCCTCCCGTCTTCCCCCAGCTCACCATCAAGTGCAACATCAATCACCTCTGCACCGGACGAAGACCTGGATGCCACATTACTGAGTGGAACTTGACCGTTACTAACGGTCCACCCGGAGTGCATTTGGCCCGTTTGTAACGGTAGGCCCGGGCTCGGCCGGAGCAGGTAACCTGCCGTATACAGAGGTCCGGCCGGGCTGCACGTCTCGGGCTTCTAGCGGTCCGGCCGAGTACCGACCGACCCGTATCAAACGATTGGCCCGGAGCCGGTTCCACTATGAACCCTGAATTCCAACGTGGCGGCCGGACATTCAGCGCCCGGCGAGTGGACGGCGCGGCCGGGGCGTACGGCCGCAGCAGGGTATCCACTTTGAGCATTGATTCTCAACGTGGCGGCCGGGAATTCAGCATGTTCTCAATGGACGGTGCGGCCGGAGCGAGTGGGGTGATCATGGGTGGGGGCTCCGGTCGGAGCTTAGGGACGACACCCATGAGTTAGACGGTGCGGTCGGTCACCAGCAGGCATGGTGTCCAACGGTCCGGCCGGTGTTGTCAATCCAGATGGGCGGGGCTACAGCCTCCATATATAATACACCATTCCCAACGGTCCGGCCGGTGGCGGTCCACCAGGGATTCAGGGATGGTCCCATGTGTGGATGAGGGTACCGCCCTTGGGCCGTGGATTCGAACGGTCCGGCCGGCGAGTGCGACTTAGGTATCGCCCATACATGGATGAAGGTACCAACCTCGGGCCGTGGATTCTGACGGTCCGGCCGGCGAATGCGACTTCGGTATCGCCTCAGTGATGGATGAAGGTACCGGCCTCGGCTCTCTATGGATGAGGGTACCGACCTCGGGCCGTGGATTCTGACGGTCCGGCCGGCGAGTGCGACTCAGGTATTGTCACAACTATGGGTGAAGGTACCGACCTCGGGCCGTGGATTCTAACGGTCCGGCCGGCGAGTGCGACTTAGGTATTGCCTCATACATGGATGAAGGTACCAACCTCGGGCCGTGGATTCTGACGGTCCGGCCGGCGAATGCGACTCAGGTATTGTCACAACTATGGGTGAAGGTACCGACCTCGGGCCGTGGATTCTAACGGTCCGGCCGGCGAGTGCAACTCAGGTAGGTACGGCCGGTTACTTTTTGCAGCCGAGGTATGTGATGCATTGAACAACGGCGGTCGTACAGAGCATTACAAATCTGTCTACCGTGAACCACTCGCCTCGCGATACCATTCCTTCACCCACGCTACTGCCGCCCTGTTTTGGTTGTTTGCGCGCTGGAGTGCCAACAACGAATCGATGTGTGCCATCACCGCGGCACGCTCGGCGGCCAACTCCAGCACTCGTGACGACATGGCGCCGGTCAGACCGCCATCTGACACAAAGAAATGGATGTCAGCGTGTCTATGTATGAGCAAATGAAATGAGTACGTACGGGTTTCCGGAGCCGGATTGAACGCATTCGTCGCAGTCGGAGCGAAGGTGAAAAATGCATCGTCTTGCTCATGGTGTGGAGCAAGGGTGCTGGTAATGTTGGCAGGGACCATCCTGTCAGGCTCGGCGGGCAACTCACGGGACTTTCCTTTGTCCTTGCGGGTGCCTTCTTCCTCACCTGTGCTGGGGCTAACGCCTCCAAGCACATTGCTCCCCGACCCGGGGATGCCGCAACCCCGTCCAAGGGCTGATGTCACGCCTCCAAGGCGGTGGCACCCACCCAAGTTCGCCGAACTTCGGGCCCACCGGTGCGCTTTTCTGATACCCTGAAAATTCGGGGAAGGCCGGCGCCCGGAGGGCCTTACCATCAGTGCGTCGGCCGCTCGAGGTGCTCCTGTTGTCCGGTCGGCCATCCGTGATCTCGATGTCGGAGTCGTTGCTGGCGTGCGTCAGTGGTGCGGGCGTGTATCCGGTGATCACGACGTCAGAGTCGCAGCTTGCGGCCCTTGCGCCACGCCCAGCCGGTTCGTCAGCTTGTATCTTCTGAGCGTCGGCCGGCTCGTCCGTTCCCTTGCTCGGCGGGCCCGGCGGAAGGACCCCTCATGATCGTCGGTGGCGGTCTACCGGCAGTGAGTTTCTGGCTGCTCCGAGTGAGTGCCGGGACTTACCTCATCAGCGATTTCCATCGGGATGTTGAATAGCTTCCGGCTGTGCGCACGGCCATCCACCTCGGCGGGCACACGCTCTTGCGGCGACTACACCGAGCACAATGTGAGTATCTGCTTTGCTCGGGCAACGGTGGGTATGACACACCTCACTACGTGCAACGGAGCTCCCGGCCCGCGATGCTAGTGTTGTTGCCAACATCTTCGCGACAAGCGGATCCATGTCCTGCTGGCAGGAAATAGCGAAAATCATTGTGAACAGACCATTGAACTTACCGGTATCTCATCCTCCGTTGGGATGCCGAACAAGCTTCCTCCCCTTCTCACCGTCGCCAGCGCTGACTCGACAGGCACCTATGCGCATGTTGGTGAGTACATGCACACCGTCAACATTCAACCGAGACTCACCTTCTCGTCGGTACCAACGTCCGAATCAACTTCCATCGGGATTCCAAATAGGCGTGGAGCCACCGACGCCGAGCGAGCACGCTCTGGACCTGCAATAGGCTAGCAGCAGCTTCCGTCAGTATGAGGCTGAACTGCTCGGCGAGAATACACGTACCACGGCCATCTCCACATCCTCTTCCTTTGGAATGTTGAAGAGCTTGCCCGGGGCGATTGGTTCCCCACTGCCACCGGCATCTGTCCTCGGTCCGTGACATTCGGCCGGATGCTGCGTGGGTGGCAATTGGCTGGTAGGTAGCGGAGGTTAGTATTGCTCAATTACTCGGCATGAGTCCACATACCAGAATCGCATCTGCAGGCTCTTCCTTCGGAATATTGAAAAGTCGGCCGGGCTCTTCCTTGGGAATGTTGAAGAGTCGGCCGGGCTCTTCCTTCGGAATGCTGAATAGTCGGCCGGGGACAGCCTGCCCGCCACTGTGACCGGCACCCGTATTGCTCCGTGACATTGGGACCGGGCGCAGGGTGAATCGGCTACCGAGGATGCGTCAACTGGAGCGTGATGAGCAGATCGCGGCGGTACGTACCTCATCATCAAGCCCGATTGGGCTTCTCGATGCTTGGCGGGCGTTCCGGCCGCCACGCGATCCCTGCCGACGAGTTGACACGTCACGGCCGCCGGTTTTCTTGCGAGAGGCTGGAAGAAGAGTTGTGAGTGGTAGGCCCCGGCGATTGGGCCGGGGACATACCTTGCTTGGCCATTGTCGATACGATGGGTTGAGGATACGCAAGTGGTCAGGAGGAAGAGGTGTGGCGAGCGATCACCAAGTTGATCGCCCATTAGCGCTCCCGCGGCATAACCGGAGTCACGTGAGCCGTGTGGCTGCAGTGTGGCTGCTAAGTTCGTGATCGCCGGCGCTCTTCTTCCTTTGTCTCCGCGTTCACCGTCGCGTTCTCTCATCCCGGCTCCTCTCCGCTGCACCTCCACGCTTGCTTCGGCCCCTGCTCGATTTTGCTTTGCCATGTCTGCCGCGTCTACCACCCCCGCCACGTCAGCAACCGCGCCGGCTCCTGCCGGCCTAAGAATGCCTCGCCCCCACCTCAATCATTTCCTGGAAATCACGAACGCCAAGCTGCTGAAGATGATGGGGAATGGTTTGGTGAGGCAGGAGGATGAGGCGGCGCTGGCAGAGGAGATTGTGAGTACCCAGGGCTTCATGTAAGCTCGTCCAGGAATCTAACCATTCACCTGTAGCTTGGAGAGTTCATTGAATGTGTGGTAAGTACGCACATATATCGCTCTTTCGGTCCCTGACGTTTGTGGTAGTACGGGGCGGTCCATGCAGTTGTGAGCGGTCGGACGGCGGGCGAGCCTCCCGAGCAGCGGCCGATGGTGCCGCTGTTCCTGCTCTCAGCGATTCTCGAGCTGGACCACTCGCCGAGGGAAGGCCTCAAACTGTCCCGCATCCGTCCGGACGATCCACGGGTCCTCACCTCGGCGTGGCGCAATCCTCGTGCGCCGTCTGGCCTCCCTGAACGCCCTCGCTCGCCGACCCCCGTTCCCGGCCCGTCTCGTCAGCCTTCGACGACGGTGCGCTTCCAGGACTTAGCGGCGGATTCCGACGGTGAGGAGGAGGTCCCGGTGAAGGAGGACGGGATGGATGTCGACGAGGTCGAGAAGACCCCACCTCGCAAGACTAGAAACACCGCGTCGAGCAAGAAGAAGCCGGGCCCTGGACGGACCGAATCGTCGGGTACCAAGCGCAAGCGGGCGCCGACTCCTACGCGCAAATCAAAGGGCAAACAGCGCGCGCGATCACCCGAGGATGAGCAAGGCGACAACGAGCGGGCGGCTGGACATCTGGACGAGGAGACCGAGCAAGAGGAGGAGGAGATGGATGAGGAGGAACGCCCGAAGAAAAAGCGGGCAAAAGGTACGTCGTGTTCAGCTTGCCATTGTTGGACTCTAACCGTCATCTATACCAGGCTCAAAGCCGCCGAAGGGCATCCTCGTGAAGAAGACAGAGGAGGTCCACGGCGAGCGGGCCAAGTTCGAGATGGAGTACGTGCGGGGAAGGTTCGGCAGCTCGTCCACCGGCGTGAGAAGGCAAGTTTCATACCCGCCCTGGTGTCATCGCGACTCACATCTACACAGCCGGACCCATGCACGCAATGCAAGGGTTTCCCTTGCTATATCTCAACACCGGACGGCTACGAATTCAAGAAGGACGGCACCATGAAGGACCCACCGCCGGCATGCGACTATTGCAACGTCAAGAAGGTGAAGTGCGAGCCCATCGACACCGAGGGCACGTTTAAGCCCAAGAAGTCCCGCGGGCGTAAGGGCTCGAAGAGACGTCCTCGGCCGGCTCTGGCACAGAGTCCGAGGGCACCGACGAGCCGCAAAGCGAGGCGGAAGCTCCGCCCACGACTGACGACGAGTCGACCGGGCTGACACTGCCTCGGTCACGTCTCACGGCAGCCGGCGCAGCTCTCGACGGCGGGTACACCTTCTCGGCGACCGACAACCATCGCCAAGAAGGCTGGCAAGAAGGGCAGAAGGCGGTCAAACAACCGCCGGCCGTTACGCCGGCGCCTCAGGAGAACGCGGAGGCTGGGCCCAGCTCTGAGGTCCAGCAGAAGCCCGTGCGTACGAGGAAGACGAAGGGTCCTGCCCGGGACGTCGCCGACATTCGTAAGTGCATGTACGTCTCATTCTCGTATTGTGTGCTGATGATGCAGGTCGCATCTATCCCATTTAGTCGCTGACAGGAAGCGTGAGTTGGTGGAGTTCGGGGGCCCGATCGATGTCCTCCAGGAGGACGACCTGAATCCAACACTCGCGCGCTGCGCATCCGCGAGCTCCAATCGAATGTCCGGGACCTCCGGGAGCGGCTTGAGTCGATGGAGGCCAGGGACCGTGCTATGCGAGCACGTCAGGAAATTCTGGTAAGTTCTCAATGTGTTTTGAAAATCTAATGCTGATGCTTTCCAACAGCCCGGGCAATCCTCGACAGCGAGAATGTGGACTACCGCGAGCTCATCAAGGAGATGCTGGAAGAGCATGAGCCGGCCGACCAGATGTTCGTCGGCGCGGTTCCTCAATATCCCGGAGGTGCAGACCCGGGCCCCGCGTATGAATCGGACGACTCGTCCACTGAGTCGCATGGTGACCTCGGCGAGTCCCCACCCGGTGCGCAAGACGTGCCGGAGCCTCGCGACGAGGTGACTGACCCTGTAGAGGTCGCCGGTCCCGCATCCCCAGCCCCTCCGCCGCCGAATGACACTGTGGCCGGAGGTCCCGAGGTCCCTGCTGGGCACGACGAGGTGACCGGCTCCGCCGCTGGGCCCATGTCCCCAGCCCCTCCACCCCCGAAGGTCACCATGGGCAGGGGATCTGACATTCCTCCTGGGCAAGGCGAGGTGACCGGCTCCGCCGCTGGGCCCGTGTCCCCAGCCCCTCCGCCCCCGAATGTCAGCATGGCCGGCGGTCCGGAGGTGCCTGCTGGGCAAGACAAGGTGACCGGGTCTGCCGGACTGCCCGATCAGAGCCGGCGGCGCAGGCGACCCCCATTCCTGCTGGGAACACGCACGCGACCCCCCGGCTGTTCTGGAAGGTATCCGAGCGAACTTGGCAAGGTTCGTCCCGCGCCCACTTTTCCCACTCCCGTCGGTCTCAGCTCCGGCCCTCAACAGCACCCAAGCCAGCGTGCCGTCGTCAATCCCCGAGGAGAATCACCCGGCGAACGAGAATGCGATGGATGTTGACGAGGGAATGCGCCGGGCCAAGCAAAGTAAGGGTCCGAGTTCGTGTAGGCTGCGCTAATGTAATTACCACTCTGTACAATGTATCGCCTTCCGCTGCACACTTACAATGAAATGACGCATGAACTTGAGAATGTCGGCTGAGTACACTTAACAGGAAGTTTCTCCCCCGCCGAGTGCTTGTAAGAACTGCCGGGCCGAGAGTATCGCATTTTGCCCGGGCCGAGACATCAAGTCGATATGTCGGTCCATGACCCACACCTCAGAACGTCCAAGATTACATTGTGCCCACTGTGTAATTCACAGTCCATCTGCTGCTCAACCATGTATGTTGACCTCAGTGCGGTGTGTTTACATTGTGACCGCCGAGAGGTTTGCATCGCGCTCGGCCCGAGAGTTCGGCGAAATCGTCGGGCCGAGAGTTTGTGAAAAGTCTCGGGCCGAGTTACCCCGGCCGGTGCTTGTCATGTTGGCTGCACTGTGAGATACATGGAACGTCGTAATTTCATTTCGTAAATGCGTCGGTGGTAAAGACAATGCGTATACAGACTATCTACTTCTTCCCCCGAGAGCCACGCTTAACCGGAGCCTTGCTGCCTGAGGGCTTGGATGACCCGGCCGGCGGCCCAGGCTCGGTGCGGGGCTTCTTCGTCCGCTTCCCAGTCCCGAGCTCTTCGTCATCGACCGCAGCGGCGGGCCGCTTGGAACCCGTGGCGGATCCTGCCTCCCAGCGAGCCCGAATCTTCTTGCAACGCTTGACGAGGTCCGCGGCAACTGCAGCATCCAAGTGGGAATCGAGCACATACTGCGGCACTCCGTGGTTCAAGCTCGGGGCGACGTCCTTGCTCTCGATGTCGTGGATCAGCATACCCACAGCCAGTGTTACCAGCAGACCGTCATCGCACGCCATGACATTTTCGCCGAGGGACGACTCCATCGTTGTGAGCCATCGGCGGAACTGTGTCAGTTCCTTCTTGTCGTTGTGGATGGAGGAGGGGCACGTTGCTCGGCGGTACGACCAGCTGGCCCACTCCCACTTTGTTGTCGAGTGCCAAGTCCCGGCGTCAGGCTGGTAGGATTGAGTGAGCATGCTTTTGGAGGGAGTACAGGACATTACTCACAAGCTTCAGAGCAGCCTTCACCATCTTGCCAATCTCGTCGTCGCCACAGAGAACCTGCAAGAACTTGCGCCGGGCATCCACATCCGAGGCGACCTTCGCCGGACTGCCCTTCTGAATGCGTGGGCCGGGCTTGCTACCGCTCGGCTCGGCGCCGGCGGTGTTCTTCTTCGGCGGGCCTGCTTGTGATGTCAGCAAGTTGTCCCTCTGTAGAAATGAGATGACGGACCGGCAGCTGGCGAATCAGGTTCCTCGTTATCCTCGGCGTCGCTGTCACTCTTGGTTGACTGCTTTGGGCGGGCTGTGGTAGACTTCTTCGCCACGGCTGGCTTCGGTGCTTTTGCGGGGGCCGGAGCTTGCACCGGGACATCGCCCTCTTCACCGGCGTCTTCGTCGTTACCCTCGGCCACGGTGTCTGCACAATAGTATAAGGATGTTAGCTTTGCGTACACGAGTCGCCCGTTGTGATGAGACTAACCACGGTTCTTCTTCGACACACGACCGCCAGACTTTGGCTTGGCCGACTGCTCGACCGACCCTGTGCTAACCACCGGCTGGTCACCGGCGGCCTGGTTGCGTGATGCGCCGGCCGACTGTGTGGATCTCGCGCTATCCTTCCCCTTGCTGGTCTTCCCTGCCCCGCCCCCTGCACTCTTTCCACCCACCGACTGTCCACCTTTCTTCTGAGCCCCCTTAGATGGACCTCCTCCTCGGCCTTCCTTCGTCTTCGTCTGCATCGGGACAGCCTCCTCGTCGTCCTCGTCACTGGAGGCAGCAATCACCGCCCGGCCCTTGCCCTTGCTCGGTCGGGCCACCACGACCTCCTCGGGGGCGTGATCAGAGTCCTCGTCATGGCTCTCCTCGTCACTGGAGGCACCATCGAGGTCCTTGGCGGGTTCGAACAACGACCCATGGCCCACAGCATCAGAGTCCACACTCGAGGCCTCCTGGTCGTCTGAGGAGTCCACCGGCGTCTCTGACTTGGCTCGGCGAGAGGCACGTCGGGCGGCCGGGGAAGCACGGCGGCGTCTCGGCTTAGGTTGGGGCTTCCGCTTAGGCTCGGGCGCCGGAGATGGTGAGCTCACCCTTTCCTCCTCGTCCTCGACCTCCACGATCTGTTTCGCCGCGTTCCTCCAAGCCTTGAAGCGGAGCACAGGTTCTCCGTCGTCGGCATCCTGCCTCACACGCCAGTGACGAAGGACCGCATCGAGGTCCCCAGCGCGGATCTTGTTCGGGTCGCTGAGAACAACGCCGGCCGGCAGATAGCCGTCCTCGAAGAACTCCTCCGACTTCTCCGACAGGGACTGCCACGGCACCCTGATGTTCTCGCGCCGGGTGTAATGAGCTATTGTATTCTCCGAGGTGAGTGGCCGGCCATAGGGAATTGGACTCATTGCGCTCACCGTATGTCATGCGGACAAACGTACTCAGGAACATACGCTTGTGATCGGTCTTTTTGAAGCACTCGTGATCGGCCGGCGGCAGGATGGGATACCCGTCATTGTCGAACTTCCACTCGATGCGGTCGATGAGTTTCGATGGGACGATACTCTCCTCGCCTTCAAACCCGTTGGCGTCTGAGCGAATACATTGAGCACCGAGCACGTAGCATATGCTGGGCACACTTACTGAACGCGTCCTCGGCGTACTTCTTCCACATCTCGTACGTGTTGCCCCGCCGGAAATCCTTGAAGACCTGGATAAAATTTGGCGGCTCGGTGCCTGGTCCGCTGCGAGGATACGCATTGTTATAGTCCCATCTAGTCCTCGTCATCATTCTACATGTTCAATGCGTCTGGACACTACACGTACTGCATGTTCCCCGTCTGTCCGTCTTCTCTCAAGTACGCCCCGAGCACAAACACCCTCACCCCACACTTCCTCCACATCAGCTGAACGAACTCGGACACCATCCCGTTGCCGTGCCTGGCGAGGTGCTTGTACTGGTACTCCCTCGGCCACACGGTGGCGTTGTACTCGGCGGCGGTCTTCCGGTACTTCGCCTCGTCGAGGGGGCGAATTCCGTCGCAAAGCTCCTTCAGCGCAGTCTGGTAGATGGACGGATACAGCTTCGTGTCCTTCTCCCTCCCGTTCCCATGCTTCTTTATCAGCTCTTCCAGCTCCTGCTCATGAGCTTGGGCACAGACCGTGCGCCATGAGAGGTCCTTGCCGAGCTTGATGAGGTCCTTCCTCACCGGCTCCTTATCCTCCGTGTCGGTCTCGTGGTTGGCGAACCACTGCCCAACTTCCTGCAGAAAATGAGTATGAATACAATGCACGTAGAGCGGTACCTACCTCTCGCATTACATTGTCAAGGGGGTACCCCCTGATCTTCCCTAGCTTGTCAACGGCCTCGGCGACAATCTCCCCTCGCTGCTCGCCATCCTCCGGAAGCTTCCGCCATTCCTCCAGGCGAAGATTGAGGACGTCGAGGTCGCGTTTCTGCCAGTAGGACCTTCCCATTGTGGCAAGGGACGAGGAACGTTGCAAGGAAAACTGGGATCTGCGGAGGAGGCACGAGTGGAAGCTTGAGGAAGAGATATGTTCCGGCGCCAGTCACCCAAACGAACACCGAGGTTTATGATCAGTCACCAAATAGTCTACGATTTTGTACCGGGGCTTTGCCCTTTCCCTGCATCATTTATGTTTGTATAGATATATCTACATTCACTGTGTCGGTCGTCGCTGTACATTCAATGCTTTTTTGGCCGCAAACATCTTGAGGCAGACCACCGGCCGGACCGTTGGAAACCCGGCCGGTCATCGCTCGGACCATTTGGTCCCAAGTCGAAACTCAAAACCGCTCAGTGACAGAAGTGTGACACCACGGAGCAGCGCAACGACGTCCAGCCGCTGCTGAGTGGAAACCTGCAGCCCGGGGCACCCGTTCCGAGGGCTCGGCACCCGGCCGGATCGTTGTAAGGAAGCAACCGACCACGGGTGGCACGTTCTGGAATAGAACCGGGGCGGCTTCTCCGCTCCACTCGTAGGGGCCAAGCGGCCGGCGACACAGACATCCCATATGACCCGAGTCACTTTCATCAATTCGGTGACTGGAATGTGCCCCAACCGCGACACCAGGGTGGCCAAGCAATGCCTGGGCGTGAGCACGTGACTCGGATCAACGGCCGGGACGATCGAAACCTGTGATTGCCGGCCGCATCAATTGCTACGGAGCCAAAGGTGGTTCTCCCGGACCGTTGTCTGATGTCGGGTGTTGTGCTTCGTTCACTAGAGGCAAATCTGCGACCGGTAACACATATTCCATCAGCCGTTCCGGCCGGATCACCGAGGACCCATCGCCGCAAACAGACAGCCGGGTGCGGGTGACGGGCAGTGGTGTGACAGTTGCACCGATGGGGGTCCAATGAATCTCATTGGTTTTTCCCCCCTGTCCACCGATATTCTCGCATCATCCGGGTACTCCGGCCGGCCCGTTACAAACGGCCGACCTCCTTGAAGCCTTGCTTTCCAGGCTGGACGATGGCTCGACTGCCGAGGGCAAGCTCCCCTACTGTGGTGGAGGTGGCCATCCAGAGGACGAGGACTAAGAGGGGGGTTAAGTCCCGCATCGTTCCTGTAAAGACGAATGCGTTGCAAACACCACCGCCGACTCCTCAGCGGCGCTCGCAGCCATCCACGAGGCAGTCAAGCTGGATGAGACAGGAGCAGGATGACGATCCTCCTAACAATATATTCCTCGACCTTTTACCAGCGCGAAGGGTGCTCCCCAGGTACGATAGTTAGATCAGCACAAGCAATGTCGGTGATGACATTATTCATTAGACTCAACCCCAAATGCTACGGGAGTGGATCCCTCTGCAAATACATACCTCAGGTCTGTCTATGGCCAGTCCAAGCCCCCAACGACCGGCCGAGAAGGCACCTTTGAGTGCGCAGGCTGCAGTGGCGGAGGGGCGTGTGGAAGTGTTCATCGTGCATCGGGTCGCCAATTTACTGTCACACTTGCTGTCTCACCCAGCACCGCCGAACACCATTCCACCGAGTGGAGCAGTGGAGGATTGAGGGCTACTGGGCCCCTGCCTGGTTGAAGGATGTCGGGCTGTGCATCAATTTGGGCCACCGAGGTGCACCTTGCCCGGTCCCTGAGCCCTTCGCCGACATCGATGATGACGATGAAGAACGGCCGGCCGAGGAAGAAGAAAACGACCCGGAGGCTGCCCAGGACGATCCTTTGCGACATGCCGACCCTCCACCAAGACCACCGGCGTCCATGATGACCATCGTCGACACGACCGGCGTACACTTTCTGCCGGTGAGATGGTGTGGATGCGCCGGCGCGGCCAGTCATACCTCTCAGCTCCTTGACTGTGGCCTGTATCCGGCCAGTCAACGTGCCGCTCGAACGTGCTTTACATTCACCGTGCTCGATGACTTCCTGCTCGACAACCTTGAGTGCAAGACGACGGCGATGAACTACTACCGGCGTCTTCGCCGAGTCACTGATCCTGTGTTCCCCCATGAGGTGCCGGTAAGTGTGCGGTTCTCTGTAAGAGGTGCGAGGACATGGCTCACGCGTGACAAGGACCGATATTTGGAGCTCCTCAGAGTGAGTCGGGAGTGGACCCTGCTGCAAGCCAAGAAGGAGCATGGGTACGGGCCGGCCTGGCGTGGGGTTCCGGGAGACGGTGACCTCGCGAATTTCTGTGCTGCATGCCCGCAACCCGGTGTAAATATCCCACACGAGTGGCAGGCCGACGACCGAGAGTAAGTTGATGCGTGCACGTACTCTGCGAAAGCTGACAGCGCCGGCAGCTATTTGTACGCCCGAACGTACGTCATGGACGGAAACTTCCACGCTGAGCAGATGCGGATGCGGAATCCAGGGAACGATGTTCCTCTTATGCCGGGAAAGATGTTTATGGTCAACCCCGGGCCTTACGAGGACCACCTGCTGGTGGCGAAGGAAGTTAAGATGGTGAGCTTTACCACTCGGGCAATAACACTCGGCCCGGTGTTGACGAGCGGACAGCCCTCCACCTGCCACGATCATAAGGCGGTATCGCAGGCAAACGCCGACAGACACAAGCTGGCAGTCACCGGCATAGGTGCAACATCGTGTGCCAGACATGGCTGCTTCGTGCCTCATTCGGTGGTCAACTTTCAGAAAGGGGAGCGCCAAATGAACATGGATTACTCCCTATCAAATGCCCTCGGGTATCAATCCAAGGGCCTCACCCACGTCTACCTATGTTATGACATCGTTTGCCAGTACCATGTGTATCTCGACAAACGGTTTGCGGGTAACCCCCATCTTCATATGCCCAGCGGTCTGGTGCTGTACAAGTGCATCGGCCTTTTCCACGTACACGGCCATCAGGCAGTGTGCGAGGTCCGCCACTCCCTGACCTTCACAAAGGGCGCCGGCGAGGTCGACGGCGAAATCATCGAAACACAGTGGTCGACGACAAATCGTATCTCTGGCAGCACCCGGACGATGTCGACGTCCACCGGCAGGAAACACTCGACCGGCACATGAATGACTGGAACTGGAAGAAAATGATTACCATGGGTACGTCGCCGGGGCTTCCACTGCCACATCCTCATCATCTGAACAACCGGTAGTGGCATCCCTAAGGAGGAAGATAAAGGCGAACCGGCCCCTGCTCGCCGAGATGAAACAGGACTCTCGGCGAAGGAGTCAGGATTGAACGCCGAGACTCTGCAGAGCTGGAAGCGCGAATTGAACATCGCTCAACGCCGGCGCCTCACCAATGTGAAAGCGATGGACAAATACCTTGTGAAGAAACCAATTGTGAGTGATGTGATAGACCCGGGCGCACGGTGCATAACTCCCTGAACATTGCAGTGCCCACTCAGACAGACCTCCTGGTACAGCTCACCGAGGCCGAAGGAACGGTGGCCGGATTGTCGGGACTGCCGAGTGGATCGCCGAGGGCCTCAAGCTTGAGGAGCTACAGTATGTCTTGTATGCCGCAGTACGAGGTCATGCTAATGCACCAACAGACTTACCATCCGAAGAGACGTCAAGCAGCAAGGCGAAAAGATCACCAAGCCTCAGCAACTGAAGCTCGCTCAACGTCGGAAGGCCCTGGAGACACGAATCCGACGGTTTCACCGGCAAGCCAACGCAATCAGCCACCGGGCAGACTGGGGTGTTGATGAATCCGAGGCAGATGATGAGGAATGGGAGGATGAAGGCCCGGTCGTCGCCCGGGAGCCACACGGCCCATGGAGTATGTTCACCAGCCGGCCGAAGCTTCCGCACAGCGAGAACATGGCCGAGCAGACCCCGCTCGGGCTCCCATCCAACTTATCTCCTGTCGTGTTTGATGATGAGAGTCTGAAACGTCTGGCCGAGCAGGAACTCACCCTTCGGCGTGGGCAAGCCAATGATGCGCTCCACCAGCTCCGCCTCCTTCTGGGCCACAAGTCTTTTCAGTTTCGTACCAGCATTCGGCATGGCAAGTCCAACACCAAGCGCACCCGAGCATTCACCACAATGAACAAGCTCGACCGGGCCGTCGCTATTCATGCGTCAATCTACCGGAGGTGCAGAGCTGCCATGGTGGTGCTCGGTCTCTCAGAGGAGGAGCAACTGAAGTATCAGCGTCTCAGCAAAGAGGACCTCAATGTCACCACCGCCATCGCCGAACCAAACAAGCCCGGCCAGAGGCACAAATCGACGTCATGGATCTGGAATATCGATGTCGGAGGAGATCTCGACAGGAATGATACACTCTCAATCAGTGAGCAGTACACTCCATGCGTGTCCGCCATATGTCTCACCGGTATTATAGTTCACCGGATTCACTGGTTCCACGCACGCTCCAAAGTTGATCGCCTGGAAGAAGAGGCCGGCATCTTACGCCGGGAACTTGATTCGGTGGGGAGGTATTTCTCTCACCACGCCGAGATGTGGAGAGACCGGGCTATCCAGCACCCAGGCGATGATTATGCAGGGTTCGCTCCGTACTGCCGGAAGCGTGCCGCGATGTACGACCGTTTATACCGAGATGCTCAGCAGACGTATAGGGATGTTTATGCTGACCCGAACATTTTTACGTAGTGAGACCCGGCAGTTTATGTTAACGAATATATTGAACTTTGGCTGAATTCAGGACTGTATGTTGCGACCATGGCCTGCCGAGCAGAACGTTAAAGCTTCCGGCCGACCATGGTGCTGAAGGGTTGCCTGCAAGACAACACCGAGTACATACACCGAGGAGACTTAGTAAGCTACCCCAAGACGCCCGACCCTGGCCAATCATGTCTCAATGGCATTAACCACAACGCATACTCTCGCCCTCCTCGTCCCTTCATGTGCGAAACCACTCCGCCCGAGCACACCGCCGAACCCTCGGGCCGAGCGAAGCACCGAACCCTCGGGCCGAGCAAACGGCCGAAACCCCGGGCCGAGCAAACGGCCGAAGTCTCGGGCCGAGCAAACGGCCGAAGTCTCGGGCCGAGCAAACGACCGAAGTCCCGGGCCGAGAGAGAGCATCCTTTGCCGGGCGGATAGACAAGCGGGTCCCTGTGCCCAATTATGGTGTTGGTGGCGATGAAAACACCTCATTTCGTATAGAGGGACTGTCAGCGCTGACTGAGTTAGAGGGATTGTCAGCGCTGATCAACTCAGACATAACCTGAGAGTTGTGCTCAGTCTCTGGGTGTTAGAAAAGTTACCCAATATATAAGTTTCAGTTGTGAGAAGTAGGCAGCAAAGCATAATGAATTACAAAAGAGAGCAAATGACAAAACATCAACTCAGGTATCAATCAAATTGTCCCGGATCTCCACCCAATCAATGAGCATCATGAGGAATGCCAGCCGGCCGTCCATCTCCGGCATCTCCACACTTTCTCGGCTGTTCTCGTGGGTCACTGACATGACCACATGCCCGAAGAAATACCGGCTGATAGTGTATGCATTTGGACGGAAGGGCACTACCTCGGCGTGGCTGCAACATTTAGTCAGTAAAAACAGATAGGATGAACCGTGGGATTTGCTCACGCGGTTGAAAATGCAAACACCATCAACTCTCCCCTCAGCCAGGGATATGGTCCAGAGCGGGGATGCTATTGTGTATCAGCCAAGGGAGATTGTCTCGGCCGGCCGATGACTTACCATATCCAGGGCCATGCTGAGTGAACAGTACTTTTGGTGGTGGATGATGTGCAAGAGGCACTGTCCACCACTAATGCGCCACAGTGACACACAACCCTGGGAAGATCCCCGTGTCGGCAAACACTCGGCACGTGTGTTGTGACACTTAACCTTATGCGGAACCGCCGGTGGTGCCTCAGCACGTGCGAGCCACACCGGGCATGTGATGGGTGTGTGGCTTGTTGAAGATAACGATCGTATCATTTGCTCTTAACCTTCATTGCCGAAGCGCACCGAGCACCACAACACCCCGCTACCTTTCAATCACTGCTGCACTATGCGTTCCACCCTCGGCCCTCTTCTCAACAGTACCGCAAAGGACCTTCTCGGCAAGTTCGCCCGGCAGGAGTTGCGCCCGACGGAGCCGACGGAGAATGGAGAATTACCATACATAGCAATGATCCATTATACGGTGCGATCAATCCATACTTACGTGTCTGCACCATAGTAACCACTGATGCACTAGTCGCTGGCGGCCATGATGCTCGGCTTCGAGCGGCTGATGAAGCCCGATGTGGCCGAGGAACTGGGTCTCGGGGAAGTGATGGACAAGTACTGCACGATCATGCTGCCGGAGGGTAAGACCCAGGAGGAGGTCCTGGTGGACATGATCCTCGGCTTCCGAGCGGCGGATGTCGCTCAACCGCCGCAGCCGGAGACATCCTCGCTGCACGCCGAGCACTCTGGTGAACCAGGTAACTGACCAATTCTCTCCGGCCTTTCCGGATATTCATGCCACGACAGAGGGGCAGGTCGGTGCCTGGATGGAAGATCCGCCTCAAGTCCGGGATCAAATCGAAGATGCGCTCGATGACATCACGACCGAGCAGGCCAAAATCCAAGAGATGGTCGCCGAGCAATTGAAGGCCGCCCAACAGCAACTCCAGCATCTTGATGGCCGGCTGCATGTGGAGAAGCTCCGGGTAGGTTTTACACAGCACATTCACATTACATGGGACTTATACAATAAAAACTAGGACGAAGTGAGAGCTCACACCGACCGCATCCACCTCCCTGTGCTCCCAAAAATACCCGAGCCAGGTGTGATCTCACCGGAGAACATGCCCCCAAACGTGCCAGTCCAAGCCCTGAATTGGTTGGACAGTCTCGGCGAATCGATGGCCGGCATGGATCTATACATCCAGGCAGAGGTGGATTACTGGCGGGCGGTGGACCGAGTGAAGGCGGCCGAGTTAGCGGTCTTGCAGCCAGGAGAAGCGCCGAGTGCCGCGGCGGGCTCTTCGCCACCCCGTCCTGTCTCAGAGTCGCATGATGGATAGTCGGGATGTCCCATTAGTGTACAGTCGTATTGGCACCGGTATTTACATCTCGTGATATGACAGGGAAGGCTTTCATGTTCTTATGTGCCCCGGCCGGCCGAATCAAACACCGGCAGAACGATTGGGCAGCAAGGCAGCTGGCTAGGCCAGACTGTCTGCTATACCTGTACAGTTATTGTGAAGATGAAACCGCCGAGCACATCAACAGTTCCATATATATTGTAAACACAGTGTAAGGTTATACAGCTACTCCGAGTCCATCCGCCAATCCGCCGGGGGAGCGTTTGTCCATGCATGTACCGCCTCACGCATATAGTAAGATAAGCACAAGCGCTCCTGGGTCGATTGCCGTACGGCATGAGGTATGCGACAGCCAGAAAATACCTCCATAGTGCCACTGTAGTATGGCATCTTCATTCCCAAAGTAGGATACTCCATATGCAAGGTCTTGTCTCCGCCGAGCGTGAGAATCATATCGTACCAGTGCTTCGCCGAGAGTACGTCTCGGTGAAGTGGACTGGCCCGGTTGGCAATCACCGATAAGGCGTTGAATGGCGTGTTCCATATCTCGGCGACGCTAGCGCGGTCCGGGTCGTTGCGCAGTGCATTGATCGACGCCACGCCACTTGCATAGAGGTCCGGATGGAGTATCTCGAGCATCGCCGAGAGGATGATATGGGGGTGCTCCATCGCCGAGAGCCACGGTCGGGCGAGCGAGGTCGGTTCCCTCAGCAGCCGCGATACCTGGGGTGGACCTGTAGTACCCTGTTGCGGATTAATACAACATATGATGATCAGTACGCCATGGATGCCCACCGTATGACCCTGCTGAAACCAGCCGGGCGAGGCAGACAAGCACGACGGCGGGAAGATTGGACATTCATCCGCATTGCGGTAGTTGTTGATATCTTGTCTCCACTTCTCGGTGGTGGTGGGGGGTAGCGGAGGAACAGCGGTTCCAGTTGACCTGCGGTGTCCCATATGAACTGCTGCTTGATTGTTAAAAACCGGTGTGATGTCTGCCTGGCGATCTCGCATACCTGGTAGTACGGTGTGATTACGCCGGGGAGATGCCACAAAAGAATCCGGCCGGCGCTATCCTCGATGGTCGCAGGCTCCTTGCACGCCTCGTACTGTACGTTCTCGGCTTCTTCATCGCTCGGTGTTGTCATCGGATAAGTCAATGTGTCCCATTCAACGCTCCCTCCAAGTGGAGTGTTAGCCAAGCTTACGATGGCGGTCAATGGAAGCTCACTTCGGTTACAATAAGCCTGAGCTAACATCTTGCCAGCATTCGTCGCCTGGCGTATCATATACACATCCAGGAAGAGACCTGGAAGTGGCTCGGGCTTCATCGCCTGGCCCTCCTGCATGCGAGACAGCCAGTGTAAATATGTCCCCATCAGGTAGGAACGAAATTGGGTGCTGATCTGTGCGGTAGTCATGTTGGAGAGTGGGGGGGGATTGGAGAAGAGTTGTGCGACAAGTTTGCACGATGTGGAGGACCTGATGGGCAACATGTGGTGACCATGTGTTTGCCTCATGTTTGTAGGCATGTGATGTTGTCAGTGCTCAAGTGACCCCGGCTAGGTGCTGGTTCATGCATGCGCCATCTCATGTGATGTCACGTTCTCTGGATGATTGCCCTTGACAATTCTGGTGCCGATTTGGCCGGCAGGATCATTGATATGAGCCCTGGCCGGACCGTAGGAAGCCTATTTCTTTTGAGGCCTCCGGCCGGAACGTTGACCTGGTTGCCGGCCGGAACGTTGGGTATGCGTCCGGCCGGACCGTAGGAAGCCTATTTTTTTCGAGGCCTCCGGCCGGGTCGTTCGCCTGAGGTCCGGCCGGAACGTTACACCACAGGCCGGCCGGACCATTCCTAACCACCACCCTACCTCCGGCCGGTTCGTTGCTGCCGGCGGCCGCTCCGAACGGTGGACCCGGAGTGCTCCGGCCGAGGCCGGGTCCACCGTTCCAAACGGGCCAAATGCACTCCGGGTGGACCGTTCGAAACGTGATTTCCCACTCATTAGGCTCTGGATGCATTCCACGTGCGCTCGACTCGTCCGCTTGCTCGCGCCCTCGTCCCTTCGCTTGCTCGCTCTCCCTCTCGTCTGCTTGCCTATCCGCCCGCATTGCTGTTCGCCCGCTTGCTGTTCGCCCGCTTGCTGCTTGCCCGCCCAGCCGCCCTCTCGCCTGCCCGCCTGCTCTCTCGATCGCCTGCCTGCTCTGCCTGCTCTCTCGACCGCCCGCCTGCTCTCTCGGCTGCCCGCTCGCTCTCTCGACTGCCCGCTCGCTCTCTCGACCGCCCGCTCGCTCTCTCGTCCTCAACGAACTCGTCTGCCTCCGCGACTTAAATCTATGCGAGGTGCATGTCGAGGAGCGTGCGCCTCTACCACGCGTACGTAGGATGCCCGCCCTCGCAGCAAGACGGACGGCCGTGTTGCACCTCATCTTCTCGCCTGCTTACCTACTCACCTGGTCGACCATGCGCCTGCTCTTGCCCGGTCACCTGCGTGCCCTCTCGCCTGCTCATGCGCACCTTCTTGCCCGCATGTCTGCTCTCGCTCGCTCGCCCACTGCCTGCGCGGACCCGCATGGAACCCTTACGCGCTGCAGTGGGTTGGTACCCGGAGTGGGTCGGGTCTACCCATACGATACTTATTTTCGTAGTTGTACCATTTTGTCATTCCACAATCTAATATATCTTATCTAATGTTCTTTCTGTTATATGAGCTGTCAACAACAGTGAGCGACCAAAATCAATCTGTACGATCAGTACTATGCTTTGATATGTCTACTATGATGGTATATGTTACAGTATATTGGCATATGGACCTATGTTACTATCATTCTACTGTCTACTATGCTGTTCTATGTTGACCATGGTGGTACTATGACATGCTACAGATCACTACAGATTCTGCAAGCATGCTATACACAAGGGGGATTGCAATGAGCCTATACCAACTATGTCCCCTATATTGGCTGACCTAGGGATTGTGATTTTTCCTGATGTAAGCGCAAGATGCTGAACCTTCTAACATACAAGTGGCATTCTCTCATCCACTATGCCTACACAATACCGTGGTTCGGTACCCTCGATGGTGTCAATACACAACAGGTGCGAGCTTCAAACTCTCATGACGTAGGGCAGCTCATTAAGAGTCGGGAACGGCCAACTAGGGCGAGATGGAGCATCGCCGCGTGAAGCGGTTCTACACGCGCACAAATAAGAACAAGGCAGCACGACAGATTGCACGACGTCAACGCCGGGAGCAGCATCTCCAGAGGATGCTGGCTCTAGATCGCAAACGACGTGCAGAGCTGACAGCCGCGAGAGAGGTCACTGAACCTGCACCTCCAAGTCAGCCAGGTCATCTCAACGTAGATCGCCCTAGAAATGGTACATTACATGCTCTTGACGATACAGGCACCCTACGACGGCGAGGAGCAGCTCTTGATTTATCAGAGCAGGACCCACTTCCATCTCATACGTCACCGAGAGAACGCTATCACATGTCCGACTCGGAACGGCACCATCACAACATACTCCAGTGGGTCAATACTCCGAGCCACAAGAACGATCCTGCATTCAAAGTAAGTATGTATGATTTGCTTCCCGATGTTTGCCAATATTGCACAGGACTTTATCCCCATGCTCAAGGATCACCTGCTCTCACGACTCACGGACCGGGAGTACGATGGCGACGAAGACAGCTTTGGCCTTGACGAACATGACACAATCAAGTTCAATCGTGAACGACCGCATCTACCTTCACAAGGCCCTCCGTATCAACTACACGACGTATGACATGCGACGTGCACAGGACACCATTAATCCCGCACCCAGTCCGACATCATGATGCTTGCACCTGCTGAAGACGACGGTGATGCTAATGCGAATGCACACCCATACTGGTATGCACGTATTGGAATATTTCACGTGAATGTCAAGCACAGCGGCTTCCTATCGAAAACGAAGTCTGCCCAGCGGATGGACATACTCTGGATCCGGTGGTTTGGTCGTGATAACAGCGCTCCTGGCGGGTTTGAGACCTCGCGTCTCCATCGTGTTGGCTTCATTGACTGTGAGGCGCCGAACGCGTTCGGGTTCCTTGGCCCAAAGCAAGTCCTCCGAGCCTGCCACATCATGCCAGCCTTTGCTCATGGTCGGACTTGTGAGTACCTTCCACCGTCGATTGCGCGACAACCCGATGAAGGCGATGAAGACTATGTATACCATTACATTGGAATGTGCGTACTACTCACAAGTTCACTGTCTGCACACTGAGCAGATTGAGCAGGTTTGTTGACCGCGACATGCTCATGCGCTATCTGGGCGGTGCGATAGGCCACAAAGGCTTACCATCAAACAGAATCACTGCAACGTCGCTCCTATCTGCAGTGAACAAATATCTCTCACGAAGCAAGCAGACCCAGAGCCCCCGGTATCCTCAAGATACATTGAACTCTGTCTTGCTAGACGAACTCTGGGCGCAGGTGAGTCGTGACATCTCAACATACGGATGAACACATGAAGACATTGCCCCATATCAGCATGCAGACGAGCCACAGCAGGATGGCAACGCAGCCACAGGTGAGGCAGCCGCAGGCAATGAAGACGTTCCAGTCCCTGGAAATGAAGACGTACCAAGTGAAGACGAAGGCGAAGATGTTCCGAGTGACGAGGACGATTTCGGCTATCAATGGGATTATGCTGAGAACCTAGAAGATGCCGAGGAGGACGGAACACGCGATGAAGGGCCGAGGGCAGAGAGGGCGAGGGCGAGGGCGAGGGCGAGGGCGAGGGCGGAGATGATGAAGAGCAGGATTTTGTTGATCCAGATGTAGCGGATGATCCCTGGGAGGACGAGGACGAGTATGCACCCCTGTAGACTCAAGGTGAGCCACAACTTGAAGTGACCGTGACATAGAAGTAGCCCAAAAAATCTCACAATTCGTTATAGTATTCTACCCGCCGAAACGCATAGCTCCCGCCCTTCATTCCAGACGGGAAGAGCCTCACTCAACGCTTTCTGAGGACGGTACCCGGTCCCAGTGCTCATTCACTCGGAAGTTCTCACGGGGACCTACTACCCACACACCGTTCTCGCGCATATCTGCTCAGTCTGAAGGTTTTCCTAGGACAATTGAATGTATACAATGGGTATTGTGAATTTTCCCGCCAGTTATACTGAGAAACGAAGGAGGATAATTGACTTTCGCTCCGGCGCGAGTCCACGCCCGGGCGCCTACCTCTCCGAGTCGCGTCGCCGTGCGACGCAGACTCAGAGTGGCCGCGTCTGCCAGCTGGCTCTATGATCTTCACAATTTCTGGCGACTGACACACAGCGGCAAGACAAGCTGCAATTAGCTGTTCATATCTGTCTGCGGTACGTATGACAAGCCTATTTCGCTGGGATGATTGAAGACAATCGTTCGTCGCTCAGAAAACCCGTTATCTGCGACTGTCTTTCGCTTTCATCCAGTGGTGAGTCAGCCCGTTCTTTTCTGTGCAGATCGGCGTCCTGCACTTTTGCTGATGGATCTCTTGCATTGCGGCTTTCAAGCTTTCCTAGTATCTGTTTTTTTTTTCTTCAGAAAGCACCGTGCAGCGAAAGGAAAAGAGTGACTCGTTTTCCCTTTCCCTTTTTCCGCCCTTGCCTCTTTCTTGGGGTCATCACATTTCGCTTCTGACGAGAGTACTTGCCCGCCGTTGCTCATCGCCAGGGATAGAGCCGCTTGTAAGAAGCGAGCATCATCTCCGGAGACACGTCTTCCTGAGCCATAGGCCAAGTAATGGGCACAGACGGTCAAGTATCGCCCGAGAGGAATTTGCGGTGAGTGAGCTGTAACAAGTTGAACTTGAACGACTACACTGATTGAACTTGAAATTCAGTCACGGTCGCACGCGTCTTGTCACGTTTGAACGCGTCCTGTCACACAGAGTGACGACTCGTGTCATGCACGTGCCTTTAAATTGTGCCGCCCTCCGAGCCAGTCTTAGCCAGAGCGCTCAGAGTCAGAGTCCCGCCGCCATTTCTGAAGTTTGATTCTGCAAGCTCTTTGAATTTGTAGCGGAAGGATATAGAGATTCGGCACCCTGAACGGTTAATGCTCACGTTGAACGGCGAGGTGGGTCTTTCAGAATCGATTGCATCTTTTGCAACACCGTGACGCTTATCTAGCTGGTTGCCCATGTAGTGGTCCTCCGCCGAGTCGTTGTCTTCGTGCCGCCCCCACTATTGTAACTGCAGTACTTTCTGAGAGCGTCGACGACACTAGACAAGGCGAAATTTCTGCTCAAGCCAAGTGGTCGCAGGTTGGTCGCAGGCAACGCCGGTCGCGCGGAAAGAACCATTCGACAGTCGTTCGACAGCTGTTCGTAGCCATCAGCGCCCATTGATCGCTTTTCATCTCATTGACTCGATCAAACCCAGACTACGGAGCCGACAGACTCTAGGCGGCTGGGAAATCCATTCAGTCCGAGTCAGTTATTTGCATAGCCAATACATAGGAGGAGCAAGCTCAATTGGCGCTGCAAGTATTCTGCGCTCGAACGCCCACCACCATGCCGCAATACCAGCTCGAGGTCGCGGTCGTGCTCGCGGTCAGCGCAGCATGCAGTCTGACGGTCTTTTCGCTTTCGCAACCCAAGGAAGGAAGATCCATCTCAGCGTCGAGGAAGAATTGGAGCAGGACCCGTTCGATGTGACGAAGCCAGAGGATCTCGTGGACGGGACACCGGTCTACGGAGACGAGTTCTGGCACACAGTGCGTCCTAGAGTGATGTCAAGTCATACCGGGACTCATGCCATGTGCTAGATGCGACTGAGAAAGCTATCTGTAACATTCCTCCTCGCAGCCATATTGATGGTCCAATGCGTTTGCCTCGGCTGGGCGGCCATTGAAGACGAGCGCACGAACATTGCGGTGCACACTTTGCACGTCGTATTCGCGCTCTACACGCTCGTAGTGGCGGCGCGCTCGGTGGGCCAACAGGACAACGAGCACGCTGTGTCCATGATACATTTGTCTGCCCTGACATTCGTTGCGTCTGCGTTCCTGTTCGCCACATCCATCCTGCCGTCCACGGAGCTGATCGACACCAGCTCGTTCGTGCCCTCGACGGTCCCGCTTGGCCTATTCTACGCAACGCTCGCGCTCTACGTCGCCTCGCTCGTCCTGGTCGTGACGACCCCATGCGGGCCGCCGCTGCACTTCCCGCCCGAGCAGATCTACTCGGAGAAGGTCACTGCGAAGATGACGAACATGAGCGAGGACAACGTGTGCGGGAATATGGGGCGTCGGTATGGGACACGCTGCTGTTCTCGTACACGACCAAGGTCGTGATGCTCGGGAACACGGCGGAGAGCCTGGAGACGGGCGACCTGCCGATCGTGCCTGCGGACATGCGCGCGACGACGATCTTCCGGAACATGCGCGGCGCGATAAAACAATACCACCTGCGTGTGCGCTCGTGGCGCCCTCGCCCGGGCACAGGCTGGGAGCTTGGATATCGTCTGCTGCGGGTCAACCTTTGGAGTGTCACGACGGTCGTTATTGTCGCGATGTTGGTCGCCGGTCTGTTCTACACGCCGCACTACTTCCTGCAGCGCGTCGTGCGCTATCTCGAGATGGATCCCGAGAGGAAAGACCGCAGTTGGGATGGGCATACTGCTGCGGGTTGTTCTTCGCGAACGCTCTCACTCAGCTTAGTGAGTATTTGGATACGAATGTCTGTATCATTTTCTGAACCTAGGCTCAGTTATGGGTCAACTGTTGTCTTTGACTATGATGACATTGCAGGTCAGGTTCAAAATTCAGCTGAACTCGATCCTCTACGCAAAACGCTTGTGCGGAAGGACATCGCCTCATCTGCTGGCCCCGCTCTCGCGGAGAACGGTGCCGCCGCCAGTGCAAATACCGAAAACGGGGAGTCGAAGAGCGACGAAGACGACTTCTCAAGCAAGGCACAGATCATGACCCTGATGACGACGGATGTGGACCGCGTCAGCGAGTTCGCACGGCAGTTGTTCACGCTGTTTGGTATGTAGTTTGCCTCATGATATGGACGGGACATGACCGTGTGTGCTTTAGATTCTCCCATTGAGCTCATCATAGGCACGATATTCTTGTACAGCTTGCTTGGATGCACACCTGTCGTCATGAAGTACGTGTCTGCTAATGGTCTGCCTTTAGGTGTCTTTGTTTCATCGGACTTGCGGTGGCATGCTTGTTGCTCCCCCTCACCACTTCGCGAGCAAGGTCGTCGTCTCGGCACAGGATAGCTTGATGAAGGCGCGTGATGAGCGTGTTTCTTTGATGAACGAGGTTCGTATCCGTGCACCGTGTACGATTAACCTGCTCACTCGAGCGTGTAGATCCTTGTGGTATCCGTATGCTCAAGGTAGGATTGCCTCTCGTTTCAGCCCTCGATTCAGGTATTGACGAGTCCCACATCAGTTTATGGCATGGGAGCGCAGCTTCGAGGCACGAGTCATGAAGGTTCGGGCGAAGGAGCTGAAGTACCAGAAGCTTAACTACCATATCGAGGTACGTGACGTCTGCTTGTGGCGATCGTGATCGGTTCTGATTCGTCCGGCGTCCGGTAGGTTATCTTCAACGCCATATGGTATGGCTCTGCGGGTAGGGTTTGAGGTGTGTGGGCTAACGGCTTGGTTCAGGGGTGCTTCTCCGATTATTGTCGCGCTGGTGTCTTTCTGCACTTCGCCGTCGTTCGTGGACAAGTTCTGACGCCTTCCATCGCGTTCACTTCTGTAAGTAACTTTCTGTGATCAATGGTAGTGCAAACTCTGATCATTAGGCACTGCAGATTAGCGGTAAGTCCTTCAGACAACGGAAGAATACGGGCATGAACTCATCCGCCCATGCTCAGTCTTCAATGAGCTGAAGTTCGCACTGAATGCACTTCCGGAGACGTTCATCAACATGCTTCAGGTGGGTATTCCCGTGGCGAATACATGCAATCAAGTTATTGACTCTTTTCGACAGTCTATGGTGT